CTACTGTTCGCAGTAACCCCTGTCTGAGAAGGTTACTGGTCAATGTCCATCTCAGCCCTGTGTTTCATGATGAAGGATGACATGTAGACGTTGAAGGATTGACATGCAATGAGTGGATATGCGTGCTTTAGGGGGTAATGAAGATGAGCTGGATAAGCAAAATAACGGTTGCAGCCGTTCGAGGCGTACTTATCCTTTTTCACAAGCTCAACCGCTGCATTCTTTGGAACTTGGAACTCTTACTGGTTTGTTGGCGGAGATTGGATGTAAAGTTCTTTGGGTTATCATCATCATCATCATCATCACCATCATCATCACTGCCACGCGATCGGCGCCTTGACCTTGACATGTGTTGTCCATGTCCAGAACCAATCCCTTTCCCCCTAAGCAACCCGTCCTCATGCCCGTGCTTGCTTTCCCCTGCCGATAGGGCAGAGGTGGTCCGGGCGAGATCCGCAAGAAAAGTAAAAACAAAACAAGAAGGATCCAAAAGGGTCCAGAATAGTTTAGAGCCAAGAAAGCCCGACCGCTCTCCTCCACGGGGAGCAACACACAACTCCAGCGATTTCCATGTGGAACCATCGGTCACGGAATCAAATCTTTAATCAGTCAATACGAGAACCAAGCAAGTCCGAGCCGCGAAGAGTGAGGTCATGTTCCGCATGAGCCATGAGGGTCCGCTAGTCTGGAGTTCTGGAGTTTTTGGGGTGCCCGCTAGTCCGCTCAGATTGGTTAGTTTAGGGTGACTTTAGTCAAGGCCTGACTCCCTGCCGGGATCGCCGACAGATCTCTCCTGCAAACCCACAAGCGGTGAAAAAAGGCCCTGCTGCGCCTCACGGGAGTCGACCGACCCGCTTGTCGGCACCCATGGGACCAATCGTGTATCACAGGCATGTCCAGTCTGGAGGATGATTGGTTCTATTACCATGTCGCCTGTGGCTTGGGCAGGGTTCGTGGCGCTAGTTTGGTCGTTGGCGCGCTTTGCTCACCGACCCGACCACCGACCGAGTGGTGACGGCCACTCCGAGAATTGAGATGTGGACTAAGTCTCTGGAAGGTATCCCGCTAGCCTGGTGTGGGCATACGCTAGCTGGATTGGTGTGGTCATCACTAACTCAGTCTAGTTCGATACGGTCTAACTGATTCGGGACTCTGTCATGAACTGTATCCCCTCACATCCGCTAGGGCTATGAAATTTGGCGACGGCATGGCGTCAAGTCGAGTGAGCCAGACCGAGATAGGATACGGTGTTGCAGTGTGGATTATTGGCTGTGGGAGTCTGTTCCAGCAATTGTGAGGATTAAGATGATTACTCTTGTCTGCATCTGCACCAAAATTAACCGCCCCCAAACTTGTCCTTCGGGCTGGCTTGAGGCTTCACGGCGACGCCGAAGATACAATTACTTACTTGACAAATTGACAAGCTTGAGTAAATTATGGTTGATTATGTTGATGATGATTCTTCCCGCTCTGGGTGTTGGGGATGATTGATCCACCCCCTTTTCCTCCCACATGTTTCCCTTTTACCCTTTTCAGTTCTCACCCATTTTGTTCAGACAATTTGACTTCGCCTTATCGCATCGTCTGATGGGTGTCAGACCCACCACAACTCTTGTTTCCAGACCCAAATGGAATGGCTTCTATCAACTACTTATGTATGTTTTGTACTATGTACATCTCCGACTTGGATCTGTCTCGTGGGGTCTCCAGCGTAGCCTGACACCCCATCTCAGTCAGTCCGGGGACCACCTAGAGGGTTGACTCAAATTCCCCGACCCGGGTTAGTAGGGTTACCACCGGGTGATTGGGTGTCCCCAGGGTGAAAGAGGCAACCACAGGACAGCATGAACCAGGCCAAATGGCAATCCACCAATGAACCACACCCATGCGGCTCTCAAACTAGAAGCGAACTGAATTGACAGACGAAAAGAACCGGGGAGCGCCATTGGGGAGATCGGGCTCCCTCTGCCCATGGCCCATCTGGACTTTGCAATGATCGACTCCCGCTAGCTTCAAGACAGACTAGTGACTTGACAATCCATGACTCGTTACCCTCGCGAACTCCACCCTTCAGCATGGACCGCCTGCTCAATGGTGAATGGTGAATGGTCTGCCACGGGCCCCGCCCGCGTTCGCCCGGATGCCATCTGTCGCGTGCGATTGGGCCCAGTAGTTTGGGGTCTCATTTTCCTTTCATTAGCCTGTCACTCTCCACTAAACCAATCACCACGCGTAGATGGATTTGTCAAACCCATGCCTGCCGAGATGGCTTGTTCTTGTGGGGAAGCTAGATGTGGCCCCCGGGATCGTCGTCGATGAGGTGTTTGCTCGATCGCTGGTTCTCCGTTGGTTTTGACTCTTCTGCTGTCTCCATAGGGAAAATTGTGTATGGAGTATGTAACTCTGTACTGTAGGCTTGAGGGAAGATAATGTTGGGATGCATTTTCCTTCGTTTTTTGATCCTTCTATGTTCTTCGGCCATGTCTTCCGACAGCCCAAGGGAATGAAGCTCTTGACGTTTGATTTGATAGGATCCCCTGAACGGGACTCGCTCACCATGACCCAGTTCCCCGGGATTTTCAAAGAAAGCCCACGGTCATTGTCACAACAGACAACGGAAAATTTGTCCTTCATTCTCCCACCCTCAACCCTGTCATCTTCTCGTGTTCTAATCCATTGTAATGTAACGCTGTCAGATAAATGCGATCAACAATGCGTTGTACAGTATGTACTTGATTCAAAGCATAGTAGGATTCCGCCAACGAGCGCCCAAAACAAAGACCCCAGGCCTGCTGGTCGCACACCCAAGAGCCGCCGTCGAATCAGCGGCCCCCATTGGCGAGAGGACAAAGAGCGCCAAGTTCGCAACCCAGCAAATGTACACGGACTTGCCGATGCCTCAAATTTAGGGGACGAATGATCCTCATCGAGGACTAGTGATGATATTAATTAAGGAGATTTTTTAACTTTTGACAGCAATTAATATTTCCCCCTCCATTTCGGGGTTGCCGTAGCTATTATTTACTGTAGTTGGTTGACTTTGTTGGTTAACCATGGCACTATTGGCAATGATGGGGGCGCCTCTCCCGTGCAATTTGATCGATCGTCGTTGCTTGACAGCGGAGGTTTTATTTTATGACTGGAGTCCGAGGAATTCTTTTCCGGTGGATTCAGTTGTGATGGCGCGTGTCAGTGTCAATATCGACCCGCGTGCAAAAGTTAGTACTCCGTACTCCGTAGACTATCCGGACTTGTTGTGAGGCTATTGATTGTTAATCTGACAAATTTTGACACATTGGCGCCGGCGATATCCATCTAGGCTGGGCCCGCGAGATGATCCCTGCACGACTTTTATGTTTGATGGGATCTCCATAGTGTCAGTAGTTACTGTACGTATATCCGTAGTTGAGTGCTTACAGTAGTTATTTCTCACCCCCCTTTTCTTCCAGAGGAAGTGATAGACACGGTCGGAATTCAACAGATTAATCCGACGGCCGACCCGAGTCATTCAGAGCTTCGAAACCTTGAAACACTAGAACTGAGATCCTGCTCGCTAACTAGTTTGTTAGTTTATGGATCAATTAATCTATTCTGCGGTGTGCTATGCGATCTATCGTGTCTGTCCTCCCGCGCCCGGTCCACACTATTGGGGATGGACCATGCAGGTACTCTTCCTGGCATAGGGTGGTGATCTCATCATTGGCTCATTGGGGACGCTGGGGAATAATGCAATGATAATGAACCTTGAATCTTCCTTTCTGTCAATTGTCTACGTATGTACATCACGGAGCGCATATACTTAGGAGTATACTCCGTACTTGCATGGAAGTGCTGTCGGCTAGATTCTTGTAGGAGGGATTCCCCGGGATCAACTCGCGTGCAAAGGGCCCGTGGGACTGGGGCGGGTATGTACGAGTACTGTACCTCGTAGGGCAGAACCAAGGAATACACGCCATTTCTGCTCGATTATTACGATATCTTGAGGAATGAAGGCCTATAAGCCTATAAGGTGACGAAGCCAGGCAGGTGGGTGTGGATTTACCACGCTGTCAGTACGGAGTAGTCAGAACTCAAAGGGGGAAATCAGCGAGAGAATTGGTGGTGTAAAGGCGTAAAGAGAGCGGGGGGCCTAAGGAGGCTGAGTTGGCTCCATTCCAGACGCCAGACAGAAGAGTAGGGAGTCTATGGACTCGGGAGAATGACATAGCGAGGGTATCACTGTTGTTTTCAGGAGATTAGGAACGAGTAGGAGAATATGATCTTCCCGACCGAACTGGATCTTTGTCGCCAGGGAGAACGACGTGGCTGACGATGTGAAAATGAAAACATCGATGGTCTCCGAGCATGCACGATAGTTATTCAGGGTGCAGGTATGAAGTACGATTTAATATGCTATGACGTTGAGATGTCAATATCTACAGTTTTTAAATTTGCTAGTCGATGCTAATCATTATCACTGCTCAAAGTGTACGGAGCAGTCTTCCGTATAGAAGAACATAGTTCTGCAACCATGACCACTATCAAGCCGAGGCTCAGCCCTGTCGTCACGAACCAAAACTATCCTACGCTAAGCCGGGGGGCTTGGAGTCTTTGGGTTGGAACTATGTACTTTAACAAGTAGGTTCTAGGTGCTCACAGGCTTGCAGGCTGACAGACTCACAGCCCCAGCAGCCTGAGTGGTACAGGTATGGTCATGGTAATTTAGGAGTTACTGACGAGCAGAGACACTAAACTCCTTTAGGATGGTTTGTTTGGTTCATCGTTAATCTGTTGATCTGATTGATGATTATTTTGATTTTCTCTTCCCCATCCTTGTTAGTTGTTAGCTCCATTTATTTTTTTTTTGATTTTCGAATTTCTTTGATTAGGATTATTATTTCCCATGATTATTCGACTCCATAATCCTATTTTCTCTATATTCTATTTTTTTTTTTAGTTTACACTCATTCTCACTGAGGATTTCTCTTTTTCTGATTTATTTTTTTCACCCTTCCTTCCCCCCCCAAACGAGACACTGCACTAGAATTTCCGACTATAACACCAAATGGCGTAGGGCGCATTTCCCAGCGATGCCACTATAATATTCTTGCCCTGCCCCCCTTCCGCCTCTTCTGACCGCATGACAGATCGCTCCCACTGGCTACAACTCGTCTTCTCTCAATGATCGAGTGCGGTCTGCAACAGAGTTGATTATCAAGGTTCTGCTTCGGTCTTGCGCTTCCCAAGTCTCCTCTTCCCCAGCCTAGTCCAGACTCCTACTTCCTTCCCCTCGGCCCTGCCGAAGCTCCCCGGTTGTATATAAATTCCCCGCCGCGCCTGGTTTCTGCCTCACAACACCATTTCTCCCTGCATCACGGCGATTATTCCACGCTTCCGAATACTCCAGAAGGATTCCCGATCAGGATTTGCAGATTCTCGGATTCCTCATTACCTCGTTGCTTCTTCCCTTCCCCCTTGTGATCCCATTCCACCAACCCTCCGGAGCTGCAACCTGAATGCCACCTATACCCGCTGCCTGCCTTGTCAAAGTCCCCTTGCAGCCTCACCCGGGTTCACTCTTCGACAAGTTGCCTGCTGCTTCAAGTTCCGAGGTTCGCACGTTGGGGTTCAACGGGCCGCAATCGAAACCTTATCGCTGGTAAGTTCTTTCAATTCCTGGAATGCGGCGCTTTTGCACACATGGAAAGCATTACTCCGAAGGCAAATATGAAGAAGCATTGAAAAGGACGCCCATCTGACTTTGATCTTCGTTTTAACTAGAGCCTCAAAAAGTCTCCGAGATTTTGTCTACAAAAACAAGAACACAGATCTACATGTCGACTCAGTTCGCCGACTCGGACTTTGTACTCTTCCCGCAGAACATCAACAACACCACCCATCGATCCAAGATGCTCGCTGTCGAGGCCGCCAGACCCAAGCAATCCGCATACTTCCAGCCCATGGCTATGGACCCTAACTTGCTCGACATGTTCTCGTATCCCATGGACGTGTCCCCATACCCCCACACCCAATCCCACACCGACTTCTCCCGCCTCCCACAATCATATTTCGAGGCCTCGTCCGTGTTTGCCGAGTCCGACTTTCACCAAACCTCAACTTTCCCTTCTATGCCCGCGACGCCTCCATCAATTGCTGCGTCGCACTCCACTGAACACATAATTCCTACCGGCTCTGCCGCCTCCGGGCCCTCAATTGCGAGTGCGCCTTCGTCTGCGCTTGGATCTCCGTACTCGGGGAATGCGCAAGTCGTTCAGGATAATTGGATGAACACGAATCACGGTCTCGGACTACCTGCCGCCGTCATGAATGATTTGTTTGCCAATGATTATAGCCATATGGGTGGCTCTGTCGATATGGACGGCCTTTATCAGGAAAAGTTCCCAGACACCTTTGTCGGTATGTCGATCCGAGATTTGGAATTCCAAATTCCAGAATGCTTGAAAATCATATACTAATGCAACATCCAGACCCTTCTCTCATCCAGCCAGTCCAATCCGGCCCTGGCTTTACTCCCACCATCTCCTACCCCGATCAATCAACATATGCCTATCCTACCGCTCCTATGAATTTCACGCCCCACTCTCCTGCCGGCTCTCCGGTGCCCTACAGCGACAACTTCGAGACGCAACGGGCATCACCACTCTTGGTGCCGGGAACCTCACACTCACGACCGGTCTCGGTCTACGGCCGCCGTTCATCCATCTCCTCTATTCAATCCCGTCGCTCCCAGCGCAGTCCCGCGCTCAGCAGCATTGAGGCCGACGACGAGGTCCACCAAAAGGGCCGCTGCCCCCACCCGGACTGTGGCCGCGTCTTCAAGGACCTCAAGGCTCACATGCTCACTCACCAGTCTGAACGACCAGAGAAGTGCCCGATCACGACTTGCGAGTACCACACCAAGGGGTTCGCACGCAAGTATGATAAAAACCGCCACACATTGACCCACTACAAGGGTACAATGGTCTGCGGTTTCTGCCCTGGCTCTGGCTCCCCCGCTGAGAAGAGCTTCAACCGCGCGGACGTCTTTAAGCGCCACCTCACCTCGGTGCACGGCGTCGAGCAAACACCGCCCAACTGCCGCAAGCGAAGCCCCACTGGCTCAACTCAGAAGGGCATGAACTACGGCAGCGACGCTACTGGCAAGTGTTCCACTTGCTCGGCGACCTTCAGCAACGCCCAGGACTTCTATGAGCACTTGGACGACTGTGTGCTGCGTGTGGTGCAGCAGGAAGAACCCTCTGAAGCAATCAACCAACAACGATTGGCCGAAGTCGCCGCTGACGAGGAGGTGCAAAAGACGATGGAGAAACACCAATTGCTGGACGTGGCTGGTCCCGTCGACTCCCTTGACGAAAATGACTCTCACGACGATGACGATTCCCACGACCTCTCCTCCTCCTGGCGCGCCGGTCGCGGCGCTCCCAAATCCACAAAAGCCTCCGGCTCCTCCTCAAGGCCTATCATCGGCTCGGGCAATGCCATTTCAAAATCCGGCGCTGGGCCAGCGGCCAAGAATGGTGGCCGCGCGGTTGCTACGCGCCGCCGCAATAACCGCGGTAATTACCCGCAGTCTTGGGGGTGCCCCAACTCCAGCATGAAGACTAAGAAGCGCGTGCTGTGTGTGTTTGATGGTCAGCGCCGGCTGTGGAAGGACGAGATGATGCTCAATAATGAATTTGAGGTTCGTCTGCGTCTTCCTGGTGGGCCTGGCGATGGAACTCATCGTGATGCTTATGTCACGGATCTCGATGTTGAGACCATGAAGCGCGCCGAGGGTGTCCACAGTGCCAATGAGGAGGAGCGGGGCCCCTGGATTGAGGGTCCTGTTTCCCACCTTATGGGCCAGCCGGCCATGTTGTTGCCGGATATGTGCCCGCCGCAAGATGATGAGATTTCCTTGAATGAACTCATGGCTTGATCGGGCTGTTCCTCCTCCCACCCATATACTCCTCCTACTCCTCTCACAGCACTCTTCTCCCCTCCCCTCCTCTCTCCCCTTTATATCCGTTTCCTTTTGTCCTTTCTTTTGTTTCCATGCCTCATGTTTCCGTATACCAGCGAGCGGCGTCTGACAAATAATTTGTCTGAATGTGGATTTACGGGTTGATACCTTTGGCTTTCGATGAGTTCGATATGATTTTTGAGGCTTTTCACATTTTTCGACTTTTTATTACTTCCATCTTTGTCTTTTTACCCTATACCGACCCGATTCCTGCTGGCACAGGTGATGATGGGCGGATGGGTGAGACTGGAAATATTTCAAAACAAATAATTGAATTAAATGAGAGAATGCTCATGATTATACGGCTTCCATATTCCAGTAGAGTCTAAATCTTCTACATCGGTTTCATAAGTTGAAACCCTCGACAATTTTCTAAATCATCCTAGCACTCATCAGTTGAACGGCATCTGTGCCGTCAGGAAAGTCAGGAAAGATGATTCGAAAGACAATTAGAAAGACCTTTTTAAAGAAGTTTAGAAAGACCTTTCAAAAAAGAGTGATCGAAGCATATCTACACCTAGCCTGGCCGGGTCTAGTCCCGGGCTGCTTTTACTTGCTCTTTGAGATTGCCGTCGATTTTCTTGGGATCATGGGCAACTACCAACCATTCGGCTAAGAGCCACCTACAACCATACAGTCGTCCACGCCGGTGGAAAAGCCAAGCCAGGCGCCCAAATCCAACAAAAAGCGAAAATACATTCCTCCGGTCGGTGCTGAAATGCTCGAGCCTCTGATCCGCTTTTCGGACATTAACGCCGACATCCAAAGCAATGGTCCTGGCGTCCGCTGCCATGCAGCCCAGCAACTGACCACATTGTTGCCTTTGATGCACCAAATCGCGTTCTCGCAAAATCCAAGCACTATCCATTATGTGGCTCGGGAGTTTAAGGACCTCCCAGAGGCCCTATTTTGGGTACAGTTCTCCTCCAGATAATCGACTTCAAAGCAACATACGATCTCTCTTTTTTGAAAGGTCTTTTTAAATGTCTTTCTAAATTTCTTTCTAAATTTCTTTCGTCATAACACAAAAGTCCCTAGGATCGACCACAGCTCTAGCAATATATCGCCTCTCCTATGACATTGACAGTGTCATTGAACGACTCCGAAACTCAGAATATACCAAAACTGACGTTTCGGAAGCTTCCGTGCGTGTTGTCGTTGAGCGGATGATCCTCGACCGGCTTCATCACCTTCCTGATTAAAGAACCTCCTGAGCAACCCCGCGAGAATTGACGCTATTAACGGGGAAACCTCAATCGCGTCCGCGAGCATTTTGTCAATCCACGCGATGATTGTGTTTTTGTCGCGACGCCAATCATGCCATAGAAGAGACAAATCTTAAGTTCGAGTCCATGAACCAGAGCTGATACTGAGAGCCGTCCGTCGTGATCCCAAAACATAGGCATGGGGTTTTCGTTTTCTGGCCCACTAGTCTTGTATAGCTGCGTAAAGCTGGAAGATCTTTAGAAAGACCTTGATTAGGAAGATGTTTAGAAAGATGTTTAGAAAGCTGTTTAGAAAGACTTCCCAGAAAGACTTCCCAGAAAGAGTGCTTGAAGCATGTCTAGTTAGGCTTTCTTACTGGTTTTAGGCTCAGAACTTTGAACTGTCACTGTAGCGTCTCCACACTATTATAAATTTGTACAGTATAACATATCCCCAATCACGAGCTAGTATTACTAGTAGTATATAGGAGGGAGTTTTCCATAGAAAAGATGGGTTGTCTCCTTGGTTGGATATTTTATCCGGGCCTTCCATGGTGGCTGGTGCCATCCATCACCGCCTTCGTTATCGCTGCTCCCCGCACATCCCCGGACCTTCGGTCACTTCTTCCTCCAATTCCAATCTCACTCTACCAGCCATGCAATTAGGACTCTCCGAGAACCTGTCTGCGCTGGTCGCACGGCGGTTCGCCGCCGCCAAAGATGGTGGACATCTCATCTTTTCGTCCACGCATCTATCAATCATCACCACAGCAGGAATTCCAGTATGTCCTGCAATCCCCAAGTCTCCCCCAATCCCAGAAACACATCTCTAATACTAAACCAAACATATAGTACCAGCTCCGCTACTGCCCTGCTCTTGCCATGAAGCCCAAAGATCTCAAACAAAATCCGTCCCCAGGCCCGAAACCTCCAAAAATAGACCCCTTTGAGAACCCATCCCCAGATCTCCTCCTCGCAAGCTTCCCCCCACAAAATCCAACCCACGCCCTCGTCCTCAACAAATTCCCCGTGATCCCAAATCACTTTATCCTCGCCACAAAAGCCTGGAAAGCACAAACAGATATCCTCGAGACAGCCGACCTCGAAGCAACATACGAATGCCTCCGCGCCTGGGGCGACAATCCCTTCTCCACAGGATTAAGTAGCCCAAACCCAAGCTCAGCCAACAGCACCAACCGCCTATTCGCATTCTTCAATTCCGGCGAAGACAGTGGTGCCAGCCAACCGCATCGACACCTCCAATTCCTTCCCGTCGAAGCAATGCACCAACCAGGCACCGAATCCTGGTCCCCCCTCATCGACCTCGTCACAGCTCAACCACAACAGAACCCCTCAACCTTCCAATCCCACCCCTCCCTGCCCTTCGCACACTTCGCCCTCCCACTCCCATCAAACCCAAGCCCGGAAACCCTCCATGCGATCTACATCGCGCTCTACCGCGCCGCCGTAGCCGCCGCACAAGGCCGAGACGCTAGCCACGGCGTCCAGTCTATCCCCACCCACGGCCCGTCTGCTATAAGCTATAACCTAGCTATGACGCTAGAGACGATGATGATTGCCCCGCGCATCGCGGAAACAGCCCGGGTGCCGGTTGATACTGCCATTGAGGGTGATATTGTGGACCATGGTGTTGTTTCGCTGAATGGGACCATTTTGGCGGGGACGTTGATGGTTAAGGCGCAGGGGGAGTGGGATGTTTTGAGGACGAAGCCGGAGGTTTTGGGGAGGTTGTTGAGGGATGTGGGTGTGTCGGGGGTGGGGATGGGGCAGGCTTCGTTGTAGGGAGATGGGTATGAACGTGGGGGTTTTGTATATTCGTGAAGGGGTAGTCGGCATTTCATGGTGTTTTTGGACATATGAAGGTTTGATTTTTGCTCTGTTTTTGAATATACAGTAGGTAGGTACTTAACGGAACACTCGATCTTATTGGGAGCTTTGATAATCACAGCTTATTGAAGCTCCTATCGAGTACAGCAAATGATAAAAAAAAAAAAATCAAACACCGAACCAAACAAACCGAGAAAGGTTTAACTCATGACCAGAACCCCCTTCAATACAAGACGCCATAGACAAAACCTCGTGAAAAACTCCAGCCTAGCAGTACACCTGCTTAGATCTTAATCCCATGAATATCACACCACTTCTTCTTACACGTCGCATTCCCAAACTGATAAGATCCCCCATGACTCCAGATATACTGCGCAACCTTCTTCCATGATACCTTGGGCGGCTGTCCAGCCATAGCCATGGCCATGTTTGCTTGTGCGAGGGATGTATACCCCGTAGTAGACGGTGGAACCGGCCCCGAGCAGATAGCTACTGCTTCGCATAGGAGTTGGATCTATATTCTCGTAAAGAGCGAGTCAGCACCTGTCTCTGATAATACTTTTTGGGGATACTCACGTCTCGCTTAAGCCATTTCGGTTTCCGCACCCGTTGCTCTTTAGCCTTGGTGAGAGTTCGGAATCGTCCGCGCAAGGTTGACTCGGCTTCTTTGAAGCCGCCCATGCGCTTGATATCTTTGTAGGATATTCCGGCGCGCTTCCATTCAATGAGGAGCGCATTGCGCGCGTCACTGTAGTGGAGACTCGCTTTTATGGCTGGGCTCTCGGGTTGGAGCTGTGCGGGCGCCGGGTGGATGGTTGAAGAGCTTGGGGCAGGGAATGAGGTGTTGCATCTTGTCATGGAAGGTAGACCGGTGTAGGTTGGTAGATTGTTGGAATGATGGGGTTGGAAGGTTCCCATAGCTAGAGGTGTGGTTGAGAGGTGGTCTGACTCGCCTGGCATTGAGGTAGATGAGGGTAGAGTGGTGTGGTTGTCATGAGTTGATAGTAGATTGGTGTGGGTGAAGTTGTAGGGAGTTATGAGCTGAGTGTCCGGGCAGCTGAGATCCATATTTTCGGATGTCGGCCACGACAAGGGTGTCATAGTTGAATGAACTGGCCATTCTTGCCTGTATGAGTGATATTGGGTATTCCAAGATTCGGCTTCAGTGCCCATTGACCAATGGAGTGAAGAGGGGAGGCTGTTATTTCCTGCCAGAGTATCTGCAATGAACGGCGTATCCTGGGACTGAGGTATAATGATCCTGCTGGGAGGATGGACCATAGAAGAATTGTCCACCAGAGGCAGACCGTTTGGAATGGGCTCTTCTTTCGGGACATCCATGAAATCGAACGATGACGAGAGTGATGGTGAACTCTCTGTCCCAGAGCCGAAGGACGGAGGAGTCTTGGAGGGCCAGTTGAGTTCCGTTCTAGCCATGGACTGAAGGAATTCGTGAGATCCGTCAATCTTTGTACTGGCGAGTGCGCTTTCGGGTAACTCGAAAGAGTCAAGTGGAAATTGGCTGCCTGACGACATTCCACCGCTAGAGTGGGTTGTCTTCATGGCGGGAGCCGTTAAAGTGTATGCATTCGACATGAGGTTGGTTTGAAAAGATGATGGACTTGTGGAAGATTCATGACGAAAAAAGCCTTCTCTATTGCCATTGTTATGGCACATAGATACTTGTATAGAGGTCATGTTGGAATCAGTTGGAGTGGAAGAAATGCACTGTGTATGAGTCTCTGTAATCCCAGGCTTTTGCGAAGGTAATTGGCGTCGTTGATGGTGGTGCTGGCGGTTTGCAAAGTGTATAGTGGAATTGTAATTGCCAGTAGATCGCATCAGGGAATCATCAATGAAGAGGGAATTGTCTAGGTTTAGATGGGACAACAGCTCTTTGGACCCAAGCCCAGATTTCAGCGCAGGGGTCTCTTTTTGCTGAGCAAGCCATGGCCCCGTAACCCCAGGACTGACCAGCACATCAATCATGTTCAATTGTATGAAGGCCAAAATCTGGCAGAGATACGGCCTTTCCAGGGTTCTCCCCGTGGTTCACCGCAGTTACTGGCTTGGTTGTACACGGGTTGTCGCGGCGTGTAGACTACCGTGGACCTGTGGGCCCTCTTTTGATGTCTTTGAATGCAGAATCGTCAGTGCACAACGGTTAGGCCGCGAGAAAGCTAGAGACACCTGCAATGCTAACGTTTATATGAGCTTGATTATTCGTTTTCTCGGAGATATTGCCAAACTTTATGCTCTTGATCCACTCACATTGCCGATAAACGCCTCAATCTTTGGCAATTGGTCTGTGAACACTTGCAGATGTCGAATAATACGAGCGTGGCAATCTGGGTGAACAAAGTTCTCACCGCAGGTTCGGATCCTGGATGATGGGCGCTCTGGAGTGGCGGCTGGACCGTTGAATGCAATGCTGTCTCAGATCTGTCGGCAATTTGTGTGTTGATGTTGATCGATATGCAAGACAGTGGCTATGACTTGAATGGAGCGCTCAATGCTGCTTGAAATCCTGTACTGGCGAATGGAATGACAGGAGTACTCAATATAGATGACTGGAAAATGATAAGGAGTACCTGCCTGTCCCTGCTTTAATAGTATAGCAGATAACCCCTTTTGCCATTAACTGGAGCGATATGGATGACATCCCCGGCCTTGATATCGCGGTAAGCTCGTTTCATCCCCGCGGCCCGGTCCGTCTACCGTTGGAAATACTCCGGGGCGGAGACCGTTATGGACAACAAAGATCTAGCAGAATAGAGGCGACTGGCATGTACACTTGCTGCCGAAATGAATCCTGACCCTAGCCAGGACGAAAATCCCAGGAGGTTTAGATCGACTGCCGCGGAGATCCACTTGCCGCTCGTTTCAGATATCTCCTCTTGTTTTGCTGCAATGTCTTGTTTGAACCTCGATCTCGGAATGGACTTGTGCCAGTGTCTGAGTTCTGGTGAGACAACTAGATGGGTTGGGGACTGGGGGGAGTTTTATCTTCGACGGGGTTGGCATGAAAGGTCTTATCGAGCTCTCGTCTGCCGGCTACGCCTACTATCAAGTCTTAGTTTCACTAGGTATTGACCTGCTGTCTGTTGCAGAATGCAATCGGGTACTTTTTGGTACATGGTTTACTAGATGGTGCTAATCTCCAGTTGGACTATAACAGCCCCAACCCCTGGAGCCTGTAATTAAGCTCTTGGACCTGAACCAGGTCAACACGAACCATGTTGAACTGTCAGCCATTACTATCATTAAAAGGAACTCACTGATCATAGTTCACCTAAAGAACCATCTTTTGACACAGGTGTGGGCAGGTTGACAATGTCCCCTCCTGCACGGAGAGCCGCATAGGGCTCGCTAGAGAGGCTCTCCGCCACCCGATCCAATCAGAAACAGGAAGATTGACCCAATCGGGGTCATCTATCAAAAACATTGAAGATAGGGGCAATCCGACCTCTAATCTCAAACCTGGTCCCCCACATGATATTTTGAAGCCGGAAGTGACCTGTCTATTCCGGGGATGCGATTTACCGAATAGGCGAAAAGGCGGGTTTTATTTACCCAAAAGACCTAGGTATGTATGCATCAATCAAATGAAAAGAGCCCGGATGATATTCTCACCTTTTATGGCTATGCTATACCTATTTCTTCCGGTGGTGTTCTCGGCAAATCATGCCATAAGTCGACAAGAGGTGAAAGGAATGGCGAAGCTCGACTATGTGACCACACAGATCCCCGGGAGACCTACTTTGACCCCGGACTAACACATCCCAGCGATTGGCCCTGTTTCAAAGAAGCTTCTTTTGTGAACTTGGGATGGGCTGGGTGGCGTTGGAACCGGCATAATAGAGAACCGGCCCAGGTTGATGCGAACGCCCAACGGCCAAGGTCTATATTCTGCCCAAGGGATGACAGCTCAGCGCGCCGAAGCTCAATGGACATTTTACTTCTAATCCACGGATTAGTTCTGCATCCCTCTTTAAATTTTGAAGTAGGAATATGATTCTCTTCTGTTGTACGTACCGTAACTGACCTACCGCAACTGAGGTGGATCTTGAGATGAGAGTTTCGACCGCATGTGCAGATCAGTAGTGTGTCATTCTTCCTACTTTCCCAATGGCTTGGAGACGCTACGTGTTGTGATTTACCCCCATCCAAAACAAAGCTGGGTTATTTTGCCAAGAGCTCCTCCAGAAATCGGGCAGTAGATAATTTTCAGGATGGTTGGCCAAGGCAGGCGAGAGGAGGAAAGTGGAACGCTTGACATGCGGAGGTAAAATATGGCAAGGCTTCCTCGGAAGATAGACGTAAATTTAGCTTGAATCTGAGATTCAAGGCGATGAGAAGGAGCCGCCACTAAAATTAAAGCATTGTGTCCGGTTTCCAGGTTGAGGTGGGAGCACATCCAATCTATCAGGTCGATCTGAGACCACTTCAAGTTTACGGTAACACAGACCCATGATAAAGGTTGTGGAGAAAGGAGGTCTGATGCAAAACTACAGGCTTTTGCCTCTCAGGTTTCTTAGCTCTAGGGCTTGCTGCATACCCTGCATCATATACTGACCCTCCTATGGTCTGTAAAGATGGGCCGTTATGGATAGCTAGCCAGCCAATTATTTCAGAGCCTAAGCTCAGCGAGCTTTTCTCCCTACTGGAGTTCGGTACATAAATCACCATCTATTTCAATAGGACAATATGACAAGACAGTAGAGCTCAACCCATCTTTTCAATCTTTGTTCAAGGACCATCTAACTCATTCCCTCTCGCTGTTAATACAAGACGTTTCTACAGTAAACCCGTAGGTCACATCTTAGGAAACACATACAAAATACCCAGAGTCAAATGAGATGAATAGCATCATCGGACAACTATGGGGAAGGATAATGAACCGGGCTAGCCCCGCATGGGCCCAGCTCTCCAGCGTGTTGACAGCTCTCCCTCTCCGTCATCATCCGCGAGACAGACTCGCCTGGACCTGTCTTTCCAGCAGGAATCGGCTCTATTTCCACCATCCCCGGTGCAGATGCACGACACTCAAGTTCGGTGCTGCTTCTCCCGTTCCGTCGGCCCGCTGCATCTCTCCGGGATGCGAAATGGTCCAAAAGTCGGTCAGCCAGGAGCACTTGAGCCAATCAGATTTCATATCAAACAACAGACAAGGGGAATGAAACTGACCACATAGAAGCGTCAAAGTGAATGCATAAAGAATGATGGGCGAAGTCATGAACGAATAAGCCAATGGAAAGTGGCTGGCGAATGAGACAAGACTGGCGAGCGATGTTGCGAGGACTATGCGCACAGTCGTCGAAATGTTCCGATGGAAATGGATTTCATGACGGCGACAGAGCACTTGAAAAGCGGCAAGGAGGCCCATGGAAATACTGGCCACCACGAAGAAATAGATATACACGAAGGCTAAGAGTTTCATGTACATCTCAAGCAGTTGTTGGTTGGTGAGCAGATTGATGTCGGCCTTTTTACCAGGTAAAATATCCATGCTCGAGAAAAGGGCCGCTGTGACGTTGCCTGTGAGATCATTGAACAAGTCTGCGGTGTACTCATAGTCCAAGGTTTCACGATTTGGACACAGAGGCTGTAGGGCCAGAGATTCCAGGAGACTCGAAATCGAGGCCCATTCTTGCGAAGCCCCTTTGCTGAACGGGATCTCCATATCGTCGATCGTGCTTCGAATCAGCGCCACCGCCCTGTCGGTGCTAGGACGTGGTGGTTCGCACACAAATAGAAGCGTCTCTCCCAGATACTTCAGTTTCAATGTTACATCTAGAGTCAACGCCAGAATCTGTGACCCTTCAAGAAGCAGAATGAGCACCACGTGAAACGGGAAGTGTAACTGAGCCCAAAGCTGCTGCTTGAACTTCCTGAGCTGGCCACGAGGCGAGACGTCGAAGTAAACCTGCCAGATAACATACTATCTCCAGTCAGCCATCAGCCAACGAAGACCACACACACGATGTAAACCTCACCACATTCGTTGTCACTCCCAAAATGTGAACAAACGACCATTTGGTCCATCCACCGGGCCGTACAGTCTTGTTGACAATACGAGTGATAGCAATGACACCCTCTCCGATGATGATCAGCGTAAGCAGGCCCATTCGGGTATTGAGGTGGGTATCTTTGAACCCAAGATCCGGGTACATCAAGGATAGCCCCGTAACCGTCCACATTTCAACACCAAAAAGAACAAACCAAACGGTCCAGATCCGAGCACGAAACCCATAGCTGCCGGAAAATGCAAGATACATCTGCCGAATGAATGAGTATGTTGATCAAATTTCCAAAGTGTGTGTCATAAAAGGGGTACGAGGATACATACCACGATATAAAAGACTGTTGTCACCCAAAAAACAAGGGCCGTATAAGCAACGCCCCTAGCTGCATGTTTCATGGAGGAGCGAAGGAAGAAAACGTTGACTGTGTACTGGATGGCTAATAGCGCGCGACTCCCGGCCAAGATTAGGGTGAGAGATTGGAATGCCCATGCATTCTCCTCACGAACGGTCGTGCTGAATCTCGACCCCGCTGATGCAAAGCCAACCATCGCGCCAAGCTGAATCGCCTTGCATGACCGCTCAAAGACAGAGTCTCGGGCAAATCGGACATCGAAGAGAGTGACTTGTAGCCAAGTAAACCAGATAACAGCAAGGAATCCGATGTATGCACACAAAGCTGAGAATCAATCAGCATCTGTCTCGAGCGAGCACTGAACTCCCAGAACGTACCATTGACGTTATTGATATGATGGGTAGCGGTAAATGTCGAGAGGTTGGCCACAAAAAATAGGTCAAAGAAGAGTTCGATTGGCGTGGCGTCCGAGTGTCGGTAAAAATGGTGGCCATCTTCCGCTTGATTGATTGGGCTAGCAATCCAAGGCAAGCCGCGATATTGTGTGCTGCATGAATGTCAGTGTCCCACTCGTCGGTAAGCAGGGAGATAACTTACGGTGCATGCTTCTCCAGATCCGAGACCCTATAAGACTGACGGAAAATGGAAAGGAATCGAGGCGGTGCCATATTGGATAAGAAATTGATTTCTTAAAGAAGACAAGTAAAGAACATGGGGTATCAAAGGACTAGCACTGACTCCGCAAGAGAAAGATACAGAAGAATTTTCAAGAAAAAAGGTCATGATTAAACACCACACACACCACACGGAAGGCACGAAGCATCATGGCTCTTCCGAGCTAGAGTCGGACACTGCCATGGGAGCACCGATGCTTTCTAGGCCACGCTTCACCATCGCACCTTCTGATGCATCAGCGGCAGGGTCAATGCCCGCTTCTTTCTTGAGTCGCTCATAGTTATCACCCGCTTCTTTTATCAAAGCTTGGATTTCTACCTCCCGCATAGCGATCTCTTCCTTTTCCTTACGCAGATCTTCCATTCGGCTGATCATCTGCGTTTTGGACGTCTCCATCGTTGCAAGAGTTGTGCGCAGTCTTTCGAGGCTGCTGGCTAACTTGGGCAATGAAGTCATCTTTGGAGGCGTGCGAGGCCTGTCAATGCCACCAGCTCGGCCGCTACCTATGGCTGCTTTCGTCTGAGCAGCCTCATATGCCGCCTTCTCTTCAATGTCCGAGTCCTCATCATCGGAGAGTGTTTCAGCATCTTCGATGAGCTCGCGCATCGCATCGCGTTGCTTGCGCTGTTGTTCCCGCTCTGCTTTCCGACCGAGAGAGATTTTACCATCTTCCACGTATTCATCGAACCCTTCAGCAAAGTCCTCATCATCGCGAACCAGCCTTGTGTCCACCTCTTTTTCTGGTAGCTTTTCGCCTCGTGCGATCGCGTCCCAATCGTCATCACTGCCAATATTATCCTCAAGAGAAATGAAATCGTCCTCTTTGCCGGAGCCGTGTTCCAATGCTAGCCGTGCGCGCCGGGCCTTCTTTTCGCGAATTTCCGCTTCACTGGGAATGGCAGATGATCCCGAAACGACCATTACTTCTCCAAATTTGGCGGCCACGTCAATCGACCTGTCCTTCTCATCATCCGTGCTGGCTTTTGGGGTGGAGGGTGTCGAATTCTGAAGCTCTTTCAAATATTCGCGGCTATAGCTGGGCCGATCTCGATCGTGACCCACTCGGGCGGAGAGTGTGTCGAGTCCTCCTGACGGTGTCAAGTTGCGTTGAAATGCGCTTCTTTCCATGGCTTTGCGACCCAGGCCATGTCGTTTTGGGAGAACAACCTCGCTTTCCCGGTCCCCATCGTCGGTCATGGAAGTTTCTTCGGCGCCAAACGAGAGATTCAACTTGGATTTGGGTTTGGCCTTTGACTTGACTGGCCGTTTGACAATAGGTTCTGTACACCTGCTAGTTAGCATTTTGGTCCCGAGTAAGGTTGTGCTTCACAGGGCATTCAATTTAGGCAATTTAGACATACCTGGTGCAATACCACTATCCTCCTCCTCTGAGTCATCACCACCGACCTTGCGGGGCTTTCTGCGATTTGCAAACTTCGAGCTCATTGCGCCTGTGCTGTGAAGGAGTGGAAAGTAAAAGAGAAGATATCCCCCACTGTCTGGCGGAAAGGCGAAAGTTGAAGCAAGCTGCCTGAGCTCTTATCGCTCCTATCGGGAACATCCTTTCTCCGGACCCCCAAACCTCCAGAGCAACCGCGATCTTCGAACTCTGCCGAACCGCATAACAGACATCAGCTTGCCCAAGATGCCTCAAGCACAGCCAGAATTGAAGAAGGTAAGTCGCTGGAATCCGAGTCGCCTTGTCTCTCGAACGATATCCGCTAACCAATTTGCGCTTCGCAGTACATGGAGAAGCGGGTCTTCTGCCAACTGAACGGCAACCGCAAAGTCATTGGTATCCTCCGTGGCTACGATGTACGTTCGATCCCCCATTTCATACCCCGTGTCCGAGTCGCAGCGACCCATGTGGCGAATTTCCTCTGTGACCTGGGCAAATTCGGCCCTGGCGAGGCGGCTCACAATGCGCATATGAGATATTGGCAACGGCAGGGCTAACTTCATCTTCGCAGGTCTTCATGAACATTGTCCTTGATGAGGCTTTCGAGGAAAAGGCCGGTGGTGAGAAGGTTTCTATTGGCATGGTGGTATGTGTCAAGTCATTCAGTCCCTTCGGGCATTTGCTAACAGCCTCTCCTACAGGTCATCCGCGGAAACTCGGTGGTCATGCTGGAGGCCCTCGAGCGGATTAACGACAAATAAGCGCATCGCAACAAGCACAATCTACGATCCTGATTTTTCGCAAAAACAACCCACGCGGCTTGGACTGGTGGCTGCGCAAGAGAGAGACCATAATGATACTGGGAGTTTCTGGGCCGGTTGATCATACGGGAACAATCAAAACCTTTTCTGCTTCTTTTTCTACTGATATGCTGAGGCGTCCCTTGGGAACTTGATGCCTGCGAGTGCCTATGAGACAAGGGTCTTCACGATAGAGGGGCTGGCTATTCCAGCGAGATATCTTAGCTTAGCTACCATGAGGACATGTCCGAAATACAAATAAGGTCAAAGGCACAACTGAAGTGGTATTATTTTTGAAATGGTATGCATCGCCCATCGCGCCAGAAGCCATGCTTAGGAGTTCCGTTCTTCCCCCATAACCAACAGACAAAAAGGGCCCACAGAGGAAATAAGAGGTCGAGGTAGAATACATAGTAGGTAAGTGTAAATGGGGAGAAAGAGGGGATCATTTCTTTTGCCCAAACTTGAGCTTCAGCTTGAGCCCACCGCCACTTGCTGGTGTGGAGGGAGTGGCCGAGATTGGTGTACTTGTGGCGGCGTGGGGTACGCTGGCCGGGACGGAGATCTTTGGGAAAGCTGATGGAGTGGATGGAGTGCTGGGGGTGGCGCTCGTCTTGGATTGCTTGAAAGTGATACGCGGAGCAGGGGGCTGCATGCTTTGCTCCTCGCGCTTGCGTTTGGCACTGTCCTTGGACGGTCCAAGACTGGTGCGGACTTGGGTGGATCTGTAGAACCGAAGCTGACCGTGGCCCATGTGCTGGACTTTCCAGAATCGGGGGTATTTTAACCTTGCGATTTTGGATGTCACGGGGTCAAATAGAATGCTGCACACGTCGGTGAGCTCAGAGAGCTCGTGCACTCCGATGGCGGTGGAGTTACACGCAGCCCACATGCAATCACGCAGCGATGCCTCTGTGGACATCTCCCTCTTCAGAGCTTCAATAGCTCCAGGCACCGTTTGTCGGCGTGCAAGATCGGCTTGGCGGACCTCAGTTGTCGATTCCTGCTCGATGATCAGGCCGCCAGTCTGGGCCGGTTCGGCCTGTGCAGGTCGGCCGAATGCGACCTTTGCCAATGCCCGCCCGAAGAGCCGTTGGCAGTGATGACGAACATAGGCCGAGGAGTCACTCGTCATTGTAAAGATGAGCCACCGGAAAAGATCATTATTTTGGGCAATGTCAAGATCAACAAGACATTCAAACGCCTGAATGCGAAGGAGGTCATAAGTTCCAGAACGGGTGTATGGAACGAAGCGCATCAGATCAACTTCCAGAACGTTGGCCTGCATCAGTTGCACCTGGCATTGCAAGGCTGCGCGAGCGTAGAGGTTCTGGAAAGAGCTGGACCATTCGTCCATACGGCGATAACGATCGAACTCGGCGATTGCATCCTTTTCCAGCTGTTCCTCGGCCTGAGCTTCGATGACACGTTCCATATCGAAATGAGACAACTCATCCTCGGGTCGGGGTTCGGTTCTCCCTAGCATTGCATGACAGAGCGAGCGCATCAGAGAAGCTACGTAAAAGTTGTCCGAATACTACAATAATAGTGGATTAGTAACAGCATGGAAAGACAGCAACGATTTGCCTTACCTCGTTATTCGAATTGTCGTTGAACTTGAGCTTGTCGAATAGAAAACGCTTGACCCGCAGAGGGGTCTTGCCACTGTTGTCACGTACTTGCGAAATCGCATCGGGGATCACCTGTTGAAGAATGTAGGCCGCCCGGTCGGAAAAGTCATTCGAGCGTGTCATCGGGGATCCGGGTAAGCAAAAAAGCTCCTGGAATGCCGTTTCCAGATGATGCAATCCGATCCATTCCACCTCATCCTTGGCGTGTTTGATGAGTGCCTTTGCTGCGGTGACGCGAATCCCGTGGAAGTATCGGCTGTCCATGAGTGTGCGTGTGAAAATGGTTGAAATCAGAGGATGCTCTCGCTGGGCCGCCATGTACTGAAGAGACTCGAGTTGGGCAACGACGTCTCGGTCTTGCTGAAGCTGCGACAGATACATGTAACCTGGCATACCGAGAGACAATCTGCAAATCCACTCGAAATCTGCATCCATGCGAATCCACTCATACGACTCTTGCCCCATTCGTTCTTCGTCTTCTTTGGTCCAGTCAGCCAGCCGCCAGGCCTGTGTCTCCTCTTCTGTTTGTAGAACATCACCAAGACAGTACAAGAGGACATCTTCTTGCGTCTCGGCGTCCCCAGAGGCCACTGCACGCTCCCGTTGCTTCTTGTTCCGCTTGAGTCGCTTGTACTTGGTGTTGTATGGAATATCGAATTTTGTGACACCTTCTTTGATCTCGACAATGTGCTCATATGGCGTACCATCAGCCTCGTGGATTCGAATGGTCATTGATCCGGTGAAAACGGGCTGAATCGGCCCAGCATAGACATGTCGAATCTCTTCCTTGACGTCGCGCAGGAAGGCATCCTTTTCAAGGTCCCGGGCGGCTGTTTGCTCAGACTGAACCTGTCTGATCATCATTTCAACTACCAGCTTCTTTTTGTTGAACCGTTGCGTGGCTTGAAACCTTGGGCATCCCGCACCATACACCCACTGTTGGAAGAAGACATCCAACTTTGCATGACCAAATCGTTCACATAACCTTTGAAACATGGGCGACGTTACTGCACCATTAGGAATGTCACCCATGCGTGAGTTGAGGAAAAGCCGAGAGATAATGCGAGACATTGTAGCCTTTCCACTGGCCTTGGTCAACCGACGGTCAAGAATAAATAACACCAAGGGTGCCTTCAGCGCAATGAATCGATATTCTGATGGGTCAATTTTCAAAAAATTGCCCATATCGTAGATCGAAGGGCGCTCGTAGTCCAAATCGCATATTCTGTCTGATGTCTGCTTGAGTCGATAACGATATTCGTTGGTACCGCACAACTTCTTCATGAATGTATCGGTCACAAACCATGCAACACCAACAGTAACCCATGTGTCCGCGGGCTCATTAGGAATGATGTTAATACCACTCCATTGGCATGCCAGAGCATGTACAAGAGCACGTGTTGAGTCGTACATAGGGTCGATGATGTCAGCGGGGAAGAGAAGATGGCTACTGCAGATTGTCATTCCTGCGGTGGGCAAGGTGTCTGTGGCGACATCGTCCACAAAGCACATTTTGTAGCTGGAGAAAGGGTATGAACCATAGGACAATGAGAAGAAATCGATCGCTTGGGCCATAGGAAAGCCGGTGTTTTGCACTTCATCAGCTCTACCGGGAAGACAGAATGCATGCACTGGAATCGCATTCTGTCCCAACTGTTCATCCTGATCACTCTCGCGGAAGTCTGCAAGGTTGACATACTCAAAGGGTCCAACCGCAAAGCCAATCTGCTGGGCAGAAAGAGGGGTGTAGCACGCGAATGATACTGTCTTCCTGGTCGAGTCTTTAGGATCAGTGATATCGTCTGTCAACTCACCGGAGCACACGACAGACATGTCCAATGCCCCATCATCGGCGGAAATGTATCGGTTCTGGACCTTTGAGCGAGAGCTGGAGCTGGTGATCTTCCGCTCAAAGACATCGCCCAGCGATGCAGGGCACGAGATTGAGATCTCCCAGGCACAGCGCGACGACGGGTCATCCACGCAAGGGAACAGCGGGCATCCAACACTTGACTCTGGTGAGTTTGTAGTAAATGCATGCGGATACCGACGATCTCCGCTATCGACGCCAACGAACTGCAGTCCATCCCGAACGCGATCAATGACGAATTCAATATGGACGACAATGGCCGAAAACTGAGGTAGATCACTTTGCGGTGCTTTGCTGTCCGACGGTCCATCGACATCTTCCCCAGCACCTTGCAAGGCGATGCGCTCTCGTGCCTCCGCGGATCGCGAGTCCAACTCTCTGATATGCACACTCTTTGGGATCGGGATCTCCAACTGGGGGTCTAGCGGTGTTTTCAGAAGACCATCGATTTTCTGGGTGAGGCGCTCATGGTACTGGGTCCCGTACAGATGAAGATTTTCATAGGGATCGGTGTATTTCAATGTCGTCGCTTTCCCGTTAACTGTGAGGCGCTTGATTTCACCCTGGCGAAAGTTCAAGTGAATCGTTCGAAGGTCCACGCGGCTTGGATAGAGGGTGATCTCGGTGCTTCCTTTCAGACTTTTGTTCACAAAGTCAATCTCTAGCTCCACCTTCTGTTGGCCAACACTGAAATCGCGTCTGAACAGCGGCGCCGCCGGCACCGCGGGCACCTCGACGACGCCTGGCATCCTGAAAGATCCTCACTGTCGAGCTGCGCAAAGGGCGCTGTGAGGACCACCAAACCTCATGTCCATCCAACGTCAGCACGAGATTGTAGCCGACGAGAAAACGGGTAGGTAGGGGCGGCGATGACGTGAAGAGATGCTATGCGCGCGAGTGAGCTCTGGGCGGACCAGATCAACAATGGGAGGAACCCCTTAGCGGGGGCCGGAACGGAGTCAGGTTGGGGTCCGGCAGCGTAGAGGTCGTGGAAAGTCGCGACTGCAAGGTTTCAGGGTCTGAAACAAGCACGGAAAAAGGTGGACACGAGCGCAACTGGGCGAAGCAGGCGATCTGCGGTGGCCGAGTTAACTTCGGCGGTGGAGCATCCTAGCCTCGCGTTCCATTTGCGGAGGACGGCACGTGATTTACGGGCTGAAAATCCCTCTTTTTGAGACATTCCATCAACTTGTCTTCTCTTAACTATCTTTGGGTTACAGCACATTTTTTTTTTTTTCGCATGTCATAGCCAGCACTGTGACGGTCTTTCTGTCATATTCTCTGTTTTGGGCACGCCTGCCCTCTTGCCGCGGTGTCAATATACTTTCCAACCCCGCTTCAAGGACCCTAAGAGAGCTCACGCGACGCGGTGCCAACTCTCACGATGAGCGCAATTTGGCGGATGGTCCAAGGTGAGTTAATATTGCAGACGATGCGTCGATTTGGTCTCACATTACACCTTACTGACCTGTCATGTTCGCGTTCGCAGAGACCCAAGATTCGCTCTCCGACGATGCCTTGATGCCCCTGAAGTCATACAAGTACTCCAGCATTGACAAATCCTTCATTTCGAATTATATTCTCAGGCACTACGTACGGAAATCCCTCGTGTCCAAATCGCCTCGTTCGGACTATAATAACTGACTTGTTGAATCAAATTGCAGTGGAATGCCTTCGTCGAACTTCTGCCCATGTGGATCGCCCCCAACATGGTGACCCTTCTCGGTTTCATGTTTATTGTCTTCAATGTGTTCCTGATCGAAATTTTCATGCCCGATATGATCGGACCGGTAGGGCTTCACGAATCCCGAGAATCCGAGCCCCCGCTAACTAAGTCATGGTGCAGGGTCCTTGGTGGTTGTACTTTAGTTTCGCCATTGGCGTGTGGATGTGAGTACAGATCTATGGCCTCGGCCCCAGCAACTCAAAACTGACCAGGTACAGGTATTCGACCTTGGACAATGTCGACGGTAAACAGGCACGGAGAACTGGAACTTCCAGCGGGCTGGGAGAGTTGTTTGAGTTCGTACCGCCCTCGGCCTACCCGTGGAAATCTTGCTAACGGAATACACAGTCACGGCATTGATTCGCTGAACTGCACCCTGGCCAGTCTGTTGGAGACTGCTGCCATGGGCTTTGGTGCTTCCCACCTTGGTGCATACACTGCGCTAGTGCCCTGTCTCGCGATGTACTTCTCGACCTGGGAGACTTTCCACACCCACACTTTGTACCTCGGCTATTTCAATGGCCCGACTGAAGGTCTCCTCATTGCCATTAGCATCATGCTTGCCTCTGGCATCTGGGGACCTGAGATTTGGTCGCGCCCCATCACTGACCTCATTGATATCCCGCAGCTTTTCGGTAACAACTCCGTCAAGGATCTCTGGGTTCCAATCCTGCTTGGTGGTTTCTTCCTGGCTCACCTCCCCGGCTGTGTTCTCAATGTCTATGCCGCACGCAAGAAGCAGGGGCTGCCCTTCACTCCTCTGCTGAAGGAGTGGGTTCCTATGATCGCGTTCAGCTTGTGCACCGTCGCCTGGCTGTTCTCCCCCTACTCCTGCCTCCTGACCGAGAACCATCTGGTTCTGTTCTGCTGGACTATCTCTTTCGTGTTCGGCCGTATGACTACCATGATTATTCTGGCCCACCTGCTGCGCCAGCCCTTCCCCTACTGGACTGTCCTGCAGGCCCCTCTCGTCTTTGGTGCTGTCTTGGCCAACTTGCCCCGCATTGGCCTACCAGCTCTGAGCCACTCTCTGGAGGTTTGGTATCTGCGTCTGTACTTCCTCTTCGCCTTGGTAGTGTACATGCACTGGGCTGTCCTGGTCATCAACCGCATCACTACCTTCCTCGGCATCAACTGTCTTACTATCCGCCAGGACAAGTCTGTTGCTCGGGAGCGCGCTTACCGTGAGTTTGGTGACTCCGGTCTGCCACTGGCTGGCAGCTCCCGTAGCTCCCGCAGCTCTCGCCATTCCATTGATTCCGAAGACGATGGCTTGAAGAACCACTAAATTTTGTTCTTGGTTTTTCTCCTCTCTCATCTACAGACAAGGGAGTTCAGGCGTAGAACTGATTGGACAAAATCCCCCTACCGTTCACCTGCGATGCATTGCTCAGCGCCATGCTTCGGATGACACATTTGTCTGTACAGTCCATCTTGTAATTACGACAACATACGGCCCCGCATGATTCCGAGTCTTCCTTTTACTTGGCGGCGCCAACTCATAGCTTGTATTAATAGTTTCATCCCAGATTGTTCATCGGTTACAATGGTGGGCTTCTTACCTTGCACATGTATATACTTATGCGAATCAAAATTTCTGTGCTTTTTTATTCGAGTTCTTCCATTTTCAGACGTGTGTGCAATTAACTATATCTTACTCAAATCCTTCCTGTCTTGAGGCAGGTCATGCGTCCACCTTCAGCTTCTCCCAACGGGATGTCATAACTCTTCCATCCTTCACCACACCGAGAATACTCTGCTCATTCCGATCCAAAATTGTGATATCTTCCAACGGGTTGGCGTTCAAAATCAGCAAGTCTGCCGCAAAGCCTTCACGGATCTGACCAAGTCGATCTTCTTGCATGAGCAGGCGAGCGGCATTAATAGTCGCACTCTGCAGGATCTGAATTGGAGTCAGAACCTTGCTACGGACAGAGAACTCCTTGCTTTGGGCGAAATGCATCGGTCCGAGCAGATCAGTGCCGAAGCAGACAGTGACGCCAGCGTCAACGGCCATTTTCATCGCTCGTAGTCCCTTCTCGAGGACTTCATCGTTCTTGGCCGCACCGTCCTGTGGCAGGAAGTTCATCTGCTTGGACATGACGTGGGCAATGAGTGTGGGCGTCAGGAAAGCCTTCTTCTCCGCCATCAACTGCGCCGTCTCCAAATCGATGAGGTTGCCGTGTTCGATGCCGCGAACACCCAGCTTGATGGCTTGCTGAATGGCTTGGGGCGTATAGCTGTGGGAAGTCACATAGGTGCCAGCATTTTGAGCGACGGTGACTATGGCCTTGATCTCTTCATCGGAAAATTGGACATGGTCGATGCGGTCGGTAGGGCTTGCAACACCACCTCCGCCCATAATCTTGATGAAGTCCGCACCCTTTCGGAGCTCGTCGCGGGCAAATTTGTAGCACTCGGCCGGCCCGTCGACAATCCTGCTAATGCCGGAAATTGAGCCACCGCAGCAGAGTTGATCTTCGTGCGAACTGCGCATATCTCCGTGGCCTCCAGTCTGGGAGAGCGCAAAGCCAGCCATGAAAAGTCGAGGACCTGGAACAACGCCTTCCTCAATGGCCTCCTTCATGGCGAGACTCGCACCGCCACAGTCTCGGATTGAGGTAAATCCACGCTCGAGCATGGTCTTGAGGACGTGTGGCTGGCGGAGAAGACTGATTCGCTCGGTCATATCCTTGTATGCTCGCAGGTCTGCTTCCCCAGGACACACGGCAATATGGACGTGCGAATCGATCAGTCCCGGGCATAAATACTTTCCACTGAGATCGATGATGTCCTCTGAGCCCTCCTTGGCTGTCTCGGAGCCAGTGGTGTCGATCTGGACGATTTTCCCTCCGGACGTCCTGACGGTGGCATTGTGGATCAATTGTCCTTCGACGGGGTCGATGATAGTTGCGTTCACGAAGACTAGAGTCTTCGGAGGTTGCAACTTCCAAGGCTTGATGATTCGAGAAAGATCCATTTTGCCTTAATTGATGTTGTGCAAAGTGCTGATGCGGGATACCGACGATGGACGAGCAGATATATTTCCCTGGGTTCCCCTCAATTATTTAAATCAGGCCCGGTATCACCAGACTGCTTTGAAAGATTTGACCTCGGTTCAACAAGTGGACACGTACGACTCACCAAATTCTCCTTATCAAGAATCAACTCGCCTACTTTGGCGAGATGCAACATTCGAAAGAACATTCAATGCCTTTGCGATCCAGGCGAGCAACGGAGACGATTCTTGTTGCCGATTGAGCCAATCAGCGATCGCTGTGTACCAAGTCCACCAGGGGCAGAGTCTCTCCGATTGGCCGCTTCGGCAACCAAGTGGACGCGAGCCTCCACAGACACGCTAGACTCCTACTTCTCCTTCGATTCTCCCCGCGTTTTCTACCATAACGATGAGGCAAACTGTTGAGACGCGTGACAGGGTATCGGAAGAAATGGCGAACAATAATGCTATAACACGTTCTCATTTCTCATTGGATTATACCTAAACTACCCCATACCCCAACCCATGTGGTTCGTTCTTTGTGGCGCAGACTTTATGATAAAGAGAATCCGCCTCTCAGACATAAATACAAAGAGTTTTTCTTCTACTGCCTACTGAGTTGCGACTTATTACCTTTGTCCTATATTGCCATCATTTGCATCCATTACACACCAAGATGGACGCATCAGAGCATTCGAGGACAGATCAGGACAGGACCCCGATTCCCGACATCTCGCACGTTCCTGACCACACTCAATCCCCGACGGAGAATGCCCCCTTGTTTCAAGAAATCCAACGATACCCCAAAATAGTGGCCTACTCGTTTGGCCTAGCCCTCGCATTCCTTCTCACCGGCTATGACACAGTAATTCTCGGAACCATCACCGCCGTCCCGTACTTCAAAAAAGAATTTGGCGAACGATACAATGGCAGCTACATCATCCCGTCAGCATGGCTATCCGTATGGAGCGCAATAGCACCCATTGGTTCCATGGCCGGTGCAGCCGCAGCAGGCTGGATGCAGGACCGCATTGGACGTCGCTGGTCCCTGGCTTGGAGCTGTGTAATCTGCGCAGTGGGCATCGCGATTGCATTCTGCTCTTACTTACCCACGGCAATGGACTCTCGTCGGAGTGCCTTCCTTGTTGGAAGATTGATTCAGGGATGGGGAGTTGGTGGTGCTATGGCTGGTGCTCAGACGTATTTGTCGGAGACGGTCCCGACGAGTCTGCGTGGCTCTGCAATGGCTCTTTCGCCGACTTTTATGTTGTTGGGAGAACTCATTGGGGCCACCGTGATTTTTGCTTGTGAGAAGAAGACCTCGATGGCTGCGTATCTCCTGCCATTCGGTACGCAGTGGATCTTCACCCTGCTACCATTCATTTTGGCGATTGTTCTTCCTGAGAGTCCGTCATACTTGATCCGGAAGGGGGAGTATGATCAAGCTCACACTGCGATGAAGTCCTTGCACGGCTCCCATGTTGATGTTACGCCGCTCCTGGCCCAGTTGCGTGTCTCAATTGCACATGAGCAGCAACTGTCCAATGAACTCTCGTACCTTGACTGCTTCAAGGGAATCAACCTTCGCAGGACTGCAATTGTGTCATTTGCGTTCATGGTGCCTAGTCTGTTTGGTGTGCCGCTTCTGGCCAGTGCTAGCTATTTCATGCAGGTGGTTGGTATGTCTTCGAGTACCAGCATCATTGTTCTCATCTTGGGTATTGTGCTAGGTCTCTTGGGAAACGGAGTTGGTGTCTGGCTTATGAGTCGCTTCGGAAGGCGACGCCCGATGCTTATCACGCTCGCAATCACAACCGCCTTGTGGACGAGTATGGGAATTGCTGGCTGTTGGGCTGGTATCACCGTTGTCTGGTGAGTACAACTCTGCATATTCTAGTGTTCTTTACTAACTCCAATAATATCTAGGTACACCGCAGCTTGTATGATGGCAGTAGTCGTGGTTTGCGGAATGGGCGCGTGGCCAGCATCTTTCGCAGTGGCTGGTGAAGCATCCAACCTCCGTCTCCGTGCTAAGACACAGGGTGTAGGCGTGCTGTGCTACATGCTGTCCAATGTCGTCTTCAACCTTGTGCTCCCTTATATCTACAATCCGGATGCAGGTGATCTCAAGGGAAAGACTGGATTTGTCTATGGCGGACTGTGCCTATTCGCCTTTGTTGTGACTTGGTTGACTGTTCCTGAGATGAAGGGCCGCACCGCTCTGGAGATTGATACCATGTTTGAGAGCAATCTTCCTTGTCGCCAGTTCAAGAACTGGTCTGCTGACATTGTCGACCCGAAAGCGGGCGCTGTATAATTGCATGGGAAGGGATGTAGATATTTAGACACATCTTTGTAATTCCATTTGTCACGTCCATAATACATTATTATTCCTTAGATGAGCAATAAAGCCCACTTGTCATTAGATATTCAGACTATATACTGAACTGCTTCTGCCCACTATCACTTGCCCAGCACACAGCCTCCATAACACCACTAAGATGACTAAATCACAACTCATCCCTTCAAGGATGACGGCTCCAACGTTTCACCCGCGAACCTATTGCACATGCTCAACAAGAGTAGTCTCCTGCTTCTCGACACTGCTGGGAGGAACATTGGCATCTCCGAAAAGCACATCCATCTGCTCAAGAGTCTTGCCCTTAGTCTCCGGGAAGAAGAAGAAGTAGCAGAATCCGGCAATGATGTTGAACACGAAGAAGACGTAGAAGTAGCGGAAACCGATGTTGGTCAGAGCAGTAGGCGAGAACTGAGCGAAAACTAAGTTAATGGTCCAGTTGGTGAACGTCGTGATCGAGTTACCCTGGTTACGAATATCAACAGGGAAGATCTCCGCAGGGTACACCCAGGAGATGATGCCGATGAAGGTGTAGAAGAAGCTGAAGACGAAGTTCATGGCGACCATGGCACGGAGTTGGTTGGTGTTGGTATCATCATAGTGCTGGGACATGGCGGCGTTGCAGACGAGGGCAAGAGCCATACCGGCAGAACCGATGATGAGAGGCTTGATGCGGCCGACACGTTCCAGGGCCCACAGGCCACCAGTGCAGTAGACGATAGACAAAGCACCAGAAATACCGATGATCATGAGAGTGGTCTGAGTGTCGAAACCCAGGGAGGCGTAGATGCGAGTTCCGTAGTAGTTGATAACGTTGATTCCGGAAAGAGGACCAAAAGCCTGGACGGCACAGCCTAGAATCAGACGACGGCGCCAAGTAGGCTTGGTCAGGATCGAGGACCAAGTGATCTTGATGGAGGCACGCTCCGCCTCGATAGTGTCACGGATCTCCTGGAACTCGAGCTCGATATATTGATCCTTCTCGGGAGTTCCATCGCCGTGGAGTCTTTGGAGAGTAGCGAGGGCCTCGTCATGGCGGTCCTTCTCCATCAACCAGCGAGGGGACTCGTTCAGGAACCACACACCACAGGCCAAGATGACACCCGGGATGCACTGGAATGCGAGAGGAAATCGCCCTAGAAGGGAAAAAAAGGGCCTATTAATACACAAGAAGGCCTCCTTCGCCAGCTGATGGGGGTTTCTTACATTGGAAGGGGGAGTTGACGAAGTTGCACCCGTATCCCAGCCACTGAGCCACGAGATATCCCCAGCTCAGCATCCACTGCAGCAGACCGGACATCATACCACGCGAAGAAGCTTCAGCCATCTCTCCACTGTACATGGGAACAACACTTGTGAGCATTCCAACTGCAACACCAGCGATGAATCGACCGACGATTAGCATCGCCATGTTAACCGCACCGGCCTGAAGAGCACAGCCAAAGATCGAGATACAAGCTCCCGCAAACACACTGAGCTTTCGGCCCAGACGATCACCAGTGTAGACATTGATAATTGTGCCCAGGATGGCACCACCTTGGAAAGCAGAGACGACACCGCCAGTAGTGTTGTCGCTGGGGTTAGAGAAGTACTTGATGAACTCGGGCTGGCCGATGGTACTGGTGATGATACCACTGTCATAACCAAAGAGGAAACCTAAGGTGATTAATATGTTAGCATATAATATAATAGTAATTCCAAAATAGAGTCTTACCTCCAATGGCCAAGAAAACGGCCGACAACAAAGTAGTGAACTTCATGGTGACTGGGACTCGAAGTACCGAAGTTGAACCGGATATGGGATGAAAAATTTCACCCAGACTGTCTCCCCATGGGGCACCTTATATACTCCACACGAGCGATGACTCCAGACCCCAGCACCAGCGGGGACAACAGAAGCGAGACAGCTAAAGTTTCGCCTTCCCCATTCTATCGAATCGTTTCCGGTGTCGTTGGGTGGACAGGGCTCGGGCAAGTAACGGAATTCCCGACACAACGGCATGGAGCTAAATCATGACAAGGTTTGGAGAATCTTACTCCACTTTTCTCGGTGTAGATCAATCCCGACTGAAAACTCGAGCCTTTTTGTCTTGCATTTTCGAGGGCACCCGATGTAGGAGTTGGCACCAGCCCTGCTGAGGGGGGCCAATTAGTCAATCAGTCAATCAGGTCCGTCGCGTTAAGCCACCGACTATTGACCAATTAAACGAACGGGTGTCCCTCCCCCACCCCCACCAGTCACCCATCGGGTGCGATTGCCGAAGCGAAGCGAAGGGAGAAGGTTGGGGAGAGAATAATGTCGTGCCATGGGGAGTTAACTTCGGGGAAGACCGGTGTAGAATGTTTTGATTTTCCGATGGCTACGCGCAAACCGCCGAGATCGCATCTATGGACTGGGAATATGGGTCCTTAGTCTTTACTGTTAGACGGACATCTAAAATTTTGGACGAAAAAATAATGTGCTGAACATGCATTCTATAGGACCTCTAAGAACTATACTAAGATCTATAATATTCAGTGAAGTCACTGGTTTTCCTATCAAGACGACTGAATCACAATCTTGTAATTTCCATGATCAACCTTCAAATCTTCACCACCCAACAATATCTTCGCACTACCTTCTCGAGTGACTTCAACCTCTTTTACGTTTACGGGAATTTTGACAGTGGCGGAGGTTCCAAACGGAACGCGAAGGTCCAAAGTCACAATTCGCTTAGCATCGCGCTGGAATTTCACTTCAATCAATCCATACGGACTGTCCACGGAGCCCTCGACGAAATCAAACTCGGCTTCGTAAGGAGGATCGATCTCAAAGGTACGATAGGCATTAGCCACGGGCTTCAACCCTAGAACAGCAGCGTAGAACCATTCATAGATTGTGCCGAGCATGTCGTGACACTTGCTGCGGCACTCATCCTGCCAGAACTCCAAGAGTGTGGTTTCCCCGCGGCGAAGGAAGCGCATGTATGAAGGATGCTCTTCCTGCCGGGCCATTTGAAGTACGAGGTCAGGCCGCTTAGCATCCGCGAGAGTGTTCCACAGGAAACGCAGACCGATTTCGCCAGCGCGGATTCTCCCGTCGGAGCAATCGTCCACGAAAGCAGCCATGACATCCTTGTTGTGTTCAGCGGGGACTAGACCAAACTGCAAAGCCATAGCTTGGCCGATGGCAGTGCGATCGCGTTCGGGGTAGTTATCCAATGATGTATAATAGGCATATGGACGTGATGAATCATCTGTCACAAGGAGATGCTGATTGTAGACCTTGTAGATCCGGGCGGCCCATTGATTGAACTTCTCTGCCTCGTCCATCTTGCCGAGCTCACGCGCCATCATCTCAACGCACTGGAGACAGCGGTAGTAGATGGCAGTCTCGATGTTGGCCTGGTGATTTCCAAAGGCAATGTCGCGACCCCAATCACCAAGACCATGCTCGATCAATCCGCCACGTCGCTCTTTCGTCTGCATGTATTCCATGTAGCGCACGGCAGCTGGATATACCCTGGAAATTACATGAGTAGAGCCGTAGTATCTTAACAAGATATCAGGCAGGAAGCACAGAGCGCAGCCCCAGGTGATTGTATCATGAAGCGGGCCACACATATAACGGATCTCGGGAGCCATGGTCGGTACAAGGCCGCTGGGCTCTTGGGTGTCCAGGATGTCATCAAGAATCTTGGTGTAGAGTGATTCCATATCGCGGATATATTGTGTTGCCGGCGCCAGTAGATGAGTGACCTCCAGCCAGCCAAATTTTTCAATTTGTGGGCAATCTGTGTGGTAACTGAAGAGATTGCTGTTGAAGGTCCAATAGCAAGCGTTGAGAAGTGAATTGCAATCCTCTTTGTCTGTCTTCATAGTGCCGAGTCGTCTGGCAGCAGATGAAATATGACGACCCACAACGGAGTGGACGACAGGAAGACCCTTACCTGGTGTCAAGGACACACCCTCAACCTGGATATAGCGAGCACTGGTGAAGCTGAAGTCGGGCTCCCATATCTCAGGCTTTCCAGTACCAGCGAGATAGATTCTGGAGAAGACGCCTGTCTCAAACTCTTTGAACAAGGGGTCAGGCATGAGAACGGTGCCGTCTTCCTTGACTGTCTCAGAGTATCGAACAATGACTTCAGAGCCGGAGGCACCCTCAAGTACCAATTGAACCATAGTCGATGCATTCTGGCCGAGATCGAAGCACACAACTCCGTCTTCGGGAGTGTAGGTCTTCACAGGCTCGAAGGTTTCATGCAGTACCACTGGTGGTTGTGTCTGGTAGAAGATGTGACCTCTGGGACCAGTCAAGGGCTTAGCTGGACCCCATTCACTATCATCAAACTTTGGTGCATCCCAGTTGTTGGGATACAATCGGCGATCGTGAGTCTCCGAAGCATAGATATTGGCAAGTGTAGTTGCGCTCTTGCGCACTCGCCAAGTTGGATCGGAGATGAGGGTGTCGTGACTTCCATCATCATAGAAGAGATGCAGCTCACAGAAGAAGCAGAGCTCATTTCCATATCGGACGTATGTGTTGTCTTCATACATTGGCCAGAAAAAGCGATCATCGCCCTTGTCACCGGCATAGAATCCATTGCCCACATGGGCACCCAGCGCGTTCTCGCCGGCGCTGAGATGAGAAGTGACATCGTAGGATGTAAATTGAACTCTCCGGTGGTAGTTGGTCCAGCCAGGATCCAGACGGTGATTTGATGCAGGTTGGCCATTGACGCTCATATTAAAATGTCCCAAGCCTGAAGCAAAGAGGATAGCCCGGGTTGGCTGCTTTGCTAGCTGGAACGACTTCCGAAGATAGATAGGCTTATCGCCTCCGTCACCAATCCAGACAGCCTTCCATCGGCTGGCCTCATCTTCGAACCATGTACGGAAAATGAGACTAGAGTGAGGCATGTATGTTTGGTTCATACTGTAAGGAGGCAGCAGGCGAGAACGAGGATAGCCCGTGAAGAAATGTTGGACGGGGCCATAGTGCACTTGTTGCGCATTATCCCAGACTCTGACCTGCCAGAAATAGCTGGAGATAGACTTAAAGCCACCATTAGGCTTGCAAAAGACGTTGCGCTGCTCATTGCTCTCCACGCGTCCAGAGTCCCATGCAAGGGTTGAAACATCTGGCTCGGCTACTTCAAGGAGCTTAGATTCTGTTGCCAGCACGATACGGTAGGCAGATTGAACGGAATTTTCGACGCTGCTCTTCAGCGCCCAGTAGAACCGTAGCTCATCGGCATCGATGCCAAGAACCTCATGGAATCCATGAATGCCACAGCGTAGAAACTCCATCGTGGACAGGGATACACCTTGAACACGAATCTCAAATTGTAATTTGACAGAGCTCGACTCAGAGACGTGTAAGTGAAAGACCCGGGCTCAAGCCTCAAATTACCAAAAGGACCGATTCACGACGAAACAGTCGAGCGACTTCGGCACATCCGCAAAAGTGGAGCTTCGGGCGATTTGAGCCCGAATCTTCGCTTTGCCGACAAAATTGCGGCAAGCGGGGTGAGCGGTGACTGACCAATCGGCGCTCGAGAACGCCGCTAGCGTCCTTTTCGACGAACTTTGACTAAAACTGTAACAGGAAGCCTCGGGCGATTGGCCCAGTCCCCCGGCATACCCCGGGTTCTTAACGAAAAGTCGGGCATGGCCATGCGGGTGACCTCGTGCATTTGCCGTTGTCTCGTTCCGATGATATCCCCGCAATTTCCCCATACTCACGTTGCATGTCGTGGTTTGCATCGACTCTGCCTAGCTGGTAGCGGTAAACGGAAGGACCACATCCCGTGAAATTGGTTGTGGATGGCAAACTTTACAAAGCTGTCAACGACTCAACAGATGACAGGCGGGTGATTTCTAATGTCTCCCCCCGGGAAAGTCATTTAGGGATTCAATAAGTTCGCTAGTATTCACTTGGCCAGGGGAATTCCGATAGAGTTTCAGCTACCGAGCAGTATGATGGCGTAAACATTAGCAACTACACGTCTGTCCATTCTCGGGTAGACACTCATTATGTCAATTCCTGTTCCAGACTGAAGCCAAGTCAAACTATACTATATAACCACTAACTGGCGCCCTTAGATCAGAACAGACTTGTAAAATCCTCGTTTGATATACTGGGAATCACCTCTCCACCTCTCTTACCTAGTAATTGGATTTTCGATTCGGTCACCATGCACTGGAGATCCACCTTTCTCATCTCTTGCATTGGCATCGGGGGAGCCTTGACTGCCCCGGCCCCCCAGTCACAGAACACCAAGTACGTCGACTGGAAGAAATTCAAAGCATATGGTGCCAACCTTGGCGGCTGGCTCGTCCAGGAGTCTACCATTGACACGATTTGGTGGGATGCCTACTCTGGAGGAGCTGCTGATGAGTGGGGTCTCTGCGAGAACCTCGGCTCACAATGTGGCCGAGTACTGGAGAAGCGCTACGCTACATGGATCACCACATCCGACATCGATGATGCCGCCAGTGCTGGTGTGACTCTATTGCGTATCCCGACAACGTATGCAGCTTGGATCAAATATCCTGGCTCGAAGCTTTACTCTGGCAACCAGAAGGCATATCTAAAGGCCATTACTACCTATGCTATCGAGAAGTACGGTATGCACATCGTTCTCGATGTTCATGGACTTCCTGGAGGCATCAACGGGTTGACTATTGGAGAGGCCGACGGTCATTGGAACTGGTTCCACAATGAAACCAACTTTGACTACTCTATGCAAGTCGTCGATGCCGCTATCTCCTTCATTCAAAACTCTGGTCACCCCGAGTCCTTCACATTTGAGCCTATGAACGAGCCTGCCGACAACAAAGACCTTTCTACATTCGGCACCCCGGCTGCTCTCTCCGACTCTGGCGCTGCCTGGGTTCTCAAGTACATTCAAGCCGTGCTGGATCATGTCGCTAAGGTGAACAAGAAGATTCCGGTCATGTTCCAAGGTAGCTTCAAGGGTGAAGAGTTTTGGTCTAGGAACTTCTCTAGCAGCGCCAACCTGGTCTTCGATGTGCACAATTACTATTTCGCTGGTCGCGAAACAACCTCTGCAAATGTGCCATCATATATCTGCACAGATGCCAAGGCAACTCCTGGTGATGGGAAGTTCCCTACCTTCGTCGGAGAGTGGTCTATTCAAGCATTGTACAACAACAGCTTTGCGCTGCGCGAGCGCAACCTCAATGTGGGACTTGCGGCATTCCACGAGTACTCCCATGGTAGTGCTTACTGGACCTGGAAATTCTCGGGCAATGCCACAGTGGATGGGCAAGGCACACAGGCGGATTACTGGAACTACAAGGGTTTTGTTGACAGGAGCTATGTTCATCCGCAGTCTAGCGACCTGGACTACTGCTGATTGTAAAGAGTGCCACTTGCAACGGCTTACACAGTTGCTACAGAGCGGACTTTGTATAGATATGGGACGTGATTATTTTTTGAAGTGCAAAATTTGCTGAGCCAACCATGTGAAGTAACAAGATATTCGCTCCTTTTACTCTTTGTATCAGTTGTTCGATTTATTTTTGAGAACATTTTCTGGATATTTATTTCCATATAACCGAGTACATTGGGGGGATAAAATCAATGTACAAGGTCTATAGCGAAGCAATCGAAGAGCAGATCAAACTAGGCTTTCCTAGCAACATAATATAGGCTAGAAGAAGACAAGGTCGCAATGCTGTGAGGCAGCAAGGTGGTATCATGAAACTCTACTAGTGAAGATATAAGAAATTCCTTCGCTAACGATAATACTAAACTTTGAGAGAGCTATGGCTACGGAACCTGATTCTCCTCGACGGATCAAAGGTCGAGACCATCTTCGGCTACTGCACGTCTGAGGAGGCTGGCTTGGAGGAGTTGTACTTGGACCATTTGCTGGAACCAGTAGTGACTGCTAGTGGCACGTATAGCTACCGTCGGTTAGTCTACTTTACCGGGGAACCTAATCATGAGCCTAAGCTCCGGCGCAAGGACCTCCCACACCGCGGTAGCAACACGGTAGACAGGATAGGTGCAGCGCAGATCAGGCGGCCTATTCCGTACTTCTCAGTCTCTGTCCCATTGAGAGAAAGGGGTAGTAGGCTTGCCTTTTCTCCGAACATCAGGGCTCCCTATCATCTGTGTCTTTACGGGCAGCGGGATTATGGACCCCCATGAGTCGGGACGGTGATGTGGCATGTGTATGTGCAACTTAGGAAGTCGATTGTTTTGATAGAGCACTCCAGGGCAGTATTAATCTCGGCCAAGGTTACCAGATTCTGGCGACCAGAATATGGGATATTTCTCGGTGGTGTGCTATGGACGTTTGGAAGTGGACATAGATGTACAAAGTCAGCGCCATGGGAAGAGTCTTCCTCTTCAAAACGGCTGAGCAGTTTCACATGAGCTTAAGGCTTTCGAGACATACAACGAAGCTCTCTGACGCTTTAGCGTAGTCGACAGTTAGGATTTCTCTGCATAATATTTAATATATGACATATAGTAGCGTGGGATTTTCCTACCTGAAACTAAATAGGATACCAGTTACTAAACTGTTGCCATTGGAAATCTCTTGGGTCGGGCCAAATAGCTCTTTATATCTCACATCAAGTGGTTCGGACTTGGTTGGTTTGCCTCCAGCGTTTCTCGGCTGAGGTACGACGATCTTTACTGTCCTTGACCAATTGACCATCCAGCCTTAGGATAGCCATTATCTCTCTCCAGTCAGGCAATTTTATTTCTCGCATATGTTCAGTGTGCCAAATTTTCGCTCTCGTAAGGATATATAGCGCTTCACGGCTTTTGCTTTCGATCAGACAAAATGCCCACAAAGTAGGCCAACTTCGTGAATGGTGATGAACTCTGTTCTGGTTCGAAGGACCTGTGATATTGAGGAAATTTCAAAATCAGGGATTGAACGATATTGCAAAATGAAGAAATCTAATTGAGAGAACTACTCCATTGCTCGAGATCATCTCAAATTGCCCTGAGAAAGAGACGCGCTGAAAAGAAAGATCATTTGTTTCACCATGAGACTATTCACTCGTGCGCAGAATCTCTGTCTGCATCGAGCGTCTTTATTACGAATTAGTCTCACTGGGGGGCCTTTTTCGCATTGTAAAAGGACGCAAATTCGGATGGGCCCGCCAGGAGTTCGCCTGGACTAGCATATTCCACAAGTCGGCCATGCTTCATGAGTGCAACTCGGTCATAGCGCTCGACGTAGCGAAGCCGGTGAATGACAGAAATAACCGTCTGAGAAGTAAATTCTCGGTCAATGATGTCTTGCATAGTGGCTTCGGTCTCCCAGTCCACACTGTATTTTGAACAGTTTCGCATTAGCATACTCAAAGATCAGCAAGGACGAAGAAGGGAGATTTACCTGCTCATAGCTTCATCCAAAATTAGGATTGGACTCTTCACCACCAATGCTCGTGCGAGCGCAAGCAATTGTCGCTCTCCCATAGACCAATTTGAAATCGAGAGGGGCTGGTCTAGCTCCCCACCATCAGGGCAGTCCTCACGAACCTTCTTCCATAGTCCGACAGCTTCGAGTGCCCGGATGAGAGATGAGTCGGGAACAGGATTATCCTCGAGCTGGCGGTCCAAATTGAAGCGTAGCGTTCCGGGCATGAAGAAAGGTTCCTGTGGCACAACGTTGATTCGAGAGCGTACCGTACTGCATGACAGTGTAGAGAGATCGATGCCATCCAAGTTGATGCTACCATCCCGCAACTCGATCATCTGTAATAATCCTAAGATAAGAGAGGTCTTGCCACTTCCTGATGGGCCGCAGACAGCGATCTTCTGACCAGGTTCGATAGCTAGGGACAGCTCGTTCAGAACAGGCGGGGCGTTAGGTCTGTATGCATTCAGATTAGCGAAGGGAAGGAATATTGAAGGAATTCTGGGATTAAGTACCCATAGGAAGCTGTCACACGGTCGAAGGTCAAATGTCCACGTTCGGGCCAATGGGGTGAAACCGTTGCGTGTTCATTCTGGTGCTGCTCTTCTGATGGGGTGGTCTCGACAAATTCTTGGATACGAGCGACCGCACCAATGGATGTTTCAAGGACAGTCCAAGACTTGATAAACTGCATGAGATCCTGACTGAAAACGAGAATCAAGTTGAGAGCAACACCGATCGAGCCCGCACTGAATTGGCCTCTGAGCGAGACCACCAGCGATACGAGAACAACGGCAAGTGCCATCACGATACAATCAAGAACCAATTGAAGCCATTGACGAATGCAGAATAGCATGTAGAATGGCTTCTGAGACTGGTTCAATAAATCCTGGAGTCGAGTCTGGAAAGGTGTCTGCCATCGCATCGCCCGAATGACAGTGATGCCTTGCATAGTTTCCACAAAGTGAGTGAAAAGTGGAGATTTCGCCTCAATGTCGAGAAGTCGCACTTGTCGGGAGGTTCGCAGGTAGTAGCTTTGCACGAGGAAGAGGATGACGCCGAGAGCAGGGACCGTTATCGTGAGGTATTTACCCAAGATACAGAGTAAAACCAGCTGAACAACGCAGTTTGCAAATGCTGAACATGACAATTAAAAGAGAACAAAAGCCTGCTTTTGAATGAGAAAGGGCACTTACACATGTTGGTGTTGATTGCCTGGATGGGAAGGTCCATGTCGATAAGCTCCAAATCCTGGCTGAATCTATGACAAACTCAGTGGCATTCCTCTGAAATGTGAAGGGATGGTTTTCACCTGTTAGTTGTCAAGCCTGCGTCAGTCTTTTGGAAGAAGCTGAAAGGTGCACTAGATGAGTTCACAATGTTAGCTTTGCTTTTCGCGCCATGATTTTATTGCCAGGGCTGGCTAGACTCGTACCTCAGGGTGGCCTTGAGCAAGTGCGCATGCATGCTACGGCCCGTGTTGCTGATGACAGGAACCAAAAGGGCCCTTCATATTTGATAATCGATCAGTCGGTGCAAAAAAGCAGATAGTAGAAACAACTGACCAGCATGAAAATACGAGGCCGCAGATAGATATCCCGATAAGCAAGGCGTAGATCCCCACATACTTCGCCGGTGACTGGTCGGGATTCTTCTGGTTCGCATTCGACCATTGTTCCAACCAGATAGCTGTCGAGAAGTTAGAGACCCGTCTTGTAGGGAAAGGTAGTCGTTCACGAACTTGAGAACCTATCTGTAAATCCGCAGATAAAGATCGCCGCGACCAATGAAATCATGAGGGTCCATCCTGCAGATTTGAAGTAGTACGAATACACGGACCATTTTCCATCGCGGCGTGCATTATCCAGCTCGAGGGATTCTCCGTCGACGTTGCTCAGTACACTCTCGAGAGTACTTGAATGTGCCTGCTTTGTCGGCGTTATCACTTCTTGATTTGAAGAATCGTCGCTGTCACTGCTGTGATGATCCTGTGGCAATTCGGACTCGATTTCTTCAAATGAACCAATTTTCCGTACTGTACCATTCTCGAGAACCACGATTCTATCGGCATGGGGCAATAGGCGATGGTTGTGTGTTGCAATAATGACTGTTCTGCCAGATTCTCGGAAGTGACCAGTGGAAGCGAGTAGACGGGTTGTGATAGCAACAACAGACTTGTTGTCAAGGCCACTGAATACATCATCGAGGACCAATGTCGGGGCTCGGGAGTAGACCGCTCGTGCCAATGACTGAGAGATGTTAGACTGTCTTCGACAAGGGCCTGTGGGTATCAATCGCGGCCTCAATACTGACAATTCTCTGTTTCTGTCCACCGCTCAATGTTATACCTGAACTTCCAGCCTTAGACAAATCCCCACCAGCGATGTTCTCGAAGTCGGGTTCCAAGGCACAGGCCCAAACCACAAAGCTATACCACTTCGGATCGTATGCAGCCGGGCCAATGATATTTTGCCGAATAGTGTCGTTCATTATCCATGGCGTCTGTGGACAATACGCGACGCTAGTTGAGAACGGTGACATCGACCCGTTTCTGAGTGTCGTTTCGCCAAGGGAACTTTCTAGCAGTGTACTCTTGCCGCTTCCGACCGACCCAATCACAGCGGTAATATGCCCCTTCTGAACTGCAAAGCTGATGCCATGAAGGACATGAGAGCCGGTGGCAGTCCACGAGAAGCTAGCATTTTGGAATTCAACAACAGACGTTGAAGATGAACCGGGAGACGGGCGGGAAGACAGCTCCATATCGTCGCCAGGGGTTGTGCTATCGGTCGATGTCTCCATCGGCGCCTTGGTGCAATACTGCTCGATGCGACTAAAACAAGACACGGACTCCCATAGTGAAGGAAGTGTCTGAATGAAAATGAGCAGCGGATCCGTCATGAGTGAGATCAGTGATAGGGATGTGAACATCCGGTTAGCCAAAAGAGTCTGGCCTCCCCGAACCGTCTGAATAATCGCATATATAGCAAACGTTGCGAAAGGCGCAAACGTAACGGGCATGTTGGCTGATTAGACGTGAGTGTTAGCCTCTCGATAGCTAGGATGAATTGGAAGCCATACACAAGACGACCTGCCAGATGAGCAAGACACGGAATTTCTGGGACACATGCAGTTCCACCTGGCGGAGACTGGAAACACAAGCATAGAGCTTCTCCCCGAGGCCCAACATTTTGACAGATTTCATATCGTTCAACATGCTAGAGGTCGTGCTCAAGCGCGCCTGAACCCGTTCGATCCACCGTTTTTGGGCTGTGCCGGACTTTTTGAAACCGGTATGGTCGCGAGTACGACAACTATTATTTCATCAGCGTTTGCTATAAAAACATTTAACAAGGGTCCATACTGATTGAAATGACTGCAGGGATCAAAGAGGTAATGCCCAACTGGCGAGCCAGAAGGAAGACACCTATAGCCACATCCACGGGACCTGCCCATGCTTCATGGATACTCCAGAAGTGCCTTACGATGCGCTCCACATCGGTACCCATGAGCGTGATAGATGATTCTTGTTTGAATTCAGCAGCGTTCATCTTGTTTGTTTGTCGGTAGATCAAGGAGATGAGGCCTGCTCGGATGGTCGTATTGAACCGGAATGTCTGGCGCCAGTATGCAGCGGTGGATACCTAGAATAGAGGTTCAGTCCTGCTGAGAAATTTATGCTTCGAGTATGTCGACTTACTGCCATTCCTAGATAAGTCAATACAAAGGCGCCCACCAAGGAAGGTCCATAGTATGGGTTCTCAGCTGTCGATGCATCACTGAGAAAGTTTATAGTCGCAGAAATGAGAAATGGTTGGCAAAACTTGAATGCCGTTAAACACAATCGAGGCACCACTGCGCTGACAAACGGCCAAAGGTATGCACGAAACGTGACTCGAACCAATTTATACTTTCGGATATGCTGACCTGGAGATGTACTTAGTTAATGACCGTTCAGTCCACACAATAAAGCGACTTACTCTTCGACCAAGCTCTGTGAAGTCGGTTCTCTGCTGACTCCCCTTGTAGATCATGGTCCACTTCGGGCATGTCATGAAGAGCGAGAATAGAGGTGTAACCACTTTGGAATAGTGGCAAAACCCAGATGAAAAAGCTACGAACCCAAAAGCTGGATGTGTGTTCTTTGCTTGACTGTCGATATGCCAAGCGGAGAAGTTGGGTTTTGTGAATTGACTCGAGGCATAACACGCATGCGGTAGCAATAGTGACGAACGTCCACAAGATGGCTTGGACTTTGACAGCTGGCGAAAGTAGCCATAAGGTACGAGCTCGAGGAATGGCAAGTATCGTCGCGACAAAGAAGTAAAGTACCATAAGGTCTGATGGACGAACGGAGCGTTGATCCTCTAGCCATGAGAGCAGAGCCGCTGCAGCCACAGCTAACAGCTGGAGAATGCTCGCTGCCAATGAGGCTTGGGTATGTAAAAGCGGAATTTGTCGCTGGAAAGCTAGATTTACCAATTGGAAAATCAACAACACCACGAGGGCACCCTAGATCATTCAAATTAACTCTACAGGGATCAAAGCCAACGTTTCACAATCAGGGAGTCTCCTACCAATTTCCACGTTGCAAGCCGATGCGATGTGACTTTGATCGGCGCGCGGATCAGTGATGGAAGCCGGCACGCTGCCAACAGCAGAAACATGCCAGCTGGTAGAACTGCGAAGATCGCATCCTCGAAAAGCAGAGTAAAGTCAAATGGTCGACACCCTTCGAGGACTCGTGGTCCGAACACGTTGTCGCTACTCGAAGGACAGGACATAGCGGCGAGTTGGTGAAGTGGACCTTCAGAAAATGAAGAATCTGGGTCTCAAAGCAGCCTCAAAAAGACATTTTCATCGCAAGGCTGGCACCAAAGCGGGCATCTCAGCTCCGTCGGTTCCCCGGGCTGGGCATCCCTCGTGGGATTAGCTTAATGGAGCGGGGTGGCTTATCTGACTATGGGGCAGCGCGCCGATTGGTGCTATACAGAAGTAACCCTGTGGCGGGGACCGTTGCTACAAGCGTGGTCAAAACGGGCCAATGGAGATGCGTTGCTGGGATAGCGTCATTCCATATTTTCGACTTATCGACGGATGTTTATTTAGTTGCCTGATCATGAGGCTCATAAATATGATTCATAGCTCTCTCGCGCATGATGATGCATCTCGGTTGTGAAAAACAAGGATAGAGATCGTTGACGCCTAAATTAGAGAGTCTGTGCAGGGCTCTTGTAGTAGGCTTCAAGTACCGATCAGCCGGATGATTGCGTGTCAAGGACAAGTAAGCGAGGAGAACCGAGCGGGAGAGAAGGCGTGAATGAGAACATGGCTATCTCTGAAAGGGACCAAAGAAGAACATCTTATTCACATACGATCGCACGAGAAGAAAAGGCCTGGGAGAGAGGAATCATTTCTAGTCTTGAGAGATTAAAGCTCCAGCCCCATTCCTTAGTTCATTATGTGCTCGAGTATGTTTCTAATCCTCGTTGCGGAAATTGAATTAGCGACCATTCCTACAATAGAACAATATGTACCCTGAATCAATGACCCTCTCGACTCGTCCCTCTTTGACTAATCTCCTACAGTTAACGGGCTACTGATAATCTGCTAGGCTGGTCGAGTCAACCAGAATCAGCACAGGCTACAGCGTGAGATAGCTGCAGCTCAATCACGACGAAGCTGACAGTAAGGATAAAAAGTAACTCGACTAACTAGGTACTGATATGCATGGTCCAATCGATGTGATCTTTAATCCAGCGGACCTTCAAAATAAGAAAAACCAGTCAAAAACTTCCCTGTCATCTGCCCAATACCCAAACCACCCTAGCAAACGGGAAAGAAAGCGCCCACATCGCCAAGCTTGCTCTCCAAACCCCACTAGAAAATGCTTGTGAATGCTTAGCAATAACCGGATTCGCATCGGAAGACCGGTCACCCAGGGGCCGATCACGACGTAGCCTGGACTTGAATATTCAGTATTCCCCGACATCATTGGTTCCACCCACTCAATTGAAACAACCAGGGAACAAATGCGGGGAGATAGACGGCGATCCACCGCTGCCCCGTGGCACGACTGGTCTGTAGATCTTCAGGGTCGTATAGATGGCCGCGGACATTGCCTAAACTTACTGCTGTTCAGATCAAGGGATTTAGGGGTTGGAGTCTGCAGTTCGTGTATATTAATTAGCCTCGCTGCCCTGTTTCTTGTTTCTTCTTGGATCATCACCATTTGAATCTGAACTCAACTACTTTCGCAACCACTACGAACCACAAACATGCACGCTCCATGGACAATCGCCATTCTCATGCTGGGCAGCCAGTTAGTCTCCGCCAGCATCAACGCCGATTCCTCCTGCGGTAGTTGTCAAGTCGGCTATTCCTGCCAAGCAGGTACATGCGTCCTAGACACGGCCCGATTGACAGGCAACCCGCTGCCAAATATCACCTCTGATAACCCGGGCGGCCCGATCAAGACGACCGGTATTTCTGCTACCACAGAGGTGACCAGCACAGGTGAAGCGAAGACGACTGGCACCGCGACGGGCGATATGACATCGAGCAACGGCGAAACCAAGTCTACATCAAAGACTGAGGCACACTCATCCTCGTCGCCGTCGATGACATCGCAGGCATCTTCATCTTCGCTTGCTTCATCTTCTTCTGCTGGGGCGGCGGCATCGACGAGTTCAGGGGCGGCTAGTTCGCTTTCGCTGGAAGGAAATTCATGGGTCGCGTGGGGATTGGCTTGGGCTATTGGGCTGCCGCTTGTGGCTTGAAGGTGGACTCTAAGCCCAATTCTTTGGAATGAATTGTACAAAGCTGTGTATTCAAGGAACACAGTGTGATATATGGAGGAGTGGACAATTGGAACACTCGAGTTAAGAGAAATAAACTGCAATAATAGTTTGGAAAGAAAATGAAAGTAAACTGCCAATATGGGGAATATGTGACAAAATGCAAAGAGCCAACCCAGGCCCGAAGGCTCGAAATTAAAGACGCCCATGAGCCCATCATGTGGGAGTCTTATGATGTATCTAAGGAAAGTTTGTAGCTAAAGATATGTTCAAGAAAATTCGACCGTGATGCAACAACTAGATCCTATTTTTTAATACCGGTGGTCATGTTGCTGCTGCTGCTCTTGTGTAGCTTGCACCACAGCGGCGGGGGAGGAGAATCGACACGGCCTTGCTCCATCAGATCGTCCCGGTCGCGGCTCATGCTGCTGCGATGGCGGAAGAAGCGATTCCGAGTTGACGAAGTGCCACTCGTGAAGCTAGGAGCATCAGTCGAAGGGCGAGCTTGTGAGGGTGCACTCAGGTTTGAAGGGCGGCGATGGCGCGAAGACATTCGTGACGAAGCGTGGCTGCGACGCTCTTCTTGTTCCTCCTCCACGGCCTCTTGAATACGGCGCTCCTGGGCCTCCCGATTGGACGTCCGGACTATATCATCAACCCGGACGCTGCGATCCTCGAAGACATCGCCCATGATGTCGTTAGATGACATGTTGGACATGCCAAGAGAGAAGTCGACATGCTTGCGTGAGGTTGACTGGCCACGAGCCCTGGCAGCGGCGGTGTTCATACCCTTGCGCAGAATAGAATGCTGACGCACTGCGCTGCTGGTACCAGTGTTTTCGGCCATTGAACCAGACCCGCGTCCGATGGGAACTTCCTCGATCTCTTGAACGTCGTCGTCCTTCTTGGGGGTGGGGGCCATCATGGGCTGAGCATAGTTGACATGGAACGGGATGTCGATATTGGCACCCTGGAGGTTCATGCGTGGGCCCTCGATGCCAATCTCTTGAAGAGCAATCATGAGCATGCAGATAAACTTGTTACGGCGCTGTAGACGCAGTCCTTCATTCTGCCAGTTGGACTTGTAGAAAAAGACGACGTTGAGGGTCAGGGAGAAGTTTTCGGTAACGGCACGCAACTCGGTCAAGATATTGCTCTGGAAATCGCGCTTTTCGCTGCGTACGAACTCCAATAGACGCTGGCGAAGACCATCAATCTGATCAATGGTGGTTCCGTACTTGATAATAATGGGGATGGCCTCGGCAAGGGCCCCGGAGCGCCGCTGGTTGAGAATGAAGAGGCCATTCAAGTAGCTATTCGGGGCCTGAACAACATGACCTTGCATCTTCTTGAATTCCGTATATAATAAGGTTATTTCTTTAACGAAATAATCGTCCCCAAGACCAGCATCACCGGCGTTTCCGTAGATAGTGACACGGTCGCCGACGTCGAAGGGGTGCTTGACAAAGACGAAGATGACGGACTGGAGGAATTCCTGAGCAGTAGCGGAGAACAACCAAGAGAGAGCAAGGATACTCGATCCAGCAGAAGTAAGAACACCAGCAGCAGAGGTCGAAATCAAGGACAAGAAGACGATGATGACGATGACAAGGACGAAGAACATGAAGATATCGTCGAGCTTGGAGACGACGGAGTCGAGATCCTTCAAAGAGGCAGTGATCGACTTTCTCTCACGGCCAATGTCCACACAGACGGACTCAAGCTCTTCCATTGAGATATCACCGTTCATGTCACGGTCAAACATGGAGAAGGCGGCCTCGGCCTCCTCGCTGTTGTCGAAGGCCTCCTTGAGATCACCCGAGAAGACGGTATCGAATCCATCACGAACAAAAGTGCGATACAAACGACGAGCCAGCACCTGGCAGCCTGAAGTAGTTCGCAAAAGTGTGCGAATGACCTGGTAGGGGTCAGAGCTGGCGTGAACCTTGCGGCCAGTGAAATCGGCCGCAACGACTCCAGCCATATCGGACACCTTGTTACCAGCCTTGTTCAGAACACCCTTGGCAGCCCTGTGTGCAATTCCGGCATACTTCAAGGGGGTTTTAACGCCAGTTGGAGTCTCGTCATTTTGCTTCTCTTCGAAAGCTTCATCGGACTCCTCGATGCGATCACGTGACCATGCGTATAGCTTCACCAAGCTGCCGATTTGGAACTTGTTGATCTCGATGCGATCAGCATAGGTACGCAGATGGAAGCTGATGGCGATGAGCTGGATGATAATCTTCTCAATCAGGTTGAGGATGGTCCAGACAAAGACCACGATAATGATCTTATTCACGGTATTCTCCCAGCTCCGGGTACCCTTATCGCCATCGACGTGGTGGTTCTTCATGGTTGGAAGGAAGGAGATCTCCACACCCAACCACCAGAAGAAGAGAGCAGCATGGATTTCGAGCTGGTAGGCCATGTCGCGCCATTTCTTCGCATTGTTGGTGAAGATGCTGGCCAGAACGCTGACTACTGGAGGAATACATTTCCCAACAATCTTAAAGCAAGGATAAGGTTAGCTATTCTGCTTGATACAGAGGGGGAAAGAGACAGGTTTTTTCCATAGAATCCTGGTTCTACTACTTACTCGGCCAGCCCATAGAGTTAGCCACACGATTTCAAGCCAAATCGAAAACCACATGAGTTCCACGCCACCAACACTCGTCTCCGTGAACTTCAGAGCTCCTACCAGCAAAGGAATCAAGAGCAGCAACACAACAGGCAAAATGTACGTTAGGTAACGAATGATAAAGCTGGACTGATGGACTTTCTTCACGAAGGCCGAGAGCTTGGTATTGGGGCTCTCGGGGGGTTTGTAGACGGCCGCCTTTTCGTGAAGCGGGTTCGTCGCCTCATCAAACTCGTCAACAGCCTCGCTGCGGCGCGAGCGCGACCGACTCATCGAGTTCCGGTCACCTTCGGCATGCTCACCCTGGGTCGAACGCGAAGCCACGCGCTCGGCCTGCAGTAGCATAAGGTCATCTTCCAGGCGAGTAGATTGTTCGCGACGCGCCGAAGGCGTGCTCATGAGAGGCGGATGATCCTCGTTGTAGGTAGTATCGACTTTTAACCGGTCGCGACGGTCTTCGGCGTTGCTATCGTGGACAAATGTGCCATCATCGGAGGTGGGCGTCACCTCGTCGGAATCGGATCGTTTGCCATCTCGCTTTTCCTGCAGATGGAAGGTCTTGCGCTCGTCTGAGGGAGAGGACATGATGCCGATGGCACCAGGCCGATCGAAAGAATGTGGGGTTCAGTCGGAGCCTCGGCCAACTCTACCAGCAGAGTGATGAAGCTGGAGGAATTAAGGATGTGCCGGGCGATAAGGGATCAGATATAGAGGATTAGAAGGCGACAAAAGCAAGTACAAGAGGGGAAGAGAGCGAAAGGTTAGATATGATTAAGTCGCGGGGAAGAGTAACGAATGTAGAGCGAGAAGCTCGGTAGAGACTGTCAATGAGCGGAGTAGCGGAGAAAGGAAAAGATCAAGAGGAAAGACGGCAGAGAATGAAAAGCGAAGATCGTCCAGCAACGCAGGGAATCAGGAAGTCAAGTAACAGTCCTGGTCTCCTGCTGGGATCGGGATTGAGCAACGAGTAAAACGAAGTGGGCCACAGTGGGTCCTTGAGGGCGACTTGGCTGGACTTCGGAACACTTACGGAGTACATCTTAAAGAATATCCAGGGTCGAGATGCGACCGATCTTGAATTATGAATAGCTAATTTATTTTTGGTACATTGATCATGATTTTCAATGAAGATGTTGACGGTTGTAGAGTTGTGGCTGTAATTACTTATTATCATCGACAAACATGGATATGCCGTGTTGAGTTTATAGAATCCCTTACTTCTGCCACGTTGTACATGCAGCGTCATAGCTCAAATTCTTTTATTTCAGCCTGTATAAACTCAATCAATTCATTATACTTCAGTTCATAATTCATGCTTCAGTGTTCGTGCTCAGGCAATAATGCATGCCCCTGTCACCAAGCACATGAAAAAACCAAGAAACAATGTCGAAAAAGATACATAATTATCCACTCTATCCAATGATTCCGTTCTTCTTTTGTGCTTCCTTGACCCTGTCAGCACTAAAGAAATTCATCTTTCATCTTCCTGCTCCACAGGCCCACCAATGGCCGACGCCATCCTACACCACCAACCCACCACCGTTAAGCCCTCGGCTCCATTCCGCTCCACCGGGTGGCGCAAATGGCGTAAAGTCTAGCCAGATCCAAGACTTATCCTGGCCTATGATAGCCCCGAGAGCCCGGGAGACTGAGCTCCCAAAAGTCCCAGCCCGTTCAGATTCGCAGACGTTCAGATTTTTTCTCCGCTACGCCTACGCCGCTGTCGCCACCGTGCGTCAACCCCTGCATTGGTCCTTGGATACCCCCGAGGCCCTGAACAGTGCAACGCGACTGTATGGAGGGGTCAAAGTGGTTCAACACGCGTCAAAGGACTGCGTGGAATGATAATGATCTTGACTGGCGGCATCGTCGGGGGCTAAGTTTGGAAGTTTGGGTCGTGATATCACCCATGATGAGCCTCGACTCTCGGTCAGAGTGGGTCAACGGGACAGTTGGATGCTCATGAAGATCCATGACATTGCCTGTAATTGCGTTCACAAAACTCAAATCTGAGCATGATTCAAGATGCAAATACAATCATTGTGCTAACTGGCAAAAAGCGATACTAATGCTACATATCCCATGTGAGTTCGCTTAAACATGAGTTATTCTCACGTTAAACAACACCCCGGCATTGCCAACAATAGACAACCCGATCCCCCTACAGACCAGACCCAATTTCCAACCAATCCCGCCGATCGCACGGGTATCATGAATCAGTGCGCGAAAATGCAGACCTCTGATAGAGCCATCGTGTCCAGACCGGTCCCGGTCAATGCATGCAAGCTGCGCCATACGTGTGCTCTGGACTCTGGACTCGTCCCGTCTCCATTTTGGCCGGTCTGTTTAGCCCTTTAATAAAGCAGGATCGTCGGTCGGATCGTCGTGAGACATTCGTTGACAGCGCCAAGTGCCAAGAACGCTCTATCCGAGCCGAGGGCTCGTTCACTACAGACTTGGTCTGGACGGGATGATCTCTAAGTCTCTTTCTATGATTAAACATCCTCGTAATTTGCAATTAAATATGGGGTGCATATATTTAGAGTCGGGAGGTACGAGTGTAGAGTACATTTACATAGATCATTTTATACCTTGGCAGACCTTTCTTTGATGGTGGACAGTGGGTTCAGCATAGACCGTCTAGGCCATGGAGCCTCTGCCAAACCATAACCTTATTAGACCCCTAAAAATAACAACAAATTCGCTCAATATCAAGCGATACAGTTGGGAGCTCAAATGCAACATTATTATTTAGTTTTCTTGAAAGGTTAGATCGTTTGATACCACAAACTCAACCTTCTCGACTGGAGGTGTCTGGCCAACATTTGCTGAGTACAGTCAAATCATCCTTATTCTGTGCTCAAGCCTCCCCCAATTGAGTTCGCATATGAACCTCAAGACTATACTTGGCAAACTCACTCCTCTCCCTCAACCTCCTACCATACCGGAAGAACAGAAACGGCACCACACAAAAAGCAGTTGCAATACCTGCAATCACAAACCCAGGCACCATGCTCTGTTTGCCATCGAAGAGGACATATCCAATCAATGGCATAGCCCCCGAAACCAGTGCGCGCACAAAAGCCAGACCTGCAAAGGCAGATGCTGAATAGACCGTGTAGGTATCGGTTAGATATCCGCTCAACGTGTATGCGATCTCGTTTACCCCCAGACCGACCAAGACTAAACCGCCTGTTGGAATTGCCCAATGGCCATCCCAGAGAACCGGTGGTGTCGTACCGTAGAACCACCATAATCCTACAGCAAGTGCTGGTGTGCCAAAGGCAAACCCCATAATCGTGTCCTCTGGTTGAATTTGCATATGTTGTCGCTTCTTGTCTCGTATCTTGCGTACGTCCCATATATGTGGGAACACGCCGATAATGATACCGATCACCAGGGCCAGGAGTGGAAACGTGGCACTGGTTCGAGAGAGGCCAAGGGTAATGTAGGCTCTGGTTATGGACTCTGAGAAGAGATATATAATTCCCCACGATATTCCACTTAGGATTGAGACGATGATGAGAATTGGTTCCGTAACCATCATTCTACTCGGTCGAATGACAACAGTGTAGATGAAAGATTCGAGATCGGGGAATGGATCCGCAGAGTGAAACTTGAGTTGCACACCCGGGTATTCAGATTCTAGCCTATTGATCTTCTTACGAAGTAATTGGCTTGGTCGACTCTCACGCATGCCGAGGATAAGAATTGTGGTGATTGCAGTAACAATAGCCGCGGTATGGAATATCCATCGCCTTTTGAGTTTTAGTGTGAGGTACAAACATAGTCCGCTTTGTTGTGATGCTTACCAGCTCACTACCCCAGATATGCAAGATGCATATACAGGCCCGAAGGCAAGGCCTGCCGTCGCAGCCGCGTTCCAGAGAAGAACGATCCAAACACGACGTTCAGAATCGAATATATCCTCCACCGTTCCTGATATGACGACCGAGGGAACGGCAGATGCGAGCCCTGATAGAAATCGGCCTATGAAGACTGCACTGATATGAGGGACTAGTCCAACAAGAAGGCAGGATAGGCTGAAGACGGAACAAGAAATGATATACGGCATGCGTCTTCCAAAGAGCTCGGAGCACGGTGGTATCACCAGGCCTCCAATTGCCTGGCCAGTTTGGTACCTGGAAATGGATGAGCATAGATTCAATCAAATGATAACCAAAATACTTACATGAGACTGAAAGCAACGAGGTTAAGTATTTTTGATCCATATTTACCGTATGTGAGCTCCGCCGCTGAGGGCTGTTATAGAAGTTAGCTGTGATCCTTGATTAACTCTGGTCAATTGGGCATCCTCACCCCTGTCGTGCTTATAGCCGTTCTTCAATTCAGAATACTCAGCCATGTGATTCCTTGGATGGAAAAGAGATGAGACTCACGTGTAGAATTCTAGGAACATCACTACACTTGTGTCATAAATCTTCCTCCACAGAGACCAATTGCGAGGGTGATCTTTGCAATCTTTTCCCCATTGTACATGACCAGTCACGGAAAGCTCAAGTCCATATAGTGAAAGTTGTTCTGAGGTGAGAGTCTTCTCCTCAGAGACCTGAATTTTGATTTTGTCCTCCCCCGTCCGCGAGCTCTCAACAGAGATTGAAGGATTTTTCGACCCCATCTTCAAAGGCAATACGGTAATGCGCTGGTGCAAATGGAACAAAAAAGAAAACAAAAACAAAAGGACTAATTAAATGTAAGATAAAGCAGCGGAGTAACGAAATACTATTATGACTCGTAGCAGTGACTGATAAATCAGGAAAATGGTATGCATCCCTCTCCCCCGCACTGGTCTCAGTCTACCCATTGAAGAAGGGGCCTAGATTGAAAATTTGAGATGGGTAGTATTTACTCACCCGCAGACTTTAGGCCCCCAATGGTGATCCCAAAACGCACCAATCAGCTCTCCCCTTGAGCATTCTTCTTCAGCTTTCTTCAGCTCTGTCAGCACTATTGAGACTACCAAGATTATACCTTATCCTATAACAGCGTTTGTTGGACCTGGGATCCGGACTGATGCGGAGTATGTTACAAACGCCATTAGCATTTTGGTGATAGTGGCTGCAGGGACGGTGTGCCTGCGTCTGATTGTAGATCTTGAGGAACGTTCCAGTTCCAGCTGACGATGTTATGTGCGGACATTATATAGAATGGATGTATGTCATCTTGTTGTAGATTTGTAATCTGGCTCTCTAGTGTAGGAAAGTAAGCTTATGTTCCCTGTTTTGCGAATGATTCATGGCCAAGGTGCGCGCTCTCTGACTCCCCCTTACATCTGCTTGTAGTGGGTACATGTGCTCGCACTGGGACTCCTGTTTAGGAATCTGACTGAGGCTGAGAAGCAAGACGCACAAACCTTGTAATCTGATTGGGGCGCCTCAAGTTTGCTAGCAGTTGATTTTATTTAATCACCATACAGAATATCTCTGTTAGGTCATGAACATCCGTATCTATAATTGACTAGGAACTCCTACTATACATCTTTTTTATCCACACAAGCACACGAGACTCAAAATGACCTCCGAGACGAGCCTAGACAACCTAACCTCCACCCCTAAACAAAACATACAATGGGGCAAAACGCACAACTCCTCAATCGACTTCCGCAGTACGTCCCTACCACTCCGTAAATCTCCCTGTGGACAGTAACTCTAACAAAACCAGGCGACGTAATAACAACCCCCTCAACCGCCATGCTAACCGCAATAACAACCTCCACCCTCCACGACGACGTCTTCCGCGAAGACCCCACAACACTCTCCTTCGAATCGCACATAGCAACTCTATGCGGCCACGAAGACGGCGCATTCGTGATAAGCGGGACAATGGCGAACCAACTAGCCCTCCGAACATTACTAGCTCAACCACCGTATGCTATCCTCGCAGATACCCGCGCGCATATTATTCATTTCGAGGGGGGAAGTGTTAGTATGAGTGGTGCTGCTGTGCAACATGTTCGTCCTTCAAATGGGAGGTTTATGCGGCTTGAAGATATTATGAAAAAAGCTGTTATATCGGAGGATGTACACAAATGTCCGACGCAGGTGATTAGTATTGAGAATACCGCTGGTGGGAGTATCGTGCCGCTGGATGAGATGAAGCGGATTAGCGAGTGGGCTCGGCAACACGGAATAAAAGTACATCTCGACGGCGCGAGGCTCTGGGAAGCTGTTGCAGCTGGCGCGGGGAGTTTGAAAGATTATTGTACGTTGTGTGATTTGGTTTGTTTGGACTTTAGTAAGAACCTCGGCGCGCCGATGGGTGCGATGGTTCTTGGGAGTGAGAAGGTGATTGCGCAGTTGAGGAGGGTGCGGAAGAGTATTGGGGGTGCGATGAGGCAGTGTGGGCCTTTGGTTGCTGCTGCGAGGGTTGCTGTGGATGAGCAGTTTGGGTCGGGGGTTTGGGGGAGTCGGGATACGTTGCGCCGGGTTCATGACGTTGCTAGGCGGGTTGGGGAGATGTGGATTGAACGTGGAGGGAGGTTACTGCGTGGTGTGGAGACGAATCAGATATGGGTTGATTTGGAAGGTGCTGGTATTGATGCGAGGGTGTGGAATGAAGCTGGGAGAAGGCATGGTATCAAGCTTGATGGGAAGCGGATTGTGCTTCATCATCAAATTAGTGAGGAAGCGGTCTCGAAATTGAGAGATGTGTTCTGTGAAGTACTACAAGTCAAGGCTCGTCTGTGAATATGATCTGGAGGATAGTGTAAAAGTAGTAGAAGGAAATTCAATTTTGCCTGAACAACCTGCAGAACCGTGCCATGCAATCTTCTACTACCAGACCTAGTATATAATCATCAAAACATTGCAATGCGCCGGCCATGCCATGCCCAGTCAGCAAAACCGCAGCTCCTACTTTTCAACTCGCAAAAGGTAGAAAAAGGACAATCATATGCATAAACAGACAAGAATGCAGTGTTGTCAAAATTGATCTGCAATTTCAAGCAAGCACAGCTAGGGCAGGGCAGAGTAAACAGGCCAGACCCGAGGATAGGGTCTTACCGCTGGATCTTGTACACGAGAGCCCTTGATTCTACCCGCGGCCCGTCGCATGTGCGAGATCAACATGATAGAAAGGAAATCAAAGTAAATGAAAGGAAAGACAATAGACATTGATCCGGAACACCTTGCTCCAACAAGCAGATGAGATAACAACATTGACATAAGAGACATGATAAGTGCGATTTGCTTTGATACGCCAGGTCCACTGGACATAACGGGGGAATAAATGAAAAAAAGAGTTTACATGGAAAGTAAAAGGTGGGAGACTGAGAGATGCAAGCTGAGTGGGTAGAAAGTAAGGTCGTAAATCCGGTAGAGCAATGCCAGCTACCGTTTGAAGGTGGGCAAGCTTGATCGGTAGCGGTCCGGTGCGCGAGGAGTCTGCTCAGCGTCCAGATTTGGGGATGGGTGTAAAGGACGGGGCGTGGCCTCGGCGTCCGGCGTAGGACTGGTATCGGTGTCTCCGCCCGAGCCACCCTCTGCATTCGACGCGTTGTCAGAGATCTTCACCTCCGGGGTGATGGGAGTAACACCAAGACCGGCATTCGCACCCCTGGAAAGATCGCCGGGTGGCGTGGTTTGGCCTTGCTTCAACCCTTCCAAGCTGGATTTGGAATCACTCGGATGAGAAGTTGGCCCGGAGTAGATCGAGGTATCGTGATGCGCAAGAGAAGGTCGCCGGCGAGAAGGTGATAACTGATGCTCGGGAGGCGAGTCTCGAGGGCTCAGGGGTTCATCATATTCAGATTCCTCAGGAATGCTCATGCCTTCAAAACGTTCTTCAAGACTCGTGCTAGCGGGGGACCCCAAAAGCCCTTCATCGGTGTCGGATTCGCCAGCCTTGCGCATTGCCTCTCGCTCCTTCTTGAGAAGCTCTTCACTGCCACTGACGACACTGCCACGACTATTGGTGCGCATCATTTCGATACCAAGCTTGGAACCAGGACGACGGCTGCGAGCCGGTGGGCTGCGACGGGATTGCGAATGGCCTAGCTCTTCATCCTCGTCGTCGCCAGACTCAGCACATTCGTAGCGCTTTTTCTCCAAGGACTCCCGTTTGGCGCGGATTGCTTCACTGGAGCGTTGTTTCCGCGGCGTCAACGCACCACTGGCATCCATGGCGGCAGGTGCAGAGGCCGCATGGAGCAGATGCGGGACCGGGACAGCTTTGGGATCAGGACTACCAGGATGTGCATCCTCGGAGATACCAAGTCCCCCATGACCTTGGTCCCAGTCATCGTGATTCCGGCTGATGATCACAGGTACCTCATCTGGTTTGATAGACTCCATGTCACCGAACACGCTGCTACTCACCGAGTCATCGCGGCTGGAGCCTCTGTACGAGCTGGGCGGGTGTGGCACGAACCCGGACGAAGCCGAGCTGGGGCTATCATCATTCGACAGTGGGTTTTGCCGACCAGTTGGCATTGACACGGCAAGCGGTTGAGAGGACGGGTTGTAATCCTTTGGTGGTGGCTTCCACATGCACCACTTGCAGAGAGCTTCGGTCAGCTTGGACAGCGTGGGAGGCTTCACAATGAGCGCATCGAAGTAATGAGTCTCGGGAAGGTCCTTCAAGTAGCCAGTCACCGCAACGATGGGAGTGTGTCTGTTGGCACTGCGAGTCTCACGCACCATCCGTGCGAAATCAGCACCATTGACTTGAGGAAGCTTGAACTCCGTCATGATAATGTCAAATTGCACTTCACTCAAAGCATATCGCATGGCTTCGGCGCCATTCGTGACTGTGATGGTTCTGCAACGGAGTCTTTCGAACAGACGTTCCATTACAAGACGTGACACGGGGTGGTCTTCACAAATGAGAATATCCAGGGGGCGGAAGAACGGGCCATCCTGAATATTAAATTGCGAAAGACGCCGAGAGCTTTGGCGGCGGCGCTGGACTTTGAGCAAGGCTTTGGTGCGTGGGTCCTCATTGTCAGACGACGAGGGTGAAATGTCGAAAAGCTGACTGCGACGCTTGTGGTGGGACGGAACAAAAGGCTCCTTGATCAGTCCAGGGAATTCACCTCCATCTTGCGATCCGATGGTCTGTGAGCGTGCTCGACTGGCGGGAGCACTCCCATGCCGTTGGCTCGATGGATGCTTATCCGGAGAGTGTGCAGGGATTCGATTGGCCTTGACGGGAGACGATGCGACCGAGCCAAGACGAAGATTCGGCACCCGGTTTTGGTCCGCGGATGAGGGCTGGAAATTGCCGCTAGACTGGTGTGAAGCAGTGGAAGAAGACCCAGAAGTCTTGCGTCTCTCGTGGTTGGTGCCAGTGCTAAACTGAACCAGCAATGGAGACGAGGGCTGGGAAGGTCGGCTTGGCGATGAATTGGCCTGGCTGAGACCGGAAGGTGACGAGGGCCGGTTGTTCCCCTTCGTCTGGGACAGAGTCCGTTGCAGCGACATTGGCAGTGGGCTACTTTCCAAAGAAGGCTGCGAGGCCGTCATCGGTGTCTGAGCAGCCGAAGACGAAGTAGATTGACGATGCTGTGCTTGCATGGCCTCTTGACGCATCTTCTGAATGACATCCTTGTTCGCTTTCTCGAGCATGGGAAGATTTTTGAAGTTGAAACTGCCAAAGTCGTCGGCCAATGCTGGCTCACTCAGTCTCCGGCTCCGCGAATCCCGGGCATCGCGAACATGAGGTGGGATGTGCAGCGGCATCAACGGGCGCTTCATCGAGTTGACCTGAGAGCGCACCTTGAACAGGGCATCGTGGGGCCGATCGGGATAGGATCCAGAAGTCGATTGACCCTGGGGCGACGGCTCGTCTTCCATCTCTTCTGCAAAAGCTTGCAAGGTCGCACCACGAGTATCAAAGTACTCTGTGTCCTCGGGGTTCTCAAGGTTGGGCACAAACTGTGCTTTGTCCTCTAACAAAGTATCCCAATTGATATCAGCGAACCAGGGATGATGACGGATCTCGGCACCACCATTCGGGAACTTCTCGTCCACATTAGCACCAATGCGCTCACGCGGATCCAATGCCAGGAGCTTGTTCATCAGGTCCAACGCTTCGGGAGTGGTATACTCCTCGGGGTCATCAGGCCAGTTGATGTTCCTTTGTAGGATGTTCTCGAACACTTCGTCGGGAGTCGGGGCATTGAAGGGAGGGTAGCCGAAAATAAATTCGAACATGATGCAACCCAAGGACCACCAATCACTAATCTCATCTTGTCCAATGCCATTGATTGTCTCGGGGGCCAAATAGTCGGGGGTTCCGACAAAGCGACGGTCATGGTCCTCGGGATCGAACAGTGCCATTACAGGCGGAAGCATACTCTGCGGCGGCGGCGTGCTGTGCATCAAGGGATTGCTGAACGTTGGCTGCAGGGGATAAAGGTGAGGAGACTCGCCTGCGTCACTCTGCTCTTCCTCCTCCGCCAGACTCGTGGAGAGCACATTGGGTGATGCGGTGGCGAGTTCACTTCCAGGATCATTGAGCGAGAATGTTCTGAACATGCCGTTCAAGCTGTCACTACCAGCGCTGTCACTGCGATAGCCCGACGCGCGGCGAGAGCTCTGTCGACTGAGACCGCTCTGATTGAGACTGAAGTAGGATGGCTGAACATTTGCCGCAGTGTCTGGAGTAATCAATGGTGTAGAACCAGGTGAGGAAGCGGCTTGGAAGTCGAACGATGCCGACCGAGAAGACGCTATGGAAATGGCCCGAGGGAACGGACCCTGCTTGAGGAGATCGGGAGCGGGCTCATTCGGACTCTTCAGCACACGCTTCTGACGACCAACTAGACCCATACGGGAAAGACCAAAGTCAGTTAGTTTTAAGTGTCCCGTCTGGTCAATCAGAAGGTTATCCGGTTTGAGATCGCGATGAACAATCCCACGGTTGTGCAGGTGCTCGACTCCAAGCACCACCTCTGCGATGTACTTTTTGGCCCAATCTTCGGGAAGACCGCCCAGAATTTTGACCAGGGAAGCACAATCACCTCCATTCAAATACTCCATAACCAGATAGAGATATTCCTTGCTCGAGAAGGTCCAGTAGAGCTTGGCGACAAAGTCGCTCTCGCCCTGCCACATCATGATCGCTCGTTCCGCCTTCACATTGGTAACCTGATTCTTGGCAATCATATCTGCTTTCTTCAGCACCTTGATGGCGAAGTATTCGCCCGTGGACTTCTTCTTGGACAGATAGACACTACCGAAAGCACCTTTGCTGATGGGCTTGATAATCTCGAAGTCCTTGATGGACGGCGGCGCAGGCCGAGGCTGCTGGCTAACGGACGGCAGACGTGGTGATGGCGGCAGTTTTAGAACTTCTGAAGATGTTGCTGAGGACTGACGGCGATGATGGCGATGGTGATGCGCCAGCTCGCTAGCATATGTAGAGGGAGACACAATGGGTGAAGGAAGGCTGTCTGCGCCATGAGACAGTCGAGGCTTTGGCATTCGCAGTGGGGAATGAGGGCCCGAAACCCGAGCAGGAGAGGGCTGTCGACGGGGCGAACTCGACAGGCCCGGAAGCACCAGGCTTCTACGCTTACGGTCAAAGCTCCTCTCCGAGGAAGGCGAATCTGTTCGCATGGCGCTAGCGAAAGCGGACGTTGAGGGCATGCTGCTATCGCTACTATCACCCGCGTCGATATCGGCCAGCGAAAGACCCCGTCGTGTGGGCTGTGAAGTGCCCAACAGGCCAGCTGCACTCTTGTGAGACCGGGGAGTCGGGCATTCCAAGGGGCTATTAGACCCAGTAGATACCGCGACAGACGATGATCGGTTCTCGCCTTGCGCAAGAAGTGCGCGATCGGGAGAATTGCGCATAGACATCGTAAGAGCCGATGTCGCAGGTTTGCGCGGAGTGGGAGCTGCGGGGAACGGGTGAGAGTGAGATGCCAGCGGTTCTTGACTCGGGACGAACATCAACTCGTCTCTCTCCCCGGCGGTGCTGACATCTGCATCACTGGCAAAAGCGGCGTCCTGTGACATCTCCTCGTCAGAAGAGCAAGTGGAATCACTTAGTTGACCGGCAGCTATCCTCTCTGCCTTACTCAAGGCAGCTGTAATACACTCTTCCACCAGAACGGTATATTCGATGCGAATGCGCTCTGCGTATTCAACAATCTTGCGATGACGAACAACAGCGTCCACTTTGGCCTTTGCAATCTCTTCTGTGTCGCCAGCCAGGGCAGCTAGACCCTGTTCCTGTTCCAGAGTGTTAGAACTAGGAGACGACCACTGAAGCACCTGAGAGATTCGCGATTCAGATTGCGGTGACAAGGTTCTGAATTCCTCCCCATTCTCCGGGCGCTGTGACTCCTTGATCACAGGCATACTGATCTCCAGCGCGGTATCACAGAGATCGAGAACCAGCTCGACAATGCGAGCCAGCGGTCGTCGAACAGTGAACGCCCGGGGGCGTCCTGGAGTGATAATGCCAGAGGCTGAATGGTCGCGAGAGCGGGGTGGTGTCCCAGGTGCCGAGCTCAAGCCAGAGGGTGGTGCTGATGATGGTGTCGAGCTGACAGGCGATGGGCCGATGGGCAGGCCTTTATACTCTGGTTGGATGAGGGGTTGGATGTTGCCATCGGTGCCGATCAACGGCCTTCCTTGTCGAGCCTCCAACGCATCCAGCACTCTCACGATCGCGTGACGGTGTTCGTTGAGGTTCTCCTGCGCAATTTGAACATCCATTTCCGCCCGATGTTCCTGCAGGCAAAGATCAGAGTGTTTTTCAAACCACCACGGGGTGATTTGGCGTTCGCAAATACGACATAGAACCGGCGTCGGGGCAGGGTGTTTTGAGGGATCCGGTTCGTTGGCTGCGGCCTCTGCGAGTTCGGTCAGGTAGTTTGCCAGGACTTCTGCGCCAACACCAAGTGACTCTACAAGCTGAGGTGGCAGATCGATGGTCACTTCGCGGGGTTCGGTGAGCGGTCGGAGCATCCACATGGACTGTTGGGCGAAGTATAGTTGTTAGCTATGCATATAATTCAACATTGGGAGCATCTTGCGAGAAAGCTCTTACATGTCCGGCCTCATCATCTGTCCGGTCGTACACCATGATACCTTGACCCTCCATGGTCAGTACATCATGGTTATCCTCGCCTTCGACCTGCGAAGGCTCCGTCTCCGTAGTCTTCTCCTCGGGGCTCTTTCCTTCCCGCTTCGTATCATTCTCCGACTCGATCGGACGCGGTTCTGGCGCGTATCTGAGAACCGAATCCGGCCCCATCTGCACGGAGAAGCGAATGAATCGACTACGCGAATCATCCTCCTTCATCACCTCGATCGCGTCGCGAAAGACATTTTTATTGCCAACCAGAATCTCCGAGATCATACGGCCCTCGACCGATTCGGGAGGGGAGCCAACGACTTGTCGCCATGACGGGCTCACCCACTTGATACGGCCCTCCAGGTCAAGATCCACGATGATGTTCAAGGTCTGTTCGGCAGCTTCTTTCAAGTCTTCCCGCTCCTCGCGCATGTCTTCACTTAACGTCCGTGTCATGACCGGGTTGATGTTCCGAGCCTCCTGCCGCAAGGCCGTAACGGCCGGCGGCGCGAGGAATTGGGGGGTTGGAGAGCCATTGTCCGCCATGCTGACTTGCAAGGGTCAACAGGGTGTACAGGGCCGCCAGGAAGCGAAAGGGTTTCGAATAATGGCGTGCGACGGGATATCACGAAAGAATGGTTCGAAATAGTCGAGTAGGGCTAGTTTTGTCGTGGTTGTCGAAATGAGCCAAGCAGAACCGTCTGCTGGTGGGCAGAGCGGGTGGCTCTTGGGAGAGACGAGGCTATGAATTCATCCGTGGCTTCAACAGGCCATGGCGCACGAGCAGAAAGAATCGCCAATCGATTGATTCCACTGCAGAACGCTCACAGCTCGCCAATCCAGCGTGGTTAGCAGGATGCAGGGCGATATTGAAACGCGAGTTGTTGTGAGGACGGAGGTTAACGGAAGCCGATCTCTCTATGCGGGGAATGGGCGCGACAGGCGACGCGCAGAATCATCGACGTCAACCCCAGTGGAGGTTGACCCAAAGGCCTCAAGATGGGAGGGTATCAGGCAAAATCAAGGGGGGGATAATGAAGGAAGAGTGTAGGCCTGGAGATCAACAGATCATAAAAAAAAGTAGAGGAGATGGACTCCACGAGGACAAGTCTTTGGGGGAGAGAGGAGGGGGCAGGAGAAGCGGTGGTGGACGTGAAGGAGGGCGGGCGGTGATTGGGCGGCGGAGGCACAACTTGAGGCACTTGACGGGGGGTCGCCCAACAGCCAACAGGCGTGTCTCGTTTCTGGGTCCTGCACCACCCTAGGAATTAATAATCCACCTTTTTTCCATTCCGCTGCATCCAGTTGGGCTACTCTTGTATACTATCTGAGAAACTAGAGACTAGAGCTACCTCATACGATGTCGTGGTCATTTATTATCGGTCGCAATCGTGTTGGCTCTCCTACCTATTGGGCTTTTATCGATTGTGGGCCCGATTTAGTATGTGTGTTAAGACTATGAAATGCAAACGCTGTTGACTCCACTAATGGCCCCAAAAACAGCAGTAGATATTGACATTCGTGAACATTCCTCCAAGGTATTACAGTATTACGAGAAAAGCTAAGGGAAGGAGAGAGAGGGGGGAAACCCTATCATGAACTCTGCGCGGACAACCGCCCTTGCTCATGACGTTGATTGATCCAATCTGATCCTCTGTACATGACCTCCGCCTGCAGATGGCGGATGTGCTTTGTCAGGAACTAGTCCTCGATGGCTTCGAGTCTGGATCCGACGATTGGGAGTCTGCTGGGGTAAGCCCGGTACTTTTGTTCGATTTCAGATGGTGCAGAGTTGAGATTCATCAAGTGATAAGTCGCATAGGACACGAGGGATTCAGTATTCGGTGCTTTCTGATGTAGGACTGTGTACTTTGGACTCGGAACCAATCCGACCTATGCAATCCCTGTATTGTACCCCCTGTGCCAGCCAGCGAGGATGAGGTATGTAGACTGATGAAAGAGGACATGCAAATAATAAAAAAGGAATCAACTATGATCTAATATTGGCTTGTCAAGTCAAAAAAAGGAACCTGACTTGACCTACTTACTACTGGTATAAACACACGGAAGTAAGTAATCCCGTACCTCTCTCCCACTTCCCGAGCTACCCGCCACCTGCTTGGTGATGGCTTTGGATTTGGGACACCCAAACCCCAAGTCCAAGTCCAAAATAGATAGTCCTCACCCTTCATGCCGTGCAGCCCATTGGGATGTCACTCCGGCATTGAACTCGCACTAGCATGAAAAAGAAAAGTACCAGCAGGCCCAGCACCACCAAGGGAAAAGGTATCCCTCCTCCAAGATCCCATTAGAACCATCACCGCTCCGAAACCCACTGGACGCCACCGCCGACTCCTGGCGTTTTCCTGACCTCCCCCAGTGCGTCCCCCACCCCACACGAGACTGGCTTCCCTCTCGAGGCACGAGGTGCATTTTTCCTGGGGCTTGGGATCGGTGGACCGTGCAGAGTGACTGCATCAATGCATCAAACTATGCCTTGTCTCCGCTTCGGCTCGGGATCATCTGGTGGTCCTAGAGTTAGGTTGGGAGGGGAAAGGCAAGGAAAACAAGACCGACTGTCAAGAGAGAAACACGGCACTGGGGCGGTTGTAGATCCGACTGCTCCGTTACACTTGGCCGGATAGCGGCACGACAAGCACGAGAAGTTGTTTGACCCTACGGTTGCTTACTGGTTCGTCGTGATTCAGATTCGTTTGGGATTGGGAGACAGTATGTATGTACTGTACTAAGAGAGACCGACCGGCGCTGGCCGGTCAGAACGGCTCAGCTCAGAAATGGAGGGACATACAATGCGGGAAAGGATCTTCGGCATTCCTCCTCTCCTCTAATTTCATGATGAGCACATATTGTATCAGCATCCGAAATTCAAGAATGTTCAGAGTTTCAGTGGACCGTGGTCGATCCCCGTCTCCACCGTTTTCTTCATCGCCTCCGATCCCCGGTTTGCGGGGTATCGATCACCTGATGGTTTCATTCTTGAATTTTGGGAAATACTCCAAAACTCTTTTCACTTTACAATAATCAATATGGCCAAAAGAACCAGTGATCTCTCTCCATTCAACCAGCATTCTCATCCAGATCCATATCCGTTACCAAGATGAGCTCATCCTCACCTAATACCCGCCACGCCATCCTGGCCCTGGTCCAACGTGCTCCTCCTCCGAGCGTGAATCAAAGAGATAGCTCCGAGTTGGTGTTCCTCTTTCCTTCATTATGACTGGCTGTACCCTCAGTGACCAACTTGGGACTTTACGATGATACTCCCCGAGTAAACTTTATGCTTCTCTTCTTGCTTCTCCACGCACCCCCCATGCACCTTCGACAGGTGCCCAATCAGATACACTTGTCCCCGGCCGTCTTGCATGGCTCCGCTTGTGATCAGCGGGGAGACGGTTGGTGCTGATGCCTTTTCGTGGGAATATGGAATGCATTAGCGGGTGAGTAGCAGTACGGGCCAAGTGTGCTTGAAGTTCGATTACGTACTGGCTGTGAATAACGCCAATGTTGGGGTGGGAGGGTGAGTAGTATTGTAGTTTGTTTTGCTTGATGATTGGTGTTAACGGCGGGCCAACAGTATATTCCGTGTACGAGGGACGTTAGAGTCAACCTTGACATGGTGATGCCCAGGCTGCGGGTAAATCAACATGTCGGTGCAACTGTCAAATATGGCAACATGGCTCCGAGAAACGCATCTGATAAGCTGGAGATAGCCAATTATCAATCACAGCGTCTCCCGTACTTACTTTCTTTGCTTAACTACAGTCTGATAGGATAAGTTCCTTCCCGTAGAAAACCCAACATAATGGTCCTCGGGCCCTTGTCAGGAGAGGCACACAATCATCCACCAGACGCATTCCCCAATCGCATCAAGGGGGTAGGTAAAAATGGACAATTGAAGGCCAAGACTTTGCCTATTGAGTTGAGCAGGTGATCACGCATGAAGGCCGGGACCTCAGAGTGTACTAGGATCTTCTTCCAGTTGTGTACACATGTCGATACTGGTAGGACAGCTTAAAGGAAAAGGATGCTTGGTCGGGCAATGCCCTGCCCATGGAGCCATGATATATTTCGGCCGGTGCATAGGTATGACGGGTTGGTTGTGTTAGTATTTCCAAAGCTTGATATCTTGTAAAGAGATTTGCAAAGCTATCTTGAATAGAACAAAATACCCAGAATTCAGGTAATAGTACATAGTTAACGCGAATGAAATACCTCAGGCCACAAGGCAGAAACTATTGCCTCAGGTGTGAAAAACTGGACTGATTCAATTGGTCGCCATCTTTATCAGGTGTCAACCACGGCATCTTGCTTTGTAATACCAGCTTCCATCCATTCTCACAGTTTCAGCCATTGAAGTTCTAGCCCTGGATGGATGCTTTCATCTCGCAAAAAAGCCTGAGAGTTGGCCAATTTAATTGGACTCTAATGAAATGGCCCCCGAAGCGCCAGTGGATGACCCTGTCGCCAGGCGCACGCGGCCTGGGAGAAAGTATACCTCACGAGCCTGTGAAGAATGTCGTCGCCGCAGAGCCAAGGTAAGATCAAACCCGATTTACTCTATACATCTCCCTTTTTTGATATCCGTCTAACCTGACCGCTTCACAGTGTGATGGTGTTCGCCCGACTTGTTCTCGCTGTCTGGACCGCGGGGTGCGCTGCCAGTATTCCACAGCTGAAGATGGCAGACAACCAGCGCCCAAGTCCTATGTGGTGATGCTGAGAAATCGGATTCAGCTTCTCGAGCGTGTTCTACATGCTCATGGTATCGATGCGGATGCTTCGATTGCCCAATTTTCAGCTAAAAGCGATTCGCCTGGGCAACCACCCGATTCGGGCGGTACAGCTGCGTCAAATGTCGACGAGTTATGTTTGACATTTGACGGTGCATTGACCTTGGATGAGTCTTTGAACTTCGATCAAGATGGTGAAGTCAGATACTTCGGTCCGTCTAGTGGTCGTTTGCTATTTCGCTCACCGGGGAATGGTAAGTTGACTCTGATAAGCGTGGCGACGATATACTGATTGTAAGCAGATTCACCTAGCGAGGAAGCAAGCCAAATTGATGCTCATTGCACGGGATATTACACCTCACTTTCAGAGTCCCCAGCGATGCCAGTGCCAGAACCAGAGCCCTACCTCAACACAGAGAAAGACATCCCAGACGACAACGGAGTGTCAGAAGAACTCCAAGCCCACTTGATTGATCTCTACTTCGAATGGGAGCAGCCATGGTTTCAGGTGGTGAATGAGAAGCTATTTAGAGAAAGTCTCGTCTGTGCCGGTCGATATTGCAGCCCTTTGCTGCTGACCTGCGTTCTCGCTTCGGGCTCAAGATATTGTGACCGTGTCGAAGTACGATCTGATCCAAATGATTCAAATACAGCTGGCAGGAAGTTTATCGAAAGAGCCGAAAGACTGGTCCAACATGATCTGCGATGGCCGAAGATTACGACCATCCAGTCTTTAGCTATCATGGGCTCAGTCTACATTGTAAGTTGGATCGAATAAGTCTCATCGAAAATGTCCGAGGAGCTAAAAAGCAATGAACGTAGGCTATGGGGTCAGACGCTGCGGGTTGGCTTCACCAAGGAATGGCTAATCGCCTCGCTCTCGATATGGGCTTCAACATGGACCCAGCGGTTCTTGCGGGAGCTGTCGCCCTTCCAGCCATTGAAATTGAGCTGCGAAGACAGATATACTGGGCTTTGTACTGTCATGACAAGCTGTCAGCTAGTTATACTGGGCGGGTTTGCACGTTGCTGGTGAGTACAAGACAGTTTAAAGTGTTTGCGTGATGCTCATTTGTACTATAGGACTCTCAAGGCGCAGTGAAAAAGCCCTTCCTCCAATGCGTATCTGACGTGCACCTCCCGTCTGCCGATGGGAATCTACGAGGTGCCTCACAAAAGAATGTTGTCCAGTTACATCAGGCAATGATTGATCTTTGTCGAATTTTGGAGAAGATCCTTCTATCTCTGTAGGTCACCCCATGGCCCTGCCATTCCAGGACAAGGTTTTATCTGACTCGTTTGCCTAGTTGGTCTCCCAAGCCGTTATTCCACGCCCATCACCGATCGGCATTTTTCGACTCCTGCGTCCTCGAGCTCAAAACGTGGTATTACGACCTACCATCGGAACTGAAAATCGAACGACCATCTGGACCATCACGATTCGCTCATACGTACACCCTCTACATGGTCTATCACACAGCATTTATTCTACTCTGTGGCCCCTTCCTCAGCGGAAACCAACCACCAAAGAACGAAGAACAAAACAAGTCCCCCGAACAACAAGAAAAAATACCAGAGAACCCCGCGTCCCAAAAGGCATTGACCGCCTGCTCCGCCTCAGTCCGATCAATGATCTCCATCGCACAAAAATACAGGCACACATTTGGCAGTTTCAAACTCAGCCCTGTAACCGCGACATACTGCACATTGTCCGCAGCACTGATTATTATCGAGAGATGTTGCTCGCCAGAGAACTACGGCAAACCCAGCCCCCAAGAAGAAGGTGCCCGAACTCTATCGCCCCATGCAGCTGCTGGGCTATGTTTCCAGGTTCTTCGGGAGCTTTCTACTTCGTGGAATATCGCGAAACGCATTGGTAGGAATCTGGAGAAGGTTTACTGTGATCGCTTTGGACAGCATATCCCCTCTCCGCCGTACGACTACAGACCTCCCCCATGCCCGGTTGCATGTCAACCTATGGACTCGAATCAAGCATTGGAATCTGGGATAATTCCCATGCAAGCATTCGATGCGTTCTTTGATGCGAGAGGCCTTGTGACTGATGACCCTCTCGCGCTTTATCCTGAAAATCAGGTACCAATCTACGCCGAAGGTATGGCCGGTCAACCTTTTGTACCTGCGTTTGAAGGGGTGAATATGGATGTGCTTCAGAATTTGCCAAGTGCTGCGGAGTTGTTTGCGAGTGGTCATGGTTTTGCTTTCACGCCTGACTGCCTCCCGAGCGATTATAACATGTTTGATACACTGAATCAGATGTATTTAGAAGAGACTTGGTGATGGGCAAGATATAGAAATCCGTCATGGACCGATTCAATTAATTATACACATCACGGCACAAAACTGCTAACCTCCCTCATCAGATAACATGACGGGCACTTCACCGTGTGATTCCCTCAAGACCCAATGATATCGGCTGCGATTTTCTCTGCGAGCATATCTAGCGGATGTCAGAATCGGCCTTTTCTCTACAAAGTAAATGAATACTTACAAACAACTGACTGAGGATGACCGGGTGGAAGAAATGGAAATGCACTCGCATCAACCACCCGCAGCCCCGTGACACCGAAAACTCTCGCCCGATGATCAACAACAGCCATGTCATCATTGCGAGTCCCCATCTTACAAGTGCAAGATGCGTGATAAATAGTCATGAGCGTATTCTTAATGACTCTTAGAATATCCTCGTCGCTCTGATACTCGGGCCCTGGAAAATACTCCGGCCCAATCAATATGGGCTTCATTGCTGGAGTTTGAAACATGTCACGCATCCGTTTATATGCTGCGGTGGTCAATTTTTGATCGATTTCTGTATCTAGCCAGTTGGGATTGATCACTGGGAGATCTGCTGCATTGCTGGAGCGAAGAGTCACATTGCCCCGAGAGGTAGGAGCAACGATGCTCGCAATAATCGAGGCATACTGACCATGCCGGGGCTGCTGGAAGAATGGATCCGAGAAATTTCCAACAAATGCTGACGCGGCTAAATACTGGAAAGGGGTTAGCTTTAATTTACACTTGACGGCGTTGAGAGATCTCACCTCGATCTCGGGCCAATCCTCTGGAAACCAAGAAAGGGTGTCTTCTTCTTGGTCGGTGAGAGCATATCTCGACGCGCTTGGAAGCTTCTCAAACGCAAGATAGTCAGTTGATGGATTGGTCAACAGCCCGTCGTGAGAATAAAGATACGTCGCCACCTGTCGAGCCAGCCAGGCTGGACTCTGAGCCATCCGGGAGAACGTGTCGATAGCAACTTGATAGGAGGGACCAAAAAAGACGTGATCCCACATATTCTGGCCGACTCCAGGCAGAGTCACGATGGGTTTGATGCCATGCTCATGGAGAACGCTCGCAGGACCAATCCCGGACAGCATGAGTAACTGGGGAGAGTGAAAAGCCCCTGTCGATAGAATGACTTCATGTCTGGCCCATAAGGTGTAATCCCACATCCCATGGACTCTCACACCACGAGTCCGATTTCCCCAGTCGAACAGGATCTTTTTCGCCAGCGTCTTCTCGTAAATAGACAGCGTTTCCAGATTCCGGGGAGATTGAAGGAACGCCGCTTCCGAACTACTCCGTGATTCATCTGTAGGGCGAATGGTCATGGAGCAGAACTGGTGTCCCATGAGTGAACCAGTGTTGAAGTCCTCCACCTCTTGTATGCCGAGCGCGGTCATTGCCCGACGGACCCAACGCGAAAATGGCATTGCATACCGGGGATATGAAACTTGCAGTGGCTCACCAAAGTCGTCAAATGCTGAGTCGTTGTAAGGCGTTCTGATGTTGTTGGATCGACTGTTCGGCGCGGTGAAAGATATAGTCTGTTTGAAATATCGCCAAGTGTTCTTGAACGTATAGCTGGGGTCATCCACCAACTCGGCCCATCGGTCCATTGCGCCTTTGGACGGACTGGAGGAAGGATCAGAATATGTCAGGTTTGTATGAGGGAAAAGACTGACCGTTGGTATATCATGAAGTTCAACGCCGATCTGGAAGGCATTGGGTCAGTGATCTGGGCGCGTGAAAGGCAACGAAGATACCACGTACGACCCTCCCAAACACTTCCCTCGAGGATAGTGGATATCACGATAGTTTGCTCCAGGCACTTTCTCCGCGACAAACTTCCAATCCACCGAGGATGCCATCGAGATGCTAGCCCCAATTCCAATTGTTGCAGCACCCGGGATTTTGGAGAGTGGATGCATCCATTCGTAGTAGCCCCCCGCCTCCACCAGAGCGACGTGAAAGCCATTCTGGGCAAGACGTGAAGCCACTGTGATGCCTGCTGTGCCGCCTCCAATCACGACATAGTCGTAACTCGCATCCCAAGGGGGTGACGGCCATCCCACAAAGGCATTGTCTGGCCATGTCCACAGAGGCAATGGCGGCAACCGCCAAAAGGCTGCAAACAAAAATGATGAAAGTAGCTGAAGCACCGTAAAGACCAACATAATGACTCTAACAGGTCGATGGCAATTGAAGATTTGATAACAGAACAGAAATAGCAGCAATAGATTGGGGCTTCTTTTAAAGTAGAATGTACTGGCTCATCGCAAGGCAGTGTCGACCAGGTCGTTCCTGCCTTGACCAAAAAAGACTGGCGGACAACAAAAGCCTTCCATAATATTTTAACCAGGAACCCAGAAGGTGTCTGGCTCAAATTTCCTGTGTGAATTTGAAACTCTTAGACTAACTAACGGTGCCTAATGAATTGGTCTCGTCTCATCTGCCTTTACTAACGGTGGTATTTCTTCCTAATATTTCCTCTAATATTCTCTATAAATGCTTCCTCTTGATTCTTCTTCCTATAAATCTTTCCTTGGAGTCTTCTCCCTTAATATTTCCTCTCAATACCTCCTCTGCTTCCTTACTCCTTATTCTTCATTTGCATCTTTGCCTAGTATCGTTTCCCTCAATCCTTCCTATCGATACTTCCTCGCGATTCTTTCTCTTTTACTCTCTATCCTTTCACTTTATCCTTATTTCCTATCGTTCTACTTCGCCCCTACTTTCTATCCTTGCTCGTCATCTTTCCTCGTCATAATTCCCTCTTTACTTTTCCTATTCACCTATTTCCTCTTTATATTTCTTCCTTATCCTTTCTCCTCACTCTTCTCTCAATCCTCTCTCTTCCCTAAACCTTACTCTTTAATATTCCGTCTTCGCTATTTCCTCCTTACAATTTCATCATTACGACTCCCTTTACACGATCTCATCTCTACGATCCGGCCGTCACGATTTTCTCGTCTTCCTTCCTTCTATCCTTCCTCTCTACCCTCCATCTTCATCTTCTTCCTCACTCGCTCCGTGATCTGAAATATCACACCTTCAGTCATCTATCCCTTCCACCGATAGTGGAATTTGTTCTCCACTCAAGCTAGGCCATGGTATATTCTGATTCGTTCCAAATTGAGGCCTCCTCGAGCTCTCACTCACCTATCGCCCTGCGTTGCAGATTCGTTTACCGCCGGCGCATCCGACGGCACGTCCGCATTCATCATGATACCAAAGAAGTTCATGAGCTACTTCACACTCTTCTCGGGCTTCGATTACGATGTGATGGCACCAATCAGCATTGAGTTCGGATGTATTGTCGAGAGCCGTGATTGGCGCCGTGGTTCCAAGGCCTGGCGCATCAATTGGCACCTCTGCATGGTCAGCGAGTACCAAGTCCTCATTGGAAGGCACGCAAATGAACTTGCGACCTGGCAGGGTGTCTGCAAAAAGACTGGCCTGGAGGACGATTTTACGTCCATCGCCCAGTGCACAAAGGTGGGTCATCCTTTTGATTGGTCGGAGATCATAATCTTATTTACCTTTCTTTCTGTGCACAGGCCTTGGATCATATCCATCTAAACATCATTGACTTGATTGACTTGATTGAGTTCCGGGAGACCGACAATGTGCCCCAACGTTTCAGCAATGGCCGGGACTAGGCCAAATACTCAATGTCCAGCGGCAAAGTTTACCCCCCGTGATGCCGCGAAGAAGGACCCGATCCTCCAAGTGTTGCTAAAGCAGCTCCCGTGAACCCAGATGGACTGGCCTCCTCGAAGGGTTGACATAGTATGACCGACTACGGGTCAAGCTTTTTCATGATATGAGGAATTTGAACCTGATCAGCGGGTCTTCTCGGTGGCTTTTTGATTTAGCTATCATTTAGATAGCCATGCGTTAGTCACAATGAATTCGCGTTACGTTAGACTCAAGATATATGTAAACCTTCAATACTAGAAAGTTGCCTTTTCGAGACTGAGTTTTATTCAAATATGGGTACACTGCATGTGGACGCTGACTGTGCTGTTACAGATTGGACCTCACCTGAGCCCGTTGCCAAGCGTTTTCGGAATGATGGCCATCCCGCAACTATGGCTGCTCCTCTCACGAGGACATTTTTTCCTCTCACGGCCGTCCCGAGGAATAGACTTTAGGGGCGCAAAGACGAGGGCTCATGGGGAACGCCGCCAACCCGAGGCGCTCGTTTCTGAAACCTACCCAGATGAAGCCATGCCGCTATGGGGAAGGTGCTCGCAAGCGATAACCAGTTACCAATCAGCGGACTCCGGATCTCTCAAGCTTTTAGCGGGGGTCCACTTACACGCTTTTTGAAGGTTAGTTTGACTCTTTGGTTGACCATGTGGCTGACGAGCGAACAGGTTGACATCGCTCGCTAAGTGGGCAGATAATTGCTACCAGCACCAATGAGGATTGCTACCGGAAACTAAAACTCCCTTGGCCTTGGTTACAACGAATGAGGCGTAGGGAAAGGGGCAATGGCACACGCTGACAGACGAGTGCAAAATGTCTGTCGGTTTGCCGTGATTATTTATCTTCTTTGCTTCTTCTACCTTTTTTTTTGCTTTTTCCTTTGTTCTCCTTTATCTATACTCGAATCTCCCTCGCCCTTGGACTATATTCCCATCATAATCGACAATAATGGCGGACATGAGCACCAAAGAGGTCGCCGAAGGCAGTCAGCTTCGCCAGCGCCATCATGAAGGTCGCCAAATCGAAATCGTCGGCCCGGATGGCCAGCACAGAAAAGTCGCGGTCGCTGACCTGACCCAAGACGACTCCGAACTGGCCACCAGGTTCGGCTATAACCCGGTTTTCAAGAGAGAATTTGGATACTTGTCGACATTTTCGTTCGCCGTCAGTATCAGTGGTCTTTTTGCTACTATTATGACTACCTTGTCGTACCCATTGCTCGCCGGTGGCAGCAGTGCGGTTATTTGGTGTTGGTTTATCTCTGGTTTTGGCTGCATGTGTATTGCAGTAGGTAGTCCTGTGAGAATGTCCTCGAAAGACACATAACTAACAGCAGCTCTAGTGCTCTGTCGCCGAGCTGGTCTCTGCTTATCCTACCTCCGGTGGACTGTAAGTCTTCCTCGTTATCATCCAATAGGAAGTCCCGATCTGACAGGCGTCTAGGTACTTCACTATCTCTCGTCTCGCACCCAACACTTGGGTTCCCTCCATCAGCTGGTAAAGTAGTCCCCAGAATTTGTTTTGCAGTTTTCATTGAACTAATATTGGTACAGGGTTACCGGCTGGCTTAACCTCCTCGGCCAGGTCGCTGGTGTTGCGTCGTCCGAATATGGAGCAGCCCAAATGCTCCTCGCAGCGGTCTCTATGAGCCGCGACTTCAACTATGAAATTACCGCAAACACTACTGTTGGCGTGATGGCCGCTCTTACCGTCATCACCGGTGTGGTCAACTCTCTGTCCACCTACTGGATGGAGAAGATGACCAAGTTTTATGTCATTTTCCATGTCTGCGTTCTGGTTGCTTGCTCCATCGCGTTGCTGGTCTTGACCAAGGATAAGCACGACGCTAAGTACGTCTTCACTGAAGTCAGGTCCGAGAGTGGCTGGACACCTATTGGCTTCAGTTGGTTGTTCGGATTCCTGTCCGTCAGCTGGACAATGACAGACTACGATGCGACTGCCCACATCACTGAGGAGATTAACACCCCCGAACTCAAGGCTCCCTGGGCTATCTCCTCTGCCATGCTGTTCACCTATGTCGCTGGCTTCCTGTTCAACATTGTGCTTTGCTTCTGCATGGGCGACCCCGACGAAATTCTTGCCTCGCCCATGGCCCAGCCTGTCGCTCAAATCTTCTACAACAGCCTGGGCAAGGGCGGTGGTATGTTCTTCACCATTGCGGGTCTGATCATCATCAAGTTCGTCACTTTCACTGCCATGCAGGCCCTTGGCCGCACTGTTTTCGCCTTCTCCCGCGATCGCATGATGCCCTTCTCCAATGTCTGGATCAAGATTGCTCCTTGGACTGGAACCCCCCTCTACGCTGTGTGGATGTCCGTTTTCTTCTGCATTGCCATCAACTTGATCGGTCTTGGCTCCTACACTGCTATTGCGGGTGTTTTCACAGTCTGTGCTATTGCTCTGGATTGGAGCTACTGCATTCCCATTTTTTGCAAGCTGTTCTTTGGCAAGTTCCAGCCTGGTCCCTGGCACATGGGCCCCCTCAGTACCATCGTCAACATATGGGCGTGTTTGTGGACCCTTTTCGTCAGCATCATCTTTGTTCTCCCTACCGCGATGCCGGTCACCGCGGAGACCGTACGTATCAAAACACCCTCCATCGCTTTCCAGTACACTAATTTGATTACAGATGAACTACGCCTGTGTCTACCTGGTGGCAGTTCTCCTGTTCGCTCTGGTTTACTGGTACATTCGTGGCCGTGCAGTGTACACCGGCCCTGTCACCGAAGCCATTTCGGATGAGATCTCCGAGAACGAGATCGTGGAGTTTGAAAAGGCTGCCAAAGGCCCCGCCGCGTAATCATGCCACTAACGGCCGCCCTTTTTCTCCCATCGCGACAACTACGCACCATAATATCAACTATTCACGATCCCCGACCTGCGCCAGCAACAACCCAGTGCAACAACTTCCCACTCGCCATGTTATTGCCCTTACTCGTCTCACTTCCAGAAATCAGCCCAATGTTCGCCAACTTCCAATACCCATGCTTTCCGTTCCGTTGACTTGACCCATCACCAATCACCACCCATGCCATTTCACACAGGTTGCCACGGCTTCAGCTTATTCACCCTCTGGTAAACGGTAACTTCGCCAATCAGCCCTGAGACAACAACACCCCAAGCGACATTCTTCGAGCTAAAGTATATGGACCCTTGCGCGACAACGATTTTGTCATGAGTAACGGTATATATCCTAGGGGTAATTCAAGCGTTTATTGTATGTGCCACTTATGCTTGTACATAGCTGACCATGCAGATAGACGTCATATAACTCTATCTGATTGCAAATATTTTGTGCATCATTTACGCACGGCTCATTTTCATGGAAAAATATCACTAGCTGCACCATCATGATTAATTCATGATTAGAATGCTAAACTTCGACTTACGATTTGACTTCTTGGCCCAATACGACTTGCTAAATTTCAGAATTCCCATATTTCTGAATGCCCTGGAGTGACTGATTTACAATCCCCTACCACATGCGACGTCTTAACCCCATGCGACCTCCCATAACGGATCTCGATATATCCTCTACTTCGAATGCCCTGCGGTCACCTTCTCACAAACACAGCGCCCATGAGAAGCCCCGCACATCATGCCCATCCTGAATTCGCCTGGATCGGTTATAACTGGATTGATCTCAATATTCACCGTCACTTTGTAGCAGAGCCAACCCATCATACATGATTGTTGACGGGCCCATTCATGGAAGCTTTCTCAATACATCTGCCACTAATCTTTAAAGCTCCTTAAGTTCTCCATCAAAGGCACGATGATCAAATCGAATACCTTTTCCTGCATGGCTTCGTTTTCCAAATTGGAAGTCCTGACTACCGTGCCAAAACAGACACTGTTCGACAATCCTTGCGTATTCCGGCCCACTGCGCTCCATAACAGAAGGCAGGACACGAGCTGCGGTTTTGAGATTTGCAACTGCTTCTTGCAGATCTGCATCGTCAGAGGTGCTGAGAGCCTCGAGTGTTTGACATAGTGATAGCTCACGAGAATAAGGCCTAGAGGAAAGAGTATCTGACTTCGGATAAGCGCTGCCGTCATGGTGCTGTTGTGGTCGTGAGCCTCATCTCCGACATTCCATGGAATGTAAGGAATACCGAGGATGGCTGGGGATTCGGATGTGAACATGATATCTCGAGCTCTCCAATGGTCTCGTAGCCAGCTTCCAACCGCAGGCGATCTCTTTGGCTCAATAGAAAACCCTCGTTGGTCTGACCGGCTGTGAAGGTAGAAGACGTCGTGATCAGATCTTCTAATGATTGCGTCTTTAGAGAATCGGCAACTTGTCCCACGTAGTAGACATTATGTCTGTGACTCTCATCTGATACCCATCCCAGGGCTCGTCGAGCATCACCCTCGGCTGTTATTTTCACCAAAGCCTGACAGATGTCCGTGATTGGTGGAAGCTTATCGGAATGGCTCAGGTTGCCTGGAACTAGGCCTCCTTCACTTAGTAAGGTTGTATCGGAGGCGAACTGAACCCTTGCTTTCCCTTTGGTTTGATTCAAGGTCAATTGTTGGGTGTGTCTGCTAATTGACAGACGCATCGTACTCCCACGGTCGACGACATCATGTCGGGTTCAGCCTCAATCTCATGACCAAACTTCCAGAGTGAGGAACTCATTGTCATATTAGGAGCGAAGATCATGCGGAATCGGGAACTCCCAGAACCTTATCATGACGGGATCAAGAGTATCCATAGATGGTGCATTGAGCACAAAGTGAACGGTATGTTGATGTTTGCAGGGACATTTCCAGTATTTTCCTCTGATGATCGCCTTGTGTAGACTATGCGTCGATCGTCGCGACTTTCGGTAGCGTGATAACGTGTGATTTGATAGCCTCCGCTTTCGAGACATGTCTCGGTAGTCGGATTGTCCCACCAGTGTCTTCAATAAGGTATTAGCCGTATTCATTCTGTTGAGTAGGTCTGCATATATACTCTTTAAAAAGATGTCCCTGAATTTTTTGACTTCTCTTTCGATATTGGAGGAGTTGTTCCAGTATTCCTGAAGTTTCGATCATTCTCATATCAGCAATGTCACGCATTCTGCACTAGCATTCCATTGGTCTTAACCCACCTCTGGATCACCCTGTCCCAACCCAACTTGCGGGACAGCTCTTCCAGTAGAAGAGACATCTCTGTCATAGTCCTCTCAAATGGTGTGTATTTCCCGTCCATCTTCGCTTTCAACTTCTTGTGCAAAGTGGGCTCCTTCCAGAGGGTGCCTGATGGACTGCTAATCAGATCGTCCACATCATTTTTTCAATCGACGACTCCATCCAGCGACCGTTCCAGGGTGTTGACAAATATCGCCTGCTGTGTCCAGAGACCGGACAGGTAGCCATCCTGCTCCCTACGATATCGCTTAGCCCGAAATCCTTTGAGTGTCTCGAGGCCTTGCACATAGTTGTCAAGTTGGTTGAGAAGGAAAGGGAGGATAGCAAGCGCAACTCCTGCTCCCTCCATTTGGGGCTCTAAACCAGTTAAGAAGAGAGTTAGAAAGATGTTTAAAAAGATGTTTAAAAAGAGAGGAGAGTCGGAATTCGCCTCAAGTTCTGTCCAGGGGATAACAGCATCAGCTAGTATCAATCACCCCTCTACCCCGCAGCGACCCCCCTGTCAGTTGCATCTTAGAGCCTCGAAACCACTAAGAGTCGAGTGCGACCCCGCCATTCCTTTCCTTCCTAGAGGTGTGCGAGTTCACAAAATGAGCACAAGTTTACCTGTTGTAATATCGTGCCTCAAGCAGTTCAAAGCTATCAAATCCTCTGATCATTTGAAGGTATACAGTACTCAGGTCCCACAGGCGCTTTGGCAAGATGAGCTGGGACGCTTACGGGTCTGGGCTGCCAATATCGGTGCTCATCAAACAGGCCAGTCCTCCTTGGACCATCGACTTCGCGATGCGTCGCATATCAAAGATCAGACACTCCGAGTCCTGAGAAGGTTGCAGAGACTGATACAGGATCTTTACGATGCCCTTCATTCAGAAAGTGTATCCGAAGATCTATCGGATTCAGACGATGAGGAAGGGCGAAAATCAGAGATGCAGATAATCTACCAAGACCTTCACGATACGATCAGTCATCTCTTCCAATTATCGATGATCATTCGGAAGTAAGTTCTTTGGGTGGGGATTTTGTACGGGGGATGTGATAGCTAACATCCTCTCCAGACCCGCGCAGCATGATCGCTTTTGGGGAACGAAGCGGTCCGATGCTGCTGGCTTCGAACCCTTCGATCGACAACATGTCATAGACAAGTATCCTCATGCAGAAACCAGTGTTTTAGAGCGTCTCGGTTTAGCGATATCCCAGCGATGAGCGATACTTAGATATCGCGAACGACACCATATCAAATTGGGGAATGGTCTCAGTCAAGCCATCGGAGAACAATCAGATGCAATTTCGACCAACATCTCGGAAACAGTTGCGACACACTACGACAAGAAAAGAAGTTCCAATTATCTCAATAGGTATGATTCCTGCCCAGTCCGTTCTGCTGCCCGTTTATCAACAGGTTCAAACTCAAGAACCGTCTTTGGGGAGTAAATACCCGGGTTGAACACGAAGGTCTCCATGAGAGATGTGGACGTAATATACTAAAGTGGTCGACTCGAGATCAAAACGCTGATAATAGGTCCTGGACTCGAAGACGGATTTTCGTACTTCGTGAAGGTCAGAGGGGCAGTTTGGGTAAGGAAATCGTTCGTTCTTTCAGAGTCATCGTACCAGGTCATCAATCTTATCTCCCGAAGATGACACTGGCCTCTTTTGCGTGCCTTTCGTACATATCATTTGTAAGCCGGTCGTTATTAGAGAGATCAATCATTAGATTCGGATCATTGCCGGTCTCCTAAAACCTAAAGCCACGTTGGCGCCATGTGGCTGACGAGAGCCGACGAGCTTACAGGGCCCCAGGTTGAATGGTACTCTGTGGCGCACATGTATATCGTATGAAATCAGACATTCCCTATTGCGCAATACCAGAACTCATTGAGGAGACGTCTAGAAATCCGTGCTGGTAGTTATAGCTGTCCGTCCGCGGAGAATAGTTATTACTCCTCTATTATAGGGGAGGTATGGTCGGAGTTAATAAGGTTGACATGATGGAGGCGAGACAGGAACACCGGGGCGATCGAGCCGACTGGCCGAGACCCGATAGCCGACCTAGGAGGATCCATCTTCGACTAAGCCCCTTGGGCTATCTATAAATGGATCTTTTTAATTGCGGAGTCTGATTTCCTATCCAGCTTGTTTTATGTCTGGGGTGGGGCTTGGCAAATGCGGAGAAGTTGCGGCTCCACAGTTGCGACCGAGTGTTGATGCTATAGACGAAGATTACCTATGATCAGAGTCAAGATTGTAGATAAAATAGAGTGTTTATGAGAATCATAGTAGTCCAAAAAAGAGTTAAAACATGACTCGGGCTAATCCACCCTTGCTATCTGTAATTAACATTTACCGGGATTGTCACTACAGCTTAGTTCCCCATGGCGTGCTATGGCGAAATCAGAGGGCGCCGCTTGCGTGCTGGCAGCTGCCCAGAAACAGCCGAGCCGATCTGGGAAGTTAATTACCAGCTACGACGAGTCAAACATCATGTTGCATGTTGCACGAGAAGATTCATAAGCGCATCTTTTTGTCGCGGTGTTGCATCTGACATCTCATTATTTTCTTTTTTTTTTCTCCCATTTCACGTCGGGTTCCCCTGTACGCTCCCGGCTTGGTGTGTGACGGATTCTCTTCTTTCATCATGGGACGTCTTAATGGGACTAGACTTGGTGCTTTTAGGGCATATTTCTTTGGATTTTTTGTTTGTACCGCTGGTTTTTTGTTTGGATATGACACGGGTATTGTTGGTGAGTTTCATCGTCATATAGAGCTCGAGTTGCTCGAGTCCTTCCAAACAGAACGTTCAATCCAGTTGCTAACTCAATATTTACTGCTCTACAGGTGGAATTCTCACATTCCAATCCTACAAGGATGATTTCAGATACAACGACAAGACCACCGTAAGCGCGGTCATGGTCAGTCTGCAAAATGTCGGCGCCTTTCTCGCCGCGCTATGCATCTTCCCCATCTCCGAGCGCTTTGGCCGTAAAAAGACCGTCCAGGTGGCCATGTCCATCTTCTGCGTCGGTGTCATCTTGCAAGTCGTCCCGTCGCATTCGCTGGTATGCTTCTACATCGGCCGTTTTGTGTCTGGTCTCGGCCTCGGCGCAGGTACGGCGGTTGTCCCATCGTACAACGCAGAGATGGCTCCCAAGGAGATCCGTGGTATGCTGGGCTCTGGTGTCCAGTGGCTCTTTGCTCTTGGTGTCATGATTAGTTACTGGATTGATTATGCGGTTGAAAAGACTCTGCCCGTCTCGTCTGCGCAGTGGCAGATTCCAATTGGTCTGCAGCTGGTACCGGCGACTGTTTTGGCTCTTGGTCTGTTCACGCAACCCGAGAGTGTGAGATGGTTGGCCAAGAAGGAGCGCTATGAAGAAGCATGGCAGAGTCTCACCTGGATGCGTGCTAGTGAGGGTATGTATAATCTCCTTTTCATGCAGTCGAAACAGCACACTAATTATCTCATCTACATCAGGCCCTGAGGTTAAAGCCGAGTTCAACGAAATCAAAACCGGCCTAGCTGAAGAGCTCCGTGCCACGGACGGCCTTAAGAAACGTGAACTCCTCGAACCTGCCAATCGCTACCGTCTAGCCCTCGCCGTCTTCATCTTCTGCGGCCAGCAATGCACCGGAATGACTGCCCTTGCCTACTTCGGCCCGCAATTCTTCAAGCTCCTCGTCGGCAATGACAGCAGCCGATCCCTGCTCATCACAGGCCTATTCGGTGCTGAGAAGTTCATCGCTGTCGGCATTTACATCCTCTTCTTCTCGGAGATGTGGGGACGTAAACCCACGCTCTGGATCTCGGCTCTGCTCATGTCGGTGTGTTTCGTGATCGTCACGGTTGTCAACAACACCACCCCCAAGCCTCAGCAAGAGGTTACTTCTTCGGGAATTGCGACAGTAGCAATGATCTTCCTCACCAATTCCATCTACCAGTTCAGTTGGGGCCCGTTGCCGTGGCCTTATACGACCGAGGTACGTTTCTACTTTACCTACAAGTCACATCCCTTTTACCTCATTCACTAACAATATCAGATCTTCCCCTCCCGCATCCGAGAAATAGGCTCCTCCGTCGCAGTAGCCACCCAGTGGCTCTTCAACTTCCTCTTCTCCCTAGTAACCCCCTACATGCAAAGTTCCTGGGGCAGTTACACCTTCCTCTTCTACGCCGCGCTGGACGTGATCATGGCGATTATCGTCTGGTTCTTCGTGAAAGAGACCAAGGGTAAAAGTTTGGAGGAGATGGAGACTATTTTCAATAGTAAGGCTGCGTTTGATGTTGAAATTGCCCGCCATGAGGGTGAGGAAATTTCGGATCATGTCTCGGCTTTGGAGGTGCATAATAAGGGGGATGGGAGTGCGAAGGGGTCGGATGAGGAGGATACGAGATGAGAGGGATTTCGGATGGGTCTTGTGGTTTTGGTTGAATTTTTATGATACCTTGCGCTGTTGGAGCGTTATTATGGTTTTTTGGTTGTATTTGTTACTGGGATAGGTTACAATGGGATTAGGCGCTCTTTATGATCTAGAGTGCGTACTAGACCAAATAAATCAGGTTTCTACCATGCGTGTCGAGTTGAGTATCCTGCTACCGGGAATCGGGCTGGAGTCGTAGCCTATCCTTCACCAGATCTCTTAGAAGCAGAAAATTGGTCAAAGGAAACTGGAGCAAAGCGTTTCAAATATACGGCGTATCAATGACATTGCGCAGGGATATTATTACAGTACTGTATAGACAATAATTTTTATCACGACCCCTTACAGCGCCTTCTTACCCTCCGTCTGACGCTGCGACTCAACCACGTAACCCACAGCACGCGCAATACCCTCGTCCACAGGGACGATAGGCAGATACGCGAGACGGTACTTCGCCTTCTCAATGGAGAAGTAACGAGTCATGCAAGAGTACCGCACAACACGACGGGTCAGTCGCGGCGTCTTGCCAAACAATCCCAGCACGCTTTCCGCCAATCCACCCACAACCTCCAACAGACCCTCCGGCAGAGCCCAGACTTGGTCAGGCTCGACAACCCGGCCGATCAGCGCCCACATGGCGCGGGTCACGTCCCAGAAATAAATGGGCGAGTCGTTCGTGATGTTGAAGGCCTCGCCGTCAACGCGCTCGTGATCCAGGATGCCGCCCTGGCCGCCCTGGTACAAGTCGTAGCTTGCCAGTAGACGGTGGCCGGCGAGCATGTGTGCGTAAGCGATGTTGCCGACGTAGGTGAAGTCGAAGAGGTTATCGTTGTCGCCGAGCTGCATCTTCAGGACGGTCTGCGAGGCTTGAGAGCCGTGCTCGAGGATCTTGTATGTCACTGTTGTGTCCTTCTCGCCGTAGATACCGGCGGGTCGGATGGCGCAGGTCACCATGTTGGTGGGGGACTGGCGGTTGTACTTCAGGACGATCTCTTCGGCATCGGCCTGGTGGGAGAAAAGAGTGTTAGCGATTGATTGAGTGGATGGCGCAATGATATGGTGCTTACCTTAGTCTCGGAGTAGTACTCCTTTTGGAGGCGACCACGGATCAGGGGCCACTCTTCGTTGACGTTCTTCAGATCACTCTGCGTATCATGCACCACAGAGCTGGAGCTAGTGTAGACGAACGCCTTACACTTGCCGCCCCAATCGCCGTGCTCGCCGCCAGCAACCTCCAGAAGTGTGCGAGTTCCCTCGACATTGACTTTGTGCAGGAGCTTCTTGTTACCATCGAGGACGGACGGGGTCGCAGTGTGGATAACCAAATCAGGCTTGACAGCATTGAACACCTTCATCATCGACTCAACAGAAGTAATATCGCCATCATAATAAGTCGCACCGGGAAGACGGTTGTGCGTCGTGCGCAGATCAACCACCGACACTGTAGCCTTGTATTGGGGGTAACGCGAGCCCAGGGTCGGGTACTCGAAGCGGGCATCGCCCTTGGGCTTTGGCAGCGCGCTGCTGGGATCCGTCTCCGAGGGGAAGTTCAGGAGATGATCGACAATGTGCCACCCCAAGAAGCCGCAGCCTCCGACCACCAACACGTTACCCAATTCCAAATTGCGCCGTTTCGAAGGCATTGTAGCGGAGATGTGAGAGATGGTGGATCAATTGACTTGAGACTAGCTTCGGGATGGGGTTGAAAAGGGGACTTTGGGGGAGCGACGGGGGCGGATCAGCTGACACGTGCGATAAGAATTTCCGCGTTATCAGGCATCTACGGGGTACTACTCCGTACACGCTAGTTAACTAGTACTGTGTACTGTACTCTATGCAAGACTCTTTTTACTTTATTTACCCGCAATTTAACCGGACTGAGAAGCAAACAACGGTCTTATTGCTAGACCACTAGACAATCATCATACACACAATGCCCTAATCATCCCCGGGAATTGTATCTATGGATACCCAATGACTTTTGAGCCAGCAGAGAGCCATCTCTCTTTCACCTTCTCACTCTCAATCAAACGTTCCTAATCAGGTACATAACTTGATCAGCACAATTGCCTACAAATTTGAATACTTTAACGAAGGGAAAAGGGAGAATGTAAACTCACTCAAGAGTGGCCGCAACTGAGCGGCGGAGATTGCGACGATACTGTCGCTGGTCCGCTTCAGACCCCCAGCAAAGTGCGCTTGCCTCGGGGTTCACCGTCATCATTGGGTTGACGGGCGGCTTTTCTTCCTCCAAGGAGCTGATTATGCCATCAATGTGACGGCTCATCTCATCTGCCTGGAGGGGAAGGTAGATGAGCACGTTCTGTGGCGAGACACGAACATGATACAGCGGAGTCTCGAGTAAGACTCGTGGCTGTTCGGCGGGGTGATTTGGGCTGATGAAGATTTTGATCTTCAAAACACCGCCGTCAAACTGGGTCATTGGACGCCCATGGTAGATGAGACGCCACAGAAACGGGTTGTCGTCCACAAGCTCGAGGGTCACCATTCCATCAGTGCGCTGGGCAACCTGGAGCACGATCTGATCACGCTGTGCGCGAAGACTTGCTGCGAGTGGCATTTTCTTACGCTCCATACGACGCCCTTCAATTACCCATGAGTTGGTCTCTGCCTTGATGCGCAATTCGAGAACCTCCAGACGCTTTTCCAGGCCTTCGTAGTCCCAGGAACCAATCATGTAATTGCCGGGGTACTCGAATGGCGCCTGCGGGAAGGGATGGCCGGCTCGCCCTCTTCCCTCCTTGAGGCCCTGTTGGATGGCCATTTTGTAATATTCCAGATACCACATGAATCGTCTCTTGTATGTATCGAGGAATAAGTTGACGGGCTCATCTAACAGAGAGGGGTCTGGATGCCCGGGCTCGTAGTACCGATCCTCATTTGGCCGCCCGCTGGGCCGTGGGGGTCTGATTCCATATGCTTGTTCAAGAGGCGTGATGACTGTCAGGCGGAGACTCTCGTGTTTGATCTGCGAGGTTCAGTTAGCAACTGAGGTCCCTTATGCTCTTGGGGGCTTTTTCATTCATAGGGTGATGTCGAATATTGTGGACCTCTGGGCACATGGCTACCTTTGCATTGTACCCCTGACTCTGGGCATTGTCGGGTTCATCCTCAAATCCTGGTTCCAGGTTGAAGGGCTTGGCCGCCAAAAGGCTCTGGATGGATCGCAGGACCGTTTCCAGTCCCAACACGGGGGTCCATTGCTCGTTGGATTCAGCTCGCCAAGTGCTTTATATATGATTAATGACTGTACTGACTGGTGATTTTCAGTTCAAGATGATGATAGAGCTCTTACCCCAGGATTGATCTATTCAGGACGCATGTTAGCTTTTGTTTCTCAACCTCATCACATTGTCGCGGAGAGAACTCACAGGCAGACCTTCCCACCTGCATAGAGGTTTGGACCAAAGCGGGTTTGTCCGCGGTTAGTTGTCTGCAGGCGGACAATGGGCGGTTTCTCGGGATAGTCTGTAGAATCGAGGTCAGTGGTTTAATGGCTTGATATGACAGAACTTGAGCCAACCGGACTTATACTCACCAGGAGGGATCGTGATCAAAAACTAGAAATTTAGCAGCCCGTCAGCCAGAGACTTTGAACTTTCATCTCGTTTCCCTGGTGACTTACTTGGTAGAAGCCTAGGGCGTATGGGGTATCGGGTGGTCCAATGACGAGAGCGTTGATCTCACGGATGTTGGTCTCCTTGTAAGAGATGACGATAGCTGAAAGTTCTGTCAGGTCGTGGTCTATGAATGGAGCTGACGATCATAGCATACAGATATCATCACTTCGAGCGAACTGGCTCAGTTCCTGTGTTGGGTCACATTAGTCGGCTGTTCTATCTGAAGTCTCGATACTTGGTCGATTCCAACTTACGCGCATCACACGGAGGGCACACTGGTCCGCCATTTTGCAAACCTGCGTACCCGTCGAGAATGTTGAAGGCGAGGAGTAGTTGATAGGGATCGTTGATGATGGAGGGTAGAATGATGATGGAGGAGGGTGGTAGAAGGAAACAAAGAGCCCGACTTCTACAGCTGTCTAAAACGGCAGCTACCCGGGATATCAGGATGGGCATTTTCCATTTCGGCCTTTTTGAGCTTCGGACTATCCCTCAAGAGGGTTACTGCATTGCAGATATGACATTATGTCATAGATTGATGGTATTGGCTTTGGCTTCGAAAATTTTTGTCCTATTAGCCAACCAGTAGAAATACTCCGGCAATTGTGTACTATCGATTGACATGGGAACGTCAGTAGCTTCATCAAGAGTTAATTTGGAAGAGGGGAGGACTGTTGACATAGTGAAAGTTTGGACCAGTCTTATTATACCGCCTTGGGTGACCGCCCGGCCACCAATTTTGGACTCGGACTAAACAAGGCATTAACATGAGATGATTGGATCATGACTAGTAATTGCCTTGCAAATACCAATCTATCGGATTAAAGCATCATTGAGGACTGTTTCCATAGCTGGCAGAATCATGAACGACCATTGATGACGTTATAATCTTGCAGAATAGGACCAAGTTTCTAGCCTGTCCATCTCTGTCTGGAGTACGGAGTAAATCCTAGGCATTTACAGTTTACTATGACCCTTGGATTTTCTGGGCGACAGTGGATCGTGGCTGGAATAGTGGAACCCCACGAATAGGAAATTCCATCAAGACCCCGAATCATATGGATCATATTCTACGATGGTATGATAGGAGTCGGTATCGATTGTTTGCGATAGCATTGAGCCTGTACACCGCAGGGTTTATGCAGCGGCTGAAACCCCAGGGTGGTTGTGAGACTGATGCTATAAAAAGCCTAAACGAGAGGAGCCATGGCTGGTGTCGGGATGGTTCAAGCGGGTCCAGGCACGACTCGAAAGCGCCGACTCGTATAGTATACTATACATAGATGTAAATAAACAAACAGATTTCGATTGATATTGATAGAGATTGTTATCAGATGAAAGCTCAAGTAGCAAAGTATAAGCTAGAATAGTAGGAAATAGTTGCATGTTTATTTTTGGATTGACAGCAAACAAGACCACAGGGCGGTGTGAATTCCACGTGACCTGGGCCCTGAATTGGGGGGCGGCCAAGCGGGCCTTTCAAGTGCCAGAAGGGCGTTAACAGACTAACACGACTGACTACTGTACTGCCCGCTAATTAGGGGAGAGCGGGCAACAAATGCCCAACCCAAACCTTCTCCATCCATTCATTCCCTCCTCCATCCCCCCCCCCCAATCCACCCCCTCCCTCGACTTGACCCTCGACTCGATCCCGACTCCGATTGTCCTTTTCATTGCTTCAGGACTTTCCTTCCCCCTTGTCAGCCCGATCTTTCGTGACCCTTCTCCCTCCTATGGTTGTGGCTGCGGTCTCCTGCGCCGGCTCCTCTTGCAAGCTCCCAGCCTCCTACTGCTCCTCCACCACCACCCCCGCGTCGTGGTCCGGACCTGTGCGCGCTTAGAATTCAACTACCCCGGCTTTGATCCTATCTTCATCCTCCCCCGCGATTTCTCCGGTCGCGCGCGCCGTCACTCCTTTATTCAATCCCTACCCCTCGTCGCCTTTCCCCGCGTGTCGTCCCTTTATGGCGTGAGAGTAAGTGAGAGTTCCTGGACCCTGGACTCGAGGTCCACCTACCCACTCTTCAAAGAACCTCGTGAGACCTTAAGCGGCCTATTCTAACCCATTCCCTCTACTATCTTATAGCACGCGCTAGGTCCTTTCAATATCCCTCCCGCGATCTCGTGGTGTTTACAGAAAAACACCAACATCACCTCCCTCCCGTCCCTACTTGCCGTCACCTCCTCACATATCGTGTGCATGCTGTATTTGCCGGGCTACCTTTTTTGCAACTCATAATCTTTCATCTGTGAAGGGGGACCATCATGCCCCCTGGTGGACTCCCGGCCAGCCTGGTCGCAGGCAAGCCTACCCCCACCGTCAACACCTCCTATGGGAGTAGCTACTCGAAAAACACACCTACCTCCCCCCGAGGATAGTCTCATCCCATTTGATTCACCTTCCACTCGCACAGCTGGAAATCACAGTCCCCTGAGCCCAGAAGATCGGTCCCCGCGGGGCCTTGAACCCGATCAACCAGGTTTCCGGGACCGATCTAATGTGAGAGATAGATCGCGCCCAAATGGGCGACCCCACAACAAGTCACCAGGCTCGTCCCGTTTGTGTCAGAAGTGTAACGAGCCCCTGACTGGGCAATTTGTGCGCGCATTGGGTGGTACCTTCCATTTGGAGTGTTTCAAGTGCGAGGTAAGTGATGTTCTTGCACACACAAAGCTCACCTTTCTCTGTCCCCCATGCCGAGAGACCCTCCAAGACTAACCCCAATCTTTCGATAGGATTGCGGTGAAATCGTCGCCTCCAAGTTCTTCCCTGTCGACTCGGACGATGGGTCTTGCCAATTTCCCCTGTGTGAGACTGACTACTTCCGACGGCTGAACCTTCTGTGTCACGAGTGTGGTGGTGCTCTCCGTGGCTCTTACATTACCGCATTGGATCGCAAGTATCACATCGAACATTTCACCTGCTCAGTGTGTCCAACTGTCTTTGGCGCCCAAGACTCCTACTACGAACATGAGAGCAAAGTCTATTGCCATTTCCATTACTCAACTCAGTTTGCGCAGCGTTGCCATGGATGTCACACCGCAATTCTCAAGCAATTTGTCGAGATTTTCCGAAACGGACAAAACCAACATTGGCACCCCGAGTGTTACATGATCCACAAATTTTGGAACGTTCGACTATCGCCCGCGGGCCAAACCTGGGAACCGCCCCCTGTCGACGCCGATGCCACTCCCGAAGAGCGCGAGAATATTCGGCGGGAAGAAGATTCGATGGAAGAGAAGGTCTACAATATCTGGAGCACTCTCTCTACGTTTGAAGAATCATCAGCCGCGTGTATCTCTGACATGCTGCTACACGTGAGCAACGGAGCATATATTGACGGTGTTATCGTGGCCAAGCGGTTCATTGCCCACGTTGAAATTCTCTTTGCCGCGGTTGACGAATTGGCGGTGTACATCAAATCCCATGGTGTCAAGGGTATGTCTCATTTTTCTGAAGATTTGTCATCTGTTCTCTGGCTAGGCTAACCCACACCTCCTAGATCTATCATATGGTCGGGAGGCCAAACTCCTTTGCAAGAAGATTGTCGCGTTCTTTGCCCTTCTGTCCAAGACCCAAGAGACCGGTGTTCGCAAGCTCGGTGTTACTCAAGAGCTACTCTCGCTGGTGACTGGTCTGGCTCACTATTTGAAACTTCTCATTCGGATCGGTCTCCAGGGTGCTTTAAAGCTTGAGCGGGAGAAGTCGGCACCGGATGGTTTGCACAACTTCCTCGCACATCTTGCTGACCAAGAATCCCTTGCCCCGCCAGAGGATGAGAATGCGCCTATTGATCTCAATGCCGGTGTTGAGGGTCTGGCGGATCAGCTTTCCGATTGCTGTACCTCATGCAAGGAGCCCATTGACGATGAGTGTGTCCGCCACGGAGACAACCGCTGGCACCTGAAACCCCCTCATCTGTCTTGTTGCTCGTGTGAGAAAGACTTGACCTTTGATCTTCAGGATGCATTGTGGCATGACATTGAAAAGCGCACGTACTGCTCAGCATGCGCTAATCATCATCATCTCGGTCCTGAGGCGCAGGCAGGCTTCATCCAGGTCACCAAGTTGCAGCAGTTTGTCTTCCTTTTGCGAGTTGCTCTCGCACGCCTTCTAGCGGTTCTCCGTGCTGGAGGCACCCTTCCTTCCACATCTGGTACGTCATTCTATTCCTCACAGGTCCAGCATCCAATCTCTCTGACTCTTTCGTTCCCGGGTCTAGAAGATCCCAATCTTCAAGGAAATGAGAATAGAGATGAATACCGCGTGCAACCCGGTGATGTTCGCCGGTCCAATACTCTTTCGCAGTCTCGTGGCGGTGCCCGGAGTGGCTTCGAAGAATCTTCTCTGGAGCAGACTGTCGGCGAAATGCGTCGGTTGCGTTCACTACGCAATGAGCGCACTCTGTCTACGACATACAAGAAAGCTCGTGCATCCCGCATTATCGATGGTCCAGAGGGCCGGAGTGTACGACCGGGCTCTTCCGGCAACGATGGCGGTGACCCTCGTGGACGTGGATTCCAGATCGTCGAAGAACGAGATGCGAATGGCGAAACTGTGAAAGACCTGACTTTCGGAGCGCAAGACGCCCTTACCCTGGACGATATCCCGCGTATCGTCGCAGCTGAACAAGCCAAAGAGCAACGGCCCAACGCCTACCGACATGCAGGTTCTAAGCTGGTGGGAACCATGGAGGGTATGCCTACCTACAAGCCAGGTCACGCACGTGAGATGTCAAAGAACCAGCTGGACATGCTTGTCGACTCTTCCACTCGTAACAAGCGCTACTTCTCTGAACTCACGGCATTGGAATACTTCATTGTCCGCCATGTTGCTGTCTTGTCTATGGAGCCCTTGCTGGACGGACAATTCAGTATGGAAGAGCTGCTCTCATTGATCGAATCCCGAAAGCCGACCATCTGGAACATCTTCGGCCGTGCATTCAAGGATGAAAAGAAAAAGGGTAAGAAGAAGGGAGCCTTTGGCGTTTCGCTCGACTACTTGGTAGAAAAGGAGGGTACCGAGTCTGGTCATGGCGTTGGCCCAGGTGCCTTGCGAATTCCAACCCTCGTCGATGATGCCGTATCCGCTATGCGACAGATGGACATGTCGGTAGAGGGTGTCTTCCGGAAGAATGGCAACATTCGCCGTCTTAAGGAGCTTGCCGAGTTGATTGATACAAAGTACGAGCAGGTTGACATGTCGAAGGAGGGTCCTGTGCAGATCGCAGCACTGCTGAAGAAGTTCCTTCGCGAAATGCCTGACCCATTGATGACTTTCAAGTTGCACCGTCTTTTCGTCGCATCACAGAGTAGGTTGATTATTTGCAGAATGGGAATGACAGTGAAAAGCTGACATATGTTTACAGAACTTTCGGACTCGGAGAAGCAGAAGCGAGTCCTGCATCTGGCCTGCTGTCTCCTTCCCAAAGCCCATCGCGATACGATGGAAGTCTTGTTCACCTTCCTCAACTGGACGTCATCCTTCTCGCACATCGATGAGGAATCCGGCAGCAAGATGGACATTCACAATCTAGCCACGGTCATGACACCTAACATCCTTTACCCGAATACCAAGAACGGCACCGTGGACGAGAGTTTCCTGGCCATCGAAGCGGTCAATGCGCTGATCACATATAACGACACCATGTGCGAGGTAAGTAGCCACCCGTCAATCAAGTCCCAGGGGAAGGTTTGACCTAACGTTGTTTTGTGCCAGATTCCCGAGGACTTGCAAGTCGTTCTGAGTGATCCTACTCTGTTCAAGGAGAACTCCGAAGTGACCTCCAAGGACATCTTGAAGCGATATGGTGACATTGCACGAGGCAGCTTCTCAACGAGACCTGACAATGGCGGCGAGACATTCACCATCAATAGCCATCGCAATCCGAGTACCCCGACCTCGGCTCGTATCGAGACCGATCCTTCGCAGGACACTGCCTGGCAGATGCAGAGCTCGGTTCGCCATGTCCCAGGACCTAGTGGTCACTCTCACTCATCAAGTATCCAGCCCCAAGCTGGCCTTGACTTTGGGCCCACCCCGCCGCCAGCTGCCTATCACCGCGAACGTAGCCATAGCAACGGCAGTCAAGGTGGTTCAGAAGGGCAGCAAGGTCTCCCCTACCGCCCTCGGCCCAGTCCCGGCGCTATGGGTGTCACTGGCTAGACACTTCCTCTCCTCTTGCCTGCACAACAGTCATCATACTTTGATGACTCTGTTTTGCATCTCACAACTTGGCGCCATCTGTGACAGCCCAAGGTGTACCTTTTCTTTTCTCTCATTTCCATGGGGGCGTGTTGAGCGTTTTCGTTCCTGGTCGACATTTTCCTTTTTCATCACTGCCTTATCCCATGTCCATTCATCTCGTCTCGACTGACAGGTTTGGTTGACGGAGTTATCACATCTTCACATTCTACATGATTCAAAATTCTCATCCAAAAGTGAATCGTCCTCCCTCATTGGTCCTCTCCCTTTGGTGTATCTATTCCCTACATACCCCACCCATCATTTTCGCTAGTTCGTGGGTGTTTACCATATGTTTCATCCCTTCATCGTCTCTTTCTCTTCAATTCTCTTTCCTTTCCATACCCATTCATACTTGACCTACCCACTCTGTTGGAACCATGTATGTTTCTCCTTGCTTTCATTCACTACGGGCGTGCTTTGCTACAGTCTATGCTCCCTTTCCATATCATTTCGTTGCTTTCTCTCATGAACCAGGCTCCGGGTTTTACCTTGGTTCGTTTCCTTTCGACGTTTTTCTTTTCTTTTTACCTTTCTTCTCCCAGATCTGGTGATCTAGCATCGGTCCATGGAGTCTTTTTGTCAATTTCTCTTCTTTCTTCTCCCTGTTTCAGACGTTGCTGTGATCAGCACGATTGCAATCAATGATACCTGTGCTGAGTCTTGAGTCTCAACGTAGCTGTTACTTTTACTACCCTGTGGGTTTCTTTGCTTGATAGCTCTATTTCGATCTGGTATTTCTGGTCCATTTGTTTGATGTCACACTTGATCCTATGCCCGGTTTTTCTGAATTAAGGGTACCTATGGCTGCCGTGGTGGCTGATGATAATAAAAAAGTATCGAACATTAATCTCTTAAAATATTTCTTGGCCTCAAATGAACTTATATATATCTACCTCGAACGCGATTGCCTATCGTGGTTAATCAGCATGTTGGAAGGATGTAGTCCATTTAAATCACCTAGCATATATATTTCCGGCGTTTTGGGCTGCCTGCTACCTAGCGATACCTAGGGATGTGACCTTGGTATAGCCACCTGTGGATTTCTAAAGACCCTACCTACCAACGAACGTAGTAAAATCAGACTAGGTAACTAGGTATTTATGCCTTACGCAAGGTGGACTACGATTTGAGCACCGAAAGTTTGAAATCCATGCGGACACGGCCGAAATGACATGAGCTTGAACTCTTGTCCAGACTCCCAGGATAAACAAACAACAGTTGAAAATACGAACACCTATTATGATCCTGACCCAATAAGATCAATGAAAACAACAAGACAACACCAGGGAAACAATCTCATGCCTGTAATTAACAATACTCCACGCTCAAAAACGACTTCAGTTAGAATCAGAACATCCGCGCCATACAATCAATATGCGTTCGCTAAGACAATGTATTTGTACCGCTCATCTATACACGCTTGCGTAGTGCTCTCGTCCCACGGGTTGAGGAATCCATCGTAGATGCTGGGGCGGTGGTCTTCCGCAAGGTGGACGCAGTAGCAGAAGTTGCGGTCTTCTTAACAGCCAGAGATGCAGCGTGAGCCCGAGGAACGGCCGGTTTCTTGGTAGTTACAGAGGCTCCAGCTGTCGCCTTCCTAGCACCGGTACCTGTACGAGCGGGTTTCGTCACGGTCGTTCCTGAGGATGTGGTGGACGAGAAGCTGTTCTTGCGCTCGCCTTGACGGGTGGCTGGTCGCGGAAGGGGGGACCTGACAGATCGAGGTCCCGTCGCAGAGCGGGCTGTGGTCTTTTTGGCTTGTGTGGAGAGGTTGTTGTCTCGGACGGTGGATACAGTAGCACCGCGCGGGCGAGAGCCCGGTCCAGCCGCCCGTAGAGGGCTGGAGGGTTTTAGTGGCGAGGTAGGTCGGGACAGGTATGAGGGCTGTCCCTTTTCGGGAGAGGCACGGAATGGAGATTGTGGGTAGGTTCGAGAGTTGAGGGACTTGGGAGATAGAATTCGATGGTCATGGCCTCGCACTTCCTGGGATACGACGCGTGATGCACTGCCTACAGCGGGAGCTTTGCCACGGCGCTTGGGGTTCTTGAGCCCTTCGGGAGTGCCAGCAGCGGGTGCATTTTCTTTGTCGGAGTAGTGGCCCTCATTACTGTGCGGATATGTTAGTGGCCGGGTCCGAATTAAGTAGAGATCGAAGCGATCGTACCTGTTGCGTCGAGTCCGGCCGTCGCGAGTGCTAGAAGGTGAGAGTGCTTGATCAATGGACATGGGTGCCCGAGAAACCTTTGCTGGAGAGATTCTACGAATAGGCGAGGTCGCCTGGGCCGGTGCCGAGTGCTTCTCGAAGAGCTCGCCCATGTTGGCCTTGCGAAGAGAGACGGGAATACGGTTGACGCGTCGTTCAAGGCGGGAGCGAAGATCATTTGCTTGAAGAGCATATTGTGCACGAAGCTTGCGAGCACGCTCGGTGACTGGATTTCTGTTAGTAATAATCTACTCTTAGTAAACCCCTCCCGTCGACGTACTTTCGAGCTGGAGGTTGTCAATTAGCGCTTGCTTTTGGCTCTGGGTAAGACGCAGCTTCTTGACTGGTCTTCCCGTGGGCGTAGCATCGGGCGCATCAACAAATTCAGGAGCCTTGCGTTTCAAAGTGGCCATGGTGGGGGGTTGTAAATTCGGTTGAAGATTAGATTGGGAGAGAACAAGAGAGGTGCATCGAGTAGTATGGAGGCGCGAGCCATAACAAACAACATCCCGGGCGGAAACACCCGGCAGAATCCATAGCTTCACCTCATCGTCATCACCGCCGTCCCTGGACACTGCCTATCACTTTCAATCCCCTCAATCCCCTTTCCCAGTTCCTCTCGTCATATACCGCCATCATGTCGCTCGAAGCCACGATGATCATGTTAGTCCTTGCTCCCCGTCCGAGCTTAGACCGCTGTGCTAACCCCCTCATGCAGTGTCGACAACAGCGAGAGCAGTCGCAATGGAGACTACACGTGAGATCCCCGAGATTCCGCCATCTTCGACATCGTCTAACCCATGGCATCCACAGATCAACCCGGTGGCAAGCTCAAGTTGATGCTGTCAGCATCATCCACAGCGTCAAGATGCGCGCACACCCCCAGTCGGCTGTCGGTCTGATGAGCATGGGCGGCAAGGGCCCGGAAGTGTTGTCCACCTTTACCACTGATTTCGGTAGCATTCTGGCTGGCCTGCACAACACGAAGATCCACGGAACATCGCACCTGAGCTCTAGTATTCAAGTCGCCGGTGTAAGTGAACAGCTTTGCAGAAGCGGAAGCCTTGGTCATCTAGATTACTAACTGAGCTACGATGTAGTTGGCCCTCAAGCACCGATCCGAGAAGTCTCAACGGCAACGAATCATCGTATTCTCCTGCTCCCCGATCGAAGAGGATGAGAAGACCCTAGTTAAGCTGGCCAAGAAGATGAAGAAGAACAACGTCTCGATCGACGTGGTGGCATTCGGTGACCTCGAGTCCGATCAAACCAAGAAGCTAGAGGCCTTTGTGGACAACGTGACAAGTGGTGACAACTCCTACCTTGCCATCATCCCACCAGGACCCCATCTCCTGAGCGAGGAGCTCCAAGCAACCCCCATCCTGGCGGGCGAGAATGCTACCGCAGGTGCTGCGGCCGGTGGTGGTGGCGACGAGGCTGGTGGATTCAACTTTGAGGATGCTGCGGAGAACGACCCCGAGCTGGCCTTTGCTCTGCGGCTATCCTTGGAGGAAGAGAAGAACCGACAAGAAAAGGAGAAGCGTGATCGGGAGGCGGTCGAGGGCAAGACAGAGCTGGGCAATATCCCCGAAGAGGGTCAGGGTGAGTCCAGCGGTAACAAGGACAAGAAGGATGAAGATAAGATGGACACTGCTTAGATTCCGTCTTCCCTTGGAAGTACTCTATGATGCATACCCGGCGTTTACTTCTGTTTTTCTTCTTAATGTTCCTGTTCCCTGTATACTCGAGAGCCGACCCCCCACTTGTGCTTGCCATGTGTCATATAGGTAGACAGACACATTCTACGGGGGTGTGAATGGAAATGTTGATTTTAGTGGATGTTGATTGGTATTATGCACAAGCCGGGGATTTTCTCGGGAAACAGTAGTAATCCAGGACAGAAAAAAAAGAAAGGAAATGTCTAGTTCGTAAGGTCATCACACAGTTCAACCCAGCGCCCTCTCCGCGGTTCAAGGGTCGAGATTCAAAAGTAATATAACAAGTTCCACGTCAGACTACTCACGTCCGCCCTCGCAGCCAAGCTCCCAAGTGTCGGTCAAACGCCTCACACCGCACAGGCATCTCCAACTGGTAGAACGGGTTCTTCATCACGTAGTCGGCGTATAGCTCGTAGATCTTGTTCATGATCGTGTCCACATTGCCAGTCATCGGGTCCGTGAAGAGCAAGAACTTGGTTCCCGTCAGGGTCTGGAAGCAGGTCAATCGGAACTTTTCAGTCTCGAGATGCTCTAGACCTGATGCAGGGACGCCAGGGTTGGGATAGCTGAATCCAACGGGCGCACTGCCGCCGGGAGATGTGAGGGCGGGGGGAGGTCTGGGCGACAGGGAGCTTGGGGGTTATAGATCGAGTGATGGCATGGACACTATGGGATAGACCCTCGTTAGCGACGCGACCGTAATTCACCTAAAAGCCAAGTGTATTGTTTCCAGGGGGGTTGGCTGTGTGGAGGATCATACCCGTGAAAGGTACCAGCGAGAACGAGGTAGTCATTGGTAGACAGGCTGCGCAGACCGGCCTGATACTCGCGCTGGTAGATCAGACCGCCGGCCTTGTTGATGATGATTAGGGAGAAGACTGTCCTGGTAGAGGAAGGCATGTTAGTTGCGCATGAGGTATTCGGGCTCGCATGACTGTCGGAACACACATGATGGGCGGGAATCGAGGGTGTCCGCGGTCCGGACAACGTTGCCGGGAGAGGAAGGAAGGGGTTTACTGCGCCTGCAGCATGCCTTGCTGATATTGGAAGGGTGGAAATAAGGATGGCGAGGGTTGGTGTGCAATTGTAGCTTTAGATGCGCATGGCACGGGTGGCTCTTGGATTGTTTGGTGCAGGACGTTGGAGTCGCGGGGAGACTCCGTTCAATTGGGGCGCTAGTCAGTGCGGGTTTATGGGCCGAAGCCCATGGCTACGAAGAGCTTAAAGATGTATATAACGACAGAGTAGACAACAGCAACATGATAAACTGATGGGAATAATTGATAGAATATCGATAGACAGCATTCAAAGTCATGTTCAGGGATTAGGGTGTATACTGGTTCTCCTAAGGAACGGTGGGGGTTCTGACTATATATATCTCCGTTATTCAGACCAACCTCCGCCACTCAGAGACTGGAGGCTACTTGAATCTCAAGATGAGAACATCGAGATCGAGCGAGGACTCCTATGAAAATAGTACAAATCCATTGAAGGTATGTTCCTTTAAATAATGTCGATGTATCACACGGGACGGAGATTCGGCATTGGCGAGAGAAAGGATATTCGGCGGAATACGCATTCTCTTGGGAAGACGTATTTTGTGGAGCTGTGTATTTCGACAACGATGCATGTGTTTGGAATACTCTATACATCTACCTAAAATACTGCATTTCTGACCGAACAAAGAGATGTAGTTCTATGCCATTCAAGGTCTCTACTGCGGTTTCTTTCATGGAATGAATCTCTTGTGGAGGCCATCGATCTTATGGTAACTACCTTCATGATCAAGCCCTACACAGTTGTCCTTCATAGCACAGGACAAAGCTGATACTAGATTTCACATCATGCAGGAGAGGGTTTCAGATCTGTTCACAGGAGCAATTCCATGTTCATTTTATTTCGGTTTTCGTAATTCTTTTTCTCGACACAAGGCGACCATGTTAGGGTGGGAGTGGACAAAGAGCGTTCACACGCATCATTCTCAGCCTCATCCAGTGGGTGATTCACTAATTACGATCCTAGCGACCTACTAACCATACCCGCCACAAGCGACCGAGAAATGGCTCCGTTATTGTTGGTTTCGAGTCACACTCTTCTATAGAACACCGGGGCGCCTCACCATCCTTGGCGCAAGTAGCGCGGTTTTCCCACGTCTTGATTGATGGTCAACAATCGCCCTGGAGAGGCGGTTTTGAACAAGGAGATTCGGATTGGAAGCAGGAAAGTCTCATGACTCTCACCGGCGTTGAACCTCTGTACTATGCCTTTCTGTGGGAGTGCGGACCCGTTCGCTCCTGAACACGTTGCTCGGAACCCTGTGTCTTGCATATGCAAAACAACTCGGTGTAACCTGGAGGGGTCCAAGTTCCTACCGACTTGACGTTTGTTTACGTGCACGAGCATTGGAGAATTCAGCGTTCGTGCCCAAACATCAAACGTCTGTGCAACCATATATGCGTCGGGTAGAGGAGGATATAGCAAATCAATGCAGTCCCCATCGAGTTGGTTCCTGTTACACCAATTAAGAGCGCTGCTGCCGCTTTCCATGCTTTTGTGCTCCGCACATTCGTGGAGAGGCGATCTGGACAATTCGGACGAGGATAGGCTCATTTGCTTAGAATGCGCTAGTTACCCCACTTCAGCCTCCCGCCCAGGCATTTGCCGGCGTAGCTGCAAGCATGCTTTGTTGTGTATCTAAATGGCGGCAATCGAGACCTTTATCTCGCCTGACATGAGCTTTTTCTTACCTACAGGAACACATAGACACCGAATCGCCACGTCGCTCGGCATTTTGCCCATGACTAGTCTATTTCTCGCTCCGGCGTCCTTGAGAATCCGTATGGCTCTGCTTCTTGACAAATTCTCGTGCATATGGGCCAACATTGCCTTAACCAGTGCAAGCGGGAGATTCATAGTGCAGCCAATGTGCGTTCCCGAATCGCAAACATTGAAATGCGTGATTCGCGCGACACAAAGTACCAGGTCAAGCGGGCCATAGCCCTGCCGAGGCGAGAATATCATGCGAATTGGAAAGGCGGGTAGATTTCCTTCCTGCGATTGGAGAGCTGATCGAATAGAGACGAACATCCGCGAAGGCTTTTCGTCTACGGAAAAGCAAATAGATAAAGCCATGGCTCTTCCACATCAAACAGCGTGTCTTGCCCTGTGAATTCACTCGTATCCGCTTCATGGTGCTGCATAAGAAGGATTCTCCTCTGGCGCGTCTGACGAAGTCACTTATCGAAATGAACGGTCATACTCAGTCATCGAAGGATGCGCAAGTAAGTTATATGGACTTGGTTTCCGAGGAAAAATTAGCGCCTCACTTATTATGGATAAAGCAAATGTCACGGCAGTTACGCCGGCAAAAGCGACGCCAAGCACGACTCGGTACTATAGAAGTGACCGGGAGTAGCGACGAGGCCAGTCACGCAGGTGCTAATCCGCGAATTCCTAGAGAGCCTATTGAACGCCTAGCGGCAGTGATTAAGTTCCTAGGGTTATACAATAATGATGTGGAACAGATCGAATGCGCTCTAGGCAATCTGCTACAGAAAGACGAAAAGATATCTCACCTTCCCCTTACCATCACGGAACTACAGCATTCCAAGAATGAACAGTCCTGCAGGGTTGAGGAAGAACAGAGCCGATTGGCGGAGCTGCAAAGGCAGCTCAACGACGAACAGAGCTCTCTCGAGATTTCTCGCCAAACGCTGGATGAAGACAGAAAACAACTAGAAGCAGAGAAGAAACGATTTAAGGCCGAAGAAACGGCCAGATATGACAAAGCTATAGTAGTAGAGAAGAAGAAGATAGAAGACGAGTCTAAGAAGCTAATTAAGCAGGAAAAGAAAGCCACAGCCGTGAAGATAGAAGGAGCAACACAGCAGATTCGACAATTGCAAAATCAAGTCTTGGAGCTGATAGTGGCTAAGGAGAATGCGGAAACGACCCTCTCGCTTTTCAGAACTTTTTAGAACTTATACAAGGGAGCTGACCGATCAGCAAAGGCAGCTTGAGTCCAGGTTCAAAACTCAGGATTTCCTATTGTTAGAGTTGTAAGCAATTCCTGTTTCATTTCTTGAACTAAGATTTGCTAAGTCTGTACGTAGCGAAGAGCAGTTGTCTAGCATACACCGAGACCGCAGGGCACTTGTATATGCCGATTTCGGAGAGCTGCCACTTGAGGACTTCGTAAGTTTGGCCTCCTGGACAGGCCGGATGTATATCTTACATTTAACAGGATATCGATCAGTGCCAAAGTAGTCTTCGTGACAATTTCTAGATATTCCGTACTGTCCCTCCGACTGCTTCCAATGCATCGAAGTACCTTCGAGTCCGGGCAGTAGAGACGATTATGGCAAATACTATATGCCACTCGCTGTGGCAGCATTTTGGCAGATCGAGGTTGCCTATATACCCAGATTGCACGTCCACCTTTGCCCAAATATGGGAGGCACTTGCTTACCACGATCGCAAAAAGGAGAGCTTGTAGCGATATCTCACCTTCCAAGGCCTTAATATCGCTTCTCACAAATGTATTCACGAAAGCACAACTAATGACAATATATTACTCCCGGAAATCTAGCAACTTCCCGAGCTTCTTCGGATCCTAGTACCGCAGCAGAAGCAAAAGGATTTTGAGCGTGATTTGGGGTATCTTCTCACAGAATGTGTGCATTTTTGGGACAAAGCAAAGAGGGACAGTTGCATCATTGAATTTGATATAAAACCTCCCTAGTTGCGCAGTTCTGGTTGGCTCTCAGAGCCGTGTCCTGAGCTTGATCGTGGGAAGAGCGACATTATGGAAGGGCGAGCTGATGTGCAAACATAGTGCTTGTTTCCCCGTGTTACGTTCACACCAGTCAATAAGGAAGTCAAGGTTGTCGCGGGGCGTGCAGTCTTCAGTGACTGCCTAGCTTTCTATGAAGGCTTATGTAAAATTAGGCGGCAACAAGAAGAGTTCACACAATATAAACGGAAGTTGGCCCGGGAGCTATCTACCTCTAAGTGACGTTAGGGAGAGTACCTTGTCGAGAACCTATTTCCCCTTATCTCATTCTTCATCTTTTTTCCTCTCTCTTTGAATGACGGTTCTGTGATAGTTTCAAGATTGGGAGACGGAAATTCAACTTTCATTAAAGCACTTCGGTCGTCCTTCAGTCTCAATACATATTCGTCAGTGTGTAATTCATTCAAGCTGATCCCTCGCTTGGTGATATGCAGCATATTACAACTATATATCTATCATCTATGTATGTGTCTAAGCCGTATACGACCTTTTGAACCGAAATCGGAGCCTCCTTAGGACCTACCGTCGCCTTGTGGCTGTTTATTGAGTAGCTAGTGCATAGGATCGAGGGAATCAGTTATGGGAAGCAGCAGAGAGTCACGTAGTAATAGAGAGGGTTTCGTTGATACGTTCTGAAGTAATCATCAAGAAACAGCTTTGCCCAATTTAGTCTTCTTGTCTTCCGCCGACTGACCGGTCTCTACCCGACCGAAAATTCTTGGACTTCAATGGCAGGGCTTAAGCGGTATTTAGTGTATCATACTTTGCCGGATCAACTTTCAAACCAACATACATGCAGTTCCGGTTCTACGAAAGTAATCAATCCAGTGGCGGTTTGAAGTTTAAATGCAATTGTCGGAACGACAAGAAACCCGTATGACTAAGAATGTTGCCTATAGTTAGCACATTTTTGGTCTAGCGGTATTATGCCCCATCTGTGTTCGACAGCAATCAACACTAGTCCCCCTTTCCCCCCATACTTAGTTCAGGCGATCTAAACCAATGGAATTTCCAGCGAAATCAAGTCAACAGATGCGAGGATGATCGATCATTTTGAATGGGATTCGCGAGCGGAGTGTTTAGTACAAAAAACCATCTTGACCGAGTGATCCCTATTTCCCGCCGTAAATATGGGCTGTAATGGCGCGACAGGTCGCTGCAGCCCACCGAAGTCTTTACTATAGGGTGCACGGACAAAAAGTGTGAACTGTGTCACACTTCCGAAGAGACTAGTACAGTAGGGTTAAATGACTGAGCGCTATCGGATGGAAGGAACGGAAGGTGATCTGGAGGAGTATCTCCAAGGATTGATGAAGGGTAGTTATCGAAAAATTGAGAGACCTGACTCTGTGACATAGTGAATGAATGAACGGAGGTAATAAAGAGTGTAGTTTGAAAAGAGACTTACAAGAAAGAATCCTTCTAAGTACTAACGAAGGTAATTAGGGGAATTCGAGGGGATATAGCGGTCTACGCGAGCTGAATGAGGGCATGGATACATCTATTTGAATATATACTGGCCTATATACTGCTACGCGTAAACGATTGGCTACTAGACTCTACACCGCCAGGTTCTGTCAGGTTCGAGCCTGCAGGAACCTGAATTTGAACCTGGCATACCCTGACAGAACCTAAATTTGAACTGGTTCGAACCCAGAACCTACCCCTGAGACTTCTGAAGGCTGATTTTGCCTAAGTATACTAGCTAAAGCATGTAGTCATATCGCTTTGAATAGGGAAATAGAGGAGATTAGTATTAAAAATTCAGCTTTAAGAATCCAGAGTGGTTTTCAAGACCTGCTATTGTAATTTAAGCTTAGTATTAGCTAGTTCCCTTAACGTACCGCGCATGAGTATTCCTTGAAAGAACTCTCTGAGGATACTAAGGCAGTACTCCCTGTAAATATATATTTTCTACTCTATACACCATATCACCACGACATCTAGTCCATCTAGTCACTGAGAGCTTAAATAAGACTCAATCAAATGCCAGATAGGTGATTTGATACCAAAGAATCGATATACGAGAATATTTCGTATAATTTCATAGCTAAAGTAGCTATCTCACAAGATTATTAGATATGGTGACCAGAACGGATGTAAATAACAGTAAAAATGGGATGAATCAGCAATTTATCCATCCGAAATAGGAAATGTCTTGGCAGAATTATGCAATTCCGGTTCCGTCAGGTTCGAACCTGAGTCGAACCTGATAAAGTCGCGATCCGACTCATGTTCAGGTTCGAGGTTCCGACCTTTAGAATCTGAATCGGACCATGCCGAGGTCTATCGTTTTGTACTGGTCTTCCTACGCTTAGCCCCATCTGGGGCATCGATCCGATCATGATAGCGACCACCTCTATCGCAACCAAGAGTGATATTTCTATCTCTACTTGATGAGCCAGTAGTAATAGCATAACCATGAGCAAGGGCATGCTGTTGGATAGAAGCAAGTAACTGCTCTCTAGTCTCAAAGACTTGCTCAGTTGGTGGCTCCATGAGTAGATGAAGGAAGGTCAATTGGATGAAGATCAATTGGATGAAGATCAATTGGATGAAAGAAGATCAATTGGATGAAAGAAGATCAATTGGATGAAAGAAGATCAATTGGATGAAAGAAGATCAATTGGATGAAAGAAGATCAATTGGATGAAAGAAGATCAATTGGATGAAAGAAGATCAATTGGAAGAAAGCGAGGCTCTTGGAGTAGTAGTAGCTAGAATAATGTAGTTGCTGTAGTAGTAAGTAATACAGTTGCTGCGGTAATGTATGGTAAGGATTCTTGGCAAAAATTGTTAAAGTTATGTGATGCGGATATTACTAATTGCTGTGCGGCTAGTTAGCAAAAGCTGCTGTGTCCGTAGCAATTCCCCGTGGACTGGGTGGATTATGTACTAGATCTAGTACAGGGTTTTCGGACGGATGAGGAAACGCAGTGACGACAAGGGCACTTCGGCTGGCACTAAGGGGACTAACTCAGAGATACGCAGATCTTGATAAAGAGATTAACTTGGATAAGGGCCTTTTAATACGTTCCATTAGATCGATCATCAGTCTTTCTCGATCGAAGCTTTTTCTTGACTCGTACTTTAAGCGAACTGGAAGAGGTTGGGGCTAAGATCCGGTTCGTTCCGCCACGACTAGTACGGAAGCGTGCAGTATATCTCGATTTCTACAATAGTGCGCATGATGTCCCTGGTCGCTCCCTGAAGCTATCGGTGCCTGGCAGGCTCCGAGGGCTAGTCAGCGCTAGTCTCCCAGACTAAGTCGGTGCCCATCTCCAGGAACATAAAAAGGGGCAAAATTCCCCTGCCATGCTCGCATTCTCCTCGCGGGGGAGCGGTGTGCTGAAATGTTTCTTCCTTGCGGATCAAACGCGTTTGCTTGGGTAGTCATTGGCCTACTTTTGCTCTTCCGCACGGCAGCCACCAGTGAGATCAACAGCAGTGCAGGTTTCTGCGACTACTCCAACATCAATGAGCCGATCGGAATCGATCTAGGTTATCAGTTGATGTAAGAACACACCCTGTTCCTTTTCTTCTCTATATGTTCATGTTCATACTCCTGACCAGTATTCAATTGCAGCGGCGCGTCCTACGCGAATTCGACAAACACTTTCACTCCCTTGGCTCTAGTGAGGGATGATGAATACGTCTCCGTGATCGTCCAATTAGCCAGTGAGCACTTTGATCGGGCGAATCTCAAAAAGCTCTATGGTGACCGCGATGGGAGCCTTTATGGCCAGCTCAAGGTGATAATCGCAGAATTTGCCGTGAAGCTCACGGCGCGAATCCCATACATCGACCATCCCTACGTAGACTTGGTAACCAGCACAGCGCGCCAGATATACAGTAGCGTCTCCAGGCAAATCGGACAGCTCGTAAATACAGTCCTCCGCTGGCGCTTACAAGAGGATTCAGCCCCGCTCACCCTCGCCGAAGTCGAAGAAACATTCACACGCGTCTTCGATGACCTCATAGCCTCCACGCTCACGGACACAGGCACAAAACTCACCTTTGCCGTCATCGCCATCCCAGACTTCTTCAACGAGACCCTCGCGACCACTGTCCTCGAAGCCTCCCGCAAGGCCGGCATCGAGACAGTCGCCCGTGCCATCCCGCGCACGCTCCTCGCGCACTTTGAAAACCCCACGATCCCCGAGGGAGACTCCGTCCTCGTCCTCGATCAGGGAATTCATCACTGCGTGGTCCGCGCTTTTTCCGAGGGAGGCGGCCGTGCAGGCAGTGGCAGTGGTCGGAGAAAACGATCTTGGGCCCAAATTGCGAAGCAAAAGAAAAGGAAGAATGCTGCTCAAAAAAGGGCCACTCTGCGCGACGGCGGTCTCCCGCTCGACCCATGGCGAAGCCAAGTTCTGCACCAGCGGCTTCTGGCGGCGGTGAAGCGGGTGAATCCGAAGCTCGAGACCCAGCTTGAGATTGGGGCGGATGAGAACATCCTCATGGCCATGGTGGTGCGGGCACGGATGCTGCTTAAGAAGCAGGACCTGCGGGTTGTGTCCATGGGGACCGAGTCGCGGTCCGCGGACTTTTATACCACGATTGAACATGACGATGATTATCCTGAACAAGATGGGTATCTCGATGAGGTACCGCTGCATTTGGATGATTGGTGGGTTGATGGGAAGGATCCAGGCGTTAAGCTTACGAGGGAGATGGTTCTGCGCACGGATGAGGACTATGTCAAATCGTTGGGGAATACAATTGCTATGTTCGTGCGTGCTATGCAGGACGGTTCGTTTTCTCCTCAACCTGAGATTAGGGTTCACTAGTTTACTGATTTTCCGATAAACACAGATTCAGATGATCCAGCCACTGAACAGCCAACGTTCGACCAAGTCGTTATCCTCACCGAGTGGATAGATGGAGATCTGATCCGTCGCGCGGTTAGGAAAGCGATGGGAAATGACGTGCCAATTATTGGCGGGTCATTAAGGGACATTACAATGGTTGCCGACGGGGCAGCGAGGATGGCGTTGATACGACGGCAAAACCTGCTCAGACTGCGCGGGGAGGAGTCTGGTTTTGCGCATGATGAGTTGTAATTGGGAATTTAGTATATCTAGGTCGCATAGATCTCAGGCAACGAATCATCCAAGCTTGAAGTTTAGGATTCTAGTCCTCTGATCAACCCCGCATTCTATTTTATTCCGCGTGTTTAGAGGGGCGGTGCGGCAACATCGCTTACATTCAAATACACGTGGCACCTCTCTTTGAACAAGATAATACCACCTTATCGCTAGTTGTCCACGCAGAAGGATCTACGGCCAACCTTATTGGATCTTCGCCGAAGCTGTTCGTGGCTGATAAAGCATTCCTCTCCTCACGAGACGCGTTGCGAGAAGGCGGCTCCAAGCTGTCTCTAACACCGTCGAAAGTACAATCTCATATTTCCAAGCCGGAGAAGACCAGTATCAAGCACATCTCTGAGCTGTTCAACTTGCGTTAGTGCTGCGCCGCAGAGGAGACGACTGTCACTATGCAAGGTACAGCAGCATCAATGAGGAATCTAGCCTTGACTGGATGAGGAGATGGGGTGGGCTTCTCATGAGATTACGGAGCCTTACGAGGTTCCTGGTCGAGTAACTGATAAATTCGCGGCCTCGCTTCGGCTTGAACATGAAGATAACTCATAATCATCTCTCGTATTCTTCTCTTTCTAGGAGCACGTTTCGAAGGACCTTGCGTTGCAGATTGCGCTTGAACAAGGACCAAATCCTCCTGTGTATCCTCCGCATTACTCTCCTCATCATCACTAATCGGGTCGACAGTACCCTCTAGTTGTTGGGCATCTTTCTCTTCATGATCCGCTTCTATCTCCCCTTTAGAAAGATACTCTATCCAAAAAGCAATATCGTCCTCTTCGACTTCAAATTGCGTCGCACATCTGTACAACATAAGCTCCTAAATTGTTGTAGCATTCAGCGAGCCTCGACGATAGTGACAGATATCCCGAGCAGTGTTAAATAGCCGCTCAACGCCGGCGCCAGTTGCAGGAATGGAGAGCACATCGCGTGCGAGCTTTGCAAGCGCAGGGAATGTGGTCTGGTTCTCCTTCCAGAACGCCCGTATTAGATGACTAGAAACAGTAGCTAAGATATGTTTATTAGTACAGGTCCGGTGATTTGATAGAATAAGGATACTTACCACCATCGAGATATCTTGCAAGCTCGTCCTGCTGGCCAGCTTGGGTAGTCTGATCTAGGCCAATCATCCAATCAAGATCTATGCCTGCACTCTGCGTAGAACATCCTTCACCGTTCCCTGTCTGTTCCTCTACCAGACGTTGCTTATATGGTTCAAAGTAGTTCACAAAGCTTTGTCGATATCTTGTGAGCCACTCAGGGCCCCAATCTTTACTCCGGAAGAACTGGAGCTTGTGTCGTGGTGTGAGCATTGTACTAATGGCAAAGACATCACTAGGAATGCCATCCGTCTCACTGTAGTACTGCCTAAGCTTTTCCTCCGCCGCACGAAGAGCGGTAAGCATAAGCTTCTTCCAGGCTACCTTCTTTCTTGTAAGCTGCTTAATCGACTTCCCAAGATGATCGAAGAGCTTATTATAGATAGCAAAGACAAGATAGACGGTGACATCTTTGGTTTTCGATAGCGCAGTGGTGAGCTAGAAGAACGGCTGTGTGATCCAAAGCAAATAGTCAAGCTGACGCCATTGCTCCTGGTCAAGCTTAAGGCGGGGATGGCCGTACTTCGAGCAAAATTCATCTAAGACGGATTGTATTCGTTTAGCAAGGTGAAGCATTAGAAACGTCGAATTCCATCGCGTACGAACATCCTGTATCGAAACAAGAGCTGTAGAATCTGTCTAGAGGCTGTTGAACGCTTCACGGCGCTGTGGGCTTGCGTTGATGAAGACAGCTAAGCTTCGAAGCTATAAAAATAGACTAGAAGTAAGCTTTACTAATTCTAAGAGTGACGAACCTTGTTTAAAGTGTCAATGATCTCCCGTTTCTGATGCCTAGACCAAATTTATTACTCCTGCGATTCAGTCCATTGCATTTGAGCAGTGTCGTTTTTTGGATTTGCCTTCATCTGACCTAGGAGTTGCTTTAAGCTTAGTTGAATAACACGGGCAATGCGTGGAACGCGAATGATCGCTGCATCATCACCAAGATCAAGGGACTGGACAGTCTCTTGGACGCTTGCGAATAAAGTGTTATTGTTCGATGCATTATCGGTAGTGATTGCAAGTACTCGATCGGTTAAATTGTACTTCTGTAGTAGCTGGAACAGAACAGCGCTCAGGTTAGTACCTGAGTGTGTTCCATGAAGAGGTTCAAATCCAAGAAGAAGCTCCCGGTAACTCCAGTCTTTATCAAGGAAGTAGCCCGTAACTGCCATAAATGCCTGATGGAAAGGAGATGTCCAACAGTCGAGGGCAATTGAAACCTTTCTATCCTTAGGGAGCTTATGCAGTATATTCTAATGGCGTTCGAGAACCGTACTTCGTAGCCGGCTCCGTACTACCTTTGCAGATGGAATGTCAAGCTGCCTTGGGGCATTTTGGGCCATAGATATCATATCACGGAACCCTGGATGCTCTAGAAGCTGGAAGGGTAGCCTCGATTCAGTAATACATCGAAGAAGACTTGATTCCCATTTTTCCTGGCTAAATGGAGTATCGACCAGAGGGCTCCGCGCCTATAGAAGTAGTCAAAATTAGTGTATATCCTATAGACTAACGGGCTAGCTTACCGCTTGCACAAATTGCCTAATATTTTGGCTTTTTTGGCTTCCTATTACAGCTTGTAGTATGTTTCTTCGTCGTTGAAGTTCCATTTCCAAGCCCTGGATGATCAAGGATAGCCTTGCAATGCTTGCACATAACTTTCGGCGTGCCACCACTAGCCCTAGCTGCCTCGTTGGGAGATTCGCATAAATTTCTATTGGCGTCAAAATCGCTTATGTAGTGACGCTTCTCATTGAGAAGAATATCCGTGCCTAGGGAGGTGATGCAAATGAGATCTATTGTTTCTTTCCGCTCTCATTCTCTATGGAGCTTTCGTTCGACATGGACGTTGTGCCAGAGAAGGAGTTGGGGCTCCTTCAGTCAGGGCCATCATGTGCTCTGGGCTCCGTGGAGTGTGTCTGATATGTATCAGGCAGTTGAAACGATGAGTTCTGGGGGAGTAGGACTTAGGCACATACATTGCCGGATTGGAGTGATAAGCATCGCGTTCTGGATCTTTCCTTCTTTTTTTGCCCCCTTCTGTTAGCTTCGACACTCTCGTCCGGAGGTACCGAATGGATCTCGTTTCCTTTTCGATTGGCGCGTAATGCATCAGGCAGCTTAGGAATATTGTTCAGTGTGTGAGACTTGATCATCAATACATTCGAAGAAGCGGTAGTTAACTACAGTATAAGCAATCAAGCCAAGTTCAGCAATACCCTCCAAGTCTCTGGCCAAAAATTACTGGTGACGCGCGCTGTTGCACGCGGTATCCCTGAAACAAAGTGGAATTCGAAGTAAATAATAGAAATGCTCATCCACCGAACACCGATCTAGACACGGGGTGAGAGATGGTTATGGTCATGTTCGTAATTGGCTTCGGAAATTTTCTCAAACCCTAACACTAAGACCACAGTGAAGCCAGCCTCTCTGTGCTAGGTGCAGCTGGCACGCATGTGATCCCTGTCGTAAAAGGAAATGAAATGTAAATATCGTACGAGACAAATAGGGGCGGACATTTTAATTATGCTTTTTCGCAGATCCGGCCTGTCCCTGTCACTGGGATCTGAGTCCTACCCGTCTAACGCCGCCAAGGTTTGGAGGGCCATGAGAGTAAGCTTAGGCTTTTCATCCCTCAAGTCACACCACCTTCCTTGTGCCTGAGGACCAAACACTAAGTACACGGTCTGCTTGCCAGGGCTTCCATGTCGTTCAGCAGCACGGATTCAGGTTTGTAGGCAAGGGTCAACCAAGGTTAGGGGGTCAATCAATATCTTTCACCAGGTAAGTTTCCCAAAAGCCTAAAATGGGTCTGGATTAAACAGAATATCGCCGAGGCTATGTGACCTTGTGCGAAACGTTCAGAAAAGCAACACGCGTTTCACGGTCCCTGTAGACTTGCAGTATAATACACATTATGGTCGCATATGTTCCGCCATTTTATGTTTCGCTTCATCTATATGGGCCTGTACATCTAGGTCCCAAAGCCAACGTAACCGCTCTTGGAATGCTTCTTTCAGTTTTTCCACATTGTCTCCAACCCCATCCAGACATAAGCAAAGAAGATATGCACCCTCCTTGCTACTAGTGGCCACGCGTTGACTTCGAGGCCGTCTGACGTCATCATATGCTTTGAACGCCGCCTTGACATCACTGACTGATCTCACTGTGGAATCACCAAAGAGCTCTGCAAGTACAAGAGCATCCTCAATCGCTTGCCCAGCTCCGGCGCCTTGGTGTGGCGTAGAGGCGTGCGCGGCGTCTCCGAGGATTGCCACTCGAGATCGTGAATAAGTGGACAGGGCAGGGTGTTCAAAGACAGCCCACTGGGAAGGATCCGGCATGTGCTAAAACAGGAAGCCTAATTAGCCCTTATTCAAACCCCAAAACTTGGTGTGATACCTCGACTAGCGATTTCCAGTATCTACCCATCTTACTGGCGTCCAGCAGCATGTCCTCCTTCTTTGCCGGTCGTACCCAAGTGTCGCAGTCCCAAGTGTCGTTGAGAATATATAGTCCGACATTGACCTTTTGGGCGCGCATGATCGGATACGAGATTCCATATGCCCCGTCTCCGATATACATGGTAGACACCCTGGCACGCTGATCGCCAACAGCCTGCACCATCTCATCCATGTCGAAAACAGCACGGTAGCCGTACATGCCGCTATATTGAGGCTGCTTGGTTTTCGACTCTTCTGGCAGCATGAATTCTTTCACTTTGGACTTGATTCCATCGCACCCGACAACAACATCTGCGATGGCCATAGTGCCGTCATCAAAATACAGATTCACACCGTCAGCCGTCTCCTCCAGCTTTTCCAGCCGCTTGTCAAACTGTACAATATCCGGCGGAATCAAATTGACCAGGGCTTCCAGGAAATTTGCGCGGCGGAGTGTTGTTTGGCCCGACGGGAGAGCTTTGAGGTTCATCAATAAATCCCCCTCGTGCACGCCACTCGCCCAGACAACTTCAAACCATGTTTGCGCATAACTTTCGTAGCCAGGGCTATCGGCATGTGTGGTGACCAGCGAGTCATAGATCTCTCGGATTTGGGGATCTATAAGCGGCATGGCCCGGTGAGCCGCGGGCCCGATGGAAAGCCCTAGTCCAATCTCCGTGAAAGCCGAGGCAGCCTCGAAGATTCGGACAGAGAGATTGCGGCGGAGAAGACCAACCGCAAGAGTGAGGCCACCTATCCCACCACCAACAATGGTGACGGTGAAGTTTTTGTTGGATGATGCGCTGCCCATTATAACGCTGATTGAACGTTGACGGGGTGGTAGGACAGCGGTAATGAGGAATGGGGGGAGACAGACCTGGTGGAGAACACATTTTCCCAGGTGGTATAATTAGAACCGAGAACAAGGCCTTCGTAAGCCCATTGATTGACTGCGATACAGTCATGTAAGACCGAACACCTGGGCTGTTATTATACAATTAAATTGATTAGTTGGCTCAAGTTCCAATACTACTGTAGGAATCGACTTTGTCCACGTCGGATGCGGCACTGGCTGATGTCCTCCCGCCTTCCGAGAAGGATCATGCCCCTGGACGTATTAACTCTAGTTATTAAAATCCTACTTATTGTCGGGTTAATTAACATCGGCTTTGAAGGTCCGGGAGATAGGCGTGAACTTTTATCCTGCACTTCAGGCCATTACTACTTACTGTACGGAGTAGTTGATGATCGCCGAGTTTCGCGAGAGGATCCCCCGACAATAGTTCTCCGGCTAACGTAGATCATGACACCCGATTTGCCATGTTGGATCGAAGTCCGTGGTACGGGGCACAAGGCACCGAACTCAGAGTAGTTATGAGTTGGGAAAATAAACCCCTCCGCCCCCAAACTGGCCCCTGCCTCAGAATCCCTGCAGCCCCTCCCCACCCCCTGCCCCCCTGCAGCTCGGTAAAATTTAGTACGAAAGGAGCCGTGGTGCAGGCAGGCACACAGAAAATAACACGAGCTTTTCACCGAGTGTATCCACGGAGCACATTGCTGGTTGAATCGGAACACTCCGATCAATATCCGGGTGGATATCATAGTATTGATCGACTGGTTTCTGGTTGCCCGAAGGAGACTGCGAGGGTCCAATAGAAAGCCAAGAATGGCGTATGGTACCGATCCGTACCTGATGTAGATTCACATCCGGAGACGCAGCCAAACTAACCTGTATGGGTGGAAAAATTTTAGTTGCATATGAATGTGAATTATTCTGGCAACGCCATTGTCCCTTAATTTTCGATTTTTGCGATTAAGCCAGAATTTACAGTAGAGTTTTCATGCTTTCCCATGTTCCTCCACGCGTGGAGGACGTGGTAAGGCTGCCCTTCTGGTCTCGCTGGCCAGAGGTGCTTCAATGGGCCAATTGATAGGTGTTGGAGGGTCCTCGTCCGATCCATTGCCCTTGGTTTGTAACGACTTCCACCGATACAGTCTTCATGATACCGTTCTCGTCCGAAGCCGCCCATAGGTGAGATTGGCTATCGCCGTCCGACTCCTTTTCTTGGTCATTCATGGTATCCAATATGTTGTCGACATCGTGGCGGGAGTTCCGGCGTGTGCGCATCGAATGAAGGGGTAAGGATTGCGAGATCTGGCGCGATTTGGACCGAGAGTACTCGGTCGACATAGAGGTATGGCCGATCAGCGGACGGACGGACGGCGCAGCTGCAGCGATGACACCCAACGTGGCCTCCAGTCTATAATAGAGTTAGTATTAAATCCTTGAGCAACAACCATGCGTTGGTCACCTACATTGCCCATTTGAAAAGATCCACAAGGTCCCCTGGATGGATAGTTAGCGTTTGTTGATACTGTAGGATTGACACCACATACAAGTCGGGTCGTGTGTTGCCGTCAAACTGGGAACAAGTGCGGTGCGGACGATGGCAAATGCGCCGCTCCTGAAAAATGATTCGGTCAGCCATGTTGGGAGATTAATCTCAACGGCGGGCGCATACGCGAATCCCAGTGCCATAATGGCGCAGATACCAAACTTGACTCGGCGGGGGAGTTTGACATTCCACAAGAACATAATCGGTAAGATTGAGAGAATGAAGTCAGTCGCAGCAGCGATAGCTGAAGTTAAATCGTCAGCTCGTAACACTTGGATCCGAAGAACAGAAGAAGCATACACCCTTGGGCAATTCCGGTGCCATTAATCACAGAATCGGGCCAGCAAGTCCCCTTAATGCCTTTGTTCCAATTGTACTCCACAGGTGTGCATTGTGGGAAGATAATGGCAGCGTCAAGGGTACTGGTAATCGTATTGAATGCGATGAAGCACCAAAAGAAGACTTTCCACTTCTTGCTCGTGAGACTAAATGGTTCCCTCTGTTAGTGGATGGTGAACAGCACGAGGCTGAGAAAAAAAGACCAACAAAATTCGTTTCAAGAATAGACTGATGGAAATCTTCAGGAATATCGTTGAGAATATCAGAAAGAACTCGGAGATGCGCAAAAGCTTCACGCAGAAGGCCGCTCGAACCGGATCGAGGGACAGGAAATGACGTCCGAGCCCATACTTGGTTGATGTGGTGACCAGGCCCATTACCACAATTGCGCACAGCTAGGGCAGGATTTCGGTTAGATGCAGACTGGGATGGGATTTGGAAAGAGATACTCGCCAGCGCCAGAACGTTGAACACATCATCCCATCCAAACATTCGCACCATGAACCGGCGCACATAGAGTCGTAGGCCAGTGAGAATGAACGCAACTACCGTGGTGAGAATAGTCGGAACCAAAACATCAATGGCCCGAGAGTCATGATTCTCGCCCAGAGGCGAGGCGGACACCATTGCAGTAGCGACTATGCTGGTGTACAGTGTTGTTAAGTCGTCGGGAGGACAGTTCTACATGTCTTCGCGAGAAGAACGTGAGGACCTTCGAAGGAACAAAGTGACCAATGGATCTGCTGCGCCAAAATAGGGTTCTCCTAAATCCAATTGACAGGGATATGTGCTAGGCGTAATAGAATATTCCGCCCCAAACCACCCGAACGACAAAAATGTCGCTAACAACTTAGTTCGCGACCAGCCAAAACTAGTATCGAACGGTAGGTCTTGTGAGCGAATCATAGTTTGCATGTGCCCCAACGTAGACTTTGTTAATCCATGCCTGACCCTGGCGTGTTACATCGCCCCTGTCTGCTCCGAAATCCATCCATTTTCCCTGTCTATTTTAGCTTGTTTTTTCTTTCCTGATTTTTTTCTTTCTCTCCCATTATACTCTAGTTCCAACGTGCCTTCCACGCGCTGGTATTCACGATGAGCATGGCAGATAGAGATGTGAAGGTGTCCTCGCCAGATGTGAGGACCGAGACAGACTCAATGGCCTCGAAGACGAACGATGATGGCATTGTCCTTGTCCCCCAACCAAGCGATGATCTAGAGGATCCATTGGTAAGAGAGAAAGAAGCCATTCATGAAAAAACATCGAGATGTTAACGGGATTGCAGAATTGGCCGATGTTCAAAAAGCTGTCTGTGTTCACCGCCGTCTGCTTGGCTGGCTTTGCAGCTCAGATGTCGCCCAACTCTAACCAGCTTACGTTTATGGAACAAGTCCCCACGTATCACAGCACGCCAGCGGCTCTGCTCAATTCTGTTGCCGCTGGCCTTGCAGGCTGGGTTGCTGGTCCCTTCTTTTTTATCCCACTTGTGGCCGTCATCGGTCGCAGCGCCGTCATTCTTTGGAGTCTGGTGGCTATCTTTGCCTGCCAGATCTGGGCGGGCGAGATGACCGGACCAGATGACTATATTTCTTTCACTATCTCGCGTCTCATTTGCGGACTTTTTGGTGGTATTCCAGCCATCCTAGGCAGTGGGTATATCATGGACATGTTCTTTTTGCACCAGCGTGGCAAGGCGTTTGCCGTCTTCGAGGTCCTAATCATCTTTGCGGTTGTCGGCGGCGGTACCCTCGGCGGATTCATTTGTGAGACAAACCCCTGGGACTATGTGTTCTGGTGGACTCTCGGCCCTGTCGGCGCTGCAATCGTCACTGTTTTCCTCTTCGTTGAAGATACCACGTATTCTCGTGATCCCACTAGGCCCAATCGTGATCCTCTTCCCAAAGGCTGGCTCGCAAAGCGTGTGGCCACCTTCCTACCCGGCACGAAAACACAGCCTGCCGACAAGGGCAAGGAAATGGTAGGACACCTTCAATACAATGAAGGAGAATCAAAAGCTAACAAAGGACCCTATTCTAGATCCGCCGCGCAATTATCCCTTTTCAGATCACATTCTCTCCTATCACTCTTTTAACGGGAACGTACATTTTCGTTGCCCTCGGTCTTCCCATTATGCAAGCCTCCACACTCGCAACCTACCTGCAGCCCCCTGTTGAAGAAGGCGGCTATGGCTTCTCCTCGCTGCAAATGGCCTTCTTTACCATGACTGCCTGGGTCGGCATCATAGCCGCCCAGGTCTATGGGTACTTCTTCAACGACAAGATCCCACTCATGCTAGCCCGTCGCCGCGGCGGCACCTGGCACACCGAATACCGCCTGGCCAATACCATTCTCCCGAGCATCATTCTTCCCATCGGATTGGCAATCTATGGCGCCGGTCTGGAGTACCACCTGCACTATATGGTTCTGGCACTGGCTGGATTCTTGATCTGGTTTGGCGCTCTGTTGGCCCTCCCCGTCTGCTATAACTATATCATTGAGTGTTTCCTGCATAACCCCGTCGAGGCATCGGTTTCACTCAATGCATACCGAGTCTCATTCGGCCTGATGTCTGTCTTTATTGTGACCCAGTGGCAGGCTGCAGTTGGTACCGGCTGGATGTGGGGCATGGGCGCTTTCTTCATTCTCTTCGTTGATCTCATCATGGCGGGTATCATTCTCAAGGGCCACTTGGTTCGTGAGTGGACTAAATCTGTGAGCAGCACCATTGGTGTCACCGAGGACGGTGCTAGAATCAGTGCTGGTGTCTCAAATTCCGCGTGATTTACGCTTTTGCTGCGTCCATTCAGGGAGTCGGTTGCTTCAGTCTTCCTGCAATGTAGATCGATTTATCTCATACATTACGTGTTAGTATCACCGGCTCGGTACTGTATACACAGTTAAGTGGACAGCATATATTCTCCAAAAGCAGAAAGTAAATTGATTGATGTAGATGTAGATTCTCCAGTCCTCATCCGAGGCCCTTGAATCCATACGGCGGGAGTCGCGGCTTAGCAAGATTATGTAGAATATGTTTTTGCTAATTCTGACGGGAGGATATGTCCCCACATTAAGCAAGTTTCACTTCTGATGGCGTTTGCTTCAATTTGGGGGTGGCGGAACGTTCATAGCCGCTTTTACGTCTGTGTTGTTTCGTTTTCAATGTTTCTGCTACCTGAAGCTTCGCCTATGTGAACCTATTTACTTTTGATGCTTCAAACCCTTACTTTATCCCTCGATTTTGATAGTTTTAGTTTGTGTAACGACCTCCAAATGTGGACATAATATCTCAAGGTAATTTTACCCTGGCACACGCTGCTACACACGTCCTAATCTGCTTGTCCACACATCCGACACACAATACTTCTAGCGTAGAAGATAATGTATCTCCTCCTATGTACGTCGCTGTTGTTGTATGGAGGCATTATTAAAGTGTTATCTGATATTAAAATTGTCTGCTCTCCTTTAGAGCATAACGCATAGCTCGCCGACCATGAAACGGCACCATCACGTCTATCAATACTTTTATACTCGCTTTCAATGTCCAGTTTTTTGTGGAGGAAATGGGGGTAGACGGCAGTTGGTTTATGGTAATTCAGGTAATTCAGCCTTGTAGCTGCTGACTCGTATTTTATCTGTATTATGATCATGGGTAGCACCGGCTACCTAATCAAGTGCGACAATAGTAAGGCCAGTGGGGTCAGAACAGAGTTGATAAATCATGTAAAGGTGCAATTGATAAATTGACGGCAGGCTTTTTCAACGATGCCTAGCCTCCACTTTCCGTGGCGAATATATAGACGCGGCGTTCCTGCAGGTGTAACGGTCCAAAGCCTTGCGGAACCTCTCCTGATACGACTTAACTCAATCCAAAAAAATATGTCAGTGTCTTCGTGATCAGCCGGATAGCGAAGTTGTGTCAGCGTAGGAATTTCAGAGGTAGTATAGCAACAGAGCGGTCAGCAGTGAAAGCGTAGAGGATATGAAATTCCTGTTCATTAGAGGAGTCAGAGGAGTCGGTGAGGAAAGCGCCAGAAGCATAGACGAAGGCGTTTGGTTGGTATAAGTCAGACTGGCTTCCATCATTGAAGAATCTGACTAAAGTAGGAATGTCGTCTTGCTCAACGTCGTCTAGACATACATCTTTATGCTACATAGAGAACCTATTGCCTAGGCGTGTTAGATCTGGTTCCGCATGATCGATGATGTCCCGAATATAAAGGACTAAGGGGTTAGTTCTGTTTGAAGTTATTACATCAATTATCACATCTCAGTCTATTATTTGACTCGTACAACAACGTATAAGAACGGAGGGTATTGTTGCCCCATGCTATGCCAATCATCCAGTGGAGAGCCTCGCATGATCTGAGCAACCCTTGCAACACGTTCATCGGCGATAATCCAACCATCGCCGCTTTTCCCCCTCTCCCTTTGGCTCCTAATCGTCAGACTGGACGAGCATCGGGCGTAACCGAATTAATTCCAGTACAGATCTCACGCTTTCTTCCTGCGCTAGTTCGCCCCGAGAGGTCGTCCTCACGTCTAGCCACGGTCGCCGCGCTGAGAACGTCCGGATATCCCCCATATGCCTGAACCCGGTCCATGTACTCCCCCAAGCGAATATGTACGGGTGGGACGCTTCCAATCGCGTACGCACACCAGTTTGTTACATATAATAATGCGGATTTCGTCTCACAAGATATTCCTAGCGAAATTTACCTACTCTGTTTTTCTTCTGAGGTTTCATGGGATGAAGATCTGTTGATTGAATGTCCGAGGTTCCAAGGCTGGAAAATTGCCCTTTCCCACCTGGGTGGGTTTGAGACCTGAATTGTATGCCATAGGCTAAACCTGAGTACTACTCCTGTAGCTTGATAGCCGGACCCATTTTGGGGGTTGTTGCGAGGAGGCCAGGTTATGTGAGTTTTCTAAATCGTAGCTTCAGACAACCCGCAATTGGCCCCGCCGAGAAGGCATCCTGCTGTTCCACATTTCCTGTGAATTCATCATCGAGGCAGGTCGAATAATCCGTATAGATGGTGGCAAGAAGCTCTTTGATGACTGGTTGTGAAGTTGCATCGTCAGCACGTTATTCGATGAAACGGACATTACGGAAGAATAACCGAATGGAACCTACCACGCATAGAGTAATGAGTGCCAATGCACATCCGTGCGCCGCTTCCGAATGTCCAGATCCACCTCCGCATCTCCATGACAGCGTTCTCGTCTGCTTCAAGCCACCTCCTCGGTCGCCATTCTTCTGGAGAGGGAAAAGGGACGGGATTGAAGTGGAGGGCCCAGGCTGAGGAGCTGACGATGGTGCCACCGGGGACATCAAACTTTCCCGCGAGCCGGCAGCCTGAGTCTGGGACAACACGAGGGAAAGGGCCGGGACAGGGTGCACGGGTTCGCATGGTCTCCGTGACAACGGCGTCAAGCACTGGCAAATCTGCAAGGCGATGGGCTAGGCTTCGATCGCTAGGTTTGGCCAGAGTGAGGAGCTCTTGCCGGAGTGCGCGCTGACAGTTCTGGTCTATTGATAGCTCGTACATGATATATGACAGTAATGTTCCCAGGCCGAGGTGGCTTGCTGAAAGATGGTCGTCGCACTCCACCGCGATCAAGGAAGCCATTTCGTTACGCGACATTTCGGGGTTGGCGGCTTTGAAAGAATCATAAAAATGGTCAAAAAGGCTCGGCGTAGAAAGTGAGTTGGTGGAGTGCCACCTGTAGGAATGAGCGATTACTTGTGTGAGCCACGCTTGCCACCGAGAAGTAATTTCGGGATCGGGCAGCTTGTTGCCAAACCAGTTTTCAAAATAGGTCAGGGGCCAGTCGAGACTGGTCCTCATGGTAATTATCTTGGAGCCAGCCGAAGCTAAAGCTGTGAGGTCATTCTCAAATGCCGGGTTTCGTAAAGTATCGGTCGCATTATCGCTACCAAAGAGCCAGCCGGAAGCAACGTCAAGGGTACAGCATTTAGCCTGCTGATAGACATCGACAGAGGTACCCGTCTTTGCCCAGCTGATAATTGCTTCTTTAAGGCGCTGCGATACGCGAGAAAGGACGTCATCGAGAGTTGGAGAGATGAGAATGTACGAATTGGTATAAGGGCGGGTAAGCATGCGTTTACGCTCCCTGTGCTCTGCATCACCTGTCATGGTGACCATGAACTTAGTCCTGTACTAAGTTAGCCCATCGACTTTTCTCAAATTTGGAAGATGATGGTTTCGGGAACTTACTGATCGAACAATTCATTGTAGAAGGTCGCATCTTTGTCGAACTTGCTGCTATAGATTGTGCGAACCCCGTCATCTATGCAATTCACACTCACATCACAAGGACCAACTCGAATGACTGGACCGAGGCGACGATGGAGATGAATTCGGGTACGATGCTCCATGTTCCGCCATCGGAGCGACAGCAACCATAGGCGTGTGTATGGAACGGAGAAATGCGCATTCGGGATGTCTTTCAAGCTGGAACTGTGGTTGCGATAGATTGATGAAATGACCCAAGATATGAGAAGAGCGAACCCAACGATCGTGGCAAACATGTCGTGAAAAATATCGAATGATTGTTGTCAGAATGACAGATCCGACGCACGGATTCTCTGATCAGCTACCTAGTAGCCACAGCACTCTTATGCGTTGTCTCATAACCACAGCTAGGGGTCCGGCACTAAAGTCAAACAGGCTCGTACCCATTGTGGCAATGAAATATTCGAATACACATTTTCGCTATATCATTGGATCGTTATATCATTGGATCGTTATATCATTGGATCAATCCTTTTATGCATCCTCAAGTGTTTGGTCCCCACGTCGGAGGCCCGCCGGACTCCCCTCCGGACCTCAAATGCTAAGTGAGCCTTGCGAAGTGGGGAAGCTGGAGTGTATACATACCACAAGCCAATGTGGTGCCAATCAGTTGTAGCTGCACATTGCTCAATCTGGCTTCCTAGGATTTGGAATTTTTTCCTCGGCCGCTCTCAGGGGTGGCCCTGTTTTAGTCATGCAATGAATGACTCGTTGTAGATCGAAGACAGGAAGTCCACCCCGACCATCTCCAAAGGCAATTACGATGTATATTCAAAATTTGAACTGCTGTCACAATTTTCCGGAAGAGAATTCAAACGAAGGAGGGTCATTTTCACGCGCCTTGCTCCCAGTAACATATGATCCTCACAGGCAACGATAAGCATTACGAACAACATCCATTAAACGCAAACAAACTGATCAAGTCGAGCTCTTAGTGGTTTTCGAAGAGATATTGATGTTACTCCAGAGTCTATCAACCCTTTTTCGTGTTCTCTTTCACGTAGAAGTCTGTGACGTCCATATGGTCAACTACTACTGGTGAAATCCGCTTCAAATGTTTGCTCATCGGCTATTCACTCTTCTCCATTTGTGATAGTATCAATAGTAGCGGCGCTATGTTGAAACTGGACGTTCAAAATCTTGCATAGGCATCTTCTAGAAGCTCTGGAACCTGAGTGACCTCAGTCCCCTGCATCTTAGTTTAAACGTACTACTCCCTAGTGAAAGGCTTTTCAGGTTCAAATTTTGTGTGCACACATGTTCGATTCCAATATTTAAATGTTGTCATTTCTAACAAGAAGGAACACAGGCAAGTCCACGTATATAGCGAATGAATGACAAATTGGTCTGTCAGGCCTGACCTTGAGGCCAAATTCTCTCAGTGGCCCTGAGTACGATAGCGCGGGTCTCAAATGCACTCAGTGTTGCTCCTCCACATTCGCAATGTTAGATCTTGCGGAGTTGAATTGCAGCTTGAGGCCATTGAGCTTCAAAGGCTCGTCTTCAATCTCCTTGGACTCGATATCGGCGGCGATGTCGGCATTCGCATCACGAGGGGCAGGCTCTGGCTTGTACAGATTTTGGACTTCCTGCATCGTCTTCCATGGCTGAGATCTCTCCTCAGTTCCATTGTTGAGTGATTGAGGCTGAATCTCAATTAGCAATATGTTCATATTTCATGTATCATTGAACATTCAATCTCGAATTTCCAAGGTTATCCAGGTGTCGTACCATATTTAAAGAGCGCGGGCTTGTAAAACCGCGAGTAAGTTCTATAGGAGGCTTTTTTTGTGAGTGTGGAATCGATAGTATCTGAGGATGATGGATGATAGTCTGGGGGGTGCCTAAGGGTTTATATATGTTTGGATCGAGATAGCCGGATTGAATTCCGACCTTGGAAGGTTCAAAAAAACCAAGGTTGAATCAATTGATGTCCAATGCGTGCACCGTAGATAGCATCCACATGATACCAACCCAGACCATACCAATTCGCATGTCGTGCGTAAAACCGAGCACGCGAGTATGTATGCACACAGGTGTGTGCATATGAAGTGACATGGACGTTGACTCCGAACATTGAAGGCGCAGTGATAGGCCCGACTGGTACACAGTCCCAACGCGTGGAAACTTTCCTTCGCACTGCAACCCTGGAGTAAGAAGCCCGCATAAGCCGTGTTGCATTGGGTAGCATATTATCTTCCCGGTCAAGTAAATATTGCGCAATCCTTTGCCCCGATTCATTCCTGTTGGACGTCTGGACAGTTCGAAGGATAGGATCTTAGCCTAGCACGTATTACACGCGCTGCCTGAGGTGTAAATAATATGCATGTTTAATCTTCGGAGTCTGCAACGAGGTCTTCCGGTTCTTCTCTGTCAACAAATGCATGTGTACCTGGGAAAATGTCAAGCTATGATTGGACGGATGATGTCCCGGTCTTGGATTCGGGTTACAGTGCATTAGTGTGTAATCAAGCCTCCCAAGGCCTTTTATGCGTCGATCCTTATCCAATCGGCGCACTTCATTCCTAAGTAAATCGGATTTGGTGCCGCTACGGATATTGCCGTACGTAACCTTCCCCGCTTCGTTAGGTTCCAAGATTCCAAATTTGGGGAGATAAGCACCTAGCCAATCACAGCATAGCTTATGGGGCGTTGAAAGCTTAATTGAGAAATGCATATAGCGATCAATAACGCGGATTTAGAGACTTTGGCATTGTGGATAAACCCCCTTGTGCAGGATGAGAACTCTCTCTCTCCTGATTTTTTGTACTGCGGACGACATCTGGAGTGATCGTCCCCGAAGTTGAGGGCAAGGATGGACCGAGTTGGGACTAGTGGGTATCGTGGATAAAACGCTCATCTTACTTGATGCCTTTCGTGAAGTACTCAGATGAATCATTCTGGCCCTGAGTATATCCAATGGATCATATTCTTGATTGGGAAGGGAGCGCGAGAAACTGCAAGGATGCGCAATAATCTGCAGTAATATTCGACTATGCGGGGTAGTAAATGAGAAATCTACCCAAAACATCCATTCGCCTTGAAATTCCTTTGGCTCGGCGTTGCGTTTTCTCCATTGTCCGTTCAACTTCCAACACGCGTAAGCCCGGCCTCAGATTCAAAAGTCAGTGACTGGATTTTCCCATAAATTATAAACAATCTAATCTGCTCATACAGTACCTCTTGAATCGCGTTTGCCTTTCTAAGTAATATTGGAAAGGATATTACTGTCTTTGAAGGAATGCCGGAGTCTCCTGAGCTCAATGCGGCAGTAATGGCTGTCGTTGACTGTGATGACTCGTTCAAAGCGAAGATCCAGTATCTTGCGAGAGACGAGCAGCACCGGTTGGTGAAGCCATATTATTTGCACTTCAATTACGAGTCTGATATTCCTCCAACAAACACATCCCCCGATGATCGATTTGTCCACATCCGTAATGCTCGGAATCTGCAGATTTCGTCGAAAGAAATGTTCATTCAGAAGGGGTTTACTCAGCTGCACCTTGATTGTTCTTTGACGCCTGAGGGGTATTGCGACGATCAGAAAGTAGAGGAAATTCTATACCCGAAATACAAATCAGCTGCCCGGCATTTGTTCCCAAATGCTGCGCGAATTGAAGTCCTAGAGCACGCAGTGAGCAAAAGACCAGATCGTCTGAAGATTGAACACTTCAGAACGCTGACCTGCGGGAACCAGGTTCGCAAACGTCACCCACTTTGGCTATCTGAGAGCTTAGAACGACACGAGCTTAACACAAATCAACCGAGCGACTATGTGCATATTGGTACGCGCTGATGATCTTTCATATAATGTTAGCACATTTGGACTGCATCCACGCATATACTGATCCTATCATTGGATTCATATGCTCAGATATGACGGCCTCCTCGGCTGCGAAATCCAGCATTAAGCATTTTAACATTTCCCCAAAGAGTTATTCAAGATTCGTGGTCGTAAAGTACATCTGCCTTGACTCCCAGAAATAATGCACCGCAAAGCTTACTCTCCATCTCCTCAGCCTCTGGAAGCCAATAAGAGGACCAGTATACGACTTTCCTCTGACGGTTTGCGACCGCAGTACCGTGAACTACGAATCCCAGGCCACTGCAATGGACATTGTTACTAGTTACTACCTTAACGAAAATATTCGCATATACTTTGACGATAGTCACAAATGGTACTATTGGCATGGCTTGCAGGCCGACGAGGTAATCGCCTTCGTACAGGTAGATTCCCAAGAGGATGACCGAGCAGGTATGATAGATTTTACCCTGTCGCCTAGAGAATTCATTTCCCCGAATTTTGACACTAAAATTTATCGAATCAGGAGTTCCCCATACGGCGTTTTACGACGCTCGCAATACTAATGAGACACAATTGCGGGAGAGTATTGAAGCTAGAGTGTTTGTTTACTTTGACTGAATGTAGTTCTCAAACACCTTGACCACACATGTGCATGTGCATTGTAGCGGTGTATAATGAATATACAATTCAAACTTTTACATACGTACTATGGATCACAACCCTGAAACCAACATTTAAACCTATCGGCCAGACTTCCCAAATCGTTCTTTACTATGAAACCAGTCTCCGTACCTCATCAGTAAACCCAAGGGAGGAATAAAAGCGGCTGCGATCAAAGCTAGAACGGTGTTACCCCAGCCCTGTCCAATACTATCATATAAAGCCGGGCCAATCAATGGCAGAAAAGCGCCAGCAATCGCTCGGAAGATGACACCACCAGCTATAGCAGATGCACCATGAATTTCATAAACATCCACCACATATGTCTCAGCCGGTATGGCAGAAAGCGTCATGCTGAATCCTGCAGCGCACGTCCCGATGAGCGGCACGATGTATTGAACATGGAAATGTAATGTCCATCCGTAGACCAGGAAGCCGATAGGAAGAATTATTGCGGCAAAAATTAGATGAACCAGTCGGGATTCCTGTTTGAATGCATCGCCCTTCGTTTCTCGCTGGTGGATCATGTAGCGGTCGGAAGTGACACCGTAGAAGATCAAAGCGACGGTGTTGCCGATCGCGAGACTCAAAAAAGTCAAGCCAACAGAGCCGCTAGAGAACACATTAGGGTACGTCGTTTCCATGTTTTCCGTGAGCGTGGCAAGAATCAATGAGACCAATGCGTATGTTATGGCCATGTAGCTTGTGGTCAGAATGAGGATGGGGGACTGTGCCAGTATCTGCATTGGTTTTATGGCGCTTTCGAGCATAGTGGATTCATCGACAAGGGCTTGGTGTTTCGAATGATACTTCTTCTCATCCGCACACTCCTCTTGCAACCTCTCCGCCTTTCGCCTCAGAATCACCACCGTGTACGTTTCCCGGAGCACAGTCAGCAATAAAAAGCTGAAGAATCCAAGTATGATAGCTGCCAGCCAAATCGACCATCGCCAACCCAGGCTCTGTGCGATATACGCTCCGGCGATAGGTGAGGTAAAATCAGCAATCATTTGGGTCCCCATAACCAATGCCATTGCCTGGCCGGTTCGTTCCATCTGGAACAGATCACCGACGATGGCGGGTCCGAGAGTGAGAATCGACAGGAAGCAACCCGTTAGGAATCGGAACGCAATCAACATAGGAATGTTTACGCTCAGGGCGCTGGCGATCAAGCAAAGGAGCGCGAGGAAATTCCCAATATGGAAGACAGGAAGCCGACCGAATCTTTCGGAGAGCGGGGCAATGAAAAACGGACCAATTCCTTCTCCAAGCTCCCAAATCGTGACGAGCAAGGTCTGGTCGACCTTGCTATGCGAATTAAACTCTTGTAAGATCTGCGGCGTCGTGGGCACAATCGTCATTGTCGAAAAGACACTAATTCGGTCAGTCGATGACGGAGGGTATACAGACCTGCGAGATAAAAAAATAAAAGATGCCAACCTGACGAAACCCATCCATGAGACAACAAACACAATCAGCCATTTATGCGTTGACGACCAGTTCAAGGGGTTTTCTGGGTCGTTCTCCTCAAAATCCACGAGGACAACATCTGAATCGCCTTCTCCAATGGCATATTCCAATGGCATTTCGGCGGTCCTCTCATTCTCGCTTTCTGCCGCAATCACATGTTCTTTGTCCGGCAGTTTTTGCTGCTCAAGTGAAGACAAAATAGGGACTGGGTGGGTAGTAACCCCGTCGATGAAAGACATCAGTGTGAAGTGGTTGGAATGCAGCAACAGTCTCTTCTCAACTGCTGAGATAGCAGGTACAAAGAGGAGAATGGGAAACAAAGCAAACAAAGAGATAATTTAAGAGCCAACACGGTGCATCAGGTGAGGGATCTAACACGCAATGTCCGAGGCGTAGATTGACAAAGCTTAGACAGAAGTCCACTGGAATTTTACATAATATTGCTTTCCAACCTTGGCAGGTTACATGTCCTTTGCATTTGAAACGGCACAATTCACCGACCAATCGATGGCGCATTTTCACATCTCTTCAACCTATCACGATCTATTTCTCATTCTTATCAACGAGCCACATGATTGGCCCAATGTACCCCATCTTTCCGTCCACGCTCCATCTGTCCAAAGGGCACGTTCCAGTCTGGGACTATAGAGCGATCAATAACCGTGCGGGCCGTTCCCTGGGAAAGAAAAGGTTCCTCCTGGTATAATTTTCCATGTTGGAAAGAACAAATCCGGATATTGCAATACAGGCTGTTATTGGACTAATTTGACTTACACTTCAGAAGAGGAAAAGAACTGGAGAACTGCAATCCTGACTGCCCCGAGAGAACGCCAACTGGCAACACCCTCATTCACACTCACATCTCCGCTCATGGGGTTATGCATGGTAGCCTACCAACATGCAGCAAAATAGGCGGCTAGCAGAAACTTATTTATCAGAGCTACGATCGAATTCATCATTCAACTATTTCGCCAAGCATCGATTCTTTTCTGTTAAGGGCTACGAGGTTTTAGTTGCTGCTTTTCTTAATAGTACTTGAACGCAGGTCCACTTTGGACGCTCGAGCGCCGGTTTAATCCGGACTCGGGGATTGCCGGATTAATACGGAGTATGAAGTAGTTTCTGGAGGAAACCTGGGGTGGAAAACTATTACGAGATGCACGGACCCTCATTTTGGACGGAGATGATCTTATTTTGTTAGCCAATTATAACGATTTGGGCAACTGACTAACTTAATCTGTTTCTGAAAAGAGCTATCAAAAAAGCATTCGATGACTGTTGTTTCTGCAGCTTCCAGATATTCAAGATGTGTATTGGGGATGACGGGCCTGAAATGTGCAGGTACCTGGCGGGCGTTTCACCATACAGGGCATTTCATGTCACCGGGACCGGGGTTACAGTACCAGGCAAGAAGTTCTCACACACCCTTGGTTGATTACATAATATTATACCGTAAAATATTTAATTCTAAATTAAATGATTGGTTTAAGCCCCGGAGAAATCCCGGAAAAAGTCTAAATCTAGTAGGCGGTGTTGAGGGTGTGTGAGAACTTCTTGCCTGGCACAGTAACACCTCGATATCGGTATTGTCACTCGAATACTCAGTTACACCGCTATGGGACAGCTCAACCTGCCTCTTTTCCATTCGTTCTAGTTTCCTTCCTCAATCAATCAATCACTCTTTTACACTGATGGTTCCGGTAGCTCTCATTCGTCCATATGCATATTAGTCTATACCGATTCAGCTCGCTTTGACATCAGTTATCGATAGGAAAATGCTTCGCCGATATATACAGTACACAATCACTATTCTCTAAAGCCTATTTCTGACAGAAGCTTATCATCATAACCTTAATTGAATGGCTTAGCATCCAAAGGTGCAAGTGACGGTCTAACATCACGTGCTGTATTCGCATAACAATCAGATCTGGTTAAGCTCTGGGCTAGCCACTTTAGGAGTTACCTCCTCGTGGAAAAAGGATTACGTGGGCCAGCCGGCCTCCGAAAAAAAATTTCATTCTTCAATTTTCTTGTTCCTCGGGGTTCCCGTGGACTCCGAATCCCACGTGACCAATAATGCAGAGCAGCAAGAAGCAAGATGTGGGGCGCCACAAATGACCGTTTAACTTACATCTCGTCAAACGGCCCTGGTGAAAGCCGTCAAACGAAAAAAGTTGCCCAGATAAACGTTCCTGTGTTTGCTCGTGCGTTGACGGTCAACGGCTAAATATCACGTTTAGTTTCATTAATTGACCCGCCCCATAAACGTTTGCTTCAGACTGTTTACTTTGATTATCTGACAATATTCAATTTTCCTCTTGGTATTCAACGGTGGAAAAGGGCGCTATTCGAGGTCAATCCAAATCCTACGGCTTTTTCGCCCGTGTCGTAGTTTAAAGGCTGTTAATGCAAGGATTCATGCATGTCTTGTTGCATCATTACGGTATGTGCCAGCAAATATGATCAAATATCAGTGTTCAAATGGCCCCTTGTCTTTCAACGGTCAAAATCACGGGTTACTGGGGCGGATTATTGGTACAGCATCGCTATTGTCCATACATTAGCAGGTGCGGGGTATCGAGTACACAGTCTGTCTGTGTGTGTAATTCATTTACGCTGACCCCTCGTTAAGTTGAAACCCTGGATTGAAGTACAAGTGTGATAATTCACTAACTATTCGAGTAGGCGCAGCTATTTGTAGTCACAGTAGCTGCCTTCTGCCAAGAGTGGTTGTGGTGGCAACCTAATAGGCTGCCGCCATTACGGACACAGCAGCTTTTGCTAACGTAATTCACGGCCGACCAGCACACACGGTCGAGCGGGCACACCTACCCCCATTAGAAAATTTCAAAATTGATTAGCTCAACAAACACCCTTTAATTTAACTAGATAATTCGATTTTTACATGAAGTAATCCTGTGGCCAATTTTTCCACATCCACTGCAGGTAGGCGGAGCCCTCCTGGCCGGTTGAATCGGCTGATTAGGCAGGTCGACTTCCTCATGCGATACTACCTCATCAGCTTCTACTAGCTGAATTGGCTGCTGAACTAGCTGTAGGCCCTCTTCAATTGATAGGCCCCCTTTGTGTGCAATCCGCATAGTCGATCCAGTGCGCTTTTGACGTTTCTTCTTATTCGCTGCGCGTAGATCGGCGTTCTCCTTCACTAATAACGCAGTGTGATGTAAAGCTCGATAGTGGCCCTTAAGAATCTGATTAACCACTAAATTCAACGGGCTCGGAGGGCTTTTTGACCGCCGATCTTTCATTATTCTAGCCTGCTTTTGTAGCTGGGCTATTGTTCTAGGCGTTTTTGGTGTGAATTGGCTAGATCTGCTGCTTAGTCGGCTTGATGGTGGTGAAGACGTTCGGATAGAAATATTTAGCTGAGAAAGCACTCTATCAGCATTAACTGGTACGATACCAGTAGCTGCAAAGCTGCTTTGAATAATATTCGGCTGAAAAGCTTCTAGCCGTGCGCGTAGGTAGTCGGCTAAAAAATCAAGCTTGTCGATATGATTATAGATCGAAGCTCATCACGTCGATTCACAAATATTGATGCCCAGTTAACACCAACAGTTAATAGGGGTGTGGTTCCACGCGCTGCAAGAAGGATATTGGCTACCTCTCGAACAGTAGAGCGCCTAGGCGCTGCCCTACGCAATCCATAGAGAGGATCCATTCAGTGAGCGAATCCTCTTCATATTGTGTCAACTTATGGCCAGATGGACGCTTATCCAGGCGTGCTGCTCTCCCACTCGCGCGAGCAGCGAGAGTTCGGTAAAGTATGTCATATAGATAATAATAATAATACAGCTGTAATAATTACAGCTCATCCAAATAAAGCTAATTTGTGTAAACGTATACCTGGACTTCTCATATTTAATATAGTGCTGATTCGAATTCAGCTAGTCATAATTAGTATAGTTTTTTTTTTTTTTTTTTATTTATAAGTCTTGACCAAACTACGTGCCAGCAGTCGCGGTAATACGTAGGAGGCTAGTGTTAGTTATCTTTATTGGGTTTATGTTAATAGCTTCATTAAGTTTAGTAGCTGTACCTTTCATGACAGGATTCTATTCTAAAGATTTTATTCTTGAATCTTATTAATAATAAGAGGAATCATAAAATAATGTTGTACGACTGTTTAATAAAAACGCAGATTTATCTAAATTAAGAGGTGTACAATTCAGACCTTTAAGTAAAATAGCTCTCGTTGTTTTTGTGGCAAATTTCTTAGTATTAATGCAATTAGGTGCAAAACACGTTGAAACACCATTTATAGAATTTGGTCAAATTTCAACTGTTTTATATTTTGGACATTTCTTTGTAATAGTGCGGTGGTTGGTCGCTTCATTTGGGTTGGAGATTGTTTATGTTCGAATCATAATAACCTGATATAGCTTCGCTGCCGCGCGTATAGATTTGATACGGTCATTTTGAAGATCACTAAGGGCTACTAGAATCTTGCCCTCTTGATTAGCCAAATCCTGGCTAGATTGACTGCGAATTGGTGGCATGGTGGGTAGTTGAATTGGATGGGTTGGTAGGAAGACGCGATTGTTGATGGGGTGTAGGCTGCGGCAGCATCCGCGAAAATCCAAATCCGGTCCACATCCGCTCCGCAGATTGCGGATATGGATGCAATTTCGATATCCAACTATCAGCGCGGATTAGATGCGGATTTCAACCTCAAAAAGTTGGATATCCGCGGATATCCAGCGGATTTGAAAACAGTATAAACATGCCAAGCCTCGTGATCACATTCAGGATGCATAACTTGTGCAAATTTCGAGGTAATGTTTTGTAACAAGTCTCTTAAATACTGGTGTATAGATTACTCCGCTATGACAGAGAAGTTCATGCCAATAATACATTAAATGAATTTGACTTTCTTCCCTATATAGTACTATGGCTTGCCAACCTCAAATCCATCTGGAAGCCTCGGTTTCTTCCGAATCCTCCCACTGCTAGTCCTTGCCTCTGTACTATCTAATGCTGTTTCTCCTTGCAGGACATAATCATCTAGATCTGCAATATCTACAGGCCGCTTCAAGGAGTAAGAGAGAACCAACTCATTTCTCTCATTGTCCAATTCCTCCTCTTGTAACTCTTCCTGGTATCCTTCGATTCCTTCCTCCTCATCGTCACTAATTGGCTCCAGGAATTCAAGCGATGGAGTAGATTGACGGCTCTGATCAAGCATTGCAGCTTCGCCTGGTGAGAGATCCTCCTTTATCATCTCAATCTCTGTCTGCTTCAGCTCAAATTTGGATGAGAAATGATGAAGCACAGACCCCTAATTGTATCTGGCTTTAGCTGCCCACGGCGATAATGGCAGATATCGCGAGCACAATTTAATGAACGCTCAACTCCTGCTCCACTATCAGGAATCGACAGAATATCCTGTGCCATCTTGGCAAGTACTGGAAACTCCTGTTCATGTTGCTTCCAGTAAATACGTGGATTTCCTTTACTTAACCCTATATTTTTTTTTAGTTGTAGTGGACTATTAGACTAAGTAACGAGAGACTTACCCGTTGAGAGATATCGTGTAACTTCATCTTGTTGGCTATCGAACGCAACAGTAGGGAGTTTGGTTTGTTGCGAATCGCAAAGCTTGCAAGCTCTTCATCCTCTGCATCATTGATGGTCTCTAAGACATCAGGCTGCTGAGCTTCCTTCTGAGCTTGTTTCTGATATGTTGCAAACTCAGTTCGAAATGCTTCTTGATATTGCTTCATGAAGTCAATATCCCCACCCCTCCAATCTTCATTATCAAAGTACCGCAGCTTCTTTGATGGGCAAAGGATTGTTGCAAGCGCATAGGTTGTACCATATGGGCTGTTGTCGGTTGCACTGTAATACTTCGAGAGCTTTTTCTGTGCCAGCTGAAGTGCTTGAAGCATGCTTTTCTTCTAGCGCACACGCTTATATCTTAGCTTCTTCTCAGCCTCCTTAAGGTGGGTAAAGAGTCTGTTGTAGATGCTAAAAACATACTGTACTGTGCAGTCCCTTGTCTTTGATAGGATATTTGTAAAGTCAAAGAAAGACTTAGTGATTAACACAAGATACTCAACCTAGCGCTACTCCTCCTTATTGCGCTTAAAATGAGCATATTGATTTGTAGTACAATACTTATCAAAGTAGGATTAAAGCTTTCGCGCACGGATGAGCATTAGGAAAGTTGAGTTCTAGAGTGTACGGACATCCTGAATTGGAACCATTTTCGGCTCTTTTTTCTGGAGTCCTAGGAACGCCTTACGGCGCTGAAGGTTTGCATTAATAAATACCGTAAACCCTCGGACCTATAGAAGTATTAGTATTATTCATTAAAGAAGGGAAAGGTCTAGGGGAAGGATAGCGTACCTTTCTAAGAATATTCATAAGTGAATTAGCAGAAGACTTTGCCTAGAGTTCTAGAGTTTGCTTATTTGATCACTCTGATTCAGCTTCATCACTCCTAGGTGATACCCTTAGTTTCCTAAGGAGCTCCTGTAGACTAAGCTGGATAACATAAGTAATACAGGGGACTCGAAAATTGAGGTACTAGATTAAGTAAGGTATGTAGAATAACTAAAGAAACGAGAAAGAAGAGTTTAAGCACTTACTGGAGTAGCTCAGCTACGGAGATTAAGGGGTTATTCATGTATTAGGCGTAGCTTGCGCGACCGTGACTTCGAAGCGACTAGAAGATCAAGAAGCGATATATCATATTCCCCACATTATTGTAGCAAAAGGCTTAATAGGATAACCTAATTAAATACTTATTAAAATCTCTGACTGGCTTAGGAGGTTCATGCTGATATTCATCAGATAATCGTTGGATATTTAATGGATATCCAAGACATAACTAATTACTATCTAACAAATGTCCGCATAAGAGTAAGCTCAAAATTTCCAAGTCCGACAATTCCAGCAAACGTAAGGCTTTTTCCTAGCATTTATATAAGATGATCTACTGATTAAATCATACTTTCTAATTCCTTGATCTATAAGTATTATATAATAAACACAAAGAAGTACGAATACTATGGATTGGTGCTTTTGTCTTTTGTACCCCATTTTCCATAGAAAATGGACTACCTCTCTGCTACACAAGATATATCTTTTCGCGCCCAACCAAGACAAAAGAACCGTTACTTTAATAAACAAAAATTACCAACAGCCGCAATGGGCTATAGAATTAAGCCTCTATAGGCTGGGTTAGAAAATAGGATGCTTAGTTACACCCAATATTATTTCATATTAACACGGCATTCCCGTCGCAAGTAACAATAACAGACCAATACATCTGTAATATAAAAAAAAGGGAGTGCGTAGTCAGCTGCATAAGAGTCACATGGGATACTAAAACTGGTTAAGTTAGCGAACTTTATGCTAGTGCGGTTTTCCATTGGATTTTGCGGATATCAATTTGACATCCAATGGAGCGGATTTGCCGCAGCCTAGGTATACCGAGTAAACCGACCGACACTACATGTAGACAGCGTTGAAATGAGGTTGCCAGTCACTAAAGCCGGACTTATCTCTGCGAGAAACCTGGGGCATGAGCGTTTCCAAGGGGAAATCGGTAATCGGACACTGACGAAACGGGCTGTCATAGTGGCAATCCGACCAGATCGTGAGTCAAAAATAAGTAAATAATGAGTGGATTTAGATGTACAACAACAATAATAATCAGGAAAACACTATTACTACGAGACTTGATCGTTAGTTGAATCAACCTAATGGCCCGATTGTGTCATCTAGTCAGTCCCTAGTTAGCTGCGTTCACGACCGAACGGAACACCCCAAAACACCATATTAAAAGCCACATCTTGATCATCCATATTCTAACGATTCAGGCTAAATTTGGATTGAATTTTTAAGGATATACATTGACCGGGTCACCGAAATAACATACATTCTAAGACATTAAGTCTATTACGTAGGTACGGTACCATAAAATATGCCGTATTTTTAGCGTTTGAGACTTAGATATATATGTCTCTATCGTTACCATGCTTAATCTTTCTAAAATATGCTAGTGAGCTAGAAATATTATTAAGATCATAGATTCTTAATTTATTATTATAGATATATCCGGTTGTTGATATATTAAGTTGACTTATCGTACTTAGTACAGTGTTTTGGGGTGTTCCGGTCGGCCGCGTGTTCCGTTCGGTCGTGAACTACGTTAACTAATCCTGGCGGTATAATCTCGCCTTGCGCACGCATCCCGCAGGGCAGAAATTGGTGCTGAGCCTGAGAGGAAGACGAAAGGAGAAGCACGGATGTATACATCGAATCTGACCAACTATCATTGACCAAAGCTGTATTTCCATTCTATATATTGTGGCCAACTTGGTAGTCTACGCAAGAGCCACCACCGTGCTAACCTCAACGACGCTCTGTACACACAAATCAGTCAATACTCAATCGCAACGAAATGATTAGGAAAGAGAGAAATTCACCGGTTTACCTTGCTGACTTTTTGTCGCAAATGAAAGACTCTCATACTTGACAGAACCAGCGACACCCCTCCCCCCAGCCTTCACATACTTCAAATAATCCGGCGCCCCGGGGAAATCGGTGTTATCCGCAATAGCCAGAGACCCCACCCGGAACAGCTTCAAGTCCTCAATCAACTGTAGATCCGGAAGATAAAATTCCTCCCAGTGATCGAAGAACGCCATATCCACACTGGTCACATTCCCCTCAGAATGCAGCTTCTTCAGAGACTCGGACGCAGGTCCCTCGAGGACATGTACCACGTCTTGAAGACCGGCCAGTTTAATCAAATCCCGCGAAAGCGATACCATCACCGGGTCTAGCTCGAATGTATATACGTTGACATCTTCCGGGATATCTCCGCCGTAAATATCACGTAGAATTGCACCCCAGGCCACGGCAGACTTTCCAACGAAGGTTCCAAACTCGAGAATAGTGCGTGGTGCTGGCTGTTGAGCTGTGAGCTGGGCTTGGGCCACTTCCAGCTTCTTTTTCTTAAAGATCATCATGCGGCCTTGGGTTTCGGCGAAATCGTCGATTGCATTGGCCACGGCCCAGGGGTTGTTTTCGAAGGTGCTGGATGGTTGGGAGAAGATGTACTCGCGCAGCTGCGCGGCACGCTCGGCGAATGTGTCACTCATTGAATGGGAACTCATCTTTGTAGATTTAGGTATGATATTTTGAAATGGAATAGAAGAATGAAGGATAATGCCTAGCAGAATCAAGAAGAGACTTAAAAGTGCCACGATCCAGCGGAAACCGTGGGGGAGCATGGTGCTCGCTGTTAGAAAGTCCGTAGGAAGGTTCATAGAATGTCCATGTTGACGTCGGCTTTAACGTCTCCGTATGCGTACATGATTGCGATTCGGTTCAAGCGTGGGTCAATGACGATAAAGATCTTCTCTGCTAGTTGTTGGTATAAGTTCTAGGGACGAAGTAATCATAGCCATCATATCGGGCATTAGGTCGGATGTTCGAAAGTAGCCTTCATCTGTCACGAGAGACGCGAAGTAGCTAAATGCTCTCTAGTGAACCCAATGTATCATTTCAGCGCTCCAAATGCACACCCATATCATCCAGAAATGTCTATACTCCGTAGTAAAGATGGTGTTGAACTCCGAGTGCTTATGGCCGAGGTCGGCTCGGAGTTCTAGATTAGGGTATGTGGGCCGACTTTTCGACTGCTCATCGGCAATATACAGGGAAATTAGAAGAGAAAAAAAGTAAAGATTTATGATCTACGGAGTAGAGTCTCGGAGATAACAATCTACGTATTGCTATCATAAGTTTGAGTCGACTTTGAGTTGATCATCTCGAGATCAACTTATCCCAACAATTTGTTACGCTGTAGGTCCACCTCGAGGAGATTTTGAGAACGCAGGTCTGCTAACGTGGACGTCAGTCATTCGTGTTAGAATGTGAGTAGACTCTTAACCTTGTGCCTGAGCGACTGAGAGTTTTCATCAGCCGGTCACCCCGAGAAAGATATGCGCCCGTTGCTTGCGGATCCAAACCACACAGTTCGCCGCCAGCGTGAATTTCCAAAAGGAATACTCAATCCATTGCCTCAAGATACTCACCGAGTCCAGCAACAGTGAGATTAATCAAATTAGCAGTTTGATCATGTCAAAGCCAGGTTATACACTTAGCATGACGTGCTATGACTTTATGATCGAAGACGTTACCTTGCATTCCAATATCGGTCGACATGTCGCAGATACACGTCGAGTGCCAATCCAGATAGGATTGAATATACGAAAGTGCTCAGAAATTGCTGAACCTGGCTTTGGCTATCAGAATCTATCATGGACAGCACATCCCTCGAATACCCGGCGCCTTCTAGGCTGTAGGCTGCCATAGGGCTGGCTGGATGGGTCAGAATAAACAATTAAACAGTCGTCCAAGCGTCTTACGCAGGGCCCAATGTTGATCAGAGCCACAAGCCCATCGTTTCTGGAGGTGTTTAAATCTCCTCCGTTTCCCTGACAGGTCGATGCATATCAGATTGCTCATTCTCACGGCCTCAAACTATCCGAAAAAGGGAATTTCCACGACCAAGCGGGGAAACTCTTACAGCCTTGCCGGGACTCACCGATTTCGACGACCGTGAATCCTCGCCACCCGTGGAGAATGATTGGATGCTTTCTGTTCGGTAGATGATGAGTTTATCGCGTTTAAAGTAGAGGATGTGTTTGTGGGACAACAGCCACAGCCCTATGCGGGTATCTTCTTTTTTTGACTCCAGATCGTGGGGATGATGGAGCGGTTGATGGGTGATCTGACAGTGTGGCTCTCGATGCTGGCCTAGACGTTACTTACTCTTTAGAATACTATGCAAACGCTTGCCAGTTGACGTTCTGCTAGGAGGGTCTTCCCTCCTTCGTTCTTTTCCCCCCGACTTACCTCTCTACCGGGAAGAGACCTCTTCTCTAGTTTATCCGACTACTCTGATCATCATCGTATTGATTTATTTTATTCTTCCCATCAATTTTTTTATTACCACCCTGTATTATGACCATGAATTTTGATCGTCGCTCGCTTCCTCCTCTCCTTGGCATTGGCGCATTGGTGCATTGGCACATTGAAGATCAGTCTCATGCCCTCTGACTCCGAGATCTTGCGAGCCAAACAGCATGACAAACAATTGACTAAAACCAAGAAAAAGCAAGCAACAAAGATTTTAGTGATTTTCGGCCAGTTTTTTCAACACGGCAAGAGGTGCGATGGGGGCCAAATTCCACACCGAATCACCCACGTAATTCGATCTCCACCAGTAGCGTCCCATTCACTTCTACCAGCGGATCCCCCTGCAAGTGACGTTAGACGTCAAGGAACGGTGTATAAACGGGAAAATCATAGGAGGGGTTATCTTTCTCGGCTCGTGAAACAGCCGTAACTACTGGTCGGCGAGCATGCACGCGAGTCAAGGTGCTACGATCAGCGCCGGGCATCTCGGCATATTCCATATGAGGGCCTACTACTGTCAAATGTGGTTATTGGGACCGAATCAATTGGGAGTTCTTGTCGAGTCATAGTAGTTAGTCAACTTCGGGGCTGTATCCACTTGAGGACTGGTGATTGACCTGAACTCAACGGGCTTGATTATTTGGAATCAAGAGAAGGTTTGAGATGAAGCTACCGAGCAGTGAGAACCTCCACGGTACTCGTCATATGAATCAAGAAAGTTCCGACCCATCATGTTCAAGACAGTTCTCCGAGTTGATGCACATATACTCCGCGTGTCAAGTCCGACCGGCCGATCGTCCGACTTTCTGTCCGTAAGCTCCGAGAAGAGGAACAGCAAGAAAGGCGTTGCCTAGATGGAAGTCCAACCCTCGTAGCTAGCCCGGTAATTGTCTATTTATTAATTTCTGCTACAGATTGTACTGCATTGATTTATGTTGCTAGCTGAAGGCGACAATGAAAAGAGATAACGATATAGTACTTCGTAGATGATTACAATTCGAGAATCCACCCCAATCTGGAATTCACCGGAAAAACCGAGCCTCCATACAGGTTGCAGCAGACCCGTGACACTAGAACCTTTCGGGATATCGCACTGCTATATACTATTATGGTTAAGCGCCGGATCCTCGGGTTCGGCTAAGGCCCGCCTTGGCAATCCTTGGCGTTGACGCTAATAGAGGGCAGAAGATGAATACCTTCGTTAGTAGTATCTACAGTTCGAATATGTTCTAGTCTTGGATACTGCATCTTGATATGTACGTGCTAAGTGCTTTTACTCGCTCGCTGGCATTGTCGTTTCGATTTGATTTGATATTTCTTTATTGTTACTTAAGTTAGTTTGAAAGTTTCACAGTGCCGTGCCAACGGATATAGAGCTATCTCTACTTTATGGAGTAAATAGTTTAGGAAGTATACCTTTTTGTGTGAGTTCATCATAGTTCCATGTGGCCATGTGGCTGGAGTGCTGGGGAGTAACTAGTTCGACTAGACGGCTATTCACTCCGTGTTTACGACTGGTTAGTCTTGATTTTATCATTCAATCTAGACTGCTTCTGGCTCTGCATCCCTGGCAAGTCCCGCTTGTATCTCTGAAGATCTGTGTTCCGTATTATCGTGCCTAATGGATTGGCATACTCCTAGAATGGAAAATGGCACTCCGAACTCCGAGCTCCGGGATAGGTCATGCTGATCCACTCTGGCAGGATAGCAACCATGCGGCGGTCGAAAACTACCCGTGGATGCCTTGTCCCATGGCTTTCATGGAACTCTCGCTGAAGGATTCTAGATGCTACCGTTTTGGGCAAAAGAGCGAACTGATTATCGTGGTGACTAGATTTGAATGGGGCTAAGGTTTGGTCAAAATATGGCATGAGATGACTCGGTGTTACAGGTCCCCCCGGTATTTGTTAGGCTTTTGCCAAGTGCTGCGAGAGATAGACCTGGCATAACTTTTTCGGAATTTTCATGGAACTTCCGTCGAACTTGGAGTCTGGTGATTTTAATGCCCTGGATTAGTTACAGATGGAAAGGGAAGGTATGAGTAGTTTTAGACATTCAGTTTTTGTAGTATTGTTTCATGATATCGTGAGATGTTCTTTATATGCACCATCCGTCGAGGTCGCGAACTGATTGTGATGTATATGAATAAAATATGAATGGAGAATGAGCAAAAATTGAGCAAAACCCGCAGATTTGACTTCATCAAAGAGCCAAATTTAGCCGCTCCAACGCCATGCAAAATAGTCCAGAAAGTACCCAACGCCGTATGTAGTTGCCTTGCCAAATATGCCGTCTTCCAGACTTACCGTCTAGACTATGGGTAATGATATCCCAGAAGTCTGCCTGATAATCTTAATAAAATTATTCCCCCACCAACGACGCTAACCGGCAACGTCCTCCGTCCACAATACTCAGAATCCCCTCACGAAGCCCCCACTCCCGTAATGCCACATCCTCTTCCTCATGGCCTAGCTCCTGTCGGTCATCGCGCTCGAAGTGGCGCCCGACATGCTCCATTCGTACATCCCAGCTGCCTTCCCCGGAAAAGACCTCTCGGCAGAACCCGCAGTGGCTTTGCTGGGGTAGAGTGCGTAGACCGTGCCAGCATCGCCGCCGGACTTCTTCTAGACCTGTCTCGAAAGCGGCGTGTTCGGTGTCTGTTGGCGTGCGGCGACGACCTGCTTGAAGCCAGGGTGCGTGCATGCGGCGTTGGTGCTGAGTAAAGAGATCTTTGCGGTTGAAGTCATTGGGTTGGCTGGGAGGCGGGCTGGGATTGCAGGATCTGGAGGATTTGGCGGGTGTGAGATATGTGTTGGTTGATGTGTTGGTGTGGCTATTGGTGCTACTGCATTTGCCCACATCGCAGCGATAAAAGCCTAGTTGAAGGTGCTGAGAAGTGACATGCCGTTTCCACTCGTTTTTCGAGACGAAGGTGCTTTCGCATCCGTATGGTGCAAAGCTACAGACGAACATCCGGGATACCCCATTTTCTCCGGTATTAGTACTAGTTATAGCTCGGCGACGACCACTGCGAGCTGTTGTAGATGATGATTTGGTTTCACCCGCCTTGCGTACACGAGATTTGGTGGCTGGACGTGCTTTGGCCCGTTTTTCAGGTTGAGGGAATGATGCAACCACCTCGGTTGGAAGTGGAGAAGACCATTGCTGTTCAGGCGTCCCGTTTCGGTCTGACTGACTTCCGGACCAGGGGTCCAAGTCCGTTTCAAAGGAGGAGCGATGGTCGGGCTGAACTTCGAAAACACCGGGTTTGGAGAGGAATGAAGTGTGATCAAGGTCGACCAAAGTATTAGGAGCAGGATAGCTGGTCTGCTCCTCGACCTTGGTCATAGGAAGTTCATCATGGTAGTAATGCGGGGATGCGATACAATTCATGCCCGGGATACTCCCGCCATGACTACTCCGCGGACTTTGGGGGTCTGAAATCGTAGAAATCTCACTGTTCCATGGCGAGAAGCGATCCGCAGAGACTGGATACTCGGGGGCGATATAACTCAGGCTGACTGCTGGGCCCTCGTCCTTCCACCAGGGTTGTGTAGCCGACGATGCATCGTGAGGCTTGGGCTGGTCAAATGGAGAAGTCAAACGAAATTGGAACTGCTCAGCACGCGTCACAAATGGATGATCGGATGGTAGAGAAGGATCATAGACGTCGTAGGGCTGGGATGGGACCGTTGAGATAGGGAGAATGTGGGGGAATTCTGTGAATGGGGGGTAAGAATCCATGTTCACCAGGACTGAGAGAGATGGAAAGATTATAGTCGGGAGGAGAGGCCGACAAGAAGGAGAGACACGACTCGAGACTAAATTTCAAATGATTCAGTCGTGCAGGGGAAGGAAACGTGGAATTGGAGAAGAAGCGGGGGGTATTAACCAGGGTATAAATAAAAAGAGTCATCTTCGAGGGCCATCCAGGAGGCCGAACCAAATTATTTGGTCCAGCTGGGTTGCATCGGTATCCCAGCACTAGTCAAGGGAAGTTATGACTGCCAATTCACCTTCTAGCCAAATGAAAGAAGACTGGACGGTTGATCGGTGGGGCTGGCATGAGCCTCAACAAGCCTCAAGTCGGAGGCCAAGAGAAGAGGAGAAGTGGGAAGCAGGAGAAAGGCGCAGGACGTGGGTCCAAGTGGAGAATAAAGAAGACACTAAAAAAAGGGAATAAGTCGAGGATTATCATAGTGGTGGAAATAACAAAAAAGGAACTAGTTCAAATCGTTGTAAAGGGCTAGCCCAGATCAATTCAGATGCTTAGCAGAGACTGTTTACTCCGAACGGTGGTGGTAGCAAGAAACGTTGGAAGAAATCACTAGAAAGACGGAGCTGAACAGAGCATATCTTAACTGGGCAATGACTGCGAGCCGAGGAAACACTTGCAATAGGTCAACCAAGTCAACTAAGTAGTTTAGTCACCTCACCACCAATTACCGCCTGCATCCGATGGGGCTAAAATATGACAACATGTATGGACGTCAACAAATGTAATCATTGGGTATCTAGAGGAAAGAAGAGAACAGAACTAGAGCACTAGAATTTTGTTTCATTACAAGCTGATAATAGTAGAATTGTAAGAACTCATGACGGAGTATGTACCCTGATAACCATAGCGGTCTCGCCTTCTAGAAACAAGATAAAAAAGCCGTAGAAACCGAGATGCTTTACTATGTTCCCACTTGCTTCCCCATCTACAAAAGTCTTTGATCTCCGACCGTTAATATTGACTGAGATTTAAACAATCTATCAAATCCAGGTCTTTTGTAGTTTACCTCAACTTGTAAATTCAAATGAGATGCTCCACATATTAAAGCAATCACAGTGTGTTTAACAAGCGCACTTTTCAGCTCTGACGCACAAGCAAGAAGCATCAACGTGGACAGTATCATAGCTCCAACAGTCTTACAGTCTAACCGCCTTTCGTATTTTCTCATTACACCTATAACTGTATTTGGACCCCACCAAAAAGCCCCGATTTTCCTGGGCGCTGGAATACTACTGTAAAACCTGTCCTGACGCATATTCCTGAATCGGTACCCCGTCATTCCATAATAGGTCAAGCCCCATCTGTAAGTGTGTATGTGTGATAGTCTCCGATAGGACTTCAGTGCGGCATTGCGGCCCCTAACAGTCCCCATCTTTTGCCCTAACCGCCCGTCTGACTGGTTCTAGAGAACTACCCTAGTCAGTTTAGTTTCCGACCGGTGCAGATGCCACCCTCTGCCACGCGTACCGCATATAACAACGGCTGTATGTATTGGTGTACTACTGTACTGCCTTGATAATGCGAGATAGAAAACGGTTCTCCCGTGTTGATCTCTATAACCTACTATCACTACACCCTACTAGTATTACTGCTATTATCATTACTAAACTCCCCCTACGGTGGCGTTATGCCCTAGGCACTACTCTAGTACTGTGGCAAGCTAGCGAACCATTGCCGCGCCAGTCGCTTCAAATTCCATCGCTGAATGGGTGGCTCGTGTAGATTCGCTTCCTCTAGCTCTTATTTTTTAGCTTCTAGCTCCTAATCCAGAATCTAGAATTTGGAATCAATCACCAAACAATCATAAAATCCCCTCCCAAGAAGCCAAGAAGCCACTATAGTATCATTCCGTGATACTTGGGGTTTAGGGCCCGACAGTATGGGAAGAGTAAACAAAATAACACCCTTGATATCATGATCAGGATACACTAGCTCTATCCACTGTACTTCGTAGCTAAGGATAGAGAGTGCCACCACGCTGGGCCACCTCAGTGGAGCCGCTCATCGGCGAGGGCAGACCATGATTGGGCGATGCGTAAATGCAGCCTGTTAGTGCGATTCATCATTCGGCATCACGTAGGGTTATTTACTTAGGCAATCGATTGAGGGTGGCTAGATTGGTCGACTATGACTACTGTCTGTGGGACATTTAATTGCGAACTGGAAACTAGATTGGGAAATAACGGAATTTCATCTTCGGTCTCCAGCATCCAGGCCAGACACTTGGCCCCCACGACGGACGGGTCTTCGCCTACGCGAGCTTTACCCGCTAAGTACTTACAGTAGAGCGGGACTAAATTAACCACGTCCAGGGCTTCGGGATTAAAGGCTAGTGATGTGTAATACGGGTCCGATCGGGCTCGGCCAGTGTATCTAGAACTGAGATGCCGAGTACTTAGTTAATACTGAAACCGAGGAGCCAAGAGTTTGTAACTGATGGAAATCTGTATTCTGTGAGGATGTACTCATCATATCATAAGATCCTGCGTCTAAGATACGCTACCTATGAAAGAGCCATAATCATATCCTTCAAGCAAATCCATTCATCCTTCCCGCATGATATTAATACTCTAACATTTCTCGTTTCTTTCAGAGTGGAGATCATTCATCTTCCACTTTCGCTTCACTCCGTCTTCACCTTACGCGACCACTTCTTTGGCACGCGGATCAGCCAGTACAGCAAGAGGGCCATCACAATGTTGAAGCCCACGTACACAAACAACAACCCCACGTTCCGCCAGTGGTCGGAGAACTTGATGCTCAACTGAGCCAGGAAGGCGTCCGTGGACCGGATCGAGCAAATCTGACAACCCGAGGTCGCCTCCGGGTTCAGCAAGTTCGCCTGGTACAGGTCGACATACTGACTCAGGTAAGCAGAGCAGTTCTGACCACTGGGCGGGTCGACCTTGAGAAGCTCAATGCTGGAGCATTCAGCAGTGCCACCGGATAATCCCGTTGAGAGCACCGCCGACACGAGATACGTAAACGGCGATACCCGGTACATGAAAATCCAGAAGCGTGGCAACGCCGACGGACTCGCCAGGACACTGTAAGAATCGTACTGAGTTAGTTACTGGTGATACCCTGGGTCGGGGATCAGATTCACTGGCGTACTTACCCGTTAAACACCAAGCACAGAGAGAACAGCAACTGTGCCAGATTACTACCAGTCTCCGGCTGCTCAATTCCTGCAATCATCATCGAACTGAAGGTCGAGGTGAACATCAAGAAGATGAGGATTAACAAGAACATCGTGCCACCACGTGATGTCACCTCGCCAGGCGGCGCATTGCGGTAAAGTCCAATCGGATAGTACCAAGAGAAGTACACGGGTACCGACATGAGAATGTTCCAGGGCAGTTCCACGAAGATACTGGCCAGCATGAATGCCTTCCACGAATATGCCTTGGAAGGCCGCTCGCGCACCTCATACAGTGCTCGCTGAGTTACAAAGCTGGGCATCATCTGCTGGACCAGATTCGGGAAGATAATCAGCAGCATGAAGATGGCAAACATCTGGTTCTGCAACCCCTGAAGCGTGTTTGGCATACGCCAGAAGGTGAACCCGATGAAAATTGGCTATCAAGAGAGGAGTGTTAGCTCAGTCAGAAACACAGAGGGAAAAGTTACATACCGGAAAGACACACATGGCGGTCTTCGAATACAGGTAGCCAGGACTGCGGTAGTACTGCTGGAACATGCGTTGGATGCAAACGAGGAACTGGTACCAAATGGGTGTCGCGAACTCGCCGTATCCAGCCGTCGCTTCGGGTACCGGCTTCCGTGACAGCTCGGACTTCATCACTTCTAATTCTTCTCGAACTTGAGCTCGCTCAGAACTGTTGGTCCAGACTTCTGCCCAGTCACGGTCCGCATGAGACCCGGGGGCAGCGCCAATAACCTCGAGCATCCACTCTGCAGGATTGGCATTCTCGGGACACTTGATCGATCCCTTGTCCTCAAAGTACTTGATCAGTGTCTCCATATTCTCGCCAAGATCTCCGAAGTACACCGTCCGGCCACCTTTGGCCAGGAACAACAGTCGATCAAACTGCTGCATCAGCATGGCAGAAGGCTGGTGAATGGTGCAAAGGACGGCTTGTCCATGGTCTGCCAATTTCCGCATCAAGCTGCAAATTGACCAAGCGGTTTGACTGTCAAGACCCGAGGTTGGCTCATCAAAGAACAGTAGCAGATCCGGCTTAGCAGCGAGCTCCACACCGATGGTCAGGCGTTTACGTTGCTCGACGTTCAGGCCAGTACCTAAGACACCCACAACAGCCTCTGCGTAAGCCTCCATCTCTAGCATTCGGATGACCTCTTCCACATAGGCAAGCTTCTCCTGGCGTGGAGTACTGTGTGGTTGGCGAAGAAGTGCACTGAAAACGAGGGCCTCGCGAACAGTGCTGGTCTCTAGGTGCAAATCCTGCTGTTGAACGTAGCCAGTCTTTCGTTGGAAAGAGCCATCCCGAGGACGACCATCAACCAGCATCTCTCCGGTGATGACACCCATGGTAATTCGGTTTGCGAGCACATCCAGCAAGGAAGTTTTACCTGCACCGGTTACACCCATCAGAGCAGTGAGTGTTCCAGGCTTGACCCATCCATCCACACTGTCAAGAATCCGGCGAGGCTTTTTCTTGATCTTGATATCGTAGCAGACATTCTCCCAGTGGAAAATGGCAGTTTGCTTGGCAAGGGCAGCACTTCGAACAGCCAGGTCCTGAGCTTCTCCCACCACTTGTTGTTTCTCTCCCTGTGCCGCTTCTTCGGGGTCGTCGTCTTGGCGAGTCTTTTTTGCAAAGGCCGGAATCTTGCCACGAGGGAAGACCAGGATCTCACCCTTGGATGGCTGAGCACGGATGTACTCACTGGAGACGATGTAGGCGATAAGGAAGGCAATGAAAAAGGCACAAAGAATACCGAAGTTTCGCCACAGATGGGACTTGTAGTAGTGGAAGGTGGTATTGATGTAAGCATCACCGTCGATGAAATCCTGGCCAGCAATAGCACCTTTCTGTGAGCAAACCTTGGAGCTGAGAGGGGCGTTGGAGTACAGGGGGCCACCGGGAACATAGTCGGAGCAAGGGAACCGTCGCCCACTGAACTCGTTGATCATGAGGGATTCAAAAGCATACTATTTTGAGTTAGTATATCCTCTCGGGGGATAAAGGGGGCAGCGGGATTCTACATACCGCAATTGGATTCAAATAGTTGAGCCAACGGAACCATGGGTGCATGTCTCTGACTGGAATCGTGAAACCGGTGTAGATCACCAGAATCATCATGAAAATCGACGATGGCACCATTGCTTGGGCCATGGAACGAGAACTTGCGCCGATCGTGCGGAAGAGGTTGGACATCACCAGCGTAGTGGTGAAAGAGAAGAGCCAGAAGACGAAGAAGTGGCCTGCAGTGCGACGGAGATGCGGGATGAAGTAAATGATGATGTTGAACGTGACCGCAACAAGAACCTTGGAAGGCATCTCCACGATGTACGAGCTGATAGCCTCCGCGGAAGGATGGTACAACGCATATTTGTAGTGCTTCTCAACGATGGGCCGCTGTTGCCAGAGGGTCAAAATTTCCAGGGAGCTGGCAAATGCGTTCAACAAAATCGCAAAGAAGAGCAAGGCACCGCGCTGGAAGAAGCTACCGGTGTTGTTTGGTAGGTTGGTGAACACAGTGGAGATAATAATACCCATGATGGTGTTACCAATGACCGACGCAATAGTCATGCTCATATCACCCTTGAGCCGCAGGAATCCACGCCACAGGCAAAGCTTGACCTGCATGGCATACGAGAGGGTGTACGGTGATTGGGCACGAGTGCCTTTTGCCTTCTCTGCGGCCCGAGAGCGGTTGAAGGATTCAAACTTTTCTCCATCGACTGGATGATGGTCACGGCTGTCCTGGATTTCCTGCAAGAGCTGCTTTCGCTCAGAGCTATCTCGCCAACGGGCTGCAAACTCATCGGGAGTGCGTGGCACAAGACCCTCGAAACCGTCTCGAACGCGGCGTTCCGATGGACTAGTCAGCGATGTCAGGAAGTCTGCAGTGGTTTGGCGATCAGGGCAGTAGAAGCCCATGTCGACGAAGAAGCGCCGAGCATCGTCAGCTCTGCCAAAGTAAATCTGGCGGCCCTCATACAGCACAATGGCTTTGTCGAAGATGTCATAAATCGACTGACTGGCCTGATAGATAGCCACAACAGCAGTGGATCCGCTGTATTCGGCGGACAAGCGGATGTTCTTGACAAATTCTAGGGCAGTTGAGCTATCCAGACCACGAGTACTGTTGTCCCAACACTGCAGGGGGCTGCCGCAGAGTGTAGTTTCCGCAATACTCACACGCTTGCGCTCGCCTCCGGACACACCACGAATAAACTCATTGCCAACCTTGGTATTCATGGTGTGGGTCAGGCCAAGCATGGCCATCACTACATCACGCATGTGCTCTGCGTACTGGTCACGGGTGACTCCCGGAAGGCGATTGCTTGGGGCGCGAGCTTGGGCCGCGAACAGGAGGGTCTCTCCTGCAGTCAACATAGGGAAGTGAATCTCTGTTTCTGCCTGGTAGATCACTTCACCACGGAAGCGTCCATGCATGTGATCCCACGAGATACCCTCGTATTCGATATCGGATCCCTCAGCGAGGAACAGACCATGAGTTTCACCAGCGATGGTTCGCAAGAAAGTGGAGCATCCACTATGATAATGGATCAACTTGAGCTCCTGGATGCTATGGAGGTTGAATCAAGCTTACCTGCCAGGACGACCGAGAACCACCAACATCTCACCCTCATTCACGATTCCCTCAAAGTTTCTCAGGATATCAATGCGCTTCTTCTCACGCAGACCCAACTGGCCCTGGACCCAACTCGCCATCTTCAGCCAAGCATTGCCAAAGTTGGTCTGGTAATCCGCCGCCGTGCCATACCCGAAAACGTTGAGGTTGCGAAACGAGACACCTGCCGTGCGACGCGGGTACCGGTCTGGATCACGCGAGGTCATCTGGAGAAAGTTCTTGGCCCACTTGCGCGAGTTGAAATTATCCGCATCATTGGGGTTGAGTTCAGGGTTCTGGTCCGTTTCTAGGAAAGTGTTGATCCCCTCATGGTGGGGTGCGTCCTTTTCCGCATAGCCTTTGTTGGACAGCTGGGATAAGGTCCGGGCCAGCGCCGTGATTTCTTTATGTCGGATATTTTCGGTGTCCTCGGCCGTGACGGGGGTTGCTGAGTCGTCGATATCACCGGCACTATCCTTTTGCGATCCTTCCTCACTCGTGTATTCCTCGAGGCGCTGATTCATCTGACGCGCCGTTGTCTGTGATACGGCACTACTCCCAAACGGAGCGGGAGGCTGTGGTGACGCCATTGCAGAGGTGATCACGATGGCATCGGAAGGGAAGTTTGACGGATTTGAGTCAATGAAAAGGATGAAGAAGGGAAAAGAGAAGAAGAACAAGACAGGACACACGAAGGTAAAGTGTCGCAATGGTGATTACGCTTTTCGGCAGGTGCGTTGCCTGCTCGGATATCGGAACAGGGCGTTTCCGGCTCTCTACTTTAGGGCGATAGTCCAGGCTGACTTGGTCCTCTAAGAAAGACGCTGGTGGCCTGTGGCTGTTGGATTCTGGTTCCGTGCCTGAGCACCGTGGTTATGTAGCGTCTACTTTAAGGTTGGCGGATGCTCCACCACGAGGACAAGTATAGACTACATCTTGTCTCAGACAACAAAGTGCATAGCTGATTATTATGTAGGATATCACATCCTGCCAAGGCACTTTCAAAGAAACTTCATGGCTCCATCACACTCCTTACCACGGAAGAAATCGCCTTTTCAAAGTCAGATGCGGCGGGTGAGCTAACCGAGCATCAACTTCAAGGCATTTGACCAGGCTGATTGGATGCGTATTCATCGTATTTCCTCCCCGGACCCACGGCGAGCATTAGCCCATTTAGGATAGCTTACGGAGGGTGACGCGGGGGTTCCAGCAACTGGTTAGTCTGGTTGGAGTTTACGAGTTACGAGCCGTCCATCGAGATCACAGCTGGCGGCCTGACGCAAGGATCGAAGGTGGTTTCTTGTTGGATGATGATGATGATGAGGATGGTTATCATTGGCAGGTTGCACAATTGAAACTTCTCGGGAAGATTACATCCGAGAGCCACGGATTAAGATTCTCATGAGGATTCTGACTTATGTTTGTGTTGCTTTTTAAGTGTGAGTAGTGGTATTAACTAATAGCCATACTTTATCTGTTCCTACATCGTACACGAACACAAGAACAAAGAAACAGCAAATTCTCCGTGTCACTGCAGCCATGTGGCAGCACGTGGAATGTGATTCAACAGACAATATTCAGGATTAACCGATATTATTCAATATTCTTCAGAAGTATCAGCTTGAGCAATGGTAAGATTTTCAGTATTAGGAAAAACCAGAGAACAGACGGAGTCTCCGTCCTCCTACTCCTTTTACACTTTCTTAGTTCTTACTTAAGGGCCCATGCACAACATAATATTCGCCGACAACTGTTTCCTATTTTCTTTTCTTTTTTCTCCTACATCCTACTTGCTACCTCCTATCTACTCCTTCAGCTTCTCACCTGCTATTCCTCATCAACTAGCCGTGCTCACATCATCCCTCTCCTTGCCCACTCACAACCACTCTCTAGGCCGCCCTCATCATCATCAAACATCTCCCCCTAACTCCACCTCGCATCTATGCATGCAGCACATTCTGTCCCCACACCGCCGACCGACCGCCAAAACCATCACCAACTGGAGGCAACACCCCCTCACGAAGAGACACAACCTGAGTAGTTCTCAAGACACGACCAGTGTCCGTGACAGCCTCCGCAGAGACCTGCACATATTCATGCCCACGGAACACAAACTTGGTCTCAAAGCCCTGTCGGGGTGCCTCACCCAGGTACGATCTCGATCCAAACCGATCGGTGACAGCATAGAATCGCCACACAGCCGTCTCAGTGTCCCCATTCCACGAGACATACACGGCAGTACCCGAGCGAGTCTTTTCCGCGACGATCGCAGGTTCCTCGGTCGGCAGACCGGTCCAGTTATACCGGAAGGCACGATAATTCTGGACACCTTCGCCAAGGAGCCCTGAGTCCATGTAGGCGTGGAAAATGGGAGTTCCGTCCGGTCGGAATTCGGTCATTGCCCCTTCAGAGCCCCAGTTGACGAGAGCGTTGCCGTTGGGCAGGATTTGGGTGCTACCCTGTGATTTGGCGAGGAGGCCGTCGGGTGGTTGGAATGCCTGAACGATCCGTGCGGTCCAGGTGGCCGTGTTGACGGAGATGATTTTGCCCTGGGAGAAGGGGTGTGTGTGGACTTCGTGGCCACGATGATTCTCGGTGCCGTGGGCGGAGTTATCGAACAGCGAGATGATCTCTTCGTCGCCATTCTGGGAGAGGAACCGCGCGTGGTGCTGGAAGCAGAAACGGACATTGGGACCCAGGTCAAAGTCCGACCGTAGTCCACCCAGGCGCCAGATGATCTCGCCAGTCGTTCCGTTGATCTTGTGGACAGCACAGGCATCACGGGCGGAGATCAGGTAGTTACCCTCTGCGTCTTTGTCGACCGAGTTGATGTGGAAGTAGTCCCACGCATCGGAAGAATTGTAGCCTGCGCCTGCCTGGCCAGGGTTCAGGGGGAGGACGGCCTCTGAATGTTCCAGTAGATGGTAAGTATGGATGTGATATAAACGCAGAAACTAATCAAAGGGAGGACTTGTAAAGACGTACCATCTGGACTGACATGCTCAAGGCTAGACCACTCAAATAGCAGCTCACCGGTAGCAATATCCAATTCTATACGAATTTTAGATCTTCAACCTACTCTCATCATTCTAGAATAGCATACCCTGGAAGATGGCATCCACGATCCACTGCTGCTCGGAGCTGCCACCCCACCGACTCAGATCAATCGGGACAGGCTGATACACCTGAATCAGGGCCGTCTTCTCATCGATAACATGAAACTCATGCTTATCCATGAGCTTATGGTTACCCGCACGCAGCTCGCGAACAGTTTCATAGTGCTGATTCAGAATAGTGGCATGCCCATGCCCATGTCCATAAGCCGGGTTATGGTCACCCTCAAAGCTGAACAGCACATCCTGGCCCTTCCACCGGGCAGCTTGAAAGTTAGCCGCCCAGATGGAGTAGTAGGTGTATCCAGACCAGACCAGCTCGCCGTCATCGCGGAAGATATACGGACCTTCCTGGCGTGGGCCGTGGAATTGGGGTTCCGCCCATTGACCGGGGAAGGGAGCTACGAAGAGGAAGCCCTTTTCGACGTCCGCGGTCGCGGGGATGGTGATGTTCAGGCGTGGTGGTGCCAGGTCTGTTCGTGACTTGAATTGCCAGTCTGCCGCTGCTAAGGGGGATAGCATTGCGGCGCAGGCGAGGGGTTTGAGAACCTTCATGGTGGGGGGTGGAGACTAGGCCAGCGATCAGTTTCCATGATGCGGTTCATCATGTGTAGCGAAGGGTACATTAACCTTAGGTTGGTATTCTGCACTGGTAAAGAGTCGTCAATGACGCTCAATGTCTTGATTGAAAGGGTTATGTAGCACTCAGAAGGGCTTGTGGGGTGGGAGGATTTGTTAAGATGCCGGCCGAGAAGGCGGGGTTTATATAGTTCGGACCAGCGTCATTAGGGATCACGATAACGAATCCTTACACTACAATACATAGAGGGATCTTCTTTTCCATCGAATAATATTTAAAGAGTGACAACGATTGAATAATACTGTAAATCCAATTATCATGCAAAATCCTGGTTGAATGTCGTGCTTTGCCCCACGGCCCTTCCCGAAAGAGTCCCCGAGTCGCTGCGATCTCGGAAGTTTGTTCTTGGCTTTGACTAACAATTTCCCGTCTTGAAAATCTTGTCAACTGGTAGTTTCTTTTTACGAATCATCAGACCCTGGTATAAAACGTGGCGTCATTTCTTCATTGACTGTCGACACAATATTTGCTACTTTCTCAGATCTTTTGAATATTCCAATCGATCGAGTTGAACCCCTCATGGCCCCGCCTCATAGTGAACACACGGCATCCGTGACTGTCGCACATACTGCATCAGATCCAATTCATGATCCAGCAGCCATGCCCGACCCAGATGAACACCAACCTTTACTGCGCTCGAGTAGCCCAGTCACAGCCTGGAAGCCGCCGATGGGCTTCCTCTGGATTCAACTGGGTATGTACGTCAACCCCGCGACAAGACTGGTCAAAGCGCTAATTGAATCCCGGAATAGCTATCATGTCAAATGTCTTCCTGGGTGGATTTGACGGCACAATCACTGCCTCGACCTACGCGGTCATCAGCTCGGAATTCAACGCGGCCAACACGGCGTCGTGGCTGACCACCTCGTACCTCATCACCAGCACTGCTTTTCAGCCGCTGTATGGTCGATTCTCTGATTTGCTTGGGCGTCGGGCTTGTTTCTTTACTGCCACCATCTCGTTCATGATCGGGTGTCTGGGTTGTGCCGTGGCTAGAGATGTGATATTTTTGAATATTATGCGCGCGTTGGCTGGCATTGGAGGTGGTGGGTTAATGACTATGGGTACGTGCGAGTGATAATTCACCTGGATCGAAAGGGTTTTGCTAATTTGAGTTACAGCAACCATTATCAACTCTGATCTCATTCCCTTCCGCCAGCGTGGTATGTACCAGGTGGTCCAGAATGTTTCGTACGGGTTTGGTGCCATCTGTGGCGCTTCATTCGGCGGGAGTATCGTCGACACCATCGGATGGCGCTGGTGTTTCTTGATTCAAGTTCCAATCTCAGCTGCTGCTCTAGTCCTGGGGTACTATGTGCTCAATTTCCCTGCGAAAGAGGAGCCTGCTCCGGGACAACAGTCCAAGGGAATCTGGCAGCAAATCGACCTGCTCGGATCACTTCTTCTGGTCCTGGCTTTGTCGAGCCAACTTGTGGGCCTGAGTCTTGGCGGAAATGAACTTCCGTGGAGCAATATCTGGGTGATTCTTTCTCTGGTCGCCAGCGTTGTATTCCTGGTGGCGTTCTTCGCAGTAGAAGCCACGACAACGGCTGCTCCTCTCATTCCGTTGAAAATGCTGCAAGGACTCCATCCAGTTTCGACTCAGATTGCCAATGTTTGTGTTGGCATGGCTGCATATGCCGTAAGATACCCTTCCCCGTCAACAGGAACAGAAATTTGATACTGACCAAACATGTACAGTTTCTCTTCACGCTTCCGCTGCTTTTCCAGGTCATTCTTCTCGACAGTCCCACCAAGGCTGGTGCTCGTCTTGCGATCCCATCTCTCGCCACTCCATTGGGTGGGCTCATCGCCGGCGTCGTGATGTCGCGATGGGGAAAACTTGCCCATCTCGTCCGGGCAGGTGCTGGATTGATGTGTATTGGAAACTTGCTGGTTACGCTTTTGCGGTTCCAGGACTCGGAATGGAAGTACTACGCATATATTATCCCCGCCAATCTGGGACAAGGAATTGTGTATCCCGGCATCCTATTCACCTTTCTCTCCGCATTCGATCACTCCGGTAAGTACCTTCCTCTGTCGACAGAGGCCTTGACAGCACAAACTAACATACTCTTCCAGACCACGCTGTCTCCGCTTCAACCGTATACCTCATTCGCTCCCTAGGCACCGTTTGGGGTGTCGCCGTCACCTCGGCTATTATTCAAAATACATTGAGCTCAGGCCTCGGGGAGGCCTTGAGTGGAATACCAGACAAATGGAAAGTACATCCTCATCTACGAACTGAAATATACGTGCCTTGAGTAGACCCAGCTGACCACGTCCCTTTTTTTCCTCCCATTTTAGGTCATCGACGAAATCCGTCACTCGGTTTCGGCAATCCACGACTTGCCCCCAGAGTTTCAACTCGCCGTCCGACTGGTCTATTACCGCGGCATTCGACTGTGTTTCGCGGCGTCTGCTGCATTCGGAGGCGTGGCGACCGTTGCAGCCCTTTTTACTCGTGGGAAGGGGCTGGAACGTAAAGCTGGGGACTAGACTGAATGCCAAAGAATGGTTCGCGAGATCCCGGTGCAGCTCTTGCGGTGAGGTAAGCCGTGCCGTTCTCGCGAGTTGGTAAGTTGGATGTTGGCCTGTGGGTCACGCGAGGTCGAGGTTAGCCTCGTTTTCGAGCGAGATAAAAGTGAATTAGGGGTTCCTAGTCCCGGCGATGTCAGTCATTGCTATAGGCTAGAATATACAAATTGGCAGGTGGTATATAGATGATTTGAGATAGAGAGCGGTACAGTTGAATAGATGGTGAAAAAGTGATAGCGGTCCTCGCCTCCAATGCCATGTTTCCGCCCCCGAATTCGCTTATGACCTGTAAGCACCATAAATGTACTCCATCCCTACTCTACTAAAACCGGCTTCTCTACAGCGTGTCTACAGCGTGCCTATAGCTTGTCTACAGCTTGTCTACACCTTCCGAATTCAGCATAAAAATAGCATATTTTCATTGTTAAGCGTTCCTATATACATCATCACACATCATCTGCAATTCTACCTATCCCCATACAAATAGTATCACTCTATCTAGTTAGTCGTGAGGACAGCAACACTCAGGTTAGGCAGCTTGAAGCTGAAAACACCCTGCTTGCCAGCCTTGATCTTGGTAGTCTGGCTCTGCACAACGTTGGCGCCACCGACTGCATTCATAGAGACATCGCTGGGGGCAGTCAGAATGGTGAGATCGGCGGTAGTGCCGCGTCCAACACCCTCGAATGTGAGAGAGACGGGGACATCGGCAGTGCTGTTGTACACGGCGGCCTTGAAGATGTGGGAGTTGGTCTTGCTGTTCACACCGGTAGCGTAGTAGAGGGGGCCGAAGGTGTCGTTGGAGGTTGCGGGGAGAGTGTTGGTCATGTGGTTCTTGTTGAAAAGCTATGATAAAGAGTCTGTTAGTATCGACTGGATTATTGATCTTTGGATGGTGGGATAGGCTCACGTTGTACACATGCCAGCTCGTGGACTTTGCGGTGTCGTCGGGGTTGGAGTTAAAGGAGATCATGGTGGGCGACCACTCGTAGCTGTCGAGGTTCATCAAGAATGGAGCCTGCCACGTCGTTAGTGTTATGGGCTTGGACGTAATGGGAGATATAAACTCACATAGGTGGTTCCAATGATTTTGTCAGCGTTACGCTCGGCTCCCAAAAGGAAGACAGCCTCAGCGACTGAGCCCAGCCACCAGGGGTACAAGGAGAAATGGGTGTTACTCCAGTCAATGCCGACACCGTTGTTGTACTCAGTGGCAGCGATCTCGCCTGCGGGGTTATATCCATTAGTTCTAGCTCAATCACCTCGTAAGAATGACACATACCAAGCAGAATTGGGTGCGCGTCGCTGTAGCTGTCGAACATGCCGAACCTGGTGATGAAGTTGTCGGGGATATCGTACAGATGGTAATCACCACCCGCGTTGCCGGGAAGGGTCATGTCGATGGTAGAAGCCAGGACTTGAATGTTGGGATACTTCTTGGTGATCGCATCATAGAATGCCTGGAAACGGTAGGACTTGTACGAGCTGAGGCCGTTGTTCAGGTTGTCCTCATTGCCAACCTCAACATAACGGATGGTCCAGGGCTTGGGGTGACCGTACTTGGCTCGCAGAGCACCGTACTTGGTGTCGACAGAGCCAGTCAAGAATTCGAGCTCATCGAGGGCATCCTGGACGTAAACGTCAAGCTCGGCTTCGGGGACAACATCTCCGTTCAGAGCAAGACCAGCCCACACGGCGAGGACTGGGATAATCGTCAGTCAAGTCAAGAGAAAGATATTTTTGATCAGTACTTACTAGGCTCCATGCCTAGATCATCACACCATTCCATGTACTCTACCAGACCCATACCACTGGTCTCCTCATAGCCCCAGGTGGTAGCACGGCCAGGACGCTGGGTCAATGGTCCAATAGTCTCGTTCCACTTCCATCGGCCCTCGATGGTTAGGCCCTCAAGGTTGTTACCCCCAGGGAAACGAAGGAATTTCTATCAAGTCAGCATGTTGGTAAACCAACATCGCTACTGGGGTGACAAAACTTACAGGGCCAAGGTCATGCAAAGCTTGCATCAGATCACGGCGCATGCCATTTGGACGGTTGTTCCAGGTGGGAGGGAACAAGCTGATTAAGTTGAAGTCGAGGGAGCCACCAGATGCCTTCTGTTAGAAGTTAGTACATAGCAGTCAAACCTTTCGCTCTTGATTAACTTACAGAAGCATCGAAGGTCAGCACAAAGGTGTTGTTAGAGCTAGAAGCCTTCTTCTTTGGGGTCAAGGTGAATTCATGCTGCACCCAGTCATTTGCAACACTCTTTGAAGAGACCTGAGTAGAAGCAAAGACTTCACCGTTGCTAGCCTGAAGAGAGGCAGTGAACGAGCCCTTGTAGGACCCCTTCACGTAGAAAGATCCGGAGTACTTTTGAGGACGAACATCAATTCCCCAGAAGCCAGTGTTAGAGATACCCGAGGTACCTTTACCCGTAATCCGAACGGAAGTTGGGAGGGCAGAGGAGAGAGGGTCACTGAGTTTCTGAAGAGACAGAGTCGAACCACCGACGGCTGACCAAGCGTCCAAGTTGGATGGGTAGGTGGTGCTTCCCTGGAAGGCTCGATTGCGGATCAACTCGGCATAGAGACCACCTTCACCACAATGGTTGATTTCCTAGGAGGACAACACTGGTAAGTATCATTCTCGCTTCATAGCAATGATTCCAGACCATACCTCTTCCATTGCACCATATTGCAAGCCAGTCGTGACATTACCACCGGACTTAGCAACAGAAATCTGCACGGCCGAGGCATATGCTGCCAGCAAAGGCAGAAAAAGACATTCCACTAACATTTTTGCTGCTATGCAATACAGCTAGCAGATGCAACTCGCTGATCCTATCCAGATCTAATCCTGGATTTCCTGCAACAGCAGCAGGGAGGTCACATCAGCTATTTATGTCTGTACATGGCATATTCCCGTTCAGCGCACTCAGTTAACCCGGCAAAAACCCCTCTCTCTCTTCTCCGGTCACCCCCCATCCTTCGTGAATTGATGATTTAGATTCACGATGTGGAAGTAGATCATTTCCGCTTCCAAGGCAAACAAAGGCAACTAGTCTGCGCAATCGCCGATATTGCTTGTCCGAATGGGGAAAAATTCCATGAGGAGTGCACTGGCCAGAGTTAAACCCCTCTACACGCTTGGTCGGGGGAAATGTCGGGACAATTCATGCAGGACGCTAATGTCACGATCCCTGCGCCGGGGAAGCAGTAATGATATATGTATAGTACTCTGCAGCGACAACGGCACATGCGCCGAGATCTAGGGGAATGTCGGTGGTTGCAGTAAGATATGCGCCATGGTAGACTTATTGGCTGTCATTGTCCCTGGCGATTGTTTTCGTCAGGGCCATCGGAGGGGGCGCGGTTATGGACCTTTTAACCGCGGGTTGTGATTGACGGGTAATTCCACATCTTTCTCCGCATCCCCGCCACCGCAGAGCCTCCACTTTTCGGTGCCTGATTAGGGTAGTGGGAATGTGGCATGTTACGAGGACCTAGACCATATCTTGGCGGGGTTGAGGGGTAAGTAGGCTGGAAGCGGCACGGAGAATGGACGATATGATTAGTCTCGTCAAACTATGGGATCTTCCTGCTATATTCTTGAAAAAAAAAGATACGTTATATACTAAGAAAATAACAATAGCACAAACTAACTTGGAATCACTGACTGCAGCGCGGCACTGTACCCCGGCGGACATGGCAACTTTTCCTTTAGTCAGCTCCTTTTTTGTCTGCTTTCAACACGAGTCACCTCATCACTTGATACGTCCTTGCTCACAGGAACATCATTGACAGCTTTGATCACCTCACGAACAAGCGATTCGTCCTTTGGCTGTCGACGGACTGTATACAGACCACCGAGGACCTTCACTCGAGGATAATTCTTGCGTCGTTCAAGCATCATTGCGGACCGCTCCATCGTGCCGAAGCGAGATCTGAGACGCATTGCGAGATTTCTATCAAGTTGTGAAAATAGGTATCAGCACAGACCAATGAAGAGCGTAAATCATGGAAATCAAGGCAACTTACCTAGTGCTTGTCCAGTCTTCGAGGATCTGCAAAGTCTGAATAGTTTGGTAATGTTCCGTGCCCAGTGCCTGCACTTCCAGCTGAGAGCACTCCGTCATCAGAGAAACAGCCTCAGCGTGTCTCCCTTGCAGTTTCGCCAACCAGGCCAGCTGATGAAGATCTCGTGTCGTGCTTGGATGATTTGGTCCATTAATGCGCCGGCCTCTCTCCAAGCCATCCTGGTATAATGCCTCGGCTTCTTTCAACCTCCAGCTTTTCATGTATATGTCTGCCAGGCTTGTTGTGGCAGATATTGTGTGTGGATGATCTGGTCCCAGGAATCTTCTCATAATGATCAAAGACTGTTGCGCCAACTTTTCCGCGTCTGAAAGTCGTCCCTGGGAGAAGTAGATCAATATCATGTTGAGAATTGAATCCAAAGTGCTTTGCGACTCGGCACCCAATGTTTCAAGGTTGTATCTGACAACTTTATCGCAAAGCTCTTCTGCTCTCTGCAAATCTCCAGATAGCCGATATGAGCTAGCCAGCTTGCCCATGACGTCCACTGCGTCTCGATTATCGAGGCCTCGAGCGCGTTCATGATGTCCTAATACGTTCTCGAATAGCTTGATTGATTTCTCCTGCTGGTCCATCCCCTGGTACGCGTATGCCATGGAACTGCGGTTTTTGAGGGTGCGGCAGTCAGCAGCACCAAATAGCGTCTCGAATAATTTCCCTGACTGTAAAAACATCTCTTCTGCTTCTCTGTATCTTCCATCGAGTGCATGGCAGGAGCCAATAATATGCATCAACTGAGCTCTGTCTTCAGTATCAAATTCACGCTGCGTCGATTGAAGCATGTGAAGAGCGTGAGGTACTGCTGCGCGCCAATCACTTCGCTGAATAGTATCAACAAGTGGGAATTGGCTATTTACTATTCTTAGCGAGAGAGCCTGCCATCTGTGCAGAGAGTCCATCGATCGAAGCCATTTCCGTGTTGCGAGATGGACCAGCCGATGCATATCGAGTCGCGTACCAGCGTTCGACGTGCGGACGAACGAATAAGAGCTGAGAACCCCAATCGCCTTTTCCCGTTCAATACCCTCTGGAGCGGGTAAAAGGCAGGTGGGAATATCCTTTGCATTCACACATGACATAAATGCCAAGCAGTCAGCAGCGAGCGGTTTGGTCTGCCGTATTTTCGCAAAGGATGTCAGCCAAGTAGTGGCGACTGGGTTGCGAATACTTTTATATCGGCCTTCGTCCTCAAACTCCTCGCTTAGTAGATCAATGACTTCTTGCCCCTGTCCATCGAGTAGCCTGACATAGCTGGCAATATCTGTTTGGTTTTCATTGATGAACGAGGCTGCTTGGACAACAGCCAAAGGCAGAAATGTCAGTCGTTCAAGGAGTTTCCGCGTGCTGTGATCATCTTCGAGAAGGGTCTTGTTGACAAGCGAATTTCGTAAAACTTTCAAGGCTTTTGTCTCATCCATTTCTGGGATCTCGATGGTATTACCAGGGGCTAGATATTGAGCGACCTGGTTGCTTCTCGTAGTGAAGAAGATAGCTCCTTGCTCACTCTTTGGTAGGAAACCTCGAAGGCCGCAATTGGTCGAATTGGAGTCACTCTCGGTCCACATATCTATATCATCAGCATTGTCGATGATCAAGAGCCATCGACCTCTCTGTGGCTGACTCAGATGCTTTTGGACAAGTGTTTTCACATCCTTTTTTTTAGAATCAAATTTTTCGATTCCCAACTGGCAAGCAATCTCTAAATAGGCTTGATGGAGGCTCTCCATGTCGACTGCTGGAAGCCAGATAACAGTACAATCCGGGTACATCTCTCTCGTTTGATAGGCCAGCTCAAGAGCAATCTGAGATTTGCCCACACCGCCCAGGCCGAAGATGCCAGTTCTTTCCGAATGGTCATGGGCGAATAGCTTTCGTTTGATTTTTCTGAGGAGTTCCCGGTCGACAAACCTCGGGTTTCGCTCAAAAGGGACGACCCAGCATGGGGATCTTTGAGGTAGGAATGAGCCATTACCCGACTGCGCATTCTTAAGGACTTGCATCCTGACAGCTCGAGCTTCGTGTTCCTGATAGAAAAGATTAGTCTCTTGCCCGCCACTCTAGGTATTGGATCAACCTACCCGCATGGTAATATCGAACTCTAGGTCCGTTTTCCCTAGACACTCTTCAGTATATCGTCCTAATAGACAGAAAAAGGCATGAAGTTGACCTACCCTCTTTGCCAGCCAAATTCAAAATACATTCTCGAATCCGATCCTTCTGCGCAGAATGATGCAGATAATCATGCGTTGCAGACTCAATCAAACTCCGCTTTTGATACTCAGTCATATGAACTCCCTGCAGTCCCTGCTCAACATTGAAGCGAAAAATACGCTTCTGTCTGAGTTCATTACTCCAGCGAGCCATGAATCGACGTTCCGTGCTTTCCGGTTTAGTAGCCATTCTCACAAGAGTCTTCGAGAGAAATTTAATCATGTTATCATCAATGGGCATTTTCAGAGGACACCCTGTGCCAACGGACAGAAAACATTTAACCAATGGCTTCAAGTCGCGGCTGGTTGTACACCAGATATCGGCTGCTTCTTCCTCGACTTCTTCGACTGGATTGTTGGCTCCGAAGGCGCCGTCCACGAATTGTCGGTTCCCGATTGTTGCGGACTCGAAATACCCGGTTGCTGCGGAGGTAGCGAGGGCTGCCTCGCAGATCGTCGCTCGTAGGGTATCTTCGTTTGGAACGGGGTAGCTTCGTAGTCGAGTAATTTGTAAGGTATCTTTGGCTGTGGTACAGACAAATGCTCGACAATTTCGATGGGAGCCATCGTCCATGAGGTCATCGGAGCCTGCACCGGCTTTTTCAATAACATGTTCAATGGCGGCTTTCAATCGCTGGCTGTCGTATTGGGGCCGAATGTTCCCGGACCAGTCTACTGGGATATTGTTCACTTTTTCGCCAAAGACAGAGTTGATAAGATCGGTGTATGATTGAATACACTCATCAATACTCATCTCTAAGCGGCCTAGCATTATTGCAATGAGCCTAGATGTTGTACACAGATCGAGTTAGTGCAAAACAGTATCTTCACTCTGGGGACGAACGTACCCTCCTGTACTGGTGCCTCCGATCAGATCAAACACATCGCAGGGCCTAAGTATCGTGTGAGATCCGCGCTCGATACTAAGCTGGAGCATAATATCCCGGAGAATGTAAAGTGTTGACAGTCCCCTAACTCCTCCACCATCGAGAGATAACAAACATAGGCCATTTGTGTCGAGAGGATTAGATCTAACATTGTTGTTCGCCATCGCTTCGGGAGAAACCAACTCTAAACAAAACCTATACAGTCGACCCTGACACTTCTAACATACAAGGAGTATGGGAGATTATCTGCTATTAACGAGTAGAAAATTAGGAGATCACAGAAAGGGGGCCATAAGCGCCAGGTGTGCGACTGACAGCGTGGCTGAGCGCTTAGGTGCAGGGGCTATTTTCATTCTCGCCAATAAATGCCGCCAGCTCAAAATGATCATCTCTGAACGAGACCCTGTTGCGTCGTGGATCTTATTAGGTAGCGGCTGAATTTTAAAACAGACAGGTGATGGAAGAAATCGAAAAGGCCGAACGGACCGTGAATAGTTGGCTATGAGAATGTACCTTTCGATTTGCAATATAAACTGCTCGAATACGACCTTTTCACGGCCTCGAAATTCCAGCAGCTTTTTGAGAGACTCCCACACTGCCACAATTCGGCCTAAATTGTACAAGATATATGGTGTTCCCGTAGATAACGGACTTTGTTTCCATTCATATGATCGGTCAAATCAACTGCAACACAGGTCATACCACAAATGCAGATACGATCCAACAAAAAAATTCAGGTTAGCTAAAATTTGATAAATGAAAACATGGGCTCAAGGAGATGATATCTCGCAAAGATATCACTTGAAAGAGGCTTAATTTGACACAAAGAGAATATTTGCGATCCAAAGATCCAACGAGTGGGGGAAAGAATCAGTCCCAGAACCCTGCCGGGCGAGTCTTTAGGTTTCGAACGCCATGAAGAAGAAGAAAAAAAAGAGTTTCGTCGAGGTCATTGGTCAGGGTGTTTAGCACATCTCACAGCACTCGATGCAGTCGGCGCAGCACTCGCAGCCCTCTTCGCAGACGAAACAACAGCACAGAGTGGCCAAGCTGGAAAGGAAATATATAAATCAGCAATGGATCAACAATAGATTTCGCATATGAACTTACCAAGCGCCGAGGCAGCCCTTGTCACTGGATTTCTGCTGGGGCTGGGGTTGGGGCTGCTGGTATTGCATCTAGAAGTTCATCAGTGCATGTTTCTTGCGTAATAGGAGAGGGAACACGTACACCACCCTGGGGAGGGGGGCCACCGTAACCCTGCTGGGGAGGATAACCCTGGGGAGGGTAGCCGCCCTGCTGAGGGGGGGTAATATTCGCCGGGGGGAGGACCGTAACCGGGCTGCTGGTAGCTGTATTCGATCGACGTCAGATTCCAACCATATTATGAGAAATCCAATCCCATCAAATCATATATTCCAAATCCACTCCCATCGCCGATGCGCTCAAGCAGCGGTGTGATATCCGGGAAATCGACAATCGGCGACTGCATCGGATATTGAGGACAAGGCAGAGCAATGGGAAACTCACGCGTTGGGAGGGTACTGGTGCTGCTGGTAAGACATGGCTGCGGTATTGGATCTGGAAATGGAAAAAGAAGTAATCAGCGACAAGCTTCGAGGTAATGCGACAACAATGAATCCAGCGAGGAACAAAACAAGGCCCGACCGAGGTCAATTGCAGTCAGGCAGGGTAAAGCCGTAAGACGTATAGCGAGAAAGCGGGCAAGGGGAAAGCACTCACCGAGTCGATCGGAAGGATAAAGTTCAGCTGAGGGAGTCTGGAAAGCTTGTCGCTGACGGCAGGGATGAGCGAAATGAAGTGACGGAGTGAGGTTGCGGGCCTCAGGGGTGTCTTATGAAGAGGGTGAGGTTTCTGGAGAAGGGGAAAGAGGAGAGAGGGAAGGATGACGAGGACAAGAGGAGATGAAGAGGAGACAAGGTTTACCGAGTGGTGGTGGTGGTGGACTTACTGGACAGCAGGGCGGGATTATTTAACGAGGAAACAGACAGAGAGAGTTCAACAAGAGAGGAACAAGAGTTAACAAAGTTCAAATTGGAAGTTACGGACGAGTTATGGTTATGTATTACACACTTTACTTGTTGTACCCGCGGTACTGCAGTTGTACCGATTCCCTAAATAGCTTGGCAGCAGCAGGCCAAGCCGAATTTAGTCACAGGGCTGAGAAACGTACAGAAAGTGTACATACAGAGTACGAACTATCCAGTAGTATCGGAAGTTAGCTATGCTAGTAATTCCGATACTCAAGTCCCTGCTTTTACAGGGTAATTAAAGTGAACATCTAGAATCAATGAATAGGCTTCTGGAAAAAGATGGAAGAGCAGAGGTACACTACTTACACAATCAACGCCTTACTCATAGTGCTAGCCATATCAGGTATGAGCATACAGTTGTCCGATAGCCCTAGCAGAAGGAGTTTTATTCTAAGGCCATAATCATGAACCCTACAGAATATAACAAGAATACATGAACAAGCTAATATGCCCTGCCTATGCACCTAGCCCTTCACCGAGTTGGTTTGCTAGACATACTGTACCAAAATGTAACAAAACCCCCGTAATACCCAATACCAACCTCCGTCTTAGCCACACTTTCCCAACTCCTCACCTCTCCAGCCATCCAACTCTCTCATCCTCTTCCAGCCCTACCAGTGACTACCACTCACTAACGCAGTCAGCCACACTTCACCCTCCACATCCCCCATCTTATTGGAGCCAACATCATCTTCCCTCCAGCCACCGTGTCACCCCCTATTCCCCACTACCCATCACCCACGAATCACAGTAAACTACACCGGTCGAACCGGAAGATCGGATGGTTCTTGCTGTGTTCACCGCCTGTATTTACTGTACTAGCGTACGGTATTGCTGCTGCCTGTGTCTCACTCACTCTTTGAGTCCAGGCTTGGTTGAGGTACAGGATGCACTACGATGGAGTGCCTCTATTTCTGGGTGCAACCCTGTGCCTGTGCCACACATGCCCTGCCTGGCCCCGATAATTCCTGGAAAGTGGAAAGTGGCCCCCATTTTACTCGTCTGTCAGGTAATGGTCAAGTCATTAATCTATGCCAGGGTCATTAGCTACAGGCGCATCGACGTGCCCGCCCTTTCGTCAATCGTGTCAGTACGGGGGTAGAGGGGGCCATGCAGGTGAAGTGCTTGCTTGGGGGTTGTTGGTTGTTTGGAGATTGTCTGTCCTCAGGCCACATAGACCCTGAGATGGACCCCAAATATACCGCAGGTTCCATAAGAAACCCCCCACGGCCCCCAAGAATCAGCCCAAAAACAAGCTTCAAAAAACAAAAATAACCTCGGACATGCCAAAGTCAAAAAGAAAAAAAGGCAAACGCATATTCCAGGCGCCAACCAAAACTGCTCAAATCAAATCAAACCAGTCGATTGTCCCGTGTTAGGCGCCAGCCTTAACAACTTGAAACGGGCACCACAAAGCTGCACAACCCCTGAAACGAACTCCTCGATCCAGGATCCAATCCAGTCTCGACTCCCATATATCCAGTAACCAATTCAATCAACACAATGCCAATTCCTCCCAATCCCAGTCCCAATCCATATACACGACGCACAGCCACACAATGCATAAATTACACACACAAACCCAAACAAGCACAACAAAAACACAGGGCCAAACCCCGTGGTCAAATATCAATGCAAAATCAAAAATGAATCAAAAATGAATCAAAAATCAAGAATCAAAAACACTGTCGATAAGAAACGGGGGAGACTACGATCGCTCACATGACATATGTCTCCATCTCCGCCGGGATCTGCTGACTGTCCACATAGAACGGTGTCTCCAGCGTGGCGTCGAGGTCGAAACTGGCCGACATTCCCGGGAAGCCCTCGTACTCATGGCCATGGCCATGACCGTGCATGGGTGTCGGGTCCATCCCATACGAGCTGCCCATGCTCATACTCATGCTCATGCCAACACCCATACCCATACTCATCGGGCCACTGGCATCTCCAGGTCCAGGTGGGGGCACACTGCCCTTGCTATCGGACGGTAAACTCCCAGCACACTCCTCCAGACCGTCAGCGCCGAAGGTATCGACCGAGTGCTCATCTGCTCTCTCGATCGTCTCCCGCATCCAGAGCTTCAGCACCTCCATCGGCGGCTGGTTGCCACCGCCCTTGCCGCCTCGTTTCTCACTGTCCTTGCCGCGACCCCCGCGTCCGCGCTGACAGGGGTGGAAGTGCGTGCGTCGCAAGTGCGCGGCGGCATTATAGTTTGCACCGTATTTCTTGCCGTTTCGGCAGGCTTTGCAGTTGGCGAGGAACGTCTTGTCGGGCGAGATATCCACGCAGACCCAGACTTTGCGTACCTGGGCGTGCACACGATCGATGTGTCGACGTAGCTCGTGCTCTCCGTGGAAGCCATCTGGTTGATCGTTGCACAGGCGGCAGTATGTCTTTGCTTTGGGTGGGCGCTGCACAGATGCTTTGGGGATTGCGGCGACTTCCTTGGTGGTGCCGTCGGCGGAGGAGATGCGAATCATGCGGTTCGGGTCGCTGGGATCGGGTTGCAGGTGGGCTTTATCCTGAGATTCCCGCTTGGGTGCGATAGGTCGTGCGCCGTGGGCGATTTGCTCTTGGGTACGGCGAGCAGCACGGGATGGAGCTGCCGTGGCGGAAGAGTTGCTCTCGGTTGAAATGGACGGCTTCATGTCGACGGCCCCCGGCGTGGAGAGGGGGGTGACCGGCGTGGTAGGGTTCATACTGGTTGGCACATGCTGCGGCCGGAACGGCGTTGCTGACGGGGCAGAGGTGGAGAATGAGGAAGGGTAGGAGAAAGGGAAGGATGCGTTGGGATCTAAGTCAGGATACAGTGAAGAAGGGAAGGACTCTTGGTAGGGGAGTCCGGAGGTGGATGTGGGCACCCACTCCGGAGGGATGGGGTACGCCGGTTCCAGATCCGCGTGAGATGCCGCTTGATCGAAGCCAAAGTTGTTGAATCCCCCGATGATGGTGTCGGTGGTCCCACTCCGGGTCATCTCGACCGCGGCCGCCGGAGATACATCGGCCATGGGAGATGGCTGTCCAGAATGTGGATTTGGCAGAGGTGCCAGTCCGTTTGATCCAAGATTTGCCAGCCCAAGAGTCAACGCAGAGGTGGTGTTGGGGATCGGAGTGGCGGATGCAACACCGGGACCAGAGCCGTAGAATGGGGCCTGGTTGATGTTGCAGTCGTCCAAGTGTTTCGCAAACTCGGATGGCGAGTATTCGTTGACCATCTCATCGACATGATCCAGATGCAGAGGTTGCTGCGGTTGTTGCTGGGTCCGGGTCGGGCCGAAGGATTGTCGTTTCCCCATGACCGGTCCGGCTGGCGGATGCCAGTGAGAGACGGGGATTTGTTGGCTTTGGGAACGAACCATTCCCAAACCCATCGCTTCCCTACCTCCCACGGGGCCCTTCACGGGGGAGTGTCGATAGGATCCTTGCCCGGACAAGGACGCACCTTTCCGGTATGTCTCCGCCGAGGAAGTTTGGGAGATGGTACGTCGGAGGTCGGCGGCCATTGGGAGATCCGGGGTCTGCCAATTGTCAATCCAGTGACGGTGGAAGAGGGAGAGGAGGAGGAAAAGGGGAATGGCGGGAGCAAAGTAACCAAGGTCACACATACGGTGGCTCGCCGTTTCGCCTGAGGAGGACCAGAACCAGAACCAAAACCAGTAGAAGCAGAGGAGGCGGAGGCAGCATCGGCTGTCGGGAGGGTCCGTGGAGTCGCATCCTGTCGAGTTCGTTTCCCTGAGGTCCCCGAATGCCCTCCTGTGCGAGGGAGGACCTGTGGTGGAACGGGGTTATTCTCGATAGCCGGGATAAACCGAGTAAGTTGCTGTGTCCAGAGCTGATGGCGTTGGGGTTCCGGGAGGTGGGCATGTCGAACCAAAAAAGCTTCGCGATAGGAGGTCATGGCCCGAGTGAACAGTTGTTCATCGTCGTCGGCCGGATGTAGAGCCATGGTGAAAGAGTGTACCAGAAGTAAAAAGGGGGGGGGGATCACCTCAGCCGAGGATGAACCTGTGGGATCAGTAGAGCAAGAGAGCGAGCGATGAAAGTAGTAGACAGTAGAGTAGACCCGATTAAAAAGGGAGTGGGTCAAATAGAGAGAGGTAGACAAGTAGACTGATTGTAAGTGTTAGCGCGTGTTCCGGTGAAAAAAAGAGAAGAACTAAAGAAGTATACAGGGAGTATACTGTGAATGGCGGGGAAAAGGAAGAGCATACCGGGGGGAGATCTTATCAAGTGGTCGGGGGTGGATCTCTTCGGTGTGGAGGAGGAGAGGGGAAGATCGAATCGATAGAAGAAAAAAAAACGAAGGATCGAATGATCCGAAGTCGAGGTAACTATAACTAGTAACGAGGCGTCGGGCCACTAACAGGAGTGGATGGAAGGTGGAATTAATAAAAAAGGGACTGCGATATACAGGAGGATGGAGTTGGAATTGGGCAGGAAGATGAAAAAGAGGGAAGAAAAAATAATGGGAGGAAGATTTTGGAAGCAGCCGATTATTCTTGGGAAAAGACAAAAGTCCCACTTTGGTGATGGGATGGGATGAGAGAAGGAGTGAGGAAGAGAAGATGGATGGAGGAAGGAAGTTCATCCACTTGGGGAGAACAACGAAGAGAGAATCTCCACTGAAGAGACAATACGAGGACACACCCGCTAGAGACCAAGCTTAGTACAACCTGCTATACTCGGCACCCACTCCATATTGCAATCTAGTACATAGTATAATAAGTTCAATGATGACCCTCTTCCATCCCGTGTTATTGACGGTGACTCTCTTCTCCGAATCACTTTTGAACGGTCTGGACCCGTCGATGAGACTTCCCCTGTCAGTCAGTTCTCCATCATCTTTTTCATGGTGGATGCTAGTGTGCCAGCCTACCAAAACTAACGAAATCTATCGATGTCATCGATCGATTGGATAACTGATCGGGTCCAGGGGAGGATCACAGCCTCAATAGAATCTGTTTGCGATGGGCTGCACTTGTAAGTTGTGGCTGACCTGGTTGGTGGAGGGGGGAAGTGCAGCTGCACCCAACTTGGGACCCAAGAGGGGAGGACTCAAGCACCACTGGGAAAAGTGAGGCAGCGAACCGGATCGCCCCGAGTCAGTTTCCGACCGTCCCAGATGACACGGGGATGGTTGGATCTTGTTAGAGGGCAGTTTGAAGGGGGTGAGTAATAATCATGATGGCAGAGGAGAGGCTCGCTCTCGAAACATGCTAACATTAACATGTGTATGACCCCTCGAGTCGATGATTATATTATCATACTGAAGTTATTCCTCCTCTAGGTACGGATTCGTGCCCCAGTATACCCACCCGACTCCATAGTTCTCCATTGACGGAGTATACAACTCAGAAACTAGTATATCCAAGTCCCCTTCTTTCCTCTTTGAACAACCTCCTCCCCTGCACTAACATGATCAAATCATCCAGCCAGTTCTATCCTAATCCTTCGCGCCTACGGCGGGTGCCCGATAGATTCTACTACTCCGTAGTCCAACCTCCTTCATCAGCTCACACCCTCCACTTTAAAAAACTAGAAAATGAGAAAGAAAGCCCATGTATCAAACTAGTCAGCTAGCGAGGGAGACAACGAGTCTCTCTCCCCGCCTCAACATCTGCCACGTTGTCGCCCATCTGCAACTGGAGCAACAGTTGGGCCCCGGTGACCCATGGCGGGTGCCCAGCGCCCAAAGCCCACGCCCAAACTGGTCCAGAAGGTAGAATGTGGAGGTGGGAGGTGGGGATAGACTCGAGACTTGTCTGTATAGGTATATAATGATTTGCTCGTGGGATAGTCTGTAGTAGTAACTATTGTAGTCCGCAATTTCTAGTTGAGGAGTTGAAGACGGTGAGTTTGCCTGGTTAACTAGTGCAGTGGAACTAGCATGTAGGAACCATGGTCAGAGCCCGCGATTCCCGCCAGCGAACCATGGCTCGAGAGTTACTTACTGTAGTTTACATGCATGCATTCAAATTTGTATACATCCTCCTATCGTGGTTCTCTATTCTAGATATCTATTTAAAACACTATAGTTAACGGTGCCTTGTCGAGTCTCAAAAAAAACCTATTACTATGATCCAACTATGGAGAGGGTCTCCAGCTGGTTTGGTTTGTTCAGGGGAAAACGGGGATTTAGCCCAGGACGATCACCACACTAGTGACTCTGGCACGGGGGGCTCTCTTTTCCATATTGATTCTGGACTGTCAACTTGCACGGAGCACCCCGCAGCTTACCGTCAATGATTGATTTTTCTATATGAGCCCCCTGTCTACGGAGTACGTGATTCGAATCTCCCCGATAGATCTCTGCACGTCGAATCCTCCTACTCAGCAATCTTGAAGGATTCGGGAACCCCCAAAACGCGATTGCCGCCGCGTTTCAAGGCTCTCAATGGCTGGTCTGTTTATAGGTGGAAGAGTATGCAAGTATATGCACTCTGCTACTCTGTATGCATCATTTAACCATCACCAAGGGGTTGAGGCCGCCCTGATCGACGTGATGGATTTCACCCGGGTTCTCCTGTGATCCCGCCGATCCCCCAATAATAAATTCTCCAGAGAGCTAGTCCGTTCTGGACAGATGGGATGAATCTTTAACTAACTCGATGTGCTGACGATGCCTTGTTGACCCCGTGACCCGGTTTGTACGACCAGTCGAATCGCAGTATTGGGAGTGCATTCTGAGGTATCATACATCATGCTGTCACGGCATGGGGTACGGCACTCTTGACAATAATATGTCATCCTACATGTGTGCTATTTACAAATTACACTGTGCAACACACTCTGTTTCTAAAGGGAGTTTCACTTCCAATATCTGGAACTCGGTGATGGGTTGAGGGGAGACGCTGCTTAAAGTTTCAGGCTCGACACACCTACAGCTTCTCTCGTGCAGGAGTCAGGGACAGAAGTACGATGTGAAGCCAGCGGAAACTCACTCGAGGCTTGTCATTTTACGATTTGACGATGCGAGTCTGAGGGTGAATTTGATCGTAAGAGTGATTGGCCCTTGCAATTACCGCGCAGTGAGGGCAGTCCTATCATATCGTGTCTTCCTCGCTGTCTACATCTGCGGAGTCCAAGCTCCTAGCCACTTCCCCAGCTAACCTACAATATCATCTGGGACAACGGGCCAGTTCCAATGCACCAGCTCCCGAGCCATGCGCCCGTGACAACCTTGCCAAGGTGCCTGTGCTTGTCTTCCGACTAGTCAAGTTCCAACCACACCCCCAGCGATCCGTGCTATAGAACAACCCGCACCCTCCTCTCCAATAAGCCCTCCGTCAGACTTGCGGTGAACGTTAGGCTGTCGAGGCCCGATACCACACAGACAGAACACCCTCATCGATCTCCATCATCGCAATGCCATAGTCATAGCCATGTCATAGTCAAGGTCTCGTGCTCTATCTTCGTCTCACCATCCATGACGATGCAGCTTTCTTGATCGAGGCGCAGATGGCGCATCACGAGTAACCCCCCGAAAAGGGGAGCTGGGAGCTGGTAGTCTTTATTAGGCCTCTTCGCGCATCCATAAGCAATGAGAGCTCTGCAAACGCGGCCGCTCAGCCTCATTACCCGGGGATGAAGGGTTATGCATGCTGTGGCTGCTGCAGGGCTTTTCGTCAGCCTCCGGCAGGCGGATTGGAAACTTTGCTGGTTGTTGGGATGGGTCTAGCATGGGGTTATGGTCACACGGTCGTCGCGTGGTTTCTTTGCCGCGCAGGACGTTTGCTGTGCTGCAGGCTGAAGTGTAAGGATGGGTGTGAGCTTGGACTTGGATGAGACCTTGGATGCGTATGTTGACTTTCAGGGCCTGACTTTCTTTCATACCCTATTCTTGCCACCAGATGACAGAGACGGAGAGATGGCAGACTCCAGATCATGAACAGATCGATACCTATCTCAGCATCTATTCCACTCGGAGCGCGGTTCTTAGTCCGCGCTGCACTTGATGGCGAGAGCAGCTAGGCTGTGCTGCTCAGCTGCTCTCTCTATCGTCAGGTTCCTATTTGGGCAGCATTGAGCTTCGTCAATGATCAGTCGTCCGTGTAAACAGGTCAGAACCTGGCCAGCCAAGACGCCAATGCGATCAGGCCAGCTTCAGACTGACAGAGTTCTTCAGTGTTCCAACAGTCGTCATGGTGCAGGATTAAGCATCTAAGTCGAAGACGGCAACTAACCCTATCTGAAGACCATGAATACTAATCTCCAGCCTGAATCCCCGAGCTCTCCATCCTGTGGCCACACGAACGACCTCAACCATAACCACACCTTCGGGTCCGCTCATCCAAGGATATGTCAAGTGGAGATTCGTAGTAACATTGGCGGTACACATTCGCGTGGAAGGGTTTGGCTGACGTCAAGTTGCCATGGGCGGCGACTGGGGAGGGAACATGCTAGAGATGTGGAGATGGTATAAAAGGTTGGTGGCACCTTTCAGGGCTGAAATCACTACGTAATTTGGCTGAGATATTGTCAGTAGTGTAGACATACCCGCGACGCCATCACCTTGTAGAGGGTACCCTTCTAGTTATTGTACTAGTAGGCAATTATTGTTTCTACTTCCTGATAGTAAAATAGGTCTACTCTACGGAGTAAGTGCACTTCTTTACTCCCCTGTGCCGATCACCCTCAATCACGTGACCCTCCCACGTCATCGGCCCAAACAATCCCAAGCAGTTTCAAGTGATCGGGTGTCTCCATCAAACCTGTAACTCCTTTTTGACTCCTATTTGGAGAGCCTGAGCCCCTATTTCCCGGCGATAGAGCTTTGTCTCTTACCATTCTCTTCTCTTCTCTCTCTACCATCTACCAACTATCTAACCATCTCCTATCTACCCACCATGTCCGACTCAACCCTTTATCTCTACACCTCCCTAACGGCGGGGTCCTCGCACATTGTCACCGCGACCGCCCGGATTGAAACGATCCTCAAGGCGAACAAACTGCCCTTCCGTGCTATTGACGTTGCCACGGATGAAGTTGCCCGTAAGCTCTGGGGTCGCCGGTCCAAGGGCAAGAAGTTGCCCGGTCTGGTGAAGTATGGGAATATCGTCGGGGTATGTAGCCCTCTCCCCCTTTAGCTTATGCTTGCAGCAGTATCAACTAACTCCACCTTCCTGCAGGACCTTGAAGAAATCGAAGAGTGGAATGAATTCGGCGAACTGCGCATGATCGTCAACAGCGTCCAAGATCTGGACGGTATGCCAGCTACCAGCAATTCTCTTCCCGTAGTCGAATCCCCCGCGCCAGCACCCACCACCCCCAAACCCTCCACGATCAAAATCCAAAGCCCACCCGCGATCAAACCAGAGGACAAAAAGGATGAATCAGCCGTCCTTGCCCTCCGCCAGGCAAGCTCCGAAGCCGCCAACAAAGCCATTAGCAAAGCGGACGAGAAAAAAGACGTCACCAAGAAAGACGCCGAAACCAAAGCCGAAGAACAAGCTCCAACACCTGACCCTCCCTCCTCCACCTCTCCCACCATAAAAGCCCACCGCGGCTCCGTCGCCCCCGAACTCCCCGACATCACCCCCGACTCCTCCAACGCCCCCAAGCGACCCCCCTTGATCCCCGAAGTAGCGGCCGTGTCATCGGCGAATTTCCGCGTCGAGAATGCGGAGGAATTGGGTCTTGTGGAACATCATCGCGGGTCGATTATTTCTGGCGGCGATAATGCGGATAGGGATAGTGTTGTGACGGAGATTCGGCAGAGTATTTCGGGGGCGGAGGGGCCGGGGGGTTCGTTGGATGCGTTGAGGAAGGAGGCGGCGGAGAGACCGAGGGATGAGAGTATTGTTGAGGAGGTTGCTGGTGTGGAGGAGAATGAGGATGTGAGGGATGAAGTTAAGGAGGACGCGGAGGAGGAGAAGAAAGATGTCCCCTCCGAGTCCAAGGAGAAGTCTACTACTACGGCGCAAGATACCAAGGTTGCGGTGGAGACCAGCGCTTCGAAGGAGTAGACGTCCAGGCTGTTTACGACCATTGATGAATCTGTACAGAGGAGTGCTCCCCCTTTTTGCCCACGTCGATTCTTGCCAGCACTGTTTATGATACCAGGTCCTGTTTCAGTCCTAGCAAGCAATGCCACATCGCTTCCAGCAAGTTCTACTTTGCAACTCATTGTAGAGTTCAGCTGCATCTAGCTTCCCCGGACAACCAATTCAACCAATCTCATTGGTCAGCGTGAAAGAAGTATATGTCAAATGCCATTCATAGCTCATCATTACAAACAGTACACAAGAATAAGCCCCCCTCAATCGGGCAAAATAGACCCCCTCCATGGAAAAATATGCACTCAAAAGGGGGACTGTCCAAAATAAGAAACCCCGTGCAAGAATCGCATCGCGCAAGTCGAGAAGAAAAGACATCAAACACCGTAACCCCTTTTGTGAAATGGTACTGTAGTTGAAAGTGACAATCCGTGGAGGGCGTGCAGTCTCGTCCCGCTTCGGTCTCCACCGAGCGAGAATTGACCCTTGATCAACGGGTCGTGAGCACGTATGAATTTGAATTGGGGAGTGTTCGGATCGGGTCAGCCGGTCCCTCGGTTTATTGCTATCCCAACATCTATGCCTTAGACTGACCCCGTCGCTTCTGAACGGCTTCGCGCAGCTTCAGAATGACGTCAGCTGGATCCGCCGCGCCAAAAACCGCTGAACCGGCCACAATCACGTTGGCGCCTGCTTCAGCCGCCTGGTCAATTGTGCCCAGGCCGAGACCACCATCGACTTCGATGTTCAACTCGGGATACCGTGCGCGCAGGGCGGACACCTTGGGCAGCTCGGAGGCCATGAATTTCTGGCCACCGAAACCGGGGTGTACTGTCATGACGAGAACCATCTGCCGGGAGAAGCTGCCGTTAGCGTGAAGCCGTGCCTTAAGGGGAGAGAAAAGTTCCGGGGGTCATGCGTGTGCAGAACGGGTTTTGCTGCGGGCGTGTGTAGTCCGGGGGAAAAGCTTCCTGCGGAGAGCTCGGGTTTAACTCACATCTGGGCGTTCGGTGTGATCAGGGCTGTCGAGAATATCCCAGAGGACATCGACCGGGGTATCCGGCTTGATTGCAATACCGGCCTGCATGCCCTCCTCGTGGATATACTTGATCAATGCGCGCGGGCTGGTCCGTTCTGTGGTAGTCTTATCGGTGGGATCGGTCGCGGCGACGGAGGACACGGCCGCCTCGTAGTGGAAGCAGTACAAGTCGCAGCCGGCTTTTTGGAACTCTTTTACCCATTTGTGAGGCTAGAAACGCGGGGAAAGGAAGGTATGCGATCAGCGGGAGCTTCTTTTGGGTCACGCGATTGGGGATTTCTCGGACGAGACGAGACATACCTCCATGATCATCATGTGGCAGTCGAAGGTACCCTTAGAGCCGGGCTCGAGTGGTCGGTCGACACAGCCGCGGATCTGAGAGACGACGGGGCATCCGATGGTCATGTTGGGGACGAAGTGGCCATCCATGATGTCGACATGGAGCCAGTCGGCGCCTTGCTCCATCTTCTTCGCGCAATCATGGCCGAGGTTTGCAAAGTCGGCACTGAGAATGGACGGGGCAATGATGGCGGGCGGCGACATTGTGAGTGATTGGAGAGGATGATGGGGGAGGGAGAAGAGGAGGAATTAGTCGAAGGAATAGGATGAAGAAAGGAAGAAGAAAGATGGAGGTGAGGGGAAAGGAATGGAGGGGGGAGAGCCGGATAAAAAGATAAGTTAAAGGTGAAAGTAGGTCACGATGGGGACCAATTGAACTAGCTAAGCTTAGTACCAAATATGAAGTCGCGACTCTTCTCCTCCTCTTCCGGTCTTGACCCCAGTATTATTCCTTCTATCGTGTTTAGTTTACATCAGGCTGAGTGGCGACCCAAAGGTGGATATGCCGGGTTCACCGAAAGATGGGCCCCTTGTTGTACAAAATTAACAAGTTGAGAGCATACGACCTGTTTCTTTTTCGATTTGACGTGATATCAACGAAATAGGGTCTTGGCATTGATCATTTCTGTCTTTTCTTGATATATCCTTACAGCAGGGATTCCATCATTGTCTACTCTCTTACTCTCCTTTACTCTCACTAAAAAAAAAGTCTTCGCGATGATGCAAACGGCCCCGATAAGGGCTCCGCGTCTCACGTGGGCCCTGCCAATCTTCGATCTTCACTGCAATCAGGACCCTCTCTGTTGCACTAGTCTACTTAAGTCCAACAGGTTGATCCACTCAGAGCGCAGAACTCAACGTGTCGAGGCTCCATTTTCACAGCTTCCGGTGATTCTCACCATGGTGTCGCAAGTCCACCGTAGGGTGGTACAGTCTGGATGGGCGGCCCCTGATAAATCACCACTGATCTGCTGGATTACCTGATCGGGTCATTCCGATGCCATATTCCACCCCAACGGAGTACGGAGGACCGGTACAATAATAATACCTAACAATCTTCCGCCTGACAGTACCAGAAAATTCAACCAAGTCGGCTGACCTGGAGCTCGGACAGGGGGTCTGGCTGGGCCGTCGACAGGGGGTTGTTAAACTGGTCTGTGATCTTAAGGTTATTTGGAGGGGGGATTAACCATAGAGGGTTCTCGAAGCTCCTTCGGACTTGCTGGGCGCCTTCATCCGCCAATCATCGTGGTTCTGGGGTGTTTAGCTATGGCTTGGCTCCGAGGAAAGATTACAAAGAGGTCATCTATCCTGGTCCCAACGAGATGAACCAACAGACATACTATAACTAGAGCCTTTCAACCCTCGACAGCATAGTATTGCTATGGTCTATCACCATTCGCTGGTTGCATCCCCTGGTCTTTGATCCAACCAGTTTCTATACTATCAAAAACCAGCTTGGATTGACAAGCAAACCAGCTCAATACCCTCTTCGGCATCAAAACCCGGGCAATGACAAGCCAGGCAAATGAACACCCGGATGAACCATATTGCTACAACTGACCACTACTACTACTCGCCTATACATGTGCTCCAAATCATCCGAAGATGATTACTTCAATAGCCGCCCAAATAGTCAATCAATAACAAAGCGGGGGGAAGCACCCAACGTCCAACAGTAAGAACAAGTCTGTGCACCCCCACGGCGCACTGTGATCCGACCCGGACGGGCCCGTCCCCATTACTCTGCTGTACTAGTTACTCAACAGGGCCACGCAAAAATGATTTCATTATTGGGGTTGAAAAAGGATTGTTGCTTCCGTTACTCGCTAGCAATTTCCTTGTTATGTTATGGCGGGTTTGGGCGCTGGTGTACGCAGGAGACTACGCCACGGAAGGAGGGGTAAATAGTCATGGAGGGGTCGAGGTGATAAGATTGTATACAACTTGTATACACTCTCGGTCTCTATCCAACTGGACAGTCAACAATATTCAATCACAATAATCAAGACTAGTCATAATCCATGAATTATCACATCTAGTCAATCACAATGTGGATCTTTTGAGGTCATCGAAATATCCCCCGACTAACCCTCTTCCTTGCACAATAATGGCGTCAACAGCTGATGATCGCCCTGCCTCAACTTGTCAATTTCGAGGGCTATGCAGTACTATTTAGGCATATCCCTGGTAAGGCGCTAATCTGAATGAATCCACTTGTAAGCCCCACGGCGTGTCAGAAGCAATGGCTAGCCCCCGTGTCCCGCTACGGCAGGTGTTGCAGGAAGCGCTCTTGGGTCATGGGTGATCTCGGGATTTCAATTTTCTACAGAGCGTCAAAATAAGTGGATCTGCGTCGGACGTCGGACATTGATGTAGGAGACATCCCCGTAGTGTCGAGATCCATGAAGTCTATGCAGAGATGATGCAACGGAGATAGAAGTTACAGAACTCATCTTGTCCAATTGACGTGAGGTCTTCCTCGTTGCTTCAACTATGGTACTATAGAAGTGAGGAGATATTTATTGTGAGCCTATATACCTATCAGATGGACACTCCAAAATACTCGAAAGTACTCTATTGATTCGATTGTGCATAGATGAAAGCCATTAGAAGCTGCCAAACATGAGAACTCCAGTTTGAGAGTATCTGGGTAAAGATGAACCCGGAAGAGGAGTCATTCATTCAATGCAGGCAGATTTTCTACTTGCTGTCCATTCTAGCGCTATACCTTTGACAATCGCATCAGTCCTTCTCAAGCCCATAGATCACGGCTGGGGCCCTTTTCCAGCTGATCTCATTTCTGTATACTCGGTGCCTGACGATTGATCACGGTCCGACCCTGAAGAACTCTATATGACCTCTCAGCACCAATCTTCATCCCGGATTTCGTGCGCAATCTTATTTCCCAGCCATGGCTCTTGGAATGAGTCAAAAGGGTTTCGGGACTATTGGAGTTTGAAACTAAGACTGTCGAATCGCAGTGCTTGGGCTGGTTGCACATCGGTCTCCCTCACGAGCGATGCCTTACTATCGAGCCGACTAGATCAGGCACTTATTAACTTAATTATGCGCCCTCAAGTCTCTTGTACCAGCTGTCTTAACTCTAATAGGTGGATAGGCAGGGCATTATTGAAAAACAGTGGTGGTCAAGGATGCAACTCTGCAGTAAATTAGGTTCAATTAATCAAAGTTCTAAAATTAATCCAGGCTAATCCTGCACGCTGTGGTGTCTGCAAATTAGGACTGGTTCTGGGGCTAATTGGCCTTACGGAGTACTTACCCCTCTTTTGATGCTGTGAAAGTGGGGTGATCATTACTCAACTTCTCGAGTACATACGTCATGCAGGGTTAATTACCCTGCTTTTAGTGATATTGCGGTGTTTTCACTGGTGATATCGAGGGTAAATCGCAGTCACACGGGTGACGGGCCGATGCGGGGGCCACGACAAATGCCCGTTAATCACACCGGAAGAGGCAATGCTGCAGTTCCCTTGACCACTTAATTGATGCTAAGTTTAGCCCGCCCGGCGCCTACACGCGATCGCTGACTGGCTGCTGTCATCTCAGTGACTGACCCCCCTGTCACCCACCAGCGGTTCGTCACAATTTGGGCCAAGCTGATTCGCTCCGCCAAGCATCAGGCCTACAATTTGTTTCTCTTGACAGTCCTCGTGAGTGACATTTTCCTGCCCTTCAGAGGGCGCGATCAGGCAAAGAATTATGGCTGGGCGATGCGCCCATTTCCCAACGAACCAATGACCGTCGATCATTCACTCGACTCGACTGCGGGTTGGTGGACTAGTCGTGCCCAATCTTGCAGTAGCTCGGTGGACTGACTTTGCGAAATGGGCTGGGAAACAGGGATTGAGCTCTCCTCCGCACATCCCCCTCAGGGCGGATAGGCGCCCGGGATGGAGGCTGGTGATGGAAGAGAGTGGGAAAGTGTGTATATACAGTATATAGTCCTGGTTCGTGGCGGAGCGTCCTCGCTCGCGTCTGTTATTTCGTCATCTCGCTGTTTTCCTTTATTTCTGTTCCTGGCCTCATGCTCTGGCAGCTGTGGCTAGTTTTCTGTCTTTCTCTTCTCGTTACTATTCGCATTCGATTTCCTACGATTTCCAAATTGATCTGATCATATCGCTACTGGACCCGTTGACCGGTGTCGATGCCGTTTATTACTACGACTAATACTACTTTGAGATACCCATAGAACGTCGTGTTACTGGAGAACACTCATACGCTCTCGAGATTCAAACAACATCAGCACATCTAACTGCGGATAAGGGAGGAAAAGATGGCCGATACACTTCGCCTTCCCACTGCACGATGTCCGCCTCTTCGGCAGGCCCGAGGCACCAAGCTTAATACCATAATGGAAGATACTCGCGAGTCGCAATTCTCACCAAAGGGCGCCGGTAGCCCTCCGTTCTCGAGACCAAACCTGCCCAGTCCCAAGTTGACCCTCAAGACAAGCGGACTATCAGTACCGACTCATGCTCGATTGGCCCGGTTGATGTCGCCGCTCTCGGCAGGGACAACATCCTCCTGTTCGGACCACGAATGGCAGCAACAGATGCAAGGGTTCGACGATTTGTACGATGCCTCGGACGATGACAATTCCACCGAGATCAGCGACTCGTGTTTCTCGGCACCGGGAACCCAACGCTCCAGCTTGGTGACACCAATCACGAGGAATTCGGTCACTTCCACCGGCAGTCGTGGGAGTCGCAAAAGTAGAGGTGGACTGACTCTTGACATTCCTTCCTCCACAGACTGGCCCTCTCTCCGAGGTACTTGTAAGAGTTCGCCCATTCCTCCAACGCCTCCGTCCAGGCTTCCAGTCTCTCCCGTAGCACTCTCCATGCTCGGTCGAGCTGTACCAGCATCATACGCTCCGCCCTCCTTGGATGGCAGTATCTCCTCCGATCAGGAATCAAATCTCAGTGCGCTGGCCACTCCAGATACGCATTCGCTTCCTGATACCAACTGGGATGCACCGGATGTCCACGTTCGTCCCGATCTGGATGGGAGTGATGCGGAGGATCTAGGGAATGACGAGAGCCGTGTCGACCTCCAGGCTGTCTCGTTTACTATTGAAAGCCCACAGAGTGACTGGCGCAATGTCCTTGGACGCTTCCCTACACTGCCCACGGCTCTGCAAAACACCTCGACATCCTCGCTGGGATATGAGGCTGAGGTCCCTTATGATGATCCATCCCGCGGGTCGACTCCATCGGATGAAGGACTCTACCTACCGGATGGTGCTCTGGCCATGCTGCAGCATATCCCATTGGATCGCACACCCGAAACTTGGTCCGAGACGTCGGGGGACGATGAGATGTGGCAGCTTCAACCTGCTCCACAGAGCCGGCCCCGAAGTGCCGATGGAGTCACGCCGGCATCGGACTTGTCGGGTTACAGCTTCAGCGAGCTAAGCATTCCATCACCTGGCGGTTTTTTTGCCTCGTTGGCGCCGCGTGCTCGTCACACATGGTCGATCCCGAATGACAACCTTCCACCGACGTCTGCCGTAGCTGAGGGTTTCTATAACCTTCCGTTTCTCCGAGACCAAGGAGAAGTAGTTGAGCAGGTCATTGAATGGCCTGACCGTGTACAAGAGGATGATCCTGATACTGCGATCCGCGACGAGGATGGCCCGCCTACTGCCATTCGACTGCCATGTGACACGCCTACTCGACCTCTCACACGGCAAGGCACCCACAGCCCTGTGAGTGCAACCTTCGAGGCCGTCCAGGAGATCACCCAACCCGGTAACGTGTACGAGTATGACGAGCTCTATGACAATGAGCTGCAAGTGCGTGCTGCAGCAAGTCTCGACAGAACCAGTGTATGGCTCACAGCGCAGGCAACCTACCTATCCGCTCTGAATGAGACCAATCCCATCAACGAGATTGATTCAAAGGCAAACTCTAATGTTGGAGACAAGTCACCTGATCAAGAAGAAGACATCGATGCAGCGCCAAAGAAGGCCGTTCGGTTTGCCGAAGGTGTTCCCGAATCGCTCAGCCCTCGTCCACCCGTGTTCGCCAGCAGGGACTCTATCTACTGGCGAGGGTTCCAGTCCATTCGACAGCGCTCAAACACAGCCGACGGCTTCCTTCACCGCAACATGCGCTTCGATGCGATTCAGTCCTTCCGACTCGGATTGATGGATATGCACCTTAACAGTTTGATGGGTAAATACGAGCTTGTCCTTCCAGAGCGGCCCGCATACAAGGGCCCATTCTCCCAGGCTCCCCGCAACTCGATCATCACCTCTGTGTTGGCTGAGAAAGCACAGTTCTCCAAGCTTGAGAAGGAGCAGCTAGTCCTTGCCCAGCTTTGTCAACCCATGTGGGCCATGGACGCGCTTCGATGCCTAAACGGTGGCAAGTTGCTCACGAGCCCGGTCGAGAAGCGAGCTACTCGAACCCGCAAGACGCCTCAGAGTCAGGATGGACAGAAGCCACGTGCAGTGCGCATTCTCGATCTTGGCGGTCATGCTTCTTGCGAATGGGGCTGGCACGCTGCGCAAGAGTTCCCGCACGCAAAGGTCTACTCTGTCGTCAATCAGACGCAAGCTGTCAACAGCGCTATCAAGGGCCCGCCCAACCACCGCGTGGTCTCGGTTGAACGCCTTTGGGAGCTGCCGTTCGGTAATAACAAGTTTGATGTTATCACCACGCGTTCTTTGCATGCTTTGTTGAAGACTGAATGTCCATCCGGGCTTAATCAGGACGAGTACGACTTGGTTCTGAAGGAGTGTCGCCGGTGCCTCAAGCCCGGTGGATACCTCGAGTTCATGGTGCTAGACGCCGAGATCTCCCGCGCGGGCCCATATGGCTCAGCATCGTCGGTCGAGTTTGCCTACAATCTTCGCACGCGCGGGTACGACCCTGTCGCCTCCAAGAGCTTCCTCGCTCGTCTGCGGCAGGGTGGGTACGTCAACATCAAGCGCGCTTGGATGTTCTTGCCCATGGGCATAGAGCCCATTGAACCTCTACCCCCAAGGGAGACGCCGGCACCACGGGTTCCGAGCCAGATTGAAGAGTACGAAGCCGTGCAGGGACCGATTGGCAGCACGGCCGACATCGCCAGTATCACGGGGATTTTGGGTGGTTGGATGTGGGAGCAGTGGCTGGTCCGCTTGCGGGCTGAGATGGGTCATGACCGAAGCAAGTTGCTTGATGGAGTGGGAGCATTGTTTGATGAGGGGAGAAAGAATGGAGCAGGCTGGACCTGCTTGTCTGGATGGGCGATGAAGCCGAAGCCTGTGAAACAGATGGTTCAGCACCGAAGAACCGTGTCGACCTGAGTTTTCATGCGGAGGTTGATTTTGATATCCATGTTGATAGTCTACCTATATGTGCCCGGGTGGCCAGCCCATTTAATGTAATGCGAGATGAGAGATGCCAACTAAGCTCGTCGTGAAGCTGTAATGATAGCGGCAGCTGCCTGGTATATATCGCAATGTAAGTGTAATCAGTACAACCAGGATATCCTGGCGACAGCAAGTCATCGGGCATTGTGATTAATCACCAATCTGCCCTTCGTTGGAATTTTCAATGAATTCTAGAATTTCTCTTGATTTCGTGACTGTTGGGTGAATGTGATCTCTTGTCTCTTCTCCGCCATCCTGGGTGATCCTCTCACGTGACCATCCTCATCACAGCTCCAGACCTCCACAGCATCGCCCGCTCTGTCACTCGCGAACTTCTGCGGCTTCTAACTGCGACCTCCCATTCTGAACTCAAGCGCGGTAGTCGAACTCAACGCTCCTTCCCACTCCTGCAATCTCCAATCTCTAATCGCCAACCCACCCCCTCCACGCCCTACCCCGCCATCATGCTTTTCTTCAGGTATCGCCGAACTCCATTGCGCCGTCGATCAACCCCGATCAGTACTGATAGCGTGTCTTTTACAGTTTCTTCAAGACCCTTACCAACCAGACGGTTACCATCGAGCTTAAGAATGACATCCGCATCCGTGGAATCCTCAAGTCGGTCGATCAGTACCTGAACATCAAGCTGGATGATATCGAAGTGCTGGACCTCGACAAGTACCCTCACTTGTCCTCCGTTAAGAGCATGTTCATTCGTGGAAGTGTGGTGCGCTATGTCATGCTGCCCCGGTCGGAGGTTGACGTGGGTTTGTTGGAGGATGCTACAAGGCGAGGTGAGTGATGCGCCCCGATCTGCCTCGTTGTAGGAGGGTGGGATGTGCTCTGGGAATTACGTCTTTCTATCAAAGACATTTCCGGATACTTCTTGTCTTCATATTGCGCTAGAATGACCGGATCTTGCTAACCAGCTATATATCATACAGAGGCTGCCAACCAGGTTGGCAAGACCCGGTAAACCATATCCCGATACCATCACCCCACATCGAAAGTCATATATCCATCCTCGTTAATGCCTCGACGTTTTTTTCTCATGTTATGATGTTCCCCCGGAACGAGCCAATACGGGGGCAAATCGCGCGGCTTGAAATGTACAAAAAGCTAGCGCAATGGTGGGAATGCAGAGCAATATTTCCACACGAAGAGAAGAGGTCTCGTCTATGATCTAGCATTGCTCCACCGTAAACGAATGGCGTTTGAAGAGGGAGGCCTCCAATCTAAGCGGCCTTGGCCGTGTGCTGCCAAAAGCGATATCCTGGGACGACGGCCTCAGTCTCCACTAGCATTGTGTTGCTTATTGCGAGTATGCTCAATGCGCTTGCAATCAATCAGATCCATTTTTAGGCTCTGCAGCTTCCTTTTTTCTTTTGTTGCACCTGTAGCTCTGTATGGAATAGATATCCCATTTGACTGTGTAATGTTCACGTGACTTCGTGTCGCGATGCCCGCGCGGTTCGTCTTCGGACGCATCGGGTGGCGCCCCAGCAATCCCTGCTTTCGTGTGGATAATGAACAGCATTCTGTACATATTCATGCAACGGTACTTGTCCATATCATCGCCCACCGTCTCGCACGCCATCATTAGGGCTTCCCTAGAAACCTGACCCCGATCCCCTCAGCCTACCCACCTTCGCCTTGACTCCTCCGCGGGCAATGGCAGGATCGTTTGCTAAGAAGGCGTCCACGCCATCCAAGGGCCCCGCGTCAGCGACCAAATCGTCTTCAGCGAAAGGAAACAGAAGTATTTTGAATTTCTTTCAGAAGACAGACGCACCAGCTGGGGCCACCTCCCGCCAGCCACGCATTACGCAATTCGTTGGATCGTCAAGATCGCCGATTACTGGGCGTAGTACCCCGAAATTGCAGCATGGAAATAGTTTGAAGAGTGATACATCCGAGGGCCTGTTTTTGGAGGACAAGAAGGGATTGGCAAAGGTCGAACGGGAACGGACGGCCGTGACGATCGACTTGACTGAGAGGGCCCGATCACGGACACCGGAAGACATCTGGGGTGAAAGCGAGGATTTCTTGGACCCGGAGGGCTCTCGATACAGTGAGAATGGCCAGTCCGTTAAGCGTCGAAAGGTGGAGTCACCGGATGCTTCAAATGACGATGAAGAAGCAAACGATCCGCCAATGCCAGTCAAACCCGCCCCGGCCAAAAAATCCAACAGTGGACCATTTATCGATGAATCAGACAGCGAAGATGACATGGAAGCATACCGGGAACAAGAAGAGACCTCGCATACGATTGACACGACTAATACCGACCAACGCCCCTCACTTGACGACGAATCGAGTACAAAACCTCTTGCCGCTCAGCGCCCGCTGGCACCACTGGTAAGAGACGCCACGAATGATGCCAATGATGATGAACTCGCGAATTTTGACGATATTGAAGACGGCGATGAGCTTGTAGGGGAGGAGTTTCGAGATGGACCATGGGACGACCAAGAAGATGAAGAAGGACAAAACACCGACTTTGGCATGATGCCTAACGGCCTCAATGATTCAACTTATTTCGATGCCGAGCCCGAGGGAGTCAGCACTTGCCCAATATGTCAGAGAGCGCTGGCAGGCTTCAGCGAGACGGAACTCTCGGTACACGTCAACGATTGTCTGGACGGCAAGTCCTCGGATTCGCCTGCGACTAGTACGATCGACTCGGTACCGATAGTACCGGCATCAGACACTAAGAAAGAAGAGACTTCGGGTAAAGGTTTGACACGCTTTGAACGGGCTGCCATCGCTCGACCTCCGCAGGGCGACCCATACTCCAAAAATACCCCCGGCACGCGATCCGCTTTCTCCAAGATGATGGCTGGAAACGCCGAAGATACAGCCTGGGCAGCTGCCGCCGCAAACGAAGTTTCCTCTCGCGGGAAGCAGGCCTACCAGCGGACTTGTCCGTTCTACAAGATCATGCCGGGTTTCTCGATCTGCGTGGATGCCTTTCGCTACGGGGCGGTTGAGGGATGCAATGCCTATTTCCTCAGCCACTTCCACAGTGATCATTATATTGGACTGACCAAATCCTGGTGTCATGGTCCCATTTATTGTAGTCGGCCAACGGGTAACCTGGTCCGACAGCAACTTCGCGTGGACCCTAAATGGATCGTGGATATTGATTTCGAGACGACGACCGAGGTGCCGGACACGGGGGTGTGCAGGTCACGATGCTACATGCGAACCATTGTCCCGGAAGCTCGTTGTTTCTCTTTGAGAAGAGCTTTGGTAGTGGTCCCAAAGCTCGACGGCAGCGCATTCTTCATTGTGGTGATTTCCGAGCATCCCCAACTCATGTGCAACATCCTCTCCTACGACCTGACCCTATCAACCCGGTCACTGGCCAGCCGCGACAACAACGAATTGATACGTGCTATCTCGATACGACCTATCTCAATCCCAAGTACGCCTTCCCCAGTCAGGAGGATGTGATCACGGCCTGCTCAGAGCTCTGCGTCCGACTCAACGAGGAATCTGGCGTGGGGAGTGAGCTGGGAAAAACGAATGGTGGTAGTCTCATGAACAAGTTTTTCTCCTCTATAACCAAAAGCGATTCAGCCTCGGAGCAGTCATCTTCGAATGGAGGTCGACTATTAGTGGTCATTGGCACGTACAGTATCGGTAAAGAGCGAATTTGCATGGGCATCGCGCGAGCACTGGGATCAAAGATATTCGCGAACCCTCAAAAACAGCGCATCTGTGCCTGTTTAGAGGACCCCGAGCTATCGGCCCTGCTCACGACCGATCCCTGGGAGGCACAAGTCCATATGCAAACACTGTTTGAGATCCGGGCCGATACTCTGGCCGATTATCTGGACACCTTGAAACCCCATTTCTCCCGAGTGGTTGGCTTCCGACCCACTGGCTGGTCGTACCGACCACCTGCCGGACGCATGCTGGATAATCCCCCAGTGCCGACAGTGCTGCGTGGCGAACACTGGAGGACTCCGTTTACGGCGCAACATTTGATCCCACAGCGCGGAAGCACGCGGGAGAGTGCCTGTTTCGGAGTGCCCTATAGTGAGCATAGCTCGTTTCGCGAGTTGACGATGTTTTGCTGTGCGCTGCGGATTGGCCGGGTCATTCCCACGGTGAATGTTGGAAGTCAGAAGAGTCGGGATCAGATGAAGGCGTGGATTGAGCGGTGGGAGGGTGAGAAGAAGCGGAATGGGCTGTTTCCTGCGGCAGAGTGGTAGAGCATCGGGTCGATGTGTGGTCTTACAAGCGTTGCATAGCATATTAGCATATTGTGTATACATGATAGCATCTTCCGTGCCTAGAGAGGGCATAATGAGCATCTGCATGGTTATTCGAGTGTTTGCGATTCTGTGTAACAATTGCAATGATATGTAGGTCATTGTCCTGCTGTTGTACAACAGTTACTATGAGTCGGAAATTATCTCCTTTATCCTATGAAATCTCTATTCTCACTCTTCTTATTCTCTGTAGAACATTAGATCATTCCTTGCAGACGTCCATCACGTGGTATTCTTCTTCCCCCCACACTTCTTCTTCTCCCAACTCCAATCTTCCTTCATCTCAACTCCCCAGGAGGATCCCCAGAGTTTCCAAGACTCTACCCTATTGGCCCTCTGGCCTTCGATCGAATCAAATCCCAGCAATCATGTCTAAATCAGCCGGGGGCGATCGTGGTTTGCCTCTTTACCAATGGCAGCTCGCCAATTACTCGCCGCCCTGGGAGGAATAACCGAATAAGCGGTGGTTCGGACGCCAGCAACGGCACTACTCGCTCCACGGCTCCACTCGCGGCGTATCCCCAGATACCGATTTACACTCCCGTCGACCGGTTAGACCTCGGGGATCATGATGCGGTACTCTTCACCACTTGGAACTGCATATATAACACTCCATCCCCAACGCTGTCTTTCAGATCATGGACTGACATCTTTCTCTCTCTTCATCCAGTCTCGAGTATTTTCGACAACTTATCTTCACGATATTGGGACGAGACTGCATCGACAATATTTTGTTCTTTCTGCTGGTCCCCTCCCCGTCATCGCTCCCCGCCTTTTGAGTGATCGACGCCGCACTTTTCCTAGGTTTTCCCTATATTCCTGGCTGCATTGCTTAGCTTGCATCCCCCGCATATATCGTCGCCATGCTATTCTCTACGGAAAATTTGCCTTTTATCCTCGGAGGCCTCATGGTCGCCTATTTCCTGGTCCCTTACTTCCAGCGGTCGCGTCTGCGGGATATCCCAGCTCCTAGCTTTGCCGCCTTCTCCAACTTTTGGCTGCTGATCCAGGCCCGCCAGGGTAAGCGCTACTTGTCCGTCGATGCCGCTCACAAGAAGTATGGCAAGCTGGTGCGCATTGCTCCTCGTCATGTCTCGATTGCCGACGATGAGGCAATTACTAGCGTCTACGGACACGGCAATGGTTTCTTGAAGGCGTATGTACAATTCTCCATGGTGGTATCAGGTGGATATTACAGTTATGCTAAATGATATCTTATCAGTGACTTCTACGATGCTTTCGTCTCTATCCGGCGTGGTCTTTTCAACACTCGCGACCGTGCCGAGCACACTCGCAAGCGCAAGACTGTCTCGCACACTTTCAGTGCCAAGTCCATCGGCCAGTTCGAGCAGTACATTCACGGCAACATTGAGATGTTCGTCAAGCAGTGGCGAAAGATGGCCGACCTCCAGGCCAACCCCAAGACTGGCTATGCCAGCCTGGACGCTCTCAACTGGTTCAACTTCCTGGCTTTCGATATCATCGGTGATTTGGCCTTTGGTGCTCCGTTCGGCATGCTCGAGAAGGGTGAGGACATTGCTGAGATGCGCATGCACCCCAACGACCCGCCCAAGTATGTCCAGGCTGTCGAGGTCCTTAACCGCCGTGGTGAAGTCTCTGCTACCCTGGGCTGCATGCCTTCTCTCATTCCCTTCGCCAAGTACATCCCCGACAAGTTCTTCACCGAGGGTATGCAGGCTGTTCAGAACCTGGCTGGTATTGCTATCGCCCGTGTCAACGAGCGTGTCAAGCCCGAGGTCATGGCCAACAACACCCGTGTCGATCTCCTTGCCCGTCTGATGGAAGGCAAGGACCAGAATGGCAATACTCTCGGCCGCGAGGAACTGACCGCTGAAGCCCTCACCCAACTCATTGCCGGATCCGATACTACTTCCAACACTGCCTGTGCCATCCTGTACTGGTGCCAGCGCACCCCCGGCGTCATCGAGAAGCTGCACAAGGCTCTGGACGAGGCCATCCCCCGCGACATCGACGTTCCCACTCACGCCATGGTCAAGGACATCGAGTACCTCCAATGGGTCATCTGGGAAACCATGCGTATCCACTCTACCTCCGCCATGGGTCTTCCCCGTGAGATCCCCGCTGGTGCCGACCCCGTCGTCATCTCCGGCCACACCTTCGGGCCCGGTGACATCCTCTCAGTTCCTAGCTACACCATCCACCGCTCCAAGGCCATCTGGGGTCCCGACGCTGAGCAATTCGTGCCCGAGCGCTGGAGCCCCAAGCGCCTTACTCCCCGTCAAAAGGCTGCCTTCATCCCCTTCAGCCACGGCCCCCGTGCTTGTGTTGGTCGCAACGTTGCGGAGATGGAACTTCTCGTCATGGGCGCTACTGTCTTCCGCCTCTTCGAGTTCCAGATCGAGCAGGATCATCCTATGGAGACTCGTGAGGGTTTCCTGCGCAAGCCTCTTGCTCTGCAGGTTGGTATGCGTCGTCGCAACCCTGCGTGAATATAAGCGGTGTTTTTGAAAATGCTTTGTGGTGACGTGGGAGGATGATTGGTTGGAACCTGGGGTCGATTGATCATTTGGAGATCGGGAAATCATCTTATGTCCGAGACGTGACAAGTCCTATGATGAATAGCCATGTTTGTATTTCCTTCTTCTTTCTCAATTTCTTTTTCTTTTTGTTTCGTGCGAATAATTGCTTCGATCTGGCATTGGTTGAGATTGAGGCAAATTGACTATGTATATATCATGCATCCGGAATGTTTCTGGGAAATTCCATATTTTCTTTCTGTTCAAATGTTGCTGCGCCCATCTACCTAAACGGTTCTATCTAAAATCTCGACCGCCCATCTTAACCTTGTGGGTGCTATCTTGATCATTAGGCCAGTCTACAATAATAGCTCCAGCATGGTAGCATATCAAACTTTACTAGGAAGATATTGATGATTAAAAAGTTGAATTGATGGGTGGGTATTAAACTTGTTATGAATATTAAGATACCCCCGCAAAACCAAAAAGAGCAGAGATCAGTCATTTAATCATCATCTCATTGCAAGCATGCATTAAAAAATGACCAAATAAGAGCATCGATCCATCGCGTTGTGCATGTACAAACTCGCAATGCCTCTCTGACCTCTGCATCTGATACGATGAATTGAATCCCAAACCCAATGTTCAGGATTTTCCCAAAAAGCCAAGTCAGATTAAGATCGCATTTACGACCACGTCTTGGGTCCGAAGGTCTGGCCCTCGGGCAAAACGATCTGGATGGCGCTATCGGACGCATCCATGGTGTTCTGGGCGATATCAGTACCCCACCATGAGGGGAAGTCGGTGCTGGTGAGGTTGAGGGTGAGGAAGATGAGGATGGTGCACAGGGCGAGGCCGACGTCCAGACCAGCTGAGAGAATGTAGTTGTACTGCATCCACCAGCCGCGGAAGCGGTCACGGATGAGCTTGTTGAAGACGAAACCCACGATACCCCAGCTGAGGTAGTTCAGCGGGGTCGCGGGGGGAATGAGACCGGCTCCGCTGAAGATCAGGGGCGCGGAGAGGTAGCGGATGGGGGAGCGGGGGAGGGCGCGGGCACCGAAGTAGATGGCGACCGGGAGGACGGCACCGGCGATCCAGAAGAACATGAGGGGGGAGTAGAGCTGGCCAACGGAGAAGATGCGGGCGGGACCGATCACACCCCAGATGACGGAGGCGTTGAAGAACACACGGCCGTTGGGGCAGGTGTAGTGGTTGGGCTGCTTCTTGTCGCAGACGTCCTTGATGGCGCCCAGAGCCCAGTTCATTGTGGCGATCTGCACCAGTGAGGACCAGACACCAGCGACCATCTGGGCGGAGAAGGTAACGCGAGGAGGAATCTTCATGTAATGACCTGGGAAGGGAAAAGGGAGAAAATTAGCGAGCTGCATTGGAGAACAGGTAAAGGGGAAGGATGTTAAACATACCAAGCTTGAGATCCTGAGTGAAGTACATTCCCTGGTACATGCTCATGTATCCATAGGTCTTGAACAGCATCATAGCCATGGGCCTGCCAGGCTGCATATAACCGATGATAAACTCAGTCAACACGTTGAGACCGATATCGATGTTGGTAGAGGCCTTGACGATTCCGAGAGGCACAAACCAGAGAACCGCAATGATCAGGGAAATGAAGAACGCCCACCAGCTCAGATGGGTAGGGTAACCCTGGGTCACACCCAGCGCCATACCGATCATGATCAAGGTGACGACGCCGTACCACCAGACAGGAACGGTCTTGAATCGGGACATGAGGCGGCTGTGGACGTCCTCATCTTCCGTGCCATTAACGGCGCGGAATCGAGCCCAGAGATCGGGACCGTGGAAGAGAATGGTGTGCAGGATAACGGCAATGATACCAGCGAAGGACAGACCATAGCTCAGGGTGAAAGTGGTGGACAAGAAGAGCGGGGAGTACTTCTTGTACTTCTCGGCGTCAAAAGTGAACTCGGGGGTCAAAATTTTGGCGACTTGATAGCTGTTTCCGGTGTTGTCGTAGCTGCCCGAGTCACTGATAGGCAGGTACTTGAAGTAGAACAGGCCGGAGTAGTGAATAGCAGGGGTGACGATCCAGAACCAGAGAACCATACCAATCAGGGTGTTGGCCATAGCGTACCAAGGGGCAATCAGGGGACTGAAGTTGAAACCGGAGATCTGAGTCCAATCAAAGGTCATCGGGATCAACGACAGGCCGGTCCAGCCACCAAAGAGCTGGTTGACAATGACATTCTGGGGCTTGATCCAAGTCACCCAGGCGAACACACTCAGGAAGGGAGCAATGTATCCGGGGAACCAGTACCAGCAGAACGAGCCGATCATGGTGTACAGGAACAGACGATACCGACCAATCTTCCAACCGCTGACCTTGCGGGGGTCGGGCTTGGTGCGGTCATGAAGAGCCGAGAAGAGGGCGGTGTTGATAAGGGTGGAAGGCCAGATCATGGCCGCGGGCTGGACCAGGAACTTGGTGAAGAAACCGGCCAGACCGAATCCCAGCATCTGGGTCGAGATACACATGAAGATCTCGAAAGCCCAACCAAACTTCTGCTTATAGAAGGCACGCTGGGCCAAGAGAACATCCGTAGCATAGGCGGCGCCACCACCGAAAGTGGCGTTCGCCATGATGACCACTAGCGCGTGCTCCTTCTTGCTGAAGACTCCGGGGTTCAGGCTGACCTCGCGACCAAAGAACTTGAACTTCTTGTTTGGCATGAACTTCTCCCAAGCCTTACCGACGGGGTATGCGACGACCTGGGCGATGTAGGAGGGAATGACAATGTAAGGCTGGCGCATGGAGAACAGCATGTTCAGAGCGGAACCAATCGTCGCAAAGAGCAAACCGATCACCCAAGCACGAAGGGTGTTGCTGTGGCCTCCCTCGTCGATGTTGGGGACGGCAGCGCGCACTTCGGGGTAGATGGAGTTGTCCAACAGCTCATGAGCAATGCCAACTTGCGCACTCTTGTCGGAGGTGTGCAGGGCCTCGTCCAGCTCCTCGACGACATCCTGAGGCAAGTTGGGGTCCCAGTGATGATGATCCTTCAAGTGGCGCAACTTGTTGATCATATCATTGGGTGCGGTCTCGTCGACCTCGGCGCCGGTGGTGACGGCGATGCTTGGATCGGTCTTCTCCATGGCGGGCGGGTCACAGATCGTAGATCGAAACCGGGACCAAAGAGACTCTACCGAGCAACCAGATGCAGGAGAAGGAAGAATGAAAGAGAAGAGAGAAGGGGGGAGAAACCAGGTGATTTTAGACTTGCTTTAAAGCAAGCGCGATGCTCTCAGTTGACAGCTCACTCGACTCCGACGGGATTCCGCCTTATCGCCCCCCATAAACGAGGTAAAGGGTATCTGAGACCAACTTGGGGATGGATGTAACCCCAATGGCGCCAGTCAGGATAAGCGCACCGACGACGAGGTCAAGCGAGGATGTGATAGGAGGAAAGTCGAGGAGAAGTGGGGGTGAGCACAGGCAAAACAGACGAAAACTGGGGGGGCCGGACCAAGTGGGAGACTAAAAGAGACTAAAAGACTAAACACACCACGAGGGAGGCGATTGTTCGGCGAATCTGTGAGTGATCCGATTGTGTAAAAAAAGAGTCCTACTCAGTGATAATCAGTTTTAGTCAGTGACCGATCAGCAGTGAGGATCTGGAGACTTGTTAGTGAGACAAGAGACTTGAGACTTGAATATCGCTGGGGCTCAGCCAGTTTGGACCTGATGGAAATGGCCAATTCGGTACTTCGAGAACAGAAGAAGCTGCAAGAAGTTAATCACTGAATAGACGAAAATCAAAAATAAAAAAAAACCAGAATAATAGAATTAGGAAGGTCAAAGAAGGAATTAAGCAGTATCGAACCCGAACGAGTCAAGCGGATCCAATCGAAGCCCAGTGGTGTCCTGCTGGAAGTATGCAAGATGGCCAATTTATCCCATTTAGGCCAATCATGTCAGTGGTACAAGGAGTCAAGCCACCCAATGTAGCCTCAGGGCCGGGCTCCCGGGCCATCAACCTGTCAATCTGCTCTTTGTTTGTTGTCTCTTTTCTTTTCTTTTTGTGTTTGATTTGACTTCTGGACCAGTCAGAGCCTCGCGATGCACTCTGGCAACCCCCGCCCCCCCTCGCCCTTGGATATCCCTCCCGGAGTGCAGCTATCACGGGCCTTGTACGGAGTACTGACCCATTCCTGTCCAGCTGGTGGCGGCGGAGGAGGTTACCTTTCCGCTTCGATTCCCCTAATTCAGCATGCCAAGACCTTTAGGCTGAAGACCTGGGTGGCTTGATTGATCAGTGAGCATGCGACTATGTGACCTAGCACGAATGCAGCATTGAAATGTCGCCCACACGGCAAACGGGATAGCCACCATGGCGCCTTCACGGCACACGATAATGTTCGTCGGCAAAGCCGAAGACCATGATCTTCCACTTTTATCCCTTAATAACGAGGAACCCTTGGAAGGGCAGGAGGGACTCGGGAGAGAAGGGCCCAAGGAAATCCCGGGCGGAGATTGGGGGAAACAAGCGAGTTGCATTGATAACGTGCTGGTTGGTTCTCATTTGGCTAAGGTCCACCTGTTCCACTCTCCGCCAACGGGAATCCGCCATGCCGCGAGCTTGTTAGCGATAAGCCGGTTGCAGTTTGGCTGGGCGAGTCTTGGGAGCCTTGGGAGGACGGGCGTCCCCAGAGAGTTAGCGTGGAATGGTTCCACAGGGAGGTCGGCCCCTAGCGCCGCCCTTATCCTGTTAGTGGTAGTGCTAATAGGCTTGGGGGCTGATCTGGTTGGACAGCCCAGTTTATCCAGCACGCCACTGGCCGGCGAGGATGCCCCCCTGGGCGAAAAGGCGTTCTGGTCCCGCGTGCCACGTTCATTTGGCTGTCCGCACCTCCGTCGGGAATAATCAGGAATGTGGTTTATGTGCGAGGTATGCGACCGAAGGATAGATACAGCCGAGGCTGTAGTAGTAAATGTCGGAAGAGTGGGGAGCCCGGCACTGAGCCTCGAGTAATACCATTGCTCCGATAACAGTGATCAACGACGGGATGATGAGATATCAGGCAATTAGGATAAGCATCTGGCGGTCTTGGCTTTCTTCTGGGTATCGAACGGCCGTAGAAGGTATGGTAGTATTGTGCTTATTCGATGAGTGGCGGGTGCAGCTTCATGCAGGATCCGGGGATTCTACCCTGGGAGCAGGATCATCTCGTGTTGCTTTCATCCCTGCTGATCGTTACCTCAAACATCACTCAGTAGTGAGCCAGGACGAGGGGGTCTGGGGCCTGCCCTATGAACCTTTGGATTCCCCCGATGGGACAAAACACACGATCGACCCGCACCGGTGAAATGCGGGGAAATAGAATTGTTGAAACTGTAAACCAGGTATACCCCGGCTGGCGTCGGCCATGACTTGCAGTTAGATGAAGGCTGATAATTAGTTTGAGAAATCCAGTCATGCGACTCGGTTAAATCATGCAGGTAGGGCGTAGTGTAAGACTTTCGGAGGGCGAAACAGAGGACGGGATCACGGGACTCTGATTGGCCGGTCACTTCATCTGCAGTCAACAGTCAGATATTCAAATACTCTCATGCTTAAATCAACCAGAATGGCAACGAATTGATCAATTGGCAAACACCGACAAAAATCTCAGAGGAGCTGCCGTCTCCTTAAGAATAATCTACACGAGGTCATAATAAAGTGACTCATGCTCGTATTTGGCCCATACCAAGACCGCATGCCATTGGCGGAGATTTTTGTCGCATACACACAATAACAATAGCTGTCTTTGTTTACGAGGTCCGCTATATCACACCTAGCTTGGCGAGATAATTAGCTATCCAAGTCTTCTATAGCTGTACTTTTGACTGATCAGCCTGGCTCGATGGCTCTAGAAGGGAACTGCTCAAACGACGATACTAGCTGGACAACACACCCTTAGTCTGATTTAGCGTAGTAATCGTATTACTGTCTTCTATTTAGAATGTCATTATAGTTACTCATAAGTCTGAATTTAGAAACTAGAGAAATGGGCCAACTAGATATGCTTCAATCACTCTTTCTTGAAAGGTCTTTCTAAATGTCCTTCGAATCATCTGTCTTGATAGCACAGATACCGTTTAACTAGTAATACCATTACAACGAGTTTATCGTCGTTTTAGAATTTGCCCTCTAGAAAACCACCTCAAACTTCGACGCTTACCCTCTTACCCCAATAGTCATAGCCGGCCCTAAGGTGGCGGATAACGGGGGGATCTGAGACACTGCGACCCTGACGGGGTAATTCGTCCGATAGCGACTAGCTCAGTAGGATGACCTGCTGGTTATTCCCCGACCGTCAGCCCCTTGAATCACGATTCGTGTGATCGATCCTATTATCATGCAGGGTCCCAAACCCCTCGGTGTTGGGCGCTTTATCTAAACAAATCTAGAAGGTGGCCGGCTATTCGAGGCTATTTACCGTATCTCCAGACCCAATAATGCACGTTCCCTTTCTGGTTCATTTCATATCGGTCGTATCGGCAATGCCAAGTCGCGTATCCATGAAGGATGGCACATGAACTAGCAAGGGACTATACAGGGTAGTAGAGTCGATCCGGAAGCCCGTACCGGAGACCGGCTCCTCCTAGAAGCTCGAAGACTGGGTCCGTCAGGGCATGGCCGGTGTAGTGAATAATGTGAGAAAGATACTGATATAGAATTTCTCGCCAGTTGATTCTTCCTAATCTGCTGCTTTGTTCAAAGAAGATTGTTCGTGGATGGCCATGTCGACGGCGTCGGATCCAGCGAAAACAGCGCCTCATCGCCGAGCGCCCATTCGAAATCAGCGAGAAACAGCTCATCGAGGTGAAACGCGCTCTGGTCAGTGATCACGCCAGATGGCGCCGCCACTCCGCCAGCAGGATTTGGGTTAGGATCTGATCCACCACCTACGCCTCCATCAGCAGCAGGAAGGTACCGTGAACGAGAATACACTATACCGTTAGAAGGCTCCACGACCGACCGTACGGCCCGCGACTGGGGATCAAATTCATCCCGCCACCACCAAACAGCGTCGAGAATCGGACTCAGAACGAGGCGACCGCGGATACGCAGGGCTAGATAGTCTGACCCGTCAGCTCGGCGAAAGGCTTTGTTGCTATTCCAGATCGAGCTAAGAATCATGACCGTTTTGGCGGCTATATCGGCACCGTCGGTGGAAATCTGCTTGGCCAGGTTGATGGCGGTGAAAAGGGAAGCTCGCGCGCGACCGGTTTCCAGGCCTTGGGAGGCGACACTGCTTTTCAGGATTCGTAGCAAGCTCGAGGCAGCCAAGAGGAGTGCGAAGCTAATATGGAAAGGGGCCATTGACAGAAAACCAAATCGATCGGAAAGAACTTGAACATAGTCAATCAAGCTGCACGCGGTGACAAGAATCCGCGGATAGCACCCGCTGGAGACAAGCGTTTGGCTCTTGAAGAAATGAAAGCTTTGAACAGCCATCCGGCAGAGACCGGTGTCAAATCTCTCGTCATCTAGGAGGAAACGATTAGGACCGTACCGGACCAGAGGAACAAGAGAAATAGCATACCTGTCACTGCCCGTAGTTCGAGGTCGTCTACCTGGCCTTCGTAAGTGCGAAGTATGATATCCAATGCCCGCTCTTGGTCGAGCGACATGGACCGTAGGCCATTTTCAGTGACTGCCTCGCTACATTTGGCAATGACTTCTTGACAACGAAGTTTCAGCGCCATCCACGGCGCAATTTTGTCCATTAGTACCTGCCGATGCGTAGGATCTTGACCATGGTTCATCAGAGCCCGAGGCAGCTGCCCCTTCAGCACGCAGACCCTATCAACAGCATTAGTACACATTGAGAGCAGAGTTCTACAGTCGTCATTTGCCGGCCTGCCTTTGATACATGATAACTGTGTGTGCCCACAGCTCCGAGCGGCGGAGTAGATCGGCTTCGGATGGCGCTGGGATTTTGACTCGTGAGAACTCGTGACTCGACATCGGGATGTGAAGGCCATTTTGCATGGACATATGAAGCATAATTCCACATAATGGGAACGCCACGTCCGGATGGTCACCTTTGGGGAACGGCCATGTCAGGAGAAGCAGGAGTGCTTGAATGGTGTGCCACGGCGGCGAGACGGACAAAGCTGAGAGGAAGGCCATTTCCAAGACACTTCGGGCCAATGCCGTCAACAATGTAGGATTTCGAGAGTATGAGCGACATGCTGCTCCAATGATCGTCCAGAATAGGAATGGCGATTCTGCATAGTACGAATTAGGTGAGGTCTGGGGATCCAAGATGGGAAGGAATTGAGAGTAGTGCTGGAAGAATCTTGGATCATCAAGTCAGCAAGGATATATAACCCACCACAGAACACGAAACACAAAACAAGCGGAGCACAAGATTCATCTCACATTTGAAAAAGATCATCAATTTCCCCTGCTTGCACATGTACTCCATTCAAGCTCCGGGACCTGGTCGTGCCACCGTTGTCCACTGCCGGGGCCGGTACCGGGGTCGCATGTGTGAGGCCATTTGGAGCCAGCAAGCGCGGCGAGTACGAATCGTGTGGGGCATTCGAAGACACAGAAGCCGAGTTACTTCCTAGTCTTGGATGCGCGCCCATCTCCGCTGCCGCTGTCAAGAGGGCGATCGGCGATGGGTGAGGACTGAGATCTGCTGGTTGCGATGCCCGAAGCTTGCGTCGCAGATCTTCCGATTCCCGTTCCAGCTCAGAGAGCCTCCTAAGTAGGGATATTCGTCAAAATTGTTTCTTTGGAATCGTGTTTAATCTTGTTCATCTTGGCTGGTTGCACGCTGGATACGTACTTGCGCTTGTGCTCTCTCTTGAAGGGATCCGAGATGATACAGTTCGCCCCGACTTTGCGGCATCTTGTACAGGGTTGATCTGGGTCCAGATAGACGTCACATTTTGCCTGTTACTTGTCAGAATGCCCACAGACGTTTTAAATAGGGATCAGAGTCAGCCACCTTCTGCTGGCGGCACTCAGTGCACGCCTTCTTTCCTTTTCTCAACGGTCTGCGGGAAGGCATGTTAGCATGTTCGCGCGATGGGAAAGCCTCCCGGGGATGATTCTTACGTCTCCATGAACAGGGACAAGGTGTCAAGAAAAGTGAGTAGTATCTAGGAAAGCGAAACCGGCTTGGCTCTGGAGGGACTGAGGGATATCGCGGTGGACGTGGTGAAGATGCTCAGGGTTGGGGTCTTTTGCCGGTGCCGGCATTCGGCCAAGGCGGAGAGTCCCGGAACCGGCATCGTCAGTGCAGATCGACCGGCAGTACTGAAACTATATAAGAGAGACATGGCTCACTATATAAAGAGGAAGAAACAAAGAGTCATGAATTGCAGAGATAGGTGGTCTGCACAGCTAGATAGAAAGATCTCAATACAAAGAAAAATACCATGACCAGCCTGAATAACCATACCAAACCAAGATTACGTGGCCCTGGTACTTCCGACAACCCGGTATAGAACATCCTTAACATCCCCACAATTTGCGATTCCTTCCCCGTAAAGCACTTGCACCGAGGATGTTTGTCCTACCACTGGGGCCACCGACATACACAAGGGTGCATCGGTCCCTGGTCGACTGTACACAGCAGAATCGTATGTTGCCGACCTGGCAGAGTGCCTCAAAACGGCTCCTGCACCCAACCATCGTGTAACGTGTCGCCAGTGACGTGGCTCTTTCCCCTCTGGTTTGATCTAACCTTGGATCAGTAATGCATCTATCCGTGCGATGGTCCCAAAATGGTACTTTCAGTCCGGTCAATCTGAAGCTTTGCCTCGGTCTAAACATCGTCACAGGATAGAGGATGTGTTTGCTGTCATTATCAAAGAGTTCACGGCTAGCTGCATCATAGCCCAATAGGAAAGTCTACCCTGATTGGATGAGAAATCATAATTTGATGGATATCGGCTATCTCCTTGAGCTCTTCTACTAGAACGACAGTAGCCTATATGACGAGCCAAGAACCGGGATGAACCCTCACATCGAGTCATAGCTCCCCATGTTGCAGGCATTCTCACGTTATCCCGCTCGAGGAACTTGTATATGCTCTGTAGTTTATCATATTGTACGTATGACCAAGCTTGTAGTAGAAACTCCTTACCCTTAGGTTCGAGCTCGTGGATGTGACGAGCATACATAGAATAGAACACTGCAAGACAGAATAGCATAGAATACACGTCGAAGGGTCATAAGCCGAAGCCCTAATCTCTACCGGTCATAAAAATAAAGTTGACATATTTAATGTGAAATGACTCAAAGATTGATCCTAGAGACACTGGAACCAACATACTGTTCCCAGTCCAGTGTCGCGAGATTATAGTACCGGGGCACTCGAATGCCAAATCACTGTATCCATTCTCTCCTTACTTCGATCCATGGATTCTGGAACGCCCTTTTATCAGTGCAGCCGCCCAGTATTCGACAAGTGTTCAACTCCGCAATGTCGCGATTCAGGCTAAAAGAGTGGCAGCGCCACCACGAGGCAACATAGGGATGTTTTCAAGGTGACATCACTCGCCCCTACACGTTATATATTCAAAGTAGAGAACATTCGCCAACAGTAGCTCTTTAGAGAGAAGCGACTCTTGCCAACCCATGCTATCGATCATGAATCTCGATCTTCCTACCGTTGCCGAACTCAAGCAAGCCGCCGAGTCAGGGCAGCGTATTACTGCGCAAGATGTTTCGGCAATCTCGCAGGTTGAGAACCGGTTAACTGGACGCGGGCCGGTCCGGGGTGGACCAGCAGGTGTGTGTTTCTTGATATTTGCTGAGATGTTTTCTCCTGGATGGGTGCTGATTGAGAAACTAGCGACGGCACAGAGTATCGCTATGAAGCAGATGAACTTTGATAGTACAATCGAGGAAGTATCCCGCAAGCCACAGAGCCTCATTACCCAGGATGACGCCCGAGTTGTCCAATCAACAGAGGTATGCAGGAGAAATCCGACAACAAAATCTCACAACACCAAGAGATGATGCTAATGAAATTTCTCAATCAAGGGCCGCGCCTTCAACAAACCACCAGGCATCGGATCAATTTCTGCACAAGTGCGCTCCATTGCCAATCGCAACGATTACTATAACGTTCCCGCGGTTCCAACCGAGGCACCGGCGTATATAACCAAGGAGGATGCTCGGGAGGCGCAGCTGGTAGAGAGTATGTATTATGGAGGACAGATTCCCAGCTACAGTACGGCTGCAAATATGCAGGTCAGTGGAAGATGGGACCTTTTGGACCGACAAGGATCGTATTACTGACGGAGACTGTGCAGAGTGCTGCTGATAAACTTGAGCATCTTCGGCAGACGAGTCCGTAGTCCGTCAATGTACAGTGTTGAATATTCAGGATAAGCAGATACATTTGAATAGCCACATATCATTATAGTTTCGCCCCAATTTCCTATTACTGGTCGAGTATAAGGCCATTTCCCGTAGATAGACATACAAGCGCCCGTCGTAGTAGTTGGCGGGCGCAGCAATTTAGGCTTTGATATTTTTAGAGTGTCAGTTTGACCAGCGAACTACCTAAGCCAAACACATTTGCGACCGTGCATTTTTTGCTTACTTTTACGCCACAAAAGACCAAAAATACTCAAATCACTGGAGACCGTGCTGAACCTACAAAGTCACTCCGCCACATCGCTCCCCAGCCCCAGCCCCCTTCTCTCTCCTGCCAAGGGGCTATATAAGCGCTACAAAGTAAGGTACGAGATAGCGTAGCTAACTGTGGGCCTAGCTAACAGTCGGTTGTTACATACTACAGTACTCCGTACCTTTATCACATCCCTGCTTCCAACGTTCTCGACCGACATTTCGTTCTGGTTAGAACCTTTTCCTTAGCATCTCGACGATCGCCCGCCGTCCCTCTCCGTGGCAACCCCCACTAAGCCTGTCCAGACCCGGGCTCCTGTTGAGCTCCCAAGATCTCACGATTCGACTCATCGACTGCACCTAGACCCGAGGTCGATAATTTGTCACGATGCAGAGCCGAACTGTCTTTACAAATCAAACACCCCTTCCCAGCACAGTCTCCGAAGATGTCGTATTACGAACACTTCGCGACCACGCCGCGATGATCGAGCAGAATCCCCTAGTCATCCACTATGAACAATGTGCTCCCCCGGAAGATGCGCCCGCAGACGAAGCCAACGGAATCTGGTATGAGCTGACGGACCGGATTTCATATCTTCCGTGGGGTCTGCTGCAAGGCAAGGTCCGATATCGAGGATGTTTCCATGATACTCCACAAGGTCTCCGAACACATATTTATGCGCCTATGGGGGTCCATATTCGCAATCATTGGACGGTGCAGCGCAGGCGCAGGGAGACTTATGCAGGCGAAGCTGATCCGTCTGGTGAATTGTATTTGCAGGAGCAGATTGAGCTTCGTTGTCCATTCGGAACGACGAGTTTCGTGCGTCGGACGCTGTCACAGGCGCATCGCGAGTTAGTGGCGCGACTGGGGGAGGCTGGGAGGGGTTGAAACTTGAGAGGATCAGGCTAAAAGGATTTGCTAGTTCTTAGTTGGCCACATGCAGTAACTCCACGGGCCTATGGAAAGATAGAGCAGAGAGAATCTTACTCTCGACTATCTTACTATCTTACATCTCATTTCATAAAGAGGGGCAGACATGGCGGGGCGGGAATTTGTCATGCGCGAATTTGGGACAATTTGGACAATTTGGAATTCTCGACGACAACCAATGATGTCATTCCAAATAGTCCCCAACGGCTCCAATTGGGTTTAGATGGGCTTGGAATGACTTCCATGGCTTGAAATGATTCGCATGGTTGCTGCGAGTCCGGAGGATCCTCGCGCAGAAAATCTGCAGTCGACACAGGAATTGGGGCTTTTCATTCATCCCACTAGTCCATGAAGCAAGCCCCGCTTACCCAGGATTGAATCCAAATCATAGGCCAAATAGGCCACGAGAAGGAAGAGGATGGACGGTTAACGAAGACTCAACGGATCGGATGTGGTCGAAGGAGTTGGAATTGTAAGAGCTAGTAAGGTTCATAGATGCAAGTCTGGATCATCATTACATCTGTCTGACTTCCTAATAATTGTCATCCGAAGTGCCCCTCCAGAACCTTTTAAATACTCCACGCGCTCCCAAGGTTCTTCTTCTTCTTCCCCCAAAGGTCCCCTTCCCAACCTCCATTGAGCACCTTGCGAGAATCAAACCAATCCTACTTCAATTCTAATCCAATCAATTGCAATCATGCCTCTCTCTGGACACTGTCTCTGCAAGGCGGTTACCTACACCGTCGACATCGATGCCCCTCTGCTGACCGGCTATGACCACTGCGATGACTGCCAGCGGCAGAGTGGTTCTACCTACTGTATCTCATCCCCCTTCTTGCTCCCAATTGAGCAACTACTGAATATGGAATAATAGCCCTGGTCGCTGTTGTCCCCAAGGACAAGCTGACCATCAACGGCCCTACCAAGAGCTGGGCTGGCAAGGGCAGTTCCGGTAACGCCGTCCACCGTATCTTCTGCTCCGAGTGTGGCTCGCCCATTGCCCACGACCCCGATGCGGCTCCCGAGATTATCGCTCTGAAGGCTGGTACTTTGGATACTGAGATCAAGAAGACTCTCAAGCCGGTATGCATTGCCGATCCTCGCATAGAGACGGAGACGATCCGCATAGCTTTGGGATGTGGGGCTAATTACCTTTTCCCCCCGCAGGACACCGAAATCTGGACTCAGAGCAAGCTGCCCTTCTGCCAGGAGCACCTCGCCAAGCCCTTCGAGGGTATGCCTCACTAAAGTGTGAATTGAATTATATGTGCTGAGACGATGGACAACTTCGGTCCATTTCATAGGAGGCTCAATTGGCTTACACGGGAGAAATCGAGGGGAAACAATGAAAATGATTACAGGGTGGGGCTTTTGTCGAAGAGGTTTCAGCTTCCTGTTTTTATGATTATGATACATGATATGAGAAATTCAATTGTTCAACAATTTGCTTCATCTTAAGATGCTGTTTGTGGCATTTTAGCGTATGATACTGGAAATAGTAGTACTTAGACTTAATAACCCGAATCCCGCGGTCGAATGTCCGGGAAGAGATGTTGGAGATGGCCTGCATGGTAAACCCCTCCCATGTGGAACAGATCTCGCGGCACATTTTAGGAGTAGAAATCACGAGGTTTCGAACTTGGCAATAGTAACCATGCAACTAGAAAAACAAAAACGAGACTATTGAAGTTTCTATCACCAGCTTGCTACTAGGGATTAGACTACCATAGTTTTGCTATCATGTCTACTGGCACCTTATTTGTACAGGACTCACGCACTGGAGCCAAATACGAGATTCCAATTCGTCGAAATGCTATACGAGCCATCGATCTACAAAGCATCCGAGCGCCTGCGAATGAAGCCGACCGTGCCGACCAGGTATCCCGAGGCCTGCGAGTCTACGACCCAGGCCTTCAGAATACCGCAGTGGTTGAATCTGCCATTAGCTTCTCGTGAGCCCGTTGTAGATAAATGAACCTTGTAACAAGACAATTGACTAGCTTCTAGGGACCATGAGCGTGGCGCTCTGATATTTCGGGGCTATACCTTGAAACAGCTCTGGGCTAAGGACTTTGAGGATATGTTCCATCTGTTACTTTGGGGAAGCCTACCTACGAGTAACCAGAGGAAACAGTTGAGTGAAACGCTGGCTCGATATATGGAAGATGTTCCTCCAATAGTGCACAAAGCTATCCAAATCCTTCCGTACGTAAATCGTACACACCAGTTTATACCATGGTCTTTCTTTGACACCCGGAAATGTAGAAGGACAACTTCTTCTCTTCCACTTCTACTTGCAGGGCTAACTGCATACCTCGCATCGATGCCGGATGTTGTGCTTACATATCATGATGATCTAGAACGAGCTGATCAAATGATATTACAAACTGTCGCCTGCTACGCTGTGGTATTTTCCGCTGCTCGTTGCCATCGATTAGGTATTCCTTGGCAACGCCCGTCTATCAATCGAACCTATTACGAGAACTTGTTCATAATGGCAGGGCTGGTTGAGTCCGACACTAGATCCGACCCCATCAAAGTACACAGTTTCCGTCGCTTTTCTATGCTCAATTCCGACCACGGCATGGCCCTAGTTGTCTTTTCGACTTTAGTAACGGCATCATCGTTGACTGGACCTATACCGTGCCTCATATCGGCTATCACTGCTGCTTATGGCCCACTGCACTTTGGTGCAACCGAGTCTGCTCAAAATGCGCTCCATGAGATTGGCGATCCTGCAAATGTTCCGGCGTTCCTGGAACAGGTCAAGGCTGGGAAACGAAAATTATTCGGATATGGACACCGCGAATACAAGGGGGTTGATCCTCGTGTAGAACCAATCAGGGATATATTGAAAGATCTCGACCCGGACTCTAATCCTCTGTTCAAAATTGCCGAGGCCATTGAATCTGCCGCTACAACGGATGAATACTTTGTGTCTCGTCGCTTGTTCCCGAACGCTGATTTTTACGGGAACTTTGTTTTTACTAGCATGTCTGTAATTACTGCTCCTATGCCTAGCATTGAGAATCGTGGGTGACGATCGATCGATATCTAGTGGATTTGAGCCCGAGATGATTCCAGCAGCCATGCTCGCTCATCGAATCATGGGGATCATGGCACATTGGCGAGAGTATATAGGTATGGACTTGCGAGGGACCCGATATTCGGTGGATTTCTATACTGACAAATTCAGTGACACGCGGAAAGCTTTTTCGACCGACGCATATCTATACGGGAAGTATAATGAGTTCAACAAATCCCGCCGCCAAAATATGATGGTGAAGTAGTGCTGGCCGAAGAAGGAGTGCAAATTTGTTTCGTACAATTATATCAATGCCCTTCAGAAATACACTTTACCAAATGTCTACGCTTCATGAAGGGCTTCGTCCTCCTAGATTTAAACAAGCTCCCAATCAAATCATACTACAGGGCGAGTTTCGAATTAAGATATGAGCGACTCAGAGGTTCAAGAGCCGGTTGAGACAACCCCATTGCTATCTCAGCCGGTGTCACGAAAACCATACTCTATATTCACCAAGGCCCAGAAACACTGGATTATCATGGCTGCTGCTATAGCATCGACTTTCTCCCCTTTATCAGCCAACATTTATTTTCCCGCTCTCAACTCTATCGCTCAAGACTTGAAAGTCAGTCCATCGCAGATGAATTTGACTATCACCACGTACATGGTATGCCGCCTTCATACTCTCTCTATGTAGCGATTCGTGGTCTTTCTGTGTTAGCACCATTATCACAATGGAGACAAGTCTCGAGTTGGAAGTTGATTAAACCTGAAATTCTAGATATGTCAGGGCCTCGCACCTACATTTACGGGTTCTTTAGCTGACCAGGCTGGACGCCGACCGGCATATATTATCTGTTTTGTGGTTTATATCGTGGGAAACATTGCCCTTGCTCTACAGCACTCTTTTTCTACGCTACTTATACTTCGCGCCATTCAGAGCTGTGGTAGTAGTGGCACCGTCGCCCTTGCATCGGCCGTTGCCGCCGATATCATCACATCTGCTGAGCGAGGAACCTATATGGGCCTCACATCTCTAGGAAACATTCTAGCTCCCTCACTAGGCCCTATAGTTGGGGGCTTATTAACTCAATACTTAGGCTGGGAAGCTATATTCTGGTTCTTAGCCATAATAGCCTCCGTATTCTTTGTATTACTACTCCTCTTCTTCCCCGAGACATGTCGTGTTATTGTTGGCGATGGGTCAATTCCACCTTCCGGCTGGAATCGGCCGCTTTGTGATTGTGTCAAGATTTCTCGAGTGTCGACAATTCCTAGCCGGGACAGACACATTACTATTCCTAATCCTCTGCCCTCGCTAAAGCTACTATTTCGACGTCCCGTTGGTATCCTGCTTCTCGGGAACGGTGTCATTTTTGGCAGCTTTTATGCTGTCATGGCTGGAATACCTGCTCAATTCGTCAAGCTTTATCATCTGAACGACTTGCAAGTGGGGCTATGCTATATCCCTGCTGGTCTAGGTTCATTGCTCAGTGCAACTACCAACGGAATCTTAGTGGACTGGAATTATCGCAGGATCTGTACTAGGGCAGGTCTCGCGTTGGAGCAAGAACATAAGCATCAAGTCCTATCCTTTCCCATAGAAAAGGCAAGGCTGCAAATCGGGTTACCTATGATAGTAAGACCATTTCGGCTTCTTCGTCGCGGTATTCTTGACTGACAAGATTCTACCTATCGGCTAGGTGCTCGCAGGAGGCGCTATCGCTGTATATGGGTCGTTCCTCGCCTATGGATTTCCTTTTTGGTCCGTTCTCTTTACGATATTTATCTCGTGCTTCTGTATCACCGGGGCTTATAACATTATGAACGTGCTGATCGTTGAATTGTATTACACGACCCCTGCTACTGCAATGGCAGCAAATAATCTTGTGCGCTGCTTTCTGGGAGCCGGAACGACCGCTGCGGTTAATCCCTTGATCAACATTATCGGAACACAGTGGACGTACTGTGCCGTCTCTGGTGCTCTCGTGGCGGTGACTTCTCTTCTTCTCCTCGTGTATTTCAGGGGCTGGGACTGGCGTCGAGCCCAGGCCGGGTTACCTGTCACCTGTCAGTGATTTTTCCGTCTTACTTCCTGAAAAGGATTGAAAGGGGCTCAAAATATCACCGACTCGTTGTCTCTGCATTTCTTATTACTACGTAGTCCTTTGATATTCTCTAGAGTGTGATTTATCCCTAAACAAAAGCAAAATGTCGTTGTGGAACTTTGCTGCTGACCATTTTCTATCTCTTACTCCTCCCTCTCCACCCCTTATCCCCCTTCATGGCAAGCAGTTGCAAATGCGGTATCCTAATCAGGAGTGGATTTATCCTGGATCAACCATCGACATACGAGGTAAATATTCCTAGTTAGTCTGTTATGTCTTTCCCTTTTTGACACACCTTTAGAAACTGGTCGTCTTCCTGAAATTGGCACCGTGGGCTTGGACTGTAATTCGCGCTACTTGATCGTATCTCTAGACCCAGATGTTGTTCTTCCAGGGACTGGCATTCAAACAATTATTCTGCATTGGTACCAGTCAAATTTCACATTCAGTTGCAACGGTGCGGGAGATTCTGGTGTCCTGAAGCCTGGCGATGATCATGGTGGTGACAAACATGATTCAAATACCGCGCCATACATCCCACCACAGCCACCGGTAGGATCGCACCATCGCTACGTTTTTTTGCTGTTCAATCAGTCGCAGTCTTATGAGTTCCCTGATTGCTTTGAACATATTCCTCCTCAAACAAAGGATGCGCGCAGCGGCTTTGATATTCGGGAATTCATGCTCGTGGCCGAGTTAGATCCGCCTATCGCTATAAATTACTTCTATGGTCGACACACCGCGAGTCATGACGAACATACGTTGCCATCTTCAAGTGTGACACAAACTTCATTCAAATCATTGGATTGTCAGATTGGTCCCACTTCGTAAATACTCGACGCGGGCGGATATTCAGGGATGCAGTATATAAACTGAAAACTGAAATCAAATATGAGACTTTGCGAAGTAACGGGTCTTTGACAAACTATAATAAGGAGAAATTCATTGCGGGTCTATGTGAACTTGGAGTAGAGCGGTTGTCTGGCCCTATAATTAGTATTGCGAGTCACATCCTGTGGCGCTTAGTTTTCATACCCTGTAGTCTGCCATGAAGGCAATCTCCGTCAATACCATTGCCAGTTCAAAGCAAGACTTGGTGCTTTCAATTTCTGCAGCTTGAAAAGCTCAGAATAGATTGAACTAACCTCCCTCCTTCCATTTGAACGTAACTGAAATCCGAAAACCATACTGACGTGTGACCTCCAACAAACCTGAAAGACCATTACAGATCCCCATCGCCTGTAACTCCTCCCGATACTCCTCCGGTGCGGCGAAACACCCAACAAAGACAGGGAAGGTACATATGTAGGACGAAAGTCATTCATCACGGAGGCGAACCTCGGATGTAACTTCATTTGGCTATATACTTCCCCGTGAAGCCGAGAAGTAGGTATAAGCTTTCCTATCGGAGGGCAGCAAGAAAGGTGCCACTTGTTGAGATGATGCTTGATTCCGAGTCTAGATTGATGTGGGTGGTTAGATAAAGTGTTTAGATAAACTGCCCGTGGCACTAGCTGGAAGCAATATCCCGGGGCATCGAGCACATTAGTTGTGAATAACAATTCTATATTTCAAGAAAGACTTCCTACAGCCGGGGTCCAAAATCAAGTTTAATAGATCATCTTAAGCAAACATGGGCCAACTACCTAAGAGTGTTAAGGTTCGATCAACATGCAACGCCTGCCAGCAGGCAAAAATTCGTTGCAGCCATGAGAAGCCCTCTTGTCGTCGATGTCAGAAACACAAAATAGAGTGTATCTATAGTGTTTCCCGACGGCTCGGGCGTCCAGCAAAGAAAAAAGATCAGAAAGTCGCTTCGGAAACTCGAAGTCAAAGTCCCGTTCTCGAGATTACTGATCCTTCGGAATGTGAGAAGAAACCGCGAAAACCCGCCAAGAAAAAGGGTCGTCATGGCGCGAACCCAAATTCGACTTCACGAGCTCGATCGGGCCGGAATGCTGAGAAGGCACCCGATGAAGATCGTCTACAGTCAACTCAGGCGGCTGAAGGCTCGGATGATCAATCAGGTATCAGATATTGACCCCTCCGTCCTCCGAGACAAAAGCTTACCTAGTGAAAAGCACTAGACATCGATTTATCATCTGAGAACTGGATGCAAGAGCTGATTTCAAGTCGCATCAGTAGTACTTTGGACAACGCTGCATCCGAGTATCTCTATGCTGATATTGACATTGAGGCCTCGTTTGATCCACTTCCGGACCTTTTGCCTCATTGCGCTCCACCTGTGGTATATCAGCCATCCGGTGTATATTCATCATCTCAACCCGCAGTTCCAATCCTCTCGTCAGCTTGCATGAACCTAGAGAGAGACTTCAACGCTTCTCGTCATAATTCTAGCCTTGGAGATCTCGCTGACACGCCGGCATTTAAATACACCGGTCCTCATTCATGGATTTACGAAGCGGGGCCTCTAGACTTTCAGTCATTCCAAGACCCATGGGCCTTTGATAGCATTCCATCTACCGATCTTCTGACAGAGCCAACGGATCATTGCTTCAGCTTCCACTCTCCTAGTGGCAGCCATGACAGCGAGGCGTACTCGCCAGACAACCCGGACTTATTTGCAGGATCTGAGGGGTCATCCGACCTGAGCTGTAGCTGCTACAAGCATGTAATGGGTCAGTTGGTCAAATCGGGCCTTAGACCTGGTGCGAACGGTTGCTCGAACATAGATGGCCTGCTGGCTTGTCAAAAAGAGTTGGTAATTCAGACAGAAGCCATCATGCAGTGCAAGGTGTGCTCTCAGTCTGAGAACCAAGCAAACATGCTCATGATTGTTATTGTTGCCATTGATAGTGTTCTCACCATGCTCGATACAGCAGTCACACCATCCAGGGCTGGTTGTTATGATGAAACAATCCAGTCGAGGGAGGCAGGACCGGGCAGGAAACAAAGGGATGTCGGAGCTGGCTTCAAGTCACACATGGATGCATGTCCTTTGCTCGTAGGAGGGTTCCCGGTTCCAGCCGAAGAAAAAGCCTACTTTATCCGACAGGTGCTACAGGCTCGACTAGCGATGCTCCTGTTGGCTGTTCGGAGGATTCGTGTCTGTATGCAGCAAGATCTGACAGCAGCGCTTTCCCGGGGTCGGTTGTTGATGATAATGGAGACGGATCGACGGCTCCAGTTGGTGATGATGAAGATCAAGATAGCCGTTAATTGAAAGTCGTCGGAAAGCTAGTTGAAGAGCTTGGGTGGTAGCATTGCAATAAATCCTTATCGTTCTTCCCTTGGCCTCGATGTTGTATCCTGCGAGTGTTGCCTTTTGTCAGAACCAATCTCTCCTTGAGGTAAGACGAATGTAGATTCAATCCCCGCAGAGTTCCTGTGCAGATCACTAAATGGGCGAATGGTAGCAGCGTTGAAGAGCATGACGAAAGATCCTGGCGTGGATCCGTCTGTTACCTCAACTTAGCAAATTAGTTCCAAGGATGGCACGTCCCAGGGTGTCATGGTGTGACCAACTGTGAACATATTTCTGTGAGGAGCTGTGATCTCATCGTTCTAGGGATGGAGATGAAGCCGCACATATTGGAGAGTGACGTAGGGAAAAGTCTTCCAGCTGAGACTGATCTCTGGAAATGTGTTGCCTGGATAAAGCTTGTCAGACAGGGTCACGGTGTAGAGCAGGCTGCAAAGCTTTTCCCACCGGCAAGCATTGAGTCACTGAGTCTAACAGCTTTCGCCAGCTGCTAAAGTGTAGGCCGGCCCCGGGGCACCATGCTCAATTTGATTCAATCATCAAGTCAATATGAGTTTCGAGAGTTGTTGCCAATGCTCGATAGAAGCATTGAAGATCCTATCCGAGCTTCAGAATGTGCATGCCGTTGTAAATGTTGAAACCATCCTAGACTTGATCCAACGAGTATGCACACAGGGAAGCAACATGGTTCAATGTAAAGATTGCATCAAGTCTCCACAGTCTTCCATCGTGGCTCTCCCTGCCTTATCGAAGAAATGCCTCCCACTTCTTGAGGCGCTATGTTCTGCATACGACATATCCACTCAACCCGGATTCTTCGACTCGGCTATGCTAGCCTTCGAGCAACCACCATTGCCATTCATCTGCATCCGCAGTAAGGTCACTTTGGGCGAGACTGAGCTTGACGAGAGCGAATCCCGATTACTGGTTCGCACGGTTTTGGGACAAAGTTTGGTGAGGCTTGTGCAGCTGATGGAAGGTTTAAAAGGAATATTGCTGGTGATGTCGAAGAGCTCCCACACATCTCACAACAGTCCCTCCACTTTGCGCGCGTGCGAGTTGTCCGTGGACACTACTATCAGCCGATTGGCCGTATTGATGCAAATAATCGAAGGCGATAGTGATAATGTGCCGCTATTGAATTGATTATGCTTGGTGGCAGTGGAGAAGGCTGTCGGCGACACAAATGTTCTGTAACTAAACATGACCGGTTGCGAAAAGCTAAATATGGAGGTGATAATGGATGCATGAAGCAAGACGACAAAATAGAACTTCCCTCAGGAGATGCACCCCATCCTAGTATCCATATCCTGTCTCTTTAGCGTTCGATGAAGTCGAAGCACTACTCTGAAGCCTCAACGCGCTTCAGAAAAGTAGGACACTGCCGTAGCATTCAGGACCAGGTGCGTTCAAAAGTACCGACCCACTGGCCCCAGCCAATGACTTTGCCGACCATGGCGTGCTTGATGTCGTTTTTGGTGACCTTCTCAGGGTGTTGAAATTCAAGATGGGCATTCAACGCGATGATTGTATAGACATAACGGTGGCTACCATGGCCATATGGGGCCCCGGCACCGCCATATGCCGTACCCAATGGGTTTGGAATGAACCGCCAGCCAGCAGCGGTCTGTCGTGACTTTGCAACTCCATCCTTCTCCTTGACATCGGCTGGGGTTGCAGTGTTGGCTGAAGGGGGAATGGCCCAAAAGAGCCCATGGTGGATGACGAGACATGGGATTGGGATATCAATGTCTTCACAGATCAAGAGGTACTCCTTGACATGCTCATTGCATTCCGGGGGCGTCCAGCGCAGATCGGGCAAGCAACCGATGCGGTCTTCCGCTAGACAAGTGTGGTGCTTAAGGAGCTTTGACCCAGAGGGACCACACTCTGTGGCCTCAAGGGATATATTCGGCTTGAGAATGTTCTTGAATGCCGGGTCATGAATGATTTGGCGCGAGTCGTGGCCTCGAATCGGATATAGGAGCCGGCCCAGGGCGAACTGAAGGCAATCGAGAATGACCGGCATATTGAAGTCAGGAACAGAGCAAGTTCATCAAAAGATACTTGAACAGCTTCAACTCAAGGCCACGGTATTTGTGAAAAGAAAGAAGATAATGTTAGCGACGCTTGATTTCGAGGAAAACCCGCTGGTCCTGCTTGAAATGGCTGCAAAGCCTGCAACGGGCCGGGACCGGCAGGCGCGAGTCGCACAGACTGGGCAGCCAAGCCGGGCATTTTTTTTTTCGAGATAATCCATGTTATGCGAGGCATTATTCACTTGTGAAGTCCCCAATCTCTTCAGTTGATACTGAATGGCAGCAGGAGTGCTGGCAGTGGTGATGGACCGCGGTGGTGGTTGTTCAAAGTGTGATGATTTGGAGTATATTCAATTTGGTTGCCATGGTAAAAACGCAATAACCAGGGATGGTCGCAAGGAAACCTCTATTCTCTTTCTCTTTCTCTTTCTCTTTCTCTTTCTCTTTCTCTTTCTCTAAACTGGACCCTGCATGGGTTCAATGTAATAAGATGATATCGGAAGAGGGAAAACTAGGGGAGAGGAGGACAAGAAAAGGGTCAAGTCAGAGATTAATATGCAGGGATTCACATAAGCCAAATTAACATTTAAGCTATTTGATTGGTTCATAATCTTCACTAAAGCGCTCTCCTAAGCATCCACAAAGGCCTTAGTAGCGTTCGAGTTAACTAGCTAGGGACCCTTGCGGGATGGCTTATCTAGACCGTAGGCGAGGACACAACGGAGTAGTAAGGCACGTCAGGATCGCCAATTGAATAATTTGTTTTGATTTGTGAATCGTGATAATGGGCAGCTCAGGTAAGGCCTCAAGTATCTCAACCTCACTCTCATCGTAATATTTAGTGAAATATTTCAACTAATCTGAATGCCATAGATATGTAAATCGAGAAGCTCCAGCGGGTTCCTGTCGGATCTCCACTGATGACCGCATTGTCCCCGCCCCGACCGCCAGTCAGCATTTCTCAGCCCTGCAAGACCCTCTGCAAGAGACTGCAACTTGGTTTCCGCCCGCATCCGGTCGCCCTGGTGGTGTGGGCACCTCTGGTAAATATCATGGCTGGGGAGCTGGGCTCTTCAACTCTTCACCTTCTTCCTCCTTCATGCTTGCGTCGATTCTGGCCGCCTTCACACCTCCTGCGTCCGACGAGGGCGTTGAGCAGCGGCCCCCACGGTATGCGGGCGAAGACACCACCCCGACCAGCCACCGCGAGGTCCTCGGCTGGTATTCATATGGCATTGCAGCGGAGGTATTCGCGGTGTGTGGTGTTGGTAAGTTGACCTCTGGACTGTCCATATTTGCTACGAACGGTATACTAATAGCTCTATCTAGGGTCCTTCCTGCCTTTGACCCTCGAACAGCTTGCTCGCGAGAATGGTACCCTACAAACCAGTCATTTGCCCTGCTGGGGACCCCAGGCACCTGAAAGCAAGGGAGATGAGCAATGTATGGTTGGAGTCTTTGGACTTCACATTACCACAGCCAGCTTCGCGATGTATACCTTTTCGTTGGCGGTGCTGATCCAGGCTCTGACGTTGATTTCGTTCAGCGCCCTGGCTGATTATGGTACGGTCACATAGCTCACGGACCTTAACATTGCACTTTGCGGGGAAAGGTCATGGTCAGCTAATCTCACGGGTCCATCTTCACAGAACGAAACCGCAAAACGTTACTCCTAACCTTCGGCTTCATTGGCTCGGCGACCAGCATGCTGTTTGTCTTCATCGCACCCTCCATCTTCATACTCGGCTCGGTCCTCGTAGTAATCGGAGTCACCTGCCTCGGGTCCTCGTTCGTCGTGCTCAATTCTTTCCTACCAGTACTTGTCGCCAATGATCCGTCCATCCTAGGTTCCCGCCAAGACCGCGGCGAAGAACTGTCGAATCTGGACCGGGACGATGAAACGAACGAGTGGAACTCATGGGATGAAAACGATAGTCTGGATGGCATACATGCTAACAGTCACCCCGCGGACTCTCCGGAAGATGGATTGAAGTCGAAGAGCTCACAGTCTTCCTCGCCGGAGCTGCAATTGTCCACTAAGATCTCGTCCAAGGGAGTGGGCCTGGGATACTTTGCCGCAGTCTTTGTGCAAATTTTGAGTATTATCATGCTCATCACCCTCAGCAAGACCTCTCTCGCCAAGGCATCGGGAACTTGGCCTTTGCGGTTTGTGCTGCTGTTGGTAGGAATCTGGTGGTGTGTATTCACACTCGTCACCCGTCGCTGGCTTCGTGATCGTCCTGGACCTCCGTTGGATTCTTCGTCCACCCCCAGAGCTGCGCGCTGGCGCGTATGGCTACGGTTGGTGGGTTTCGCCTGGAAGTCACTCTGGCAGACGGTCAAGATCGCGGTGCGGCTGCGAGAAGTGATCATCTTCCTCGTTGCTTGGTTCCTCCTCTCTGATGGCATGGCCACCGTCTCGGGTACAGCTATTCTGTTTGCACGCACGGAGCTCAAGATGAGCACAACCGCCATTGCCTGTTTGTCCATCACCGTTACTCTTTCGGGTATGGCGGGCGCATTCCTCTGGCCGCATGTTTCTCGACGACTCGGGTTGCAGTCGAATCACACCATTATCCTATGCATTGCCTTATTCGAGATCATCCCCCTTTATGGTATGCTGGCCTATATCCCCTTTGTGAAGAAATGGGGGGTCATCGGCCTGCAACAGCCATGGGAGATCTTCCCACTTGGAATTATCCACGGGATCGTCTCTGGTGGCTTGGCATCATACTGCCGGTCCTTCTTTGGACTTTTGATTCCTCCTGGCAGTGAGGCGGCTTTCTATGCCCTCTATGCAGCCACTGACAAGGGAAGCTCATTTATCGGGCCCGCCGTGGTCGGCGTCCTCATTGATGCGACTGGCCAGGTGCGGACGGGGTTCTTCTTTATTGCCGTGCTGATCGTGTTGCCTATTCCGTTAGTCTGGATGGTGAGTGCCGAGAAGGGTCGTCGCGATGCTCTGGCCATGGCGGATTCTCTTAAAGATGGGCATAAATCGCACGGAGGAGCTACCGATGATGCTCGAGAGGCTGAGGGTTTGCTGGCCCGCGAGTCGTAGAAACGGGCATTTCCCGATATCGATTTGGAAAGTGGAATCCCGGACGGGTAACGTTATGTCCATGATGATGAACACTATAGAGATCATAGATTGGTTATACAGGAGCGGCAATTGGACATGCAGTCCAATATGCTATCTCACGAATGAATGAATGTATTTACTCCTTTCCCCTGGGTATCTTCCATTTCCCGTTGAACTCTTTTTGTATGCTCATGATTTCCAGAAGGCTGGAATAGTACCTATCCTCTTGTGGTTCGGCACGCGTATTAGTGCCAGCCCTCGGCGCCTCCCGAGGTCGGGTGGAAATATATATCCGCCCCGGGGCCTGGGTCGGATATTCAGGTTCCAATTCCCCCATGCCCTTCCAGATGTTCACTTTTGTGTGGACGCCGAAGCTGCAATGCCAATTCTTTGAGTGTCCGTAAAGAGTTGTTGGTCACATACATTTCATTCCTGAAATAGCACGAGCCTCATCGGGCCAAATGTTGCGTGGGGGCCAGCTCCATGATCTACAACAGAACGATCTATGTAGCGGTGATAAACGAGCGTCTTTCCATCTCCATACTGTGAGCAGAGAGCCCGAGTCCCGGGGAAAAACTACATCTAACCTGAACTGAAGAGTCCACAGTGATCGCGATCAACTTTACCTTCCCATGTTCTCGCATCTCATGCATGGCCTTCGGTCCATTTGTGTTGGAAGTAGACTCCGCCTCAAAGTGGATTCAACCAAGACATTAGCCCCCTAGATGATCGACAAACACGATGCAGCTGTACAACTTCCCAGCCCGGTAAGCTGTTGAAACAGCCCCCAGAATGCTGACAATAATCTTCGTTTACAGACAAACTATCCAGTGTTAATCCTGCCCCGAAAGGAATAAATAGAAACGAGGCGCATGGCAGATACTGTGGAGGATGTGGAGAGAAAAGCGACGCGTTAGGTGGATCCTTGTTCACTCGACACACGAGGCCACCCACCTTGCACGTTAGGCAGCCTGATTGCTGATTGATGACGATTCTTGAAGCTTGCTATTTTTGTTTCTTTCTTCGAACAAAATTTCCAAACTCTTTGTCTTTGCGCTTGTGATTCCCGATACTATGATACTATCCTCGGTGTTTTTGACTGCATTGTTAGTCGCAATCGGAGTGCAGGCACAACCGCGCAGTATCACGAATATCCCAATTGACGGCTGCTCAGCACTCCCAAGGTGGAATAATGAAACGAATATTGCTGGACCGTGGACGTTCCAGCTTGCAGGTTGCAGGTATGGGACGGCCTCTTGCAGTATCGAGGGCTATACGGCAAGCTGCGAGGTGAAACGGTCGGCAGAAGAGAAAGGGATTAATCGAGGAACTGTATGCCCTTTAGCCCCTTGGACTATTCATTTGTCCAAATTACTGGTGCTCGCGCGGGGTAGCCTGAGACTAATCAATTGTTCATGTAGATCATCATCGGCGACAGCCTATACACTGCGAAGACCATGTTCCGCTGCAACGGCGCCCTGCGCACCTTGGAAGCCTACGTCCCCTCCGGTGCTGGAGCATTAGATTGGCACGCGATCGGTATTCGCCGAGATCCCAGGACGGGTGAGATGGAATGGGGACTGGGTTCTAAGGAAGCCGAGCGGGTCGAGGTATACCAACGATATGAGCGAGGTGAACCGGGTGAGGGTTTCTTGCTGGGATCTCAGGGCCGAACTAATTGGATCGTTCGCCATTCTGGCTCGAGCTTGAACAGCTTGGACCATCAGCCCTTCTGGTCCCTGCGTCTTATGGGATCAGATACGAAGCGACGAGCTGGCGAGTATGAAACTCGGATTCGAATCAACAGCGATTAAGAAGAAAATGTCGAAGATAGTTGATGGACCGGTATGCATCATGATATCACAGAGGTGCATGTGCTGGAGGTAGTTGCATTGTGATTTTGGGCTGGAGCTTCTGGAGTTATTATACCCCCTCGATAATATATCGAAATAGTCGCACTTTTGTGAACAACCGTCTAGACCCTGTAGGTGGTACACGATTTCCTTGTTAATATTGCTTGGAGTATTATGGAGGACCAAGGAGCGCTACCTTGCATGATCGTCGTGCAGCGCGATCTGTCTCTCATGGCCAATCATGGCTACACCACACCAATCTTGAGGATTGTAACGAGCGCAAGGTAGGCCGACCTATAGACAACCCTTGCCTGACAGGGTCCGACAATGTAAGATGTCCGAGGCAGCGGCTAAAAGGAAGAAAATATTGAAGCCGAGGGAATGACCGAATTCCCCCAACCCATCAACTGCTCCAACTCAAAACGATGGATCCCAGATTGACTCATGTGTTCACCCTGCGAGCCCATGTTGCTCAGGACAGCGTCCAGCTAGGATCAAATCCCACTGGCTCTCAAAAGAACATTACCGCTTTAGAGGGTGGGATCTTTCATGGCGTTCCCAACACACGAGGCGAAGGCGTGGACGCCACTCTCGTCCCTGGTGGAAGTGACTGGGTGCTATTTGACCCGGCCACAAACGTGGTGCAGATCGATGTTCGCACTCAGGGCAAGCTTTCGGATGGATCGGGATTGTCATTACAGTACACGGGGTATATGATGGTAGACGAGCAAGCGAAACGGTTCATGGGTCGCTTCTGATGCCCAATCCACGGAGTTTAGTGATCATCATTGGTGGACGCGACCAGTGATAGAGACCAGCGGTAGGTAGAATGCCCCTTTCTGTTTTGCTTTCTAGACAGTTGCTTGACTGACATTGTCTGTAGCTCCTCAATTCAAGTGGACAGAATCGACGGTTTTTGTGGGCCGTGGACGATGTTGCTTTGAGGATGGTCAACAGATGGTCGAGTATTAGATCTTTGAGGTTGGCGTGTGAGCAGACAAGGAAGAAGATAGTTTAACGAATGAATGATTGGAATAAATAATCGATGGCCAAGATCGCTTCCCACTGAATTGCCCCCTTCTCTTGGGTTGTCTTCGTAGTTCGTATTTCCGATATCATCTCCACGGACCACTCGGAAAGTTAAAAGCTTTAACAATATAGTGACTGGGGAAAGGCTTAATTATGTCGGTCGGCGGCTAATAAGAAAAGCGAAGAAAAGGACCGATGGAAGCGATTTCTGGCGCCTTTAAAGAATCTCAACTCAATCGGACGTCAGGTCGCCCGTCCGAAGTATTGCTCTCGATAATAAGACAATCTCATGATAATTCGGACTGCATAGGAGAATTGAATTTCCCGTTGCAGTCTCAACTTATTCCTCTAGGATCTTTCAACTGTCTGTCTTTTTTTACCCGATCGCTGGTGCCATTCGGAAGATTCACGCAATGGCCGGGTTATCCCCCGTCTCGGATGAGGAATAGCGGGGAGGTAGCGAGGAAGAAAAAGTCGGGGAGGCGTCAAGCCCCGTCCACTCTTGATCCAATCATTACCTCAACGCTCTCCATCGTCCGGCTTCTCTAGACCCTCCCAGACTCCAACTTCCCCAGAAACAACCCAGTTAGCTGATCTTAATCATCTTATCATTCCCGCATTCTCAGGTGATTTACTCCCGCATCTCCCCATTTAACCTAGCGTCATCCCTTCCATTCCCATGATAGGTGCGAAAATGCAGCTGCTTCGCAGCTTTGACATTCCCTGGCTGGGATGAGACAATAACCTCAACGTCTTATGACTGGTTAACAGTAGACGCTCATCCTGGTCCTTGTTGTTCGCATTAGCCTGAATACAACCGAAGCTGTCTCGCGGTTGGTTCCCAGCTCTCTCCACAATTCCCCGGATCCTCCAATGCGGCACGTGCAGACAGTGGGATGAGATGATGCCCGCGGAGGGACCATGTATATAAGACCGCGAGGGGGTCCCTGCCGATCGGGTTCACTGCGAGGGGATATAACTACACCACACGATATACCGACTTTACGAGACTACGGGTATACGGGATTGTGTTGGTGTTGGTGCTACGAAGTTCATCATCATCGACCAGGTCATTAGCTCTCGACATGGCGACAAACGCGACTCAGACCGAGATCGCTCTGGAGAAGACGGCCGCCCATCATGTGGAGGATACACTAGGCATCGGTGCGGTCATTGAGGCCAAGCAGGCCACTGATGAAGAACATGCCCAAACCCTCTTCCAAGCACTGCGGGAAAATCGCAAGGCCGTAGCATGGTCCGTCTTGATTTCCGCGTCGATTATCATGGAGGGATACGACACCATCCTGATGGGTAACTTCTTCGGCTATCCCCGGTTCCGGGAGAAGTTTGGCCAGTACTATGGCGGCGATACCGGGTGGCAGGTGTCAGCACCCTGGCAAACTGGGTTGAGCATGGGCAGCACAGTCGGTTGTATCTTTGGTGAGTAACTGGCTGCACCTTAAGGCTAAGGCGCTGTACTCGGTCTGTTGCAAATCTCTAACATTCCTCATTAGGTGGTCTCCTCAATGGCTACCTTGCCAGCAAGTACGGTTACCGCATGGTCATGATCATCGCCTTGGGATTCTTGACTGCATTCATCTTTGTCGTCTTCTTCGCCAACTCCGTCGCTGTCTTGCTCGTCGGTCAGATTCTTTGTGGTCTGTCCTGGGGTGTGTTCGCGACGATTGGTCCAGCTTATGCCTCGGAGGTCTGCCCGACTAACCTGCGAGGCTACCTCACTACCTATGTCAACATGTGCTGGGCCACCGGTCAGCTGATCGCATCCGGCGTGTTGTACGGACTGGTAGATCGCCCAGATCAATGGTCGTACCGCATCCCCTTCGCTCTGCAGTGGATCTGGCCCGTCCCTTTGATGGTCGTCTGCTGGCTGGCTCCGGAGAGTCCCTGGTTCCTGGTGCGTAATGATCGTCTAGAGGATGCCAAGCACAGTATCCGCCGCCTGGGAGGCAACAAGACGGAGGAGCAAATCAACGGTCAATTAGCTATGATGGTCCACACAACCAAGATCGAGTCTGAGATCGAGGCTGGCACCTCGTACTGGGAGTGCTTTAAGGGAGTTGACTTGCGCCGCACAGAAATTTGCTGTGTGGCCTTCTTCGGTCAGATTCTGTCTGGTAGCACCTTCGCCTACTCCCCCACGTATTTCTTCGAGCAGGCCGGCATGGATCCCAGCCGCGCATTCCAGCTGGGTGTTGGATGTACCGGAGTGGCCTTTGTCGGCACTGCTCTGTCCTGGTGGCTGATCACTTACCTTGGCCGACGAACTCTGTATGTCTGGGGACAGGGTATCCTCTGTACTCTGTTGTTCCTCATTGCCATCGTCAACTCGGCCTCACATACCGACGGAGCCATGTGGGCGCAAGCCTCATTCTGCTTCATGTGGCTGTTCGTCTACTCCCTCACTGTCGGCCCCATCGCGTATGCCATCGTGTCGGAGACTTCCTCGGTGCGGCTGCGCCCCTTGACCGTCTGTCTCGCGCGCACGGCGTACCAAGTGGTCAACGTCGTTTCGCAGGTCCTAGAGCCTTACTTTATGAACCCGACGGCCTGGAACGCGTCTGGTAAGACGGGATTCTTCTGGGGTGGCACTGCCCTGATCGCCTTCACCTGGGCTTTCTTCCGTCTGCCTGAGCCCAAGGGTCGTACTTATGCCGAGCTGGACATTCTCTTCGCGACTAAAGTTCCTGCGCGTAAGTTCGCTTCTACCCGTGTGGACGCGTATGCCGTTGGTGTATCTCCCTCCCAGGAGGGTCTTGTGCGAAATGAGACGACCCAAGAGGTGAAGGGGTGAAATGGTGGCGGCAATACTATATCAGTCTTTGAATGATATTGTCTTCGCTGATACTCCTTTTCTTGTGAAACGTGTTTTATACCTAATGTGAGAGACGAGCCAATGGACTTGTTTTGTTTGGTAAACCCTTGCTAGTGGCGGCGTAGTTTTACTTCTCGTAATGAGATCCATGTCGAAGGATAGCTGTGGTCCTTGTATGTGTAGAGCCTTTGTTTCTTCGGCAGTAGCCTTGTTGCTGCTCCGGATCTTCAAATCGGCGATTTGATCGGTTGGGAATTCTTCTCCACAGCGGAGAACGACAAGACTCTGGAGACTGGTAGAGATCTAAACTTGGCAATAGATGGCCAGCCTGTCGAGGCCTTGTAGAAAATACATAGCCAGACTAACAATAGTCAATACATAGGCATCCATCAAAAGTCCAAGCGGAGCTCCATCAGCGACCCAAAAAGGGACTATTACCCAGAGCACTAAGTACTGTGCATTAGGTTGCCAAAACCAATGCACGTTGTGTCGGACTGCCCTCTTGGGAACCCTCCGATGCCCAGAGCTCCCTCACCTGCAGATAAATCAATGGCTCCGTTCAATCGCAATGTCAGCATCAGATTCAAGGTAAACCTCGGGATAGCCGAGTGCCGTCTTACATACATTGCTGTAGGGATTCTAGAGTTTCAGCCTCCTGGTCATGGCGTTCGTCATGGCCGTTTTAACCTCGGGATCGAAAGTGTGGGAGAGGAATCTAACAAACAGGACAATAGAATTGGATGCATTGATAGGTCCGTTGTTATTACAGGGGGTGTAGAATATGAAACGGCGCGTCATTCGACTGGATGGCCCGGCTCCTTTGAGGTGAAAGGAGGATCATCTCGCTTACGGACTGTGACCCACCCGCGCCACGTTGATCGTGTCCATGGTGGTTACCCCTGCAGCCAATCGTGACGACTGGGCGTTTCAGTTGTGGATATAATGGGGTTTGTTGGGAAGTAAATGTCCGATTGGTTGCGAAACAATGGAAGACAAAAATGTGAAGAGGCATAAAGTGCGAAGAACAGAGGTTGTGTTCTTTGCAGTTCGTCATGAGTGGTATCTCTAATTATACATGCAAAAAGTTGACACTTATTACGGTAGTAAACGTGTACTCCGTAGGCACTCCGTCGTATCGTAGACGCAGCACCGTTGACCAGATTAATTAATTCCTCCGACTCCATCGATCTCATGAATCGCGCACGGACACCCGAACGGACCGTTCGACTTTCCATCCTGCCGGTTGATGCTGGTTCATCGGGTTGAGATCCTCCTCACTGCTACTGGTCGGATTCGGCCGTTGGCTACCCATAATCGTCGTCGTCACGCCGTGATATTCGTCATTTTCGCTGCCCGTCCAGAGGTGATGCGAGTCGTCGCGGTCATGCTTGGAGCGGGACGATCGGTATCCTCCCTGTGCCGGATTACTGGACAAGGGGAAAGATCCAGGGGTGCGATTGTTGCGGCTGCGTGAGGCGGAGGAGCCATCGCGGAGGAATCGGATGAGTGGTCGGAGAGTCGTTAGGCAGCCGGCGGTGATGCCCAGGCCGGCTTCGACATTGGACCAGATGGAGATTTGGTATGTGTTGTCTGTAGACGGGGGTTAGCTAGATGGTACGCTCGAGCTGGTGGCTAGGCCTGACGGAAGAGTGAATCCATACATAAGAATTCCTCGTCCTTGTAGTTGTGAACGAAGGGAATGCGAACAATAACGGCAGCACTCGCACTGTTCAAAGAAGAATAGTTAGTGCCAGTGGCCAAAGGCGTCGTCATGAGGCAAAATGCAAAGGAGAGACTCACATGCAACCGAGACCCAAAATTCCAATGATGGCAATCTTCGTCCTTTGATTCATGCGCAAGTTCCAAATCAACGCCACTGGAAGGAGACCAATGGTAAGATCAGTGACCGCTGCACCGACACTGTAGAGATATGCGATCGCAATGAGAGTGTCTTTATTAACACAGGTTCCGTGGCTCGTGGATAGCCCTTGGTGCCAGAAATATGTGACTGGACTGCATTGGAAGATGGTGAAGAGCAAGAAGACCACACCGACCGCGGTGGCCAGTGAAATGGCGGCGTAGAGAATCCAGGCATGGACGCGATCAACGGTAATGCGCAGCAAGGTGATGATAATCGAGATTTTGGCGAGGACACAAGTAATCACGTAGAAGATTTGGCCGAGCCACCAACACTGCAGGAGTGGTTGGAATTAGTTTTGGTTCCCAATACAATTGCGCGCGCAATTACTCTCGAATCTTCAAAGCTTGCATCAAAAGACCAAGTGATATCATGCACATACCAAGAGCGCGCGTTCTAGATTGTCCGGGTACTCCACAAAATAGAGCAATTTCCGACCCATGCCATACTTGGCACCCATAATTCCACAAATTGCAAAGGCCAGATTCAATGTCTAGATCGGAGAATGCCATTAGATAACCTCGATTATAAATCACACCGCATAGTATGCAGTGCATTGCGCACTGCGATATGCGCATCGGTTCAGACTCGACTTACCATGGCTAATAGCATGATGATATCATCCCATCCAAAGGCGCGGACAACGCGGGTTCGGACGAAACAGCGAAGAATGACACTGCCGAGGGAAATTCCGAGAAAGACCGCGGTGACGATGAGAATGGCATTGCTGCGGCTATCGTCCTGGACGGCATCCAGGACCGCGGCCTTATAGGCGCTTTCTTGAGCGGCGTCCATGGCGAAATGAAGGTATCACAATCTCGCCGTCGAGTCCCATCCGCATCAACGATGCGGTAGGCAGGGAAGGAAGTCGACCAGGGCGAGGTTGAGGCCGAAAGCAACCAAAAGAGGGGGGAGGGAGAAAGGGAGGCGACTCAAAGATGAGGCCGGGTCCCTCGTGGTTTTATTCCCTGAAGATCTCCACGCTATTGCCCGGCTATTATGTCCTATGGAAAGCTTCACGAGTTTCTAGACCTCCACTCTTGCGCCTGAGTTTGGTGCCGAGACTACGGCCAATATCCACTGAAAATGGAAAGGTCTTTGCCCCCAACCTGCTTTTTGCCTTCCTTCCCCTCTTCCCCCTCTCTCCCCCCCTGCATGGCTTGCATAGTGGGCGTAACACCATCGTTCGGTACAAGTGGGGTGAATTGACTCTTAGGGCCGAGTCTATTTTGTGTCGATCGGCACGCGAGTTGACCAGGATCAACTGCATCGGATAGGCGCGGTGAATGGCAGGGGAAGTAATCCGATGTTACTTTGCGGGATGAAGCAGAGTTTAATGATGTGGTTTATCCTTGGGTCGTTCTGAAGTCCGGACGGGATTTGTGATCCACGGTTATCTTGACCCTCGTGGTATGGAAGCGCATTGGCATTGCATTTGCAATTGGGTGTACCAGCACCCCGACCCTTGGCTTCATGCTGTGTCTGGTCCATTCTTGACGACCAAAGGCGCTCGGGCAGTCACTCTGGTTGATTTCTCCCCTCGTCGAAACATCAACGTGGCCAAGGAGCCCAGGCCTCGTGGACTGTTTTTGGGCCTTGCGGCAATGAGTTTCGAAAAACCCGGACTGGGAGCCGCATCGGTCCTCCGCATCCACGCATGTTACGTGATGATTGGATGGTAGCGCTGCCGGCGGGCCAGCCATACCGACTGTTCTCCATTCCAGGTAGTTCGCCCGTCTGCGTGGAGTCAAGTTTCCCGGGACCCCGGCGGTATGGGGCCAGGGATGTGAATCACTGGCGATGGCTGGAATAATGTGGGAAACGGAGACGAGGGGCGTCAGAGATGTACTTCATCTTGAATTCTCTCCATGAAGCAGACTCTTGACATTTCCTGTGGAATTTCTGCGCTTTGCTGAGAGCTTCAAAATCATCATTTGTTCATGTTCGCACATGCCATCCCACTCGGTGAATTGCCCCAAGCCGGTATTATCAACTCCGAATTGAGCCTCGGCCTGTGGGCTGGACGGAATGCTTACCTCAGCACCGGATCGCCGGCAGCCCTAGCCCTAACTTCCCAAAAAGGTAACCACGATGCAGACCTTCCCTATCAGGACTAGTGTCTGAACCTCAAATCCACCGGATCTGCAAAATTAATTGGCTAAATTGACTAAATTGTCCATCGCCGATTCAACATGCCGAATATTGTAATAATTGTGCCCACATCACCAGCCCACACTTCTAGTCTGAGCGGCATGAATACGAAGTGCAGTGCCGATTGCCAATATTATTTGCCATACAAAAGTCTACGTATCCCGTGCCGTCCGTGCGCGTCTATTCCGGCACTATCCCCGACATGGCGCCGCCACACCCCAGAATAGGCAGTGATGAACCGATCATAGAGTTAAGGTTAGGTTTCATCCCCTCACTTACACGCGCGGATGAGATGGTGCTCGGATCTCCGAATGGGAATCACATGGACCCTGCTTTTGATCGATGCTTTGGTTCGTGGACGATTTATCAGGGGGATCATCGTCATACATACTGATGATACTTTATACCACATGGATACTTACCGTATGGAGTAATGGGGTACAATAACGTGTGTATGATTCTATGGGACGGAATACGGGGTACTGCTAAGTCCGTCTGTCATGGATTTCTTAAGCAATACACGAAGCAAGGGGAGAAAAGAACAACTCTATATCTCTATTCGGTTTCTTTCCATCTGCAGTAAACGCATGGCTTCACCGTCTCGTCTATCGTTCCCAGGCAATGAAGCCGTATTCTAGAAATTTCTCGATGGTGGGAAAGTTTCTCCCCTTGCTTGCCAGAAACAAGCCATGATGCATCATGGAAGAATGGTCTGTAGATCGTCCCTCGGCCGAACATAGTTCCATGGATCGACCATTTCACGCTGCATCAACAACACCCACCCCTTCATGCGGAGGCACTGGGGCTGGCCATCCCAGAGGGCATGGTGCTGTTCGTTCCGCTAGGAGCACCACCACCACTGCCTCCACCTACAACACTGTCGCTGTTCTGGTGACCTCCATCAGTCTCGAGGTAGGCGGCAATGCTGTAGTACGAATTGTCCGTATAGTCTACGGTGGCATTCACGCCAATCTGGATCCAGGCAAAGAGACCGTCATCAAGGTCGTCACCCAGATAGATATACTCGGGGAAAGGGTCATAGGCACTGTCGGCTTGCAACACGCTCCACATGTCGTCCGCATTCGTGGTGATGGCCTGGGTGTTGGTGTTGTAAGGGTAGGTATCTTCGACTGCACTACGCAGCACTTCGTTCCAGAAGAGCTGGCCAATGTGAGCCACGCTGCCGGTGCCCGCCTCCAGAGTCTTGTTGGGAAGCAGAGTAGCGTTCAAATGGGTCAGCAAATGAGTGTGAGTCGCACGTCCGTCGTAGTGACCGGGGAAGATGGTCTCGAATTCGACAACACCGTCACGGTCGGTTTCCTGGATACCACGCAGGTAAGTCGAGTCCCATCCGTCGGCAGCGTAGTTGCCCGACGTCGAAATTCCACTACTCTCGGGTCAGATTCGCACGTTTAACAAGGCGATTTGGGTTTGCTGGGTTCAAAAAGAGAACTAACCTGTACACGCCGGTGGCATTGGCTTGCCAGATATCAACCAGAGCTCCCGGGACCGGGCGACAGGTGTTGATGTCAATGTATTGCACTTCGAGGAAAACATCCACTCCATCCGAGTACTTCTCCTCCTTGACATTCTGGCGCATCACTTCACCCCAGACGTAGTAGGGGCCATCCGTGATAGTGGGAGTCAGGATACAGCTGGTGTTGGCTGAGAAGATGATCGATTCCGGGGTAGCCGGGCTGTAGTTGAGGATGTTGGTCTTGTTGTGGTCAATTACCTCCCACTTCTCGAGCTGGGCTAGGTTCCGGCGCCATTTCTGCGGGTCTGCTCAAGAATATGTGAGTCTCCAGCATCAATCAAAGCAGTTTTCTAGGAGGATTTGATAAACTCACTAGTATTGATACCACGCTTCTTGCGAAGCTGATTGACAGTGCGAGCACGACGAGCGACACTGCGCTTGTTCAACTCTCTCGCGTGAAGGGAGCTCTCACAGCCAAAAAGCGAGCGCTTGGCCGCCGCAGCCATGGCATCACGAGCGTGGACCTCCCGCTTGATGACATGCGGGTTGTGCTTCTCGCCGGGGTGAGCAACAGCAGGGGCAACCAGGCAAGCCGCGGCAACGGCCAGGATCTTTGACAACTGGACCATGGTGAAAAAGGGAGGTTCTCGATGGTTATGATATTCAACAGTAAAGAAACTCCAGATGCACTGGGCCCAGCTGCCGGTTTATACTTTTTTAATTGCTCCTAGCCATCTCGACGTTCTAAACGGACGCGTCATTCTGGAGACGGGCGGGATCTCAGGGGACGAGGTTATTGTGTGAAGGAACCCTTCCACGACCCTTTCACGGATCCCTCATTGTCTGGTTCTCGCGATTCTCAACATCTTGATTCAGCGCGGAATCTCTATGGATGCTTGGCGCCGCGTGTCGATGGCTTTTCTTGACACGGCGAAGCGTGGGGCTACGACAAAACAGGCCCCATGAGCTTACTCGAGACGGGGAGGGATCGTCGCAGGGCTGACGAATGAATGATAACACATTGCAAAGAAGCTAGCTTCCCGCGTACGAATTGAATAATTTTGAAATGTCAACGGCGCGATAATCAAGGGCATGGGGGTTCTCTCGGGGGGTTTGTGCTCCGAGAGACCGCGTCAGTCACCCCCAATGACTTCCAGTCTTGGCATCCGCTAAGAATGTATCAGCACGCCTCATGATAACCATATACAAGTTGCTGTGCTATTCTTGTACTTGATCGATCGACAAAAGCTTCCGTTGTTAAAGAAAGACTGGCCGCCCGCAATGACGTTGAGGCGATATCCTGCAGATGGCACTGTGAAATGCTGCTTTTGATTGTGTAATCTACGGCAATTGCATCCTCTGAAGCTTAAATGATCATACAGAATTGATTTTGCATTTACAGTTTCGAGCCTTTGTGACCCGAGCTGTACTACTTGGAGAATGGTTACATCAGTACAGTGCTGCGTAGGCCTGCAATATACCGGCCGTGGCTGTGAGGAACCCGCTAGCTTTGATCGCTCTTCGAAGATACCAAGCAGAGCTAGACCAAGCAGAGCTAGACCAAGCAATGCTGACGATTAGAGCAGCCATGGCACGGCTCATAGGTTCCCTTAATAATTCGGGATGCTGTGCCCAGTGTACGGAGGTAAATTAAGCAAGCCTAGAAAATGGATATGTCAATTAAAGAACGGCTATTCCACGGATAGAAGCATGTTACCTGTCAAAATCGCATAGGCACTTCCTTGGTGCCATCCGACTGTGCTGCATGTGTTCGCAAGATTTGGAAGGTCTTGGAACTGAGGAAGACGATGGAATTGTTTCCCAGTAAGCTAAAAAGAGGAATCGGGATACACCGCGCTCATGGTCTCGTTTTGTAATAGACATTTCTGTCGATACTGACAGCATGCTTGATGGCAACCAGAAAAGAACCGTATCCGGCAGCTTTGAGGAGAGTAGTTTCAGGCATTTTTAGCTTGTAAGTGAGGTCTTTTGCCTTGAATTATGCGATTTAACCTTGGTGTTTTTACATAGTGAAGAGTTGGGGTGAACCGAGGATCCACCCGGATCGATTTCCGAATGCCGTGGGTTCATTCAAGCCCCGGCTTACACTGTGGATCAAACATGAAAATCGGCCCCATCTGCCCGATCCCAGGTCACAACAACCGATTCTGAATTATAATTAGGCTGGGAAAGCGGGCAAAAGATTGGTCCGACTCACCTTTACCTTTCATTTTCACTACCACTGCCATAGCTGCCTAGGTCAGTATGTGAAACTCTGCGGTTGGATGTAACGAGAAAAGAGTCATCTAGCTCTAAGACTTCTTAGGAGTCGACACTTAAGGTAAGTTAGTTTTTGATACCAAATTACACTTGTAAGCCGGTAGTAGAGCCGTAGATTAATGAAATTGAAATACTGTTATGTGATAAAATGCAAGCTAAAATACCATTGACGGACAGTGAAGTCACTACCAGTGGCACCTGATCTACCGAGTGATACGAAAGATAGGCTCGGGAAAGAAGTGAAGATTTCCAACAAAAACCAAGAAAGCATGACGAGATTAAGTCTTAAAAGACGCTGAAACAGCCGACATTGAGGCGGGATAGCGCGACACAGATAGATCGATTCTCAATATAGGAGGTGTTTTTCAATCATTGTTGAAAGACCTAGTGAGGCTACCCCGATAGGCTTTGGGCGCTTTTCCAGGACTGATAGTGGTCTGTCAATGTTTCCTCCAGAGGCCGATATATGATATTTAGCTCATCTATGCTTGAGCGATTATTGATGTCGAATGGGATTCCCAAGTTCTGCTTCAGCCATTTTTGACTAAAGCCAAGGAATGGCCCGGACATGCGTATCAAAGCACTCGGAAGCTTGTTTTTCGGGATTCGAGAAGATTGGGTAATCGATCTGAGGATGCGAGCTAGCTCCACAAAGCCGTGTGTTTTGCTGTCGGCCAGGATATAGCGACCGTGAGAATTCGGAAATTCCGAACCACAGATCTGGCACTTCCAAAAATGGCTGACCGCTCAGGAGCTGATCAAGTAGGGATAGACTGCCAGATTCCGATGTTCGAGATAATGATGGCCCCAAAACAAGTCCAAGGTTGATGGTGACCAGCTTCCAGCGAGGGGGATTTAGCTGTTCTTCATATAGCTTCCAGGCTGCTTTCTCGGCCACTACCTTGGAGTAGGGATATGAGTTGTGGGTCACCGAGCTGGTTGTGTTGAAATAATCGGCGGAGAATGTTTTGTTCTTCATTTCAAGAACGTCAGCGTTGTCACCGAAGACAGCTGCCACGGAGGATGTCAAGATGACAAGCTTGGCGGTCTCGCATTTTTGGACTGCGTCGAGCACATATTGTGTCCCCTTAAGAGCGGGCTCAACGACCTCTTTTTGACCATCCCTGATTTTGTTCTCGATGAAAAATGGCGAAGCGATATGATATATCACTGAGCAGTCTTGCATTGGAGCTTCAAACGAGCCCGCCACAAGCAAGTCTGCTTCGTATAAATTCAAATTGCCGGGCCATCGATCTTGCATGTCAAGAAGGTGTTGGATTTTCTTCTTGTTTTTTGTACTGCGAACGGTGGCGTGGACCCGTTCGCCCTTTTCGAGTAGCTGTTGAACAACATGGCTAGCGATAAATCCGCTCGCACCTGTCACTAGTGATGTCTTCTCTGTCACGGTCATGGTTGAATATGACTCGAAGTAAGTCACGAGGAGAGGAATAGAGGAGTGTAAGAGTTAGAGGCTCTACAATCAATGCACTTCCATCCATTTTTAGTTCTCTCACGATTGCCTAGGGTGGGTCTTTAGAGCTCATGACACAAGAAATATCGGTCTAAATTTGGCAGCTTCCCTTCGCACCATGGGAAAGAATCAGCTAGAACTCCGGTCATTCCCTCCAATGATCCCTAGGTTTTAGCCAAACGGGTTAGTTACATGACACAAAATATTTACCTTCCCTAGCGATATAAACTTAATCACATGTATAGTTGTCGTTGGTGAATATGCAAAGTTAGGTGTATGACGGTGTATGAATAATCCCTCCGCGGGAGGTGAGAGTAGAGTGGCGGAGATCGATCCGATCTAGAGTCGGGTCGTTAGTTCTCCCGATTTCCAGGGGCCGGCCTTCCTGTGCTCCGTGCATTAACGTTAAATGAGAAGCCCAATAATAAAAGTACATTCCGTATCAATGTCCCTTTGGCCCTACGGCCTAGAAAACCGAGACATACCCCCCCTCAGATGGTGAATATAAGGTCACGTGCTCTGTTTATCATGTGATCTTTTCAGGTCATGTGATGTGGTGGGTCTCCTTCCGCTGTAGCGGGGGAATTTTCTGCCGGTTTTATCTGCCCCGCACTACTCACAGGATGTGACTCACGTATTTTTGAGGGGTCCTAGTGACGCAGTCGGCTTGGCTAGCGCGGTCTGTACTTGAGAATACACAGGCGGTGAAAGCTTTATTAACAACGAGAATCTTGATATACCGCCTCAGGAAAGATACCGTAAATCCTCACAAACAACCTTTGAATATCCAGTTGACTAGCAAAATGATTGCCATGAAAATGAACAGAGGAATCTAGCGAACTTTATTTTGGATCATAATCTTGGGAAACAAGAGGTGTTGTTCTCTGCTTGCAAGTCACGAGTCGGGCATTTAAAGGCGGTGTCCTATAGACAAGGCGGCCGCAAAGGCGGTACCACCGTACCAAACATTTTTTTTTCACTCCAATACCTTCAAGTTTCTCTGATTTTGCGATCACCGCCAATCCGCTCAATCCACTGCCGAAACTACAAACACAATGGCGACCAACATCGTGTCCGAGTCGCCTCACAACAACTTCGACGTACGTACCTCGAATACCCTATGGAAGGCTGGCAATGGGGAGCCTGGAAACTCACTTGTCCCCGCTCTCCGCGATCGATCACCCCTACAGAGAGCGTGCAGACGCAATCAATCCAAGATAACAAATGAACTGCATTGGCTGACACTCAAATCTCTATCTCTAGACCATCCTGGTGCTCGACTTTGGCGTATGTAAATTTCCGGAGTCGCCCTTCCCTTCTTTTGGCCTGTTTCAGACATGGTGCTTCATAACTGCTGCTTGGCTCATGGAATTTCTTTCAATGACAAACTCTGACCCTGTTCTTCAAGTCTCAAACCAGTCATCTTATTTTGCGTCGGCTTCGGTCTCTCGGCGTCTTCGCTGAGCTGCTTCCCTGCACCACAAAGATCGCTGATTTGACATGGAAACCCAAGGGAATTGTGTTCTCTGGAGGTATGGACTGCATCGATGCATTTGTTGTGCCGATCTCTGACTGAGATACTAGGCCCTTCCTCTGTCTACGATGAGGGCTCGCCCCGTAAGGTTTCCGTCTCCCGAACGTCGTGTTGCATGTACTCATCTGTGTAGATGTTGACCCCGCTGTTTTCGACCTGAATGTGCCTATCTTGTGAGTTTGTTCTCTTTCCATCTCTCAAGTTTCCTAAACTTGACTAACATGGGACATATAGGGGTATTTGGTATGATTTAATTCAACATCGAAATCGGTATGAGACTAATACCATCCGTCCAGCTACGGTTGTCAGGAGATCGCATGGAGACTCGACTCCAAGAATGTTGCCCGCGGAGCGGCACGAGGTTTGCAACCTTTGGAACAACATCTGGAATTATTTCTGATCATTTTATCATAGAGTATGGCCATGCCGACGTCAAGATCACCAAGGTCAACAGCCATGTCGACCGCCTTTTCGCTGGCATGGGAGATGAAATCCCCGTCTTCATGTCCCACTACGACAAGCTAGTCAGCCTGCCTACTGTGAGTAAAATGATGGCCTACTTCTGGAGCACTGTTATTGACTCTGATAGGGCTTTGTGGTCATTGCCTCCACCAAGAACTCCGAGTTCGCCGGTATCGCCCATGAGGAGAAGCCCGTCTTCGGTTCGTTTCCCCCCAAGCTTCCTTTGTGACCCAGTAACGACGGATACTAACGCATGATGAATAGGTGTCCAATTCCACCCCGAGCTTGAACACGTTCGTACCTCCCTGCCCACTCCTCTCCAATGGCAATATACTAGAACTCAGTCTCACAATCGGATTTAGACTCCCCGCGGAACCGAGATCCTCCGCAACTTCAGTGTTGATATCTGCGGAGCTCAAGCGAACTGGAAGATGGGCGACTTCGTTCAGCTCGAGATTGCCCGCATCCGTGAACTTGTTGGTGATAAGGCTCTCGTTCTTGGCGCTGTTAGCGGCGGTGTGGACAGCACTGTTGGAGCCGCCCTTATGCGTGAGGCCATTGGAGACCGCTTCAAGGCCATTCTCATTGATAATGGATGCATGCGTCTCAACGAGTGTGAGCAGGTCAAGGAGACTCTCGGACATCACCTCGGCATTGATCTCACCGTTGTCGATGCTGCCGACCTTTTCCTGGGTCGTCTTGCGGGTGTTTCTGATCCCGAGAAGAAGCGCAAGATCATTGGATCTACTTGTGAGTACTTTAAGCTCTCTGGGATGGGTTAGTGACAGGGTACTAACGGTGTTGAAGTCATCGATTTGTTCGAGCAAGAGGCTATCAGGGTAAGCTCGACATTCCCCGGCAATCCATATGGCTGGCTAACGTGACTCCAGATCGAGAAGGAAGCAGAGAATACCCCCAACTCCGGCAAGGTGGAATGGTTCTTGCAGGGAACATTGTACCCTGACGTGTAAGTCATTTCGGAGCTAATTGCCGAATTCAAACTCATAGACTTTCAGCATCGAATCTTTGAGCTTCCGCGGGCCTTCGGCCACTATCAAGAGTAAGGCAGTCATCGAAGTCACCAGAGCGGAAAGCAGCTGACACTAGAGATAGCTCACCACAACGTCGGCGGTCTGCCTGAGGTAAGCAATCCCACCATCCCTAGCACGAAAGAATCTTAACTAATAAGCTTACAGCGTATGATGAACGGCGTAAGTTGCACTAGCGTGGCATCGTTTGATCTACTTACTAACCAACATACTTTGCATCGTTTAGCAAGGCTTGCGTGTAAGTTTACTTTATATCCCTTCATCAAGGCAAGAGGGACTGACCAAACTTCTATTATAGCTTATTGAGCCACTCCGACTCCTGTTCAAGGATGAAGTGAGGGTATGTGTCAAACCTAATTGGATGAGTTCTGTCTTCAACAATACTGACCCTTATAGGCAATTGGTCGCCAGCTCGGCATTCACGAGTCGCTCGTGGGCCGTCACCCCTTCCCCGGTCCTGGCATTGCCATTCGCATCCTCGGCGACGTTACCAAGGAGCGTGTCGAGATCGCCCGCCAGGCCGACAACATCTTCATTAGCATGATTCGGGAGGCCGGTCTCTATGACCAGGTGAGTCGAGTCACACAAGCAGAGATGGTCATAAGCTCATTCTTTCTCTCCTAGATCTCTCAAGCCTTTGCTGGTCTCGATACCAACCGCAGTGTTGGTGTCTTCGGTGATCAGCGTGTTTGGGGTTACATCATCATCCTCCGTGCTGTCCGTACTAAGGACTTTATGAGCGCTGAGGTGTTCAACTTCGACAACGCCTTCCTTGCGGTGAGTCATATCCTATTTCTCTTTCGGACGTTCCCAAAAGTGGATGGATCTTATACCCCGTGTCCAACACGCTCGATCGCTTCCGCCGGAATGCCAAACCCCGTTGTTTCGTTCAGCTTCTAATATGTCTACCACAGAATGTTGCTCGCACCATTTGCAACCAGGTCGAGGGTGTGGCCCGTGTTGTCTATGACCTGTAAGTAGAGATCTTGACCTTGATTGGTCTCGAGACTTGAGCTGACACCATCTTCCCAGGACCTCCAAGCCGCCTGGCACCATTGAGCTGGAGTAGGCGACATGTAGAGGAAAGGCGGATTGAAGATAGATCACTTGCCGGTTTGAGCTAGGATCAAATATAGGAATTGACTTTAATGGCGTTTGGAGACTCTTCTAAAAAGGCACATAGATCGAGAAGAGTGATGGGGGTGAAAATTATTGCATCATGATGTCAGCAGCCGTTCGAGAAGAGACGAAGAGTTCAAATCACGACATTTGATAGAATGAAATTGTTTTTTATCCTCAGTATGAGATGCGGTCTTTCCTAGTAGTGGTTCAGTGCTCATGGCGATAAGAGGCCTCAGGCACCAGCCTCACAAACAATGCTGTTGAAGCTTGATGTAGCGCCTCGTTGATTTTGCAATAGTGACTGTTTCGACGCTAGTCGCAACTTCTAGCCTTCAGTTGGTGGCAGGGTAGCTCTGCTACGATTCCTCAATGAATCCGCGTATAGATAGTCTTCTGCCATCGGTCTTCCACGAATCAGCCCTGTTGTATGATATTCAATGCGCATTGTTTGGAATTAGTTATCATGCCAATCTCTCCGTTGATCATTTCATCTGACAGCAAGTCCATTTCACGAATAGTGAGACATAATGACATGGGGGATATAGGATTCGCTGTTTCACTTGGCGCTGTTTCAAGGTTTTCTCAGACGTTCCACAGCTGCAGATCCGAGACTCGCTCAGTCCGTGCCCCATTTGGAAACGGAGGTTGTCGATCAAAATGAAGTTGAGCCCTTTCCAGTAGTCAAAGTGATTGATTAAGGAGTTTAGGCAAATATTCCCCTTGTTTCGGGCCTGTCATGCACCCTATTTGAGACTTCCTGTCACTTTCTCCGTTTCCTTCGCGGCAAATGAGCAACGATGGATCTATATAGTGATCCCATCTATATAGTGATCCAACTTGCCCCGAGGGTGCGACAATCAGCAAGTACTCCATTAAGCTACTGTACCAGACAGAAATAACGAGCCTGACCCATGATGACTAGATATATTGCGTGGATTTTGTCCCTTCCCATCGCCGTGCAATGCGGCGACATTTTGTGGACTGGCATCTTTAATTCTTCTGCAATAGTTGCTGACTTTGACAAATGTATGTCCAATCTCATTTTATTTGATCAACTTACTAATCTTGACATTTTGATACCCAGGGTCCTGGTCAAACCAGATTGCACCCTGGCAGTGGTACATTCACGGCACTGGAAGCACCGGTGAATATCTCGAGCTCTCACCAGATTTCAAGAACCCAGTCGATACCAGCGATGCTCAAGGTATCCGGATCTCTATTGTAAGTGGATTTCCCTGGATGACTGGATCTCATCACTCACTTGTGTTAGGACGGAACGTCCTTTTGGAATGGCCAGACCATGGAGCGGAGCGAGATCATCCCTCAAACGTCCGAGAATTTGGGTACCGGGCGCCTGTTCTATCACTTCTCGTTGATGACCAGCACCACCAATCCTCCCAATCCCAAATTTGAACACCAAATCGCGTTCTTCGAGGTAAGTGCAGGACTCGCGGATTGTCGATGGCATCGCCTTTGACGTCTCGTGTGTAGAGCCACTTCACCGAGTTAAAGTACGGCCTGCTTAGCGGCGACTCGGCCAGTGAAGACAATACACTGCGCTGGTGTGTTAGCGGAATAACAAAATGGTCCACGCAGCTTGAAGCCGGCAACTGGTATAACTTCGCATATGATATTGACTTCGATGCAAAAACTGTGTCGCTGTGGGCAAGTAACGGCTCCGATCCATTGAGTGCCGTCGTCACGGGTGTCAGCGTATCGACTTCGACCAACTCTGCAGATTGGCATGTTGGAGAGCTACGACTAAACAATGGAGGTACTGACGCCGCTGCCGAAGACTGGTTCTGGTCGGGTATCTATGTGGAAAACGCTCCAATTACAGCCACAATTGCGGGTCCACTTGCGGGCCAGTCGGAATGATTCGTGAAAGGGCCAGGTCGCTGGTGGGGTTCATGCTACGAGAGGAGCAACATGTCATGTTCTTGAACGAAACCAATTGTCGTGTCTATGTTTGTTTGCAATATAAGAGGTTATAGTGCAGTCTTGGATATGCCTGTATTGATTCCAATTGTGTTTTCATTCCAATTATTGGTCAATTCGTTAGATCGCGGGGGACCGTCAAGGTCTCTCCCCGTACAATTGCACGTAAGCATGAGGTCATCCCGTCCCTACGTGCCAACGCTCTCATTATGTACAGGAAACATTTACCGCACGCAGTATCCGCCGTCAATCAGCAAATCATTACCAGTCATGTAGGAGCTGGCATCGCTGACCAGGTAGACATAGGCACCCTTCAGCTCCTTGGCTTGGCCATTGCGGTTCATGGGGATCATAGAGAGCCACAAGTCCTGGACCTTCTGGTCAACAAAGTCGGACAGACCGGTGTCGATGTAGCCGGGCGAGATGCTGTTGACACGGGCAAAGTCGCGCCACTCGTTGGCGAGCGACTTGGCCATATGGATGCAGCCGGCCTTGGCGACGTTGTATGAGGTCTGCTCTTGGGGGAAGTTGGCGATGTGGCCAGACATGGAGGAGGTAATGACGAAGCTGCCGGTGCCCCGCTCCTTGAAGTGGGCGCCAACGGCCTTGGCACAGTGGAAGGTACCAGTCAAGTCGGTTTGAATAACCTCTTGCCAGTCCTGGACGGAGCCGTCGAGAATTCCGCTGTTGGCAGTGCGGCCAGCGTTGGCGATAAAGGCATCAATCTTGCCAAACTCCTTAATGACGTCCTTGACGAGTCCATCGACACTCTCCCACTTGCCCACATCACACTTGTAGGCCTTGACCTTGACGCCGTACTTCTCGCTCAACTCCTTGGCGTTGCGCTCGCCACCCTCCGGTCGGGAAGCGTAGGTGATGGCCAGGTCGGCACCCATCTCGGCGCAGCCACGAGCGGCCTCAATGCCCATTCCGCGGGGGCCTGAAGCGCCAGTGACCACCACGACCTTGCCCTTAAGGCTCAGAAGGTCCTTCAGACTGTCGGCTTGGGGGACTGGGATAGGCATGTTGATTGATTGGAGGGTGTGGTTTTGTAGGAGGTGATTGTTGTAGGAATTGATGGATAAGAAGATTGGAGGGTGGGAAGGTGGAATAAATAGTAAGAGAAGAGGACTGTGGAGGGAATGGAGGAGAGAAATAAAGTAATGAAATGAATAATACGAGGATAAGCAAACCCTGGAACGATAAAGCATTAGAAACCTATGACCGATAGTTCAGTAATCCGTCATCCCTCCTTTCCAAGAGTACAGGTACAATCCAGTTGGCCTACGCTGATGTATCCTGCATGTATCCTCTGCCCCTCTTTTTTGCCTGTTTAGAACGCAGATGCGGCCCATCTAGGCTTAGAAAATAACTTTAGAATGGGGTGCTAATGTCTCTGATATGTTGGTCATAATGGGGACCTCCTGCGCCCTGACAAATGGTTTCCTAGTTTGTCTCTCCACCTTTTGACTAACTCGGAGTAAGCTATTATGCTATAACTATGGCTATCTGGATGACATATTGACATACTACTACAGTAGGTGGGAAGTGGAGAAGAGTACCACCCTAACTACGAGGCGGATCCCTCGGAGCGCTGACGTCATGACTGCGGACCACCCCAAGCTCAATGGAGATGATCTCATCCTTTCCTTTTACTGTCAATGACACTATTTGCTGATTAAAGAATTATATACCGCACCAATATAATCTATAACTTAGTATTCAGGGACCGGAATTGCACATTTAGCAATGCTTAGGAAATCAACCCCAGGTGGCATTTCAAATCTCATCCTCGCATGCTTTAACACCACGCGCAGGATTTCAAGCTTGTTTGACACGCCCCAACTTCCAGTGTGGACCGTGCCGATCATAGATCGCTTTACAAGTTCACAAAGCCCTTTTCTCAGGGGACTTTTCAAAGATAAACATTTTATTGTGCTGATTGCTAGCCCCTATTTTAACCCAGCCACCAAGACAAAATAAGCATGTATTAGCCATCGAGAGCACATTCTAATAATCATCCCACAATGTGTGACTCAAGGGAGGCCAACTTCTGTAACCATCTATCTAATGGTGATATGGAACTCTTCCATCTATCAAGTATCCACACTCGGTGATGACGAAATAGACAGATAGAAATCAAGAAGCGTCGCACAGTCGTTGACTCAGCGAGTTCTCACAATTCCTAGTATTAGCAGAAGTGGTCGCCTGTAGCATTAGAATCGATAGAGACTTTTCTTCAATATGGATAATCATACTGCCCAGGATGTGCCTCGGGCTCAAGAGTCGGCAGAGCCTGAGAACGAGCCTGTTCATCGGGCATCAACCGTGAGAACCAACAGCACGCTTCATCATAATGAATTTGATGATCGTTTCTTGTCTAGGTAAGGGCAATTTTCATCCGGATTGTACTTCGGGCTATCGTTCAAATAGCTGACTTTAGTATGAAATAGGGTTCGATCGTTCTTCAACCGTGACACTCATATTGGACACGTTACTCGCCATCCTCTACGAGGCGATAAGAATATTGAGATCCACACGTGGGATGGCCCCAATGACCCTGACAATCCGTGAGTCCTCGGGCCTTGCCTACTGAAAGGCGACATAGTGTGGAGAACGGGATACTGATTGGCATAGATTCAACTGGAGCAAGACTTACAAATGGATCCTCACACTTACAATCTGTTTTATGTGAGTCTCATCCCAAACCATTGATCATTCTCAATGCTGCAAGTTTGGTGGCTAACAAAAAACCTGCGATAGATCTATCCTGACGGGGTTGCCGGCCGGATCTTACGGCGCTGGTAATAACTATATGGCGCAGCGCTTCCATGTTCAAAATGAGCCATTCCCGAATCTTGCATGGGCAACCACATCCTGGAATATGGGAGCAGCATTCTGGCCACTGATCTTTGTGCCTCTGACAGAGTCTTCTGGTCGCATGCCGGGATACTTCGTCTCCTATTTCATACTGGTCGTCTCTCTATTCCCATCAGCCTTCGCACAAAACTTTGCTACCCTGGTTGTTACCCGCTTCTTCGGTGGCGGAGCATCCTCTGTCTCCATCAATATCGTTGGAGGCAGTATCAGTGATGTTTGGTACGGTGACAAGGCTCGCAGCTTGCCCATGTCACTTTTCGGGTTTACTAGTGTTGTGGGAATAGCTTTGGGTCCATTCATCGGATCTGCTATTCAAACGATACACAAAAATGATCCGTGGAGATGGTAAGACAAAAAGTCCCCTTCCCACTTAATACTTGGACGATCTAATGGATAGCAGGATCTTCTATATTCAGATCATCTACAATGCTGCGCTTATTCCGGTGTTCTGGCTGATACTGCGCGAGACACGAGCCGATGTCATTTTGAAAAAGCGGGCCAAAAAGCTACGTCGCGAAACTGGTCGTCCGATCTACGCCGAAAGCGAGTTGAGCACAACGAGCGTGTGGAAGTTGCTCCAGGTCTCCTTCGAGCGCCCTACTCGAATGCTTCTGACCGAGCCAGTGGTTACATTTTTCACCCTCTGGGTTAGTTTTGCGTGGGGGATCCTCTTCCTCTTCTTCTCCAGTGTCGGACAAACATACAATCATAATTATGGATGGAATACTTTCCAAACTGGCCTTGTTCAGCTTGCAATCTCCGTTGGCGCAGTCATCGGCACGGTGATCAATCCACTTCAAGACTGGATCTACTTACGCTCCGCCCATAACAACCGTGAAAATCCCAGTCGCCCTATCCCCGAGGCCCGTCTGTATACTTCTATTCCTGGCAGCCTTCTCTTCGCCGGAGGTCTCTTCTGGTATGGATGGGGAAGCGTGGGCGACGGCTCAATTCACTGGATCGTGCCCACCTTGGGAATTGGCTGCACCGGCGTGGGCATTTATTCTATCTACATGGCTGTCGTGAATTACTTGACCGACGCCTACGAGAAATACGCGGCATCAGCACTATCTGCCGCCTCGCTGGGTCGGAACACATTCGGTGCATTCTTACCCCTGGCCTCATTCCAGCTTTTTGACACGCTAGGCTATGGGTGGGCTGGTTCATTACTTGGTTTTGTCGGCCTTGCCCTTTCCGTTGTGCCAGTGGTCTTGGTTCTCAAGGGGCCCGACATTCGTCGAAGTAGCCCATTTATGCGTGAGTCTATGTTCGACGCGCATGATGAGACGACTCAGGACCGCCAGCCTGAAAAAGCAGATGTGTGAGAGTCGAGATCTGTCCTCTCTGGGTGGGCGTGGTGTAAAGCCCAGTGAATTTGTACCGTAGAGCACTCAAAGACCTTGAATAGCTTCAAGCTCTGCTTCGGGTATGTATTGGGAAAAGCATAACTATTGGAGTTTGTATAATTAATAAGTGGATTTGAAAGATGAGCAGAATAACTAGGGTCATGACCACAGATAACAACGACCAATTTAAATGCTTCGACCTATTAGACGCCGAATCCACGGATCCGTAGACAAGTATTGTACTCTGCCTCAAAGCGATTCGTTTACTTACATGAAATACTCAGTGGAAAACCGTCAATCCCAAGCTTAAGTGTTAGCATTGCATGAGAAACTGGCTTTGCTGGAGTCCTCATGAATGGCTTTTCCAGAGACCCACAATCCCATACCGCACTTGACATAGTGGTCAGCTATATCTCTTCGATGGGAATATAGATGAGAAAGTCTATTCAACTTACTAGACAACCCCCAATGACGACTACAATCAGATTGACGATCAGGAGACACATTTTCTGCCATGATTTACCATACTGTCCCCAATTCAAGAATAACCAGAATATTCCACTGAGGCCGTCTATATTTTGTATTCATTAGCACTGTTTTTTTTCCTCTTGAGGGCACTTACACGTGAACCAGCTTGCGAAGAGAGCGGTCTATAAGCACATTCGTTAGTTTCATTGGCCGGCGTCATGGGAATTTTCACACTCACAATCAAACTGAGCAGGTCGTTGAAAACCGGAATGGCCTCTGCGATGACCCATGCAATAACCCAGAGAATCAATGTAATCGCTACCCAGGATCCAATGGACCCCACGCTTCTCTTGTGCATGCGGTCGGTGCCACGGAATAGACGGACATAGATGTACTTGGCTGCAACGTGGCCATTGATCACTCCAGCGATCACGATCTATGAATCTAGTATCAATATTGTTCGGGAGTTGATCCGGTGGCAGTGGGAGATACCGTTGGGATTGCGATTCCATACGCAATCTTTGCTGTGATTGGAGCGGTCGAGCTGAGGGCAGGGGACTTCACGTCTTTTCCACCGTAATAGTAAATGACTACCGCCGCGACAACATACATACATGTGTCAGTTCCTTGGAGGAGGAACAGAGTCTTGGGGTAGTCTGTTGGTGTTTGCATCTCCGAAATGAACCCGAAGAAAGCGACATGGCCCGCTATGTATCGCCATAGTCAGTTAGCACATCCACGGAGTCAACGATGAGGCCTCCGACGTACCATATGCAAATACAATGTTCGTTACGGCTAAAAACCCATTTGCAACACTGGTTTTCGTTGTCGCATCTACCTGGCCATCTCCGGGCCGTTGTATAGCGATAGCGATCATCGTGATGAGCACGGCAGCAATAATACTGGCAAATGCTGTTCCCAGTTAGCTTATTGTTTCTTGGAATGGCCAGTGTTTGAATACCATACACGCGAAAGAAAACCATGAGACCTTTCTCAACGTCCTCGGGATGGCAAATATGAAAGACACGATTAATCCAACAACACCAAACACGATGGAGCAGGTGCCATGATTGGTGAGAGTATTCATCATGACAGTGAAGGTGAGAAGATGGCTTCCCATGATGAAGACAAGGAAGAGCAGTTGTGCCGTTCCCAGAAACTCTCTTCCAAAGCGGGCGAGACCGAGGGGTCGAAACAGGACCTCCCCAGCGTCGGCCATGCTATGAACATGTGGATAGCGGAGTTTGAATTGGCCTATGACATATCCTGTGTAGGTAGCTAGGAGTCCCAGTCCGACGATGAGGATGACCGCCCTAGAGAAAATGTTAGGTACTCTGGACTTGGTTTCTACTCCTTGAATGGTTTGACACTGACGGGGCCAGTCCGATAGTCGCCACAGCAGAGGGTAGCGACAGGATTCCCAACGAGATGGTTTCGGCGATCATGACTATCGATGAAGTTCAGTGTTGTCTCTTGGGATCGCTCGAAGCAAGGTTAAGGAGAGATCATACTCATGCCGCATTGCCTACATGCAGTCAGAGTCATTAGTGAGTATTTTGTCGGTCGCAATGGGTGAATGCTCTCATACCACCAGTATAACGTCCGGTATTTGACCTCTGCAAACTCTTCGTTTCCGAAAGGGTCCTCATATTGGTGGCCAGAATTCTCAATGTGACTTTTCTCCTCGTCCTTTGTGATGCCATCGCGTTCCCTTAATCTGGCACTCTCGATGGGGTCGCGGTAGGCTTGCGCCATGCTGTGAAGAGCGTCCGATCATAAACTAAACGATTGCTGCAAAGAATATCCGGAACCCGACTTTGATTTGGAACTTGAAGTTCAGAGGCTGGATGCTTGGGAAGACTAGAGAAGGATGAGAAAGACTAATTATGCACACATGAACACGAGAGGCTGGGGGCCTAAATTGATCGAACGGACAGTAACGGCGTCGGGGTCTCATATGCGCACATCCATTCTGTTGATCTTAGGCCTCGCAGGGTACCAGGTTCTATCCATCTTAGACTAAGAAAACGATGTCACCTCGCGACGGGGGCCAAGAAGGTATGGTTGCGGGGGAACTACATCATGGGGGTGGGCCCAAATCCACCAAACCCGGGCGCCTGTCAAAAAGCGTGTCAGCAGGCTTTTTCGTTGCAATAATTTGATTCTCAAACTATAAACTATAACAAATACTTTTGTCACTGTCAAGCCAAGTCCAAAGGGCATAGCTCACTTCAGGAGTTGAAACTGAACCTAAAGGTTTCGGAAGGCCGGCACGATGTGCGCTAAGCGACGCCATGGCTGAGTTTGAGGTGTTATAGCTCTGTCCAACCAAAAGGCTTAAATGCGCCACCCAAAAACAGGTATTATCTGGCCCCTCCAGGAGGACTACAAGCGATAATAGCCATTGGATTATGGTCAGCAACTCCACGGCTATTGGTGGCTGTTTCCAGAATCGTCATCCAGGGAAACTGCTCCGCGGACATATGGGGAACGTGGAGCCAAACACGAGGTCGTGGGGGGTAGTCTGGCCAAACCACTCTCTATGGCAGCCATCCCTCAACTAACGCATGTCGTCGATTTTGTCTTTCTCAAAGCCTGTGGCAATGGGCGATTACTATCATCATGCCTCGTGGCTTCCATGATCGGGTTCTTGCGTCTATGGCGATACGCCTAGGACTATGAACATGATGGATGTATGAAACCTGATATATAGTCACTGAGAAAGACTATTGTTGTGGAAGTATAGTAGGTATGGATGCAATAAATAGCCATCTCATTCCGATGGATGACACATTCACTTCTGTCACCTCAAGTGGTAGTTCATGCAGATAGGATCTGTTTGGTGAAGACAATAATAAATCACGTGACACAGGGGATATCATGACCTCCTTGAATTGGTCACATGACTGGCGGCTGGTCTCGAAAGGGATTAGTCACCGAGTTACCCGATTTATGCAAACATGCACAAGTCGGCATCCATTTTGACGCGAATACCGGCGTAAGCGAAGTGTTTCGCTCACGATGGTGCTAGACCAGGCCCAATTGGGGCTTTTATTCCCCTTTATGAACGGCTTCTCTGGTGGGCCACATACATATCAGTCCAATCATGTGGCCAGTGGCCGGGTTGTGTCTATTCCGGAAGTTGTGTCGTCCCTTTAATGATTACAGCAAAAGGGAGCTGAAATTTTAGCACTATAAAGCGGAAATGGTGCCCCTCTCGCCCTACCTCGACTGAAAAGTAAGGGATAAGATCTCCAACAGAAAACTATCAGAACGTGTTTTTCGCACTCGGTGCGTATCTGATAGCTGGACATCATGAGTGATGATTCGTCGTTTCCCCGGTCTGATCTAGAAAAGGGACTCGGCAATGAGACAGTTGTTTCGATGACAAGCCTTGGCAAAGACTCACAAAAGACCGAGGCCGAAATACCTCAGCACTCTCGACCTGATAGCGACGCGAAGGATCCCAATCTAGTGACATGGGATGGACCAGATGACCCCGAGAATCCGTTCAACTGGAAAACTTACAAAAAAGCCCGGCAACTTGTGTTTATGGCCTTCAATACATTTTTGACGTATGGCAGTCTCGCTTTTTATATGTCCCAACTTCGCCCGATTCTGACAAGCGTTTGCTGATCATTTAATTAGTCCTCTAGCCTCCTCAATGTTTGCTCCAGGGGTGGAAGATGTGATGAGGGAGTTCGGCTCTTCTAGCACGATGCTCGCCTCGTTCGTCGTCTCCGTCTATGTATTGGGTTACATGGTCGGCCCTTTCCTGATCGCACCATTGTCTGAGCTATATGGACGGGTTCCGCTGTATCACGCCTGCAATTTGCTCTTTTTGATCTTTACCATTGCTTGCGCGGTCGCACAAAGCCTCCCACAGTTGATCGTCTTCCGGCTTTTGGCAGGCATTGCTGGTGTCTGCCCACTCACAATCGGCTCGGGAACAGCCGGTGAGTGCTGAATTTGTGGACGTCTTCACACATTGGATCACCGACTAACTTTCCAATCCTAGCCGATATGGTTACTAAAGAAAAGCGTGCTGGTGTCATGGCGATCTGGGCTATGGGACCCATCCTGGGTCCGGTTATTGGACCTGTCGCTGGTGGATTTTTGGCCGAGGCAGAAGGATGGCGCTGGGTCTTTTGGGTGATTGCTATCACGGTAAGACCAAATTAGAAATTGCTTTGTTCCACACAAGAACTATGCCTAATATGTCGATAGACTGGCGTCGTCATTATTGGAACTGTCCTCGGATATAGGGAATCATATGCACCCGTCCTGCTGAAACGCAAGGCCGCTCGTCTCCGAAAAGAAACCGGTAACCCAGATCTTCGAACAATCTACGACACTGGCCGGACACCCCGCGGGCTTTTCTTGTCCGCACTTGCGCGTCCCGTCAAGCTCCTCTTTGGCTCGCCTATCGTGTTCCTTCTAGCACTGTTCGCTGCCGTGACCTATGGTTATCTCTACCTCATGTTCACCACAATCACGTCGATCTTCGAGAACGAATATGGTTTTTCCTCCGGGCTCGCGGGCCTGGCCTACCTGGGATTCGGCGTTGGATGTCTGCTTAGCCTTCTTGTTTGTGGTCGTGTCGCTAATAAAATTGCTGTTACTCACACGGCTCGGGGATGCTTCACGCCGGAATCACGTCTGCCGCCGATGATCTACGGGTGTTGGGCAATTCCTATCGGTCTGTTTTGGTATGGCTGGTCCGCGAAAGCTCATGCACACTGGATTGTGCCTATCCTGGGAACCGGTTTCTTCGGAGTGGGCCTGATTTCCGTCTTCATGTCGGCGAATACCTACCTCGTGGACTGTTACTTAGTTCATGCAGCCTCTGTGGTATGTCCAAAACCGTTCTTATACTTTTTTCCAGCATTCAAGAAGGATTATATTGACTGTCATTTCACAGACTGCTGCTAGCACCGCGTTGCGATCTTTGGTCGGAGCTGTTCTGCCCCTGGCAGGACCGTCAATGTATAGTGCACTCGGACTTGGATGGGGCAACTCTCTTCTGGCATTTATCGCCTTGGCTCTGTGTCCGGTGCCTTTGCTATTTGCGCGATATGGCGCAGCGATTCGTACCAATGCTCGGTTCCAAGTGCGACTTTGATTGAGATTACTTGAAGTTTCTGATGAGCCCGTATAGATTTGCATATAGATATCCCTGATAGAATTAGACATGAATATAGACTAGATGCGAGACAAGATCTGACGTGTGAGGCAGTTGCTTCTTTTGACTTCCATTTCCATCATCAACTCTATAGATGTTCCTCCTTCCTCCAGAATAACCATGCGAGCACAATGCCCGCCTTCAAGAACGCCGCAGTCCATAGTGCCCCCATCAAGCCGACCGAGCTGTGCGCCCAAAGCCCGCCTAGAATAACCCCGAATAAGAGACAGACCACCGCGCCCGTACGACGCATCTCTTCGGCAATACCCACGACCTTGGGGGACAGAAAATCAGGATGAGAGAACAAGTCACAGTAGACACTGGTGAGAACCACACTTGTGAGGCCGTTGTACTTGAGCACGCGACTTGCCACCGCCTGGCCGCTGCCCTGGAATGCGACTAGCGCGAGTGGAGCCAATACCAGCCAGCTCAAGGGGGCATCCCGAGATGGCCTGTACAGTGTCACGATAATGGCTGCCGCGGTGATACACGCCAATTGGGTCAGAAAAGATGCGCAAAGCACCCAGCGTTGCCTGGGAGAAAAAGCGCGATGAAAGGCTGCGAAGCATAGGGATCCCAGGCAAAATCCCGCAATCGAGACGCCCGATTTGATCCATCGATCATCGTCTGTTCCGACCAGACCGAGGCCAAAATAGACCGTGTTCCCAGTCTGCATGCTCACGAAAGAGCCCCAGATAAACACGGCAGAGCTGTCTAGTAGGCCAGTAATGATATAGCAGAAGAGTAGCAGAAGATCTCCCCGCCGCGGGTCGAGCTCATCATGGAAGTAGCGCGACAGCCTCTGCGACCGTGCAGAGGTTTGGCGTGGGTGCCGGTTGCCCAAGAGAGGCTCGGATTCAGATGGCATTTTTACCAGAGAACCAATGCCAGAGATGGACGCTATTTATGGCTTCAAAACAAAAGGCCCGACTATTGACCCGCGTAGAGCGTTGCCAATGGCTATTTAGCTGACTAGGGATGCATTAGCCAATGTCTTCGCAGTCTTGGTAGTGTTCTGCATTCGCGAACGAAGGATTGGCATAAGTACTTGCGAATCTTCCTGGACCTAGTATTCAAAGTACGCGAGTCGCAAAGTACTTGAGTGAGTCCCTCGGAAACGAAGGAGGTTGATAGGACTTAGACGTGACGCTGTGGCTTGTTCGAAGTGGTTGTGAACTGGTTGAACTCTCCTCGTGCGGAGAAAAGCAAAAAAGCGGCCCATCCGACGACTTGTTTCCTCTTCTCCTCCTCAATCCTTCTCCTGCTCCGCTCCCCCACTTCAATTGCCGTCATAGACCCATTCTGTGAGCTAAGTGAGTCTCATAGAGAGCTTAAGTGAAGAATCATAACACAGGAGTGACCTTAGGCTGCCAAATATTACTTGAGCTGCCCGTAATGTTTGGTAAGATCCACTGTGGGCCAACTGGGCCGAGCAGCCGGTCTTCAGCCCTACCGCAGACGGAGAATTGATGACATCCTTGGATGACTCCTGATTTCTTGAAATCTGTAGGAATTGCAGAAGCCGCAATAACCGGATATGTCGGATGAACATGAAGACAAATAGCCATGGTGCGCTTGGACATCCAGTCTATGGGGAGAAAGTGGGGAAATTCTCGGCTTTAAACAGCGCTGGTTTCCCCCCGACGTCTTGACACAGATGAACTGGAGGAAACGATCATTTCGTTCAAGCTGTACTTGAACAGCCTCCTACACCAACAATCCAGTGCCACGGGTGATACTGTATGACTTGTAGTATCTGCTTCTTGCCATCATGCATATTCGATCTCCGTCATTCGCGGCTCTGGTCCACATGGGACTGCTCCTTGGTGCATTAGCCAGCCCTGCACCCGATCATGCACTGCAGCAATTGATGCAGGTTCCACCTAGGAACCGCCAAGATGTGTTTGGTAGCCCTCCATTCACCCCTGGACATCAGGACCCCTTCGACCACAAGATTGACTCGGTCGGCGAGGGCCGTGAACCATTACCGTTCCGCAATGGCGAAGGAGCGACCGTCCAGGGCCCGCGAAACAAAGACCGCGAGCGTCAGAACCCTGACCTCGTTCGTCCTCCCAGCACTGATCATGGCAGCATGTCCAACATGCGGTGGAGCTTTTCTGACTCGCATACGCGCATTGAGGTAAGAATTTTTAGCCAGTTGAGCGGCACTGACCAAATTTCTTTTTTTTTTTTTTTTTTTAGCGACATCTGGCTGACCAGTCTTTTAGGAAGGCGGATGGACACGCCAGACGACGATCCGCGAGTTGCCCACAAGTCGTGAGCTAGCTGGGGTCAATATGCGCTTGGATGAAGGCGTCATTCGAGAACTGCACTGGCATACCGAAGCTGAGTGGGCATATGTTCTCGCAGGTCGAGTTCGGGTGAGTTTGTGAATTATTCACTACGCTGAAGGTCTGCGCCAAAAATATGACTGCCAATCTAACTCGTTGATTGCACTAGGTCACTGCACTCGACCCCGATGGAGGCAGCTTCATGGACGACCTTGAGGCTGGAGATCTGTGGTATTTCCCGGCAGGACACCCGCATTCTCTGCAAGGACTTAGTCCCAATGGCACTGAGTTTCTCCTGATATTTGATAATGGCCACTTCTCTGAAGAGTCTACTTTCTTGCTGACGGACTGGATGGGTAAGTCATTGATTCAATGAGCACCCGACCGTGAGCTTTCAAACTCATTCTTCTCATTAGCACACACATCCAAGTCGGTGCTAGCTGAAAACTTCCGCCTGTCTCCCGATAAGTTCAAGTCAATTCCGACCTCAGAAAAGTACATTTTCAAGGGATCAATGCCGGATAGCATCGAAAAAGAGAAGCCCCGTGGCTTCCGTAAGTCAAAATTGCAGTTCACACATCACATGCACGCACAGGACCCGATTCGGACATCGGGGGGCCAGGTGAGAATTTCAGACTCCACCAATTTTCCAATCTCGAAGACAGTCGCTGCAGCCCATTTGGAGATTGAGCCTGGTGCACTTCGAGAGATGCACTGGCACCCCAACGCGGATGAATGGAGTTACTTCAAGAAAGGTCGTGCACGAGTCACAATTTTTGCTGCCGAGGGCAATGCGCGGACATTTGATTACATGGCTGGCGATGTCGGTATTGTTCCCCGCAACATGGGGCACTTTATTGAGAATTTGAGCGATGATGAGCCTTTGGAAGTACTTGAACTCTTCCGGGCGGACAAGTTTCAGGATTTCTCGCTCTTCCAGTGGCTGGGAGAGACGCCAAGACGGATGGTTGCGGAGCATATCTTTGCCTCTGACCCTGATGCTGCAGAGGCTTTCTTAAAACAGATTGAAGGGGCTGAGAAAGATCCCATCAAGGATACCAGCTCCTAGAGGATTGTCTTTCCTGTCATTCAATTTCTTTATTTACTCTTTCTATGACTCTGCAATCAATCTACACATTACGATATAAAATGAGCATGGTCAAGATTCCCAGCCTGTCTGCATAGCTGTATGAAATCGGACTTCCCGTCCCTTATGATCTACCTACAAAATGTTATTGACTCAAATGCCAAAATTCAGTATCTAGTTTCGGTCGTAAATGGCATTATCTCGTTATTTCGAAAGATCGATCGTGGCAAGGTCAGACATGTGCAGCTTGGCGCTTCCGTACGGCCGAAGTATAGCCTTTGAGCCTCAAAGGTATCACCAAGGCATTTCCGCTCATTCTTTGGAATGGGAGTCCCGAGGACCGCCCCCAGAAACAGAGACCAATCAAGGTGGCAAGCCTTCGCTGTAATGTAGGCGGGCAGCTTTCCATCTTCAAACGTTGGCGAGGGTAGTGGTCCAGAGCCCTGATGGAATACCAAAGTTGTTGGATCGATGGCAATATTCCATTGTGTAGTATTCACTAATGTATAACCCTGAGCTTGAGGAGGATATATTCCAGCCGGGTAAGCTGTCTTATTGTTGTAGAACTTTGGCGGTCCAGAGGAAACAGTATAAGGGATATGGAATGCATATAACAGCGGGCTCTGTAGAAAAAAACGGTGTCATCCGCACGAGGGACTACTTGCAATTCCATTCTCAGACCATATCGAATATTCGTTGTTCCCGAGGGTACTTTGAGTTCGATCGGCCTTGATTGCGGGTCCACGGGTGGTGCAATTATCGGGGAATCGCCAATCTTCACCGTAGTACTGGTAGCCCACTTGGGTACACGCAAGTACAACTCGAACGGATCCTGACATTCGACAACATATAACAAGCTGTTGTTGAATGGGGAGTCTGTCTGACAGTCAATAGAAACCGGTTTGCCTTGAACTTCAGTGTTGAGCCTGCCAGGACTGAGTAATGCATGGACAAGGCCCGTTTCCCTCTTTTTGAGGTAGCTATACATGGTAAACTTGGGATAACCATGCGGGTTGTTCACGGTACAACAAGGGTAATTGAGCTCTAGGCCAAATGTTTGACTCTGTGTGTTATCGTCATAGAATGGTGTGGCAGGTAAGTCCTTTGAGAAGGGCTGATTCGGCTCCGTCATGTATTGATGACTCTACCAGTCCGCAGGCACGGCAGCGGGCAGAGCGTTGAAGGCAGTGAGTTCAGCACGATCTGCGTAGTCGGGATCGCCAATTGCAAAGTAGTTGTATGAAAGTGAATAGATTGTCTCCACGTCCGTGCACAATTCTGAGCTGTAGGGTAGGGTAAGGAGAGAAAGTTTTGGTGGCCCTTACCCCGTTCTTTGCGGTTGTCAAAAGGCTAGCAAATGAAGTAGAGCGCCGCAAAACCGCATCATACTTCAGACCTTTGATGAAGATCGAGTTAGAATGCTCCACGTTATTCTTAGGCTGGGGTCCTACCTTCTGCAGTTGTGACGCCATGGAGGAATGCCCACTGATCATCCGTGGCAGACTGAGGAATATTATAAAGATACTCCTTGATATAGCTGCCCTCAGTGTACCAGCCTTCCCACTTGTAGGCAAACTGATGGAGCATTCGATGTTTTCTTTGAGAAGTTCGCTGTGGTCACCAGGGTGATAGTCGATCAACCACTGGAGGCTAACAATCATATCTTCTGCACGTGCATGAAACCATAGAAAATCACCGGCACTGGGTTTGTCACCCTCGTGATAGATCATTCCGATACCGTTCTGTTTCAACATGGAGTTATGAGAACATTGAACCGGTACATCGCATTGACTACTGGCTCTTGATAGGTTGAATTTTCATCGGCGAGATTGGTTAGGCCCAGGAATAGCAATGTCCTTGCCTAGATCATGCGCCCTCCGCTGTCAAGTATTTCGGGTCCAATCCAGCCATCTGGCTGAATGCGATCCAAGATTGTATCAACAACAGAATGAACTTGGCCTTTCAGCCTCTCATCTTGCAAAGTGTATAAAAGAGGAACGAGAGCGTTGACCCAGTATGGCATAGCCTCGTTCAGATCACTGTATTCAGAATTGCCTCCTATCCAAGTTGAATCTCTCACGAATCGCCAAAAGTCATACAGATGTCCTCTAGGCCGGCTGCGGATGCCTCAAACTCCGTGCGAAGCCATCCGTTTGGACTGATGCTCCCCAGAGGCAGGGGCTCAGATGCGAAAGGAACCACTGTTATGTAATTGATCAGAGGGAATCCATAACAGGCATAACCTAAACAATAGTGCTTAGGACTCACGACTAGAGCTCGCTTGAGCAGGCCTTATCAGACATGCGAAGCCTACAAAGGGCAAAATCAGGCATTTTGAATGCGGGAGTTTCATTGTTGTGATCGAAGAGTGCTGTTTCTCCGCCCAACTTCAGATGAAAGGCAACTTATGTCTCTATGTACCAGAATATATCATCTTTTTATGCTGTGTTTGGGAGATACCCGGCTTCTATCAATCAACAACTATCGCATGGACACGCAAGTGAACTGATGATCTTCTGGTGGGGTATACCATATATGAGAGGAAATGTAACCCCAATAAAGGTCTGTTCTTACTGACGTATCATTCTATTGTGTAGATCCCGGTGGCACAGCCAAAGCGATCACGTCAATACAGATTTCGTCAGCATGTTGCCTAATATGGAACATTGAATGTGTACAGTCAAACTCTATCGGACATTTTCATTTCATAAACTCCGTGCTCGTGAATCAAAACACAGCAGTGTTATTACAGTTTTTTTTTCTAACCTCGACTAGATAGCCAACATCCAGATGCAGCCTTGCCAGATTCTTTGTCTCGTCGCTTGGGACGCCTAACCGGACCTTTCCTTAGACGCGGATGACAGTCCCGTTCTCCTTCCGGGCGAATTCAAAGAAGCTCTTCAAGTAATCATGCTTCGGCCTTCCCACAACGAATACCGCAGGCTTGCCGTAAGGTGCTGGAACCATGATCTTCTGACCACCGTGGTAATTTCTTCCGGTCCAAACATGAGTGTACACCTCATCCGTGCCTGGCAGATAGACATCAACGCTCTTGCGGCCTGGATCGAGAACGGGTGCGACATATAAGTCAGCTCCCAAGAAGAAGCTTTCATAGCTGATAGCCTTTGCTTTCGCATCATCTGGATGGTAGATGACAGGCATTCTCAGCAAAGGCCATCCCAGGTGCTTGCTTTCTGTGTCCAGAATGTGGCGACGGTAGGTTGCCAGACTGGCATACATCCGCGCATTGTACGCATGGTAGGAGTATGTGGACGAGTTCGTGTAGAACTGGGCATTGACTTGGGGCACATTTCCCTCGTGAGAGCGGAAGACAGCACTGGACACGGCCGACAGCTCCCCCCAGCGGCCCAGCAACTCCGCAGAACGATTGACGATTCCATTGCTATCCCAGGTTGTGGTATACCCGCCAACCTCGGTATGTCCATGGGCATAGCCAGACAAACCCATATGACCCATGACCGTCACGGAGGATTTGATGCCATCGTTCACACCCCAGTTGGTGTTCTGATCACCGGCCCAGTAAACATTCATGTAGCGGTTAGCAGCCATTGACGACGAGCGATGGAAGATGATAGCATCGGAGAAGCTCGAGACACTCTTTGTTAGAGAATGGTGCAGCTTGGCCCAGTCCCGAGGATATTGATTATGGTAGAACAAAGGGTCGACGCTGCGATTGGCAAAGTGGGTGTCGGAGAGCACAGGGGTGTATTCACCAAAGTCACCCATATAACCAGAGACATTTGCGCTCCAGACTTGATCGATGAGAACATCGCGGAACCAGGTGCGTGCTGCGGGGTTCGTCAGGTCGAGAATGCCTGCCTCGATACCCGGACCGCTGGAAACAATTGAGGTGTCATTCGTAGTCGAGTTTCGAATCATAAAGCTACCCTTTGTGGCCTCTGAGAAGAGATCACGTCGGAATCCATCCGGCTTCGTACTCACGTTTGCCAGGAATGGGTTGATATAGGACAGAGTGCGAACATTATGCTGGTTGCGCAGGTTCTGCACAAATTTCGGCCAAGATGGGTAAAGCTCCGAATCGTACTCCCAGTTCCACCACAGACGAGAGATGTTAAGACTCATATAGGACACACTCTGGGAATGAGTTCCAGACCTAGCAGAAGTCAATAAACAGTCGGTAGACAAGCATGTATATGGTACTAACCAATCTTGAAGCCAGACGGCAGCGACGGGACAGTCTTGCCGGAGTCCTTGCTCGACAATCTGGTTGACCTTTATCTGGCCACCCTGGATTCCAAGGACGGCACCAGAATCAACCCAAGTAGGAAGCTCCGGCATCCTACCGGTATATTCTGTAAGCATCGTTATGCCGTTCAGCATATTGCTTGCTTGCATGAAGTAGCCATCGACTTCCAGTGCAGCATATCGAACGGTGACCGCATTCAGATCACGGAAATCAAAGTTCGTGTATGCAGTGCTTTCCTCGGTCAGGTGAAACACCCTCGAGTGTGACGAAATGTACTGCGGCACTGCAGTATATGTGGTGAATTGATCGCCTCCAGCGAAGAAGCTATCTTCGCTTTCAAGGTCTGCGGTGGGCTGATCCCCACGACCAACTCCTTGTTCCCGCGAGAAGATAGGCACCGATTGGTTTTTCAATGATGCAAACGATGCCTGGCCACCCAGACCGTAGATGTCTTCTGAAGAGGAGGAGCGGTAGGTCAAGAACAGCTTTGTCTCGGGGTCCTTTGAGGAACTGCTCGGGTTCACGTCGATGTGAAAAGCGATGCGGTCCGGAAATTCGGTAGGCACCCAAAGCGCAAGAGAAAACGCAGCTGAACTGTTCCCACATCCAGTGAGGAATCCTTGGATCACAGCCGCTTGCTTGTTGGTACTGCTTGGCCATGTCTTTTGAGCGACACGACTGATGTGCTGCCCCGTGCATTTGCTGCGATCGACCTCGTTGATCTTGGAGTTACCACTCGAGCCGATGACTTGGTCGGAACCCGCGCTGGCACTGAGAAAGGGTTGGTGGGCAATGGTCTGCCAGATGATCTGCTCTCCACGAGAAACCGCGAGGTGATTGCTGCTTTGGTTGACTGTGAGATCGAAACCACTCCCGAGGTTCAAGGGGGTCCGAGTTGCAAAGGAGCACGGCACAGACGCGGCAGCAATGGCTGTCCAGATCCATGTCTTGGAGCTTCCCAGCATTGTGGCTGATGCTGGACTCAAAGTGACTAGTTCAAAGCAGGTTGAGTGCAAGAGAAACAAGGGTCAATCGGCGGTGGACCTGTCATTTTAAGAGCGACTGCCGAAGTCCTCGTCTTCGACGTGAAAACAATCGAGTTCTTGCCGAGTCGAGGCTCCCGACCGCGACTAGAGAAGTGACAGGATACCCGACCAAAACAACCGACTTGGCCAACGGTGCCCGGTTGTAAATGAAGATCAGCTTCAGGGATGAGAGTCTTTGGCTGTTTAACCACGCAGGTGGCGCCATTGGCCCCACTATCGTCGCCTATGCTCGGCTCGCGTCGACGTCTCCGTCGTGGTGCGGACAGATGCCGACCGGCCCTGTTGAACGAATTGCCGTCCCCAGTTTAGTGGTGATAGTTGATGGGGTTTCTTTGGGGGAGCTGTGGAGATTCCTTTCTCTTAAAGAATCATGGTTTTTTCTTGGAATTAAACGTCGACTGTTCTTCGCCATGCTTGAATTATAATGGCCCGACTTTTGAGTGATCATAGCTTCCTATTCAGTATAGTCAGAGATTCCAGAATCAACGCCAAGGCTTCTCCAGGCTCTCTACTCTCTGCGATTAGTCATTTTTCATCAATATGGCATCGTCATTCATGAAGAATTCCCTTAGTGTTAGTTACTTGGCCGGCTGATTAATTGTGGGGGTTTGCAGGACTCCACATTGAGGCTTTTATCCACTTTCCTGCACTCGCATCACCTTCTGTATTAGGCAGGGTTGTTCATACTACACGATGGTTGACATAGCGTCATGAAAAGAGCTGAGATGGTAAAGGAAACTCCATAGCATGCCTGCCATACCAAAGGTGTAGAGGTTTACAGATCCATACTTGAGCTTGAGCATCAGAGCGGATCCACTCAGCGAGTCGGGATAACCTTGGACAGGTTTAGCCGTTGGCGGCATTCTCCGATTACATGTGTCATGCTCACAGGGGGGGGAATACTGAGATAGTCCAAAATGTTCAAATTGAATAGCAGCAATATGTATAAATTTCAACAGCGCTTCCATGCGGAAATCAGCGGACCTGCTCATGTTTTACCACGAGGGCGTGGTGCCCCATGATGTAGGGACGTCGCTCATCTCAAACTCGATTGAGGTTGCATGAACAATTTGACTATGCCGCAGGATCGGCATGGAAACTTCCATTCCATCGACTTTCAAGCCTTTGATATACGGCTTGGTGGGTGCGCCGGGTGCACTAATGACGAGAACCTTATCTTTCTGCTCGGCCATGACACCTCCCGTGGACGCTTCTGATGGCAGGCGGATGGATATTTTCTCGAAGAAAGGTGTGCCAATGACGTACTCATCGCTGGCCGGGTTGACGGGATAAAATCCCAGGGCCGAGAAGATGTACCAGGCGCTCATTTGACCAAGATCTTCATTACCGCTAAGTCCACCACTAGTGGCATTGTAGTATGTCCAGGCGATGTTTCGAATCTCCTCTGCGGCTTGCGATGGGTAGCCAAGGACTGAGTAAAGATAAGGGACGTGATGGCTCGGCTCATTGGTTTGATCATTGTGCCCTCCTTGGAAGTGTGCATCCAACTTGTTGCGCATAGACTCCCGACTGCCAAAGAGCTTGGCAAGTCCTTCGACGTCGTGCATCACATCAAATGTATACACCCAGTCATCGCCCTCAGTCCAACCCCAGGTTATATTGGCCCATGTCCCATTCCCGTTGCGAGCTTGCATGAATTGGGTGTCGTTATTCCAGAGGTTGGCGTAGTTTCGACTGCGGTCCCGAAGTGCGGTGAGAACTTTTTGATCAGCTCCAGCGTAACTACCAACGATGGAGCAGGCATAATCATTGAATGCATAGTCCAGCGTGCGGCTCGCAGACTCGGCCCAGCCATCATTGGACACCCACCCTTGATTCATATAAGCAGTGAGTCCAGCTCGAGCTTCGTAAGAAGTGCCTGGTTCTCGGTCATAGTAGAGAAGCTCTATATCGTGATCCGGAGGGGTATATGCGTCCTTTTGGACGGCAGCCCATGCCTTTGCGATGTCAAAGCCTCGGAACCCACGTTGCAGTGCATTAGCGAGCACAACGTCTGCATTCGTGGCGATCATGATGTTTGTTTCAACAAGATTCGCCCACATCGGCAACCACCCAGACCAGTCGAAGATGCGAAGCAGTGTACGCATCATACCGTTCACTCGCTCTGGGGCAAAAAGGGTGAGAAGGGAATGCTCTGCCCGGTACGTATCCCAGATAGACCACGACTGGTAATAGGAGTCACTTCCCTCGTGTACCTGATCCGTGTATCCCGAATAGAAAACACGCGTCCCATTCTTCCTTCCAGAGGTCGGCTCCGAAAAGTCACTTGGATACTGCATTGCGTGGAAAAGACCCGAGTACCAGATGGTGCGAGGATCATTGCCCGGATCGGTATCGTTGACTCCCTCGATCGTGACGCGGCCAAGTTTCTCGAGCCACTCCTGCTTCACGTTTCCAACGGTGCTTTCAAAGGATGCTTTATCAGGTACCTGGATGTCCAAGTTCTTGCGTGCTTGGTCAACACTGACATATGACACTCCAGTCCGTACCTCGACGCGGGATACGTCTCTCTGGAATTTAACGTAGGCCCCTGTGAAGTTACCATGTCGTTGGTGCGCATGCGTGATAATCTCGTTGCCGTTGGTCACGCCAATTTCCACGAAGGGCTCCGAGAACCGAGAAACAAAATATCCCTTGAAGGAAGGCGCATGATCAGGGCCAAGGAGGTAGTCCTGTCGCTCGGTATTGTATCCGTATACCTCCCTGCGCCCAGAATCGATATGAACGTCACCCGTCCAGTTTCGTCGAGAGACTTCGACGAACACCCAAGGTTGAAAATTTTTGCTATCAGAAACTTTGTCGGCCTGCTCGAAGTCGAACCGGAGGTGTCCGACGTGGGAGTCTGCAGAGAGAGCAACCTAGAGGAGTCGGTCAGCAAGTTATCGTCGTCAAACTCTTGGGAGTGGGGTATATTGACCTGGATCGAGCGTTGGTAGGCAACTTCATTGGAGACATTGCTGCTTAGCGGCTCTGGTTGTATGTCACGCTTGCGCGTTCTTCCATTGGCACCTTGGAGATTAAAGTCAGCCACCACCACGTTGCCCAGCTGCGTTTAAAAAGTTGAGGCAATGCCATACCTTCTTCCACGGTCCCTGGTACCGTGCCAGCTCCTCCCGGAACCGGACCATCCCCAACGGCCTCGGCGGTGGCATTCCAATCCTGATCCATGAGCTGTGTCGCGTCGAGCAGGACCTCGTACACGTAAGCCGTGCTGTATTCGTCTTGCTTGCGAAATGATAGTCCTCGATTTTGGAAGAGCGGTTGCACTTCGCCCAACCCAGGGGTCAGCACCACCTGCCCGGCCTCGCCCATCCAAATGGCCGGCTGGTGTGTAGCTTGGAATCCATGTATCCGGCGGTCGCTGTCTCCATAAGGAACCTGAGAGATGAAATTCTCCCGCGTCTGTGGTGTCCAACGCGTCATGCTAAACGGCGGCGCGACCGATGGAATCATTCCCCCATTGCCATTCGGTGTGGTGCCATACGTGCCAATCCGTGGATTGACATATTTGAGAACACCTGCATCACCATGGTAGTTGGGTGTATCACGCTTGCACTCGCTTCTGGTCTGGCTTGTTGGGTGGGCGGCAACACTCCCCGTCAGAGTGAGCAGAATCGGCAAAATAATGATCATGTCTATGATTTAAACAGACAATCAGTGGACAGAGGGTTCATTGAAGCCTGAATATATCTAGAGAGTTGAATGGATCGGGAGGAAAGGGTCGTTCTTTTACAGTCTCGCGGCCTCCAGCTTTTTCGGTCGCGACGAGATCGAGGAGACGGTCATTTCCATCATATATTCCCCAAAGGCGTCTCGATGCTGGAAGGATACCCCGAGCGGGATTTTCGTCGGTCGAGAGAAGGGTGGAGGTGGGTCAGCGTAACGCTGGGGGAATTCCCCCACACGTTGATCCTCATCCTATTCAGTAGTTTGCGGGGTCCAAACAAATCGGGGTCGCATTCGTCGCGTTTAGACCATCCAGGAATGGCAACCGCCTTGATTCTGTTGTCCCATTCCACTGCCGACCGGCAGATGAAAGCCTGGTGGCCGTACCATATTGACAGTAGTCCGAGGAACTACCTGGTTAGGCTAACCCGCCTGCTATTGAAGAGTTAAGTTCAGGGCCGGGAATTGGGTTAGATACTGGAACTCCCGCCGGGGCGGTCTGCCCGGATACCTGAGGCCGCACCTCAGCTTCCCTTGCCCAGTCGCCAGGTAGACATGAGGGTTCTTAGCTCGTTAGATCAATGGATCCATTTACCAGTCATGAAATGATTATTGCCTCCGAGACCTGGTTAGGTTTCGAGACCAAGAACCGAATGCCGATGGCCTACCTAATGGAGGTGCAGAAGAGTGACAAGGTTTCTCCCACAACGGGGACCATTTTATATGTCTCGAGTCAGTCAAACTTGGCGAATATTTGAAGGCTGACAGCCGCGCTGAGTCTCCTCTGCGACCGGGATTTTTTTAATTGGGTGGATTTACGAGGTCTTGTTGTATACTTTGTGAGCCTTTCAACACAAAATCAAGGTCTTGAATCGATGCATTGTGCAGGTAACAAGCTTGGAACTTGGATGGAAGGATCCAAGACGGGACTGAGATCACGTGATTCGTGTTTACACTCACCCGCCTCGAAAGATGTGAGACTGGATGAAGTCAAGGCCTGTTATAGTTACAAAAATGGTCGACTTAAGATAGAATCACGTGTAGAGGCAGCCTTGATGACCTCGAAGAGCTGAATGCTAATGGTTTGCGATATGTATGCCATCATCAAGTTTCATAGGGCTGAGAGAAGACTAAAAATAACACTTGGGAACGGAGCCCAGCCACACTGCGCTATTCCCGTTTCGGGAGTGTTGCGCCACAACCCAAACAACCCAAACCACTCAAACAGCCAACAACGGGGCGTGTATGCGCGTCCCTTTACCACATGATTCGAAGTCCTTTTGTGTGTAACAACAAAAAGGACAACTTCCCCCATCGTACCATCTTCCATCCCATACTAAACCCGCTGAACCTGTGACAAACTTGGGGCCCAAGCCTTGAATATACCTTACCCTTGCCTTGACTGTCTCTCTTCGAATCAACTAGCGCGCCTTTTCGTTTCCCTCACTATGCCTGCTATGTATTCAGCCCTCAGTGGTCGGGCCGCTGACATGGCCCCGCACCTGGTCAAGCGCAGTCTGACCGTGAACCATACTCAGGCTGTTACCCTAGGGATTATGGCCGTGTATGTCGTGGTGATTGCACTTTTGTGGAATCTCCCATATGTTCGGTGGTCACTGTGGCCGTTCAAGGTGAGTTGGACCCAGACCTCCCTTCCTCCTCGGCCCAAACAAAAACCTGGATGCCTAGGTCTGACAATATACGAAGATGCTGGTCATCGCCTTCCATGAGTTTGGCCATGCGATCACCGCGTGCTGTACGGGCGGGAGAGTCAAGTCCATCTCTCTCGATCCTCATGAGGGCGGCGTAACCCATATGCAAGGCGGTATCAGTGCCGTTACCTTGCCGGCCGGGTATCTGGGCTCATCCATCATCGGCGCATTGCTGATCTTTGCGGGATTTGACATTGTCGCCAGCAAGATTGCGAGTATTGTTCTTGGGGTCTGCTTCCTTCTGACTCTGTGGTGGGCCCGGCGAGACTGGTTGACCATCATGACGATTCTTCTTGCGGTGGGTCTGCTGGTGGCATGTTGGTTCATCGCTCACGGCGAAGCATTGAGATGGGTAGTGGTAAGTCTTAATGAAAATCTTTGATATATGTGTCTGTGATGAGAATTGGCATCTGACCATACGTACTAGCTCTTCATCGGGGTCATGTCTGCGCTCTACAGCGTCTGGGATATTGTAAGTCTTCTAACAATCAACTTTGATCAGGCATCCAGTACTGATATTGAAAATCTATAGTGCGATGATCTTGTCCTGCGCAAGGTGAACTCATCCGATGCCAGCGTGTTTGCTAGCAAATACGGAGGCTCCTCTCAATGCTGGGGTGTCATCTGGTCCATTATCTCCCTCTTGTTCATGGCAATTGGTATCATCGGTGGAATTGCGGCCTTCCCCCAATCATTCAGTGAACAGGAGAATGGCTCCAAGCATTTCATTCCCACCTAGTGGGAGCCCCCGCGGATTTCACGTAATGTCACTAATGACTGAAATGCATAACAATGGATGAATCGGATACCAGGGGCCTAGGGAGCTAGAATAAAATGAGTATATGATACAGAAACAAGAGACGTTCAGGTATATGGAAGTTTGCATTTAGAAAGTATCGCCCAATGGTAATTTTAGCTTTCATGCAGTTGCTTTCTGTATAGTTGTGCTTGTATGAGGTACGACTGTCACTAGTGGGAATCTCTGTACGCAGGACATCTCACCTACTAATCGTCTCTTGTTATGGCCCACAACAGGGCTAGCTTCAAGTGAGAATCACTACAAAACCACCCCACATGGGGGTTAATTTACATCTGGAGAACCTGAAATTATCTGACCACTTGACTCGTTATCAAATAATTGGAATAAAAGCAGAAACGATCGACAATCAAAACGATCACTTCGAGAAGAGAAAGAAAGCACAAAAATTGTAGACTGCGGAATATGAGACGAACAAACCCACGTAAACATCTGGGTCCCCTATCCTCACGGCGGGAGGTCATATGAAAACGAACCCAATGAACGTAGGTCCCACAGGGGATCAGATAACGTCGCTCAAGTCTCAACAAAGGTTAAGAGAACCAACATTGGCAGCTTTGCGGTGGAATAGCCTCAGCCTCATCCCAGACCGTGTCTCCAAAAGATGCGGGAATTTGACAAATGAAGTGCTTGGACTCTAAGCTCCAACTATCGAGTCTTTTGCCCGCCTCGATCTGGACTTAATAGTTACCTGGGGAGCCGGTACAGTGGAACCAGGTGCATCGATCCGCTCCCGGATGACCTATCAGAAGCATCCAATGAATGGGAGCATCTGGGCTGCGTTGTTTATAAACTGCAAGCCAGATATAATAGCAGCTTTGATCAATCGAGCCCATGTTTATTTATGGTACGTTTGAATGGATTTCGAAGGCGGATGGTAATGAAAAAGATTTGGATGTACGGAGTCTGGCTTGTTGACCGTGCTGCTGAGGGTGGGTACCGTTCAATTCTGCTGGGAATCGATGTTTTATAAGAAATTACTCGAGAGATGTTAGTAGTCGTATGTTGGTCATGGGAATCCGCAACGCCAAGATAAATCCAATCCATCTTTGTTCTTTTTATCCTCCTTGAACCAAGTTCACTTGTCCTTTGCTGATTGATCATGAAACTCCATTGTCCATCAGCACATTGGTATTCTTAACAAAAAGCGTCTTTCTCTTTCTCTCAAAGAAATTGTGGATGTGAAATAACAAATTCATTCCGAAATAACCTTTGAGATCTAGCAGGCGATAAAGATTGGAACGACGCACATGTCCTCCTGATCTCATCGATCTTCAATTTTGTACAGACCCTAGAGTAAGTACAAGTTAGTGAGCCTCGAAAACAGCTCATTGATGTCATTTGCCTACTGTCTCATGGTCGAGGGCGGTGCTCTCAGGAGTATAACTCCAATCCGGCGGTGCGATCGTAGGAACAATGCGAAAGATGGTTGGGGTCTATCCGTGACAGCCCTGACAGCCGAACCCCGCCTGCTTTCAGATGCAGACGGCCAGACAAGATCTTTTGATCTAAATCGTATGTTACTAAAGGCAAAGACTTCCTTCTCTGCTTCTAAAGAATTGAAGGGAAAAGAATTTGGCAGGCCAAATAAAGAGGTTCAATATTAACACATTATATTTAAGCACACATTGCCTCCAACGCCATGCAAATTAATATATAGAGATAAATACGTCGCGAAATCTACCTATGCGTAGAATTGACCAGCAGTGGTACCCGGGTTGATCCTCTTCTCGTTGCCGGCGCGTACTTTCGCTCCAAGGCAGCGACCTGGATGCCAAACACAAAGCAGAAGAGCCACAAGGGCGATGGGCGCAAATTCGAGGCATGCAAAATAGACCTCATGTGTTGAGAGCTTCCCGCCCAGACCCTCGGCCGTCTCGATGAGACGGAAGATGGTTCGCATGTAGACCATGAGTGTCGAGAGGGAGAAAGATAGACAAAACACTTGGAAGCCGTGCTGCTTGATTGCATGGCGGGCTCGGAATTGGAATGCCGCCATCAGCAGGACAAAAATGCTCATAGCGAATACTTGGTAAGCAAGGCCTGCCAGAAGGATGTTGTTTGCAGTCGTGGGATCTTCACGTCGAGACTCTTTCACGCCAATGAGGGTGGCACCCGCAATTTGCACGATTGTTGAGATCGCGTCTGAAGTGATGAAAAAACCCAGGATAACCGTCGGACGGAGAAAGGAGTACTGATTTCCAAGCCTGGAGATAAGAGTCGAGAGAATTGTATAAACTCCCGCGGCGAGGAAGACCGGTGCAGTCACGATGAAGAAGTAGTTGAGAACAAAGTAGATCAGGCTGTAGGGGTCCTTTTTGGCTGATAAGCTCCTGGCGATGTAGCCTATAATCTCGAACACCAAGCCGGAGGAAAAGGTCATCCACCACCAACTTCGATATTTCCAGTTTTGCGCCGTGTGGGTAATCAAGTGAATAAAGAACCATGCTGCAGCAAAAGCCGCAATGGCTAGAGATGGCGTGTACCCGTAGATAATGATAGTTGTATCGTTTGGTCCGCCAGGATTGGGGAAGTCTGGGTCGACATAGCCAAATGACCGTGCTATATTGATGGGTTAGCTTTTGAATGTTACACTCCTTTAACGAGGCGTCCTCTAATCTCCAACAGGGGCATTAATATACCCACGATATTTTGTACACTCATGTTTCAAGTGTTTACTTGAATCTGACCCTGTTGCAACAGAAAACAGTGCCTTTGGCTGCAGTTTGACTTCGAAAGAAATATTCTTTGGCCGTTAACACGAGGAAGCAACCTCAGGAGTACTTAATACTTAAGTCTTCCAAACCCTACCTCGTAAGTGGCGTCATTACAAGACTAGCCGAGGAAGCTGCAGTCTGCCAGAGCTTGAGCACGCCTCTGATTCGCCACGATTTCACCCATCACTCCACTCGCCAAACCCAGGACCCAGTCCCGATCTTTTCTCGATCGCCAATCATCGAGCAGGAGATCGCAGAAGTGGAGTCCTAGCCGCAAGTTAAAGGAGGCACAATCAGGATCATTCCCCCGATCAGGTATTTTGAGACCACGTGGTCCTCGCTTAAATCTGTCGATGCTTGGCTCACTGCTCCATGCGGCATGCGGACCTTCTCTGCTTCTCAACTTTCGTTGTATTACTAACTATAACCAATCAATTTGTCCATCGGATTTAACCTAGCCGATCTGGATTCCATCATGATCAGGTGTCAACCAACTATAATCTGAAGACTCCCCCAATTCTGACTAGCTCAAGGCGCATGTTGAAAGTTGTGCACAGCCACGCGTGGTGGAAATTGGATACCACAAGCGCCAATAGGCTATGAGTCTCCTGATATTTCAAATCACGATCGAAGAAATAAAAACCATGACGTCGTGGAAAACGCCTACACAAAAGAGTGAGTGACATGGTTCATAGTGTTCTTGAGGCCAGGGCGAAACAATTCAATGTCACTGGTCTACGTGGATTTGGCCAAAAATGCAAAGGCTGTTAATACGCATGATCAACAGGGCCGGCCAGAGAGCCGCTCCTGTCCTTTCAGGTGAAGGATGTTACGTCTTCAAAGACTAGGATCCACCATTTAGGCTTCGAATGAGCATCGTTTGACGACCCACAGAGTCTTTCAGAAACTATATCAATTGGCAAGCACACCCATAGATCGGGTAGCTTATATATGACTAAAAGGGTAACCATGTATCATTCCAGCCTTGCGTAGAATGGAATTAAGGACATGGGTTTTGCTTTAGCCGTTGAAAATCAGGGCCGTGAATGGTTCCGAAAACCCATTTTTAAAGTCTTTCTTCTTCTTACCTGGACCCAAGAATGCCCAGTCTTTGTAAAAGGACTTCTTACTGATCCTTGACATTGTGTTGTCTGGTGAGTCTACTCGTACGGACTCATCAAACGATTTCTAAGGACCATCTGGGGAAATTCCTCCTCGCCAAGTGTCGTCGTGTGAGCCCATGGGTTGGGTTTGTTTTCTTGCTTAATGGTACGCACAAAGTAATCAGTCCAATGTAAACGAGGAAAATGGCTTGTAACATCCTCAATAGTCGACTTGTGCACGAGATCATCATATGAACCGGTGTTATCTGTAGGATGACAAATGAGGTATGGTCTTCCCGAAAATCCAAAAGCCGGAAGTAAAGAAGCTCTAGCAGAGAATGAAATACCAAAGATTGTCGCCAGCTGAAGAAGCTGACCCGGGGCAGGTATTTTGCCCTTCTCGCACAGATCCTGATGTCGTATGATAGCTTCAGCCACACTTTCAGCCCGTTCTTTCGGCGCGAGAGCACTCTCTGAGTTCTGCAAGATCTCCAATGCCAGAACCCCCCCCCCCCCCCGTAAAATTCGAAGCTCATTTTTGTCGCCTTCAGGTTTTCTTCTGTTGTTCCGATGTCATGAAGCAAACATGCAAGAAAGTAGGTTTCGTCCGAAAAATCCTAGTCCGGACATCTGTATTGCTTGTTTGCCATTCCATAGTGGTATACGCGAAGAGAGTGGTTATAAGTAGGTGCAGCCAGATGAGCTTGGGCATATTGGTTGATTCGCTGCGCCAATGGCGTGGATGGGATCGGTGTTTCGGAGACGCGAATAGAATGCGGTGAGCTTGGTCGACAAGCTGCCTTCAGAAGATCGGACGCTGAGGAGTCTACGGCTGTGAAGCCATAAAGGACATTGGAATCGTCGTCAGACCCACACATTGAAAGACTCGAAATGAGTAATTTGTTCCTTCAGTTTATAGGCGAAGTGTTATCTTTTCTATTTATGGTCCATAAAATGGTCTCGGCACTATTTGGATCCCCAGAATTAAGATTCTGATGACCTGTTGAAGTTTTCCCACTGAAGTAAATAAATTTAGATGAATACTCTTGTTGATTGAGTTTCATGCAGTCATAATGCAGGCTAAATGCGGCCGGCTAACTAGCGTCGAAACACTTGCCTAAAGCGGAAACACGTCCAAGACCTTACATCTAGTGATACGGAGATAAGGCTGTACCCCATGGTGGATTCTCTAGACTCAAGACTTGCCACCCCGAGTATAGCGTAGTAATTTTCAACCCAAGTTCGCAATGCTCATGGGCCCTTTATGTGGTCCACGGGACTCTAGAGGACATAACTCGTTAGGGAGGCGCCTGAAGTGGCGATCAGGGTTTTTCCGAGCATAAACCAAAGATACAAGTTTAAGAAATTTTAGTAGTACAGCTGGACACAGGTGTTGGATTTTAAGGACAAAATTCGATTGACTAATCTAGAAATAACTACATTCTTCACGCAGCATGGTCGTGCGGAAAGGAACCCTCAATGGCTCGCTTTCCATACTCTTCTCCAGCAGCACGTCGAATGGCGGCGCTCAGTTCATCCGGTTTACTGTAGAAAGGCTGTGTGATGCATCCATCGTATTCGTCTTGATATCATATCCTTTGGCAGTGCCTTCCACCATTACCTTCTGCACTTACATTGAAATGGCTGCATCCCGAAGGCAGTATAGATAAGTACCGGAGACCCTTTTCCATGCCGCATAGTGCATGGGCTAAAAGATGCCTGGTAGCTGTGAGGCTTTAAAGCTGCCACGGCATTCTTCACCTGACTCTCATCGCAGTCGTTGGAAAAAATTGTCTCAGGAGTCGCTGGTTGAACTTCGAGTTGGTCCTACGATACCATGAACCAAGGTAGTCCATTTCCCACAAAAGCACTGAAAAGCGAATGACCCTCGGCGATGATAAAAGAGCAGCGAAAAAAAGATGGGCCACGCCTCCTGTCAGGCCCTTTTCCTGACGCGTGCTGATGTCTAACCCCGGAATCGCTTCATTTGCTGGCAGGCTGCCGTATGAAGGAACGACAATGAGAATCTGTCGCCCGTCATCGATAGCCATTTCGATTTGGGCACGGATATGCGAAACATCTGCTTTGAAATCGTGATGATGATTTGGTGGGTTGACTGACGGTAGGTGAATCTTGAATGTCTTGTAGTTTGCGGCTTCGAGACGCTGTATGACCGGATCAAAACAATCTGTGCTATGCCATGCCCCAGGAACGAACGAAACTGTCCTGATTTCAGACATCACAAAGTTTATACGGATGATAATAAGGTATGAGTCAAGGGATAGATGGGGATTCAAGGAAAGTGGTGATGTAGGCGCTTTATAAGCTTCCTTACGTCTACGCTAGCTTGCCAAGAGTATTGTATCACCCCGTAACGATCCGTAGCGATTCTGTGATTGCTGCATAGTCGCCTCTCCTCTCTAGGCAATTTCTGGCGACATCATCCGAGGGCCGCAATTGCTTCTTTTTTCATTTACGTCGGCACTTTTATTGTATCAATCGCTACTCCGTCACGTAGGTAAAGATGGTGCTAGCGAGAGCGGCATGGGATACGCATACCATACCAACGGCTGGCATGGCATGCCTTGATCGTGAAGTAATTTGAATACAGCACACAATACTTGAAGACTTCGTGTTGATCGACTGGTAAGACATACATAAGCCAGCGATAGGATCGCTTCAGGGCGTGTCCAAATTGCGATATAGATCTGATAGAAATGGATGCCACTCTACTTTTTTTAGAAGATAACAGCCGACTACAGTCATGGGGTATGATATCAAAAAGCAGGAGCGGCGTGGGTGTTGTTCATGATTATAGGAGTGACGGGCTTGAAGCATACAGTCATCCTACAAGCTATGATAACTAAGACACGGAGTCCCCCGGGGGTGTCCAGTATCGACCGCGCTTCTCGTGAGTCGTGAGTACAGTACACTACAGTACTCCACAATACGGTATTATTGGGGGCTGAAAATCAGTGGAAGCCACGTAAAGAAAGCCGTGGCATATCCACCCAAAAAGCCACCCGGGGTCTCCAGATCGCAAGCTAGGTCTTCAAGAGAATTAATAAACTGTCGCCATTCCGTCGGCGCCACGTCGAACTGGTTACCCAAAACTATTCCACACTGTTGTTCTGAGCTTTGTTGCCAACATCATCTTCACAACCCGTCTCCCCCAGGCACTTTGCCAAGAGAATCTGTGGGGTTGTATGCAAGCGCAACAACTCCCGAACTTGGACTTCATTTGGCAGTGACAAACACAATCCACATAGTTGCCTTCTATGGTGTATCGTGGCAAGCTGAGTGCTTCTTGCGAGCGCTGTTGCAGTCGTCGCTTAAGGGCGAGGTCACCGACAGTGCAGTGCCAGCTGAAGGGAAAACACACTTGAAACAACAACTTGAGTCTGACGCTTGCAGTAGTGCGATCAAGACAATCCGTCCTGTACACAATGCATACGTGCTAAAGTTGAATGTCCTGGATATCGTGATCCCCTAGATTTTTGTTTTCGTGATCGAAGCCAGGAAGTCATTCGCAAGTCACAATCACAACGCCCTACTCGTAATAAACGCACGACGACTACTCACACAGACCTCGCCATACCGCTCACTGATAGTGGTCCCCATTTGCCTTTCCCACAACCTGTTCCCCAGTATCCTGCACAAGAGCTAGCCCAAGGGTGCCTGTTTTGCAATTATATGTCTGGCGGTCCTTGGGCAGATCACATGTCATACTTGGTGCCTCTGATCAAAGATCCGCAGAATTTCGCCGTCAATGCTGCGCTTAATGCTGTCGGGCTAGCTGCTCTATCCAACATTCGAATGGCCCCCCCAGATGATGCTCAAAGCACGCCGAGAGTATATCACGGCCTTATCACATACATCATCAGTTAGGTACTAAGGTTCATTCAAAGTACCTAACTGATCAACCTGTATAGCAATCGAACGGCAATCAGCGGCAAGGCAAGAAAAACGCAGAAGATGCCCTTTGACTCGATTCCATCTTGTGAAGATCGCGCACGGTAACTACCCACAACCCCGCAACAGACAGGTGGCAATGTAGATCAGAAGGAACAGAATTATGGCAGCACGGGTTTCAGCTTTTCCAGTACTATGTTCGGACACGTCAGATGACGCTTGGTCTGTGCCACCACTGATTGCAAGAATAAGTGCAATCAAGGCTGCGATATGGAGTAGCTGAACGGATTTGCTCCGGTAAGACGTAGCGGTTGCTTTCTTCGTGTATATGGAGGAACTATAGCACAGGTTATAAGGTTAGACAGCACATGAAGATGTGAGTGATAGGAGCACTTGATTCAGCTTCAAGTCCACTCACAGTTTACCAAAGACGCCAGACGCCGCTCCTAGAACCTGTAAGGCAAGGTTGCCTCCCGATAGTGGATCTGAAGAAATGCGATCAGATGTTTCGTCGAAGCTATTCCAGGATCAGCGCTGAGTTACCTCGGTTTGGGAGGTATAAGAACTTGGAAAGAACTCACATTCTCTTCACAAGGCCCAATGTGGAGAGCAGCAGTGAGGAGAGGCCAACCGACTGCAGGATTGTTGCCCATTCTTTATCGTTGGCGTTTTCAGGGTGTTTCGTGCTCAGGGTTTCCATAATAGAACCACCGATGCGGATTCCACTGAAGATGCGGAGATATATCCATCCAAGTTGCTTATAGAAACCAGGGCGAAAGACCACGAAAAGGGAAAGCAATGCGATCGGGATATAAATGACAAGCTCCGCAATAACGATGTGCTCAGCGGTTATTACTGTCATTGTTTTGTTGATATACAGAATTTGGGGTATCTAAAGTGCGATAGTATGCTCGTCTCCCTTTGATTGTAGAGGTGAATCGTGTGGAGAATTCTTGGGTGATGCGCGGTTTTGCTCACCCACGGAATAGGGCCTTTTATGTATTCCAATGCCCTAAGACTTCTTGGTTCACTTGCCAAGATTTAGGCAAACTCCGTCAAACCTCACTCACTAATATACCAGAGCACAACGCCTTCCTGAATCGGCAAATGGTAACGGAGGTAAAGCCTGTGAATAGGGCACATACAAAGCCCCACTGTCTCAAAATCGCCAGGGCTGAAATTCGGCTCCTTGGGTCGTAAATAATACCTTAACAGGCTTGTACGACATTTCGACGCCCAGAATATGCACCAAAGCTTAGCAAACTTCTACTCCATAATCCAAAGCAGGGATGGCGCGTAAGGCTGACACTGGGGGTCATCCCGAAGACTTGGTAGAGCGGCCCCGCTTCAAAGCCAAAACGGGAAATCGTTTCGATCTCCACTTTTTCAACTATATTCACCACGACACCAGCGCTTGCGGCATGGCGATTCAAATTCATAGGTGGAGATGAACACTGAGATCGCTGTCAGAAGTTTAAAGCCTTGGAATTGCGTCAGTGATGGAAAATAGTTCATGGCCCACCCTCCTCTCGGCTCAAATTCATGATCTCGCCCCACTCTCGTTTGGCTACTGTCAGAGCTAGTTTTGCCGATCATACCGATCATAATAGAAGTCAGTAGTACAGTAGTAGGAAGAACTATGGATGCCTCGATTAACAGCCCTCCCGCTGACAAGGCTGTCTATGCCAACTGCTCAATCAGGCGACTTGCTACATACTATAGGGAACCTCCCCACACCCCCACATATCCGCTGCACTTCAATCAACTCGGGACAGACAACACGTATCAGCGTGAAAAACACTGACCACGATTACTTCGGACGATCCTCTGTCCCCAAAGTCTGGGTAGTTAGACCGGCAACATCAACTCAATGGATTTGAAGCTCGCTTAAATTTGGGATATCCGGCTTGCAATTTCCTGTTGATCCCTTTGATCGGCGCTATCTGGAGTTGGAGTCTGCCCAATACCTTGATTATCGATTGTGGTTGATTCATCTTATCATGCTTCTCCTTCTACTTAGCCTCTGGCCTGGTGTGCCGACCGGATAGCCTAAACCAATTGGCTTGGGCCAGCAAACAACGTTGATGTCACCTGTAAATATACTCGGGCTCGGTAGGGGTGGGTAGTCGGACTGAAAAAGTCTTGGAAGGGAGGTGTATGTGATGAATTTCTTGCACCATTCACCGATCCACCGATCCGTTAAGTCTGTTATTATTGGAAATTTTGATTCGAGATTTTTCTACCTGTGCCTTCTATGTACTAATCTAGCTATGCCCAGGCCCAGGGGAATTCCCGGATAGCCACGTGTGATGATCTTGACCTTCGTTGGTGACCTTCATGGCAATGCTCAGGTAATCCTTTTTGATGGTTAATGCTGGGCCAAGGGGGTTAATGCTAGCCTGTGTGTGCAGACTATGCTTAATTGGGTGATATCTCCAAAGCGTGGACTTCTGCCCTTGGTTACCACGTCCAAGGCCGTGAGCTTGTACTATGGGGTCCGGTAGGTTGACCTTGATGGGCAGCCTTTGGTTTCCGAGAAAAGGCTCACGTGGCGTAGAGAGCTAGGTGCCCCTTTCTCACCTGTATCATCTGCTGGGGAAAGTAGCATCTCCCACCGATCTAGACAGGGGCCACAATCGCCGGAGCGGGGTTATGAAGTGAGAGCGGGGCTGGCGAGGGACGGCCCAACACTAGTCTGTTTCATCCGCAGCTATCTGGCTCTTTTCACTGGCTGAGACCTGAAGAAACGAGAACGAAAAAAAGAAAGAAAATTAGAATTATGCCCTTGACTAAACAAGTTTGTAGGTGAGTCGTAGACGAACACTCCAGGACCAACTAAGCTACTTCGGTGCCTTGCCAAGGTAGAATAAGTGGCCATATCCCAGGGGAAACAAACCCTGAGTAGTTAAGGATATATTCCATGGTCATGCTCAGGGATATCATGCAACGTCTCTAAATCCAAAGTGTGATTGGCGCCCAGTCTTACTACTTCACAAATTGGCTGCGTACCCCTGATGTCTTCAGCTATTAGGTTTCATCGGGATGTCACCCTGAAGATTACATTTACTGCACTGTTGCATAGACTAAACAGTATCCCTACGGTTTATCATCTGATCGCTATGTCAGGATAGTCCTCCTTATATTGCCCTGATAACCCTATACTGCCTGCTATCAAGCCTCGGTTGACCATGCTTCAATTCACTCCCTAGCATTCGTATGTTACATACCATTCGTGTGATAGATTTGATTCGCCGTGCATGTCATTCGAACGTTGCATTTTGCTGGAAGTTCAACGCTTTATTCCATACCTGGACTAAATCCTATCAAGTACTACTATACCCGCTTATCCTGAAGTGACATCCCCAGGAAAATGGGCTATCTCGTTGATAGTTTGAGTGTCATTTTTCTTGCCAACCTTCCAAGACCGTGAGGCACCACAGTGTTTTAACGTCACATATCACAGAATGATTAATCTACCGCACTATGTGACTCTACTTATGGCCCTGGAGACAATTCTGGCTATATAACTAAGAATCGCAACCCCTCTGAAAGATTATCACAAAGAGCAACGCCGACCACTATTGACAGAGCCTTTCACTTTTCAAAGTATCTGTGTTACCATTCAATTATGACTCCGATTCTGCCGATGATGCCCTCCTTATTGAGAATCATGGGCTTCATTTTCGCCATTGCTCCATTAGTGTATGCTGGGTTTGATCCTAGCTCGTCCTCCAACATTGCAGTGTACTGGGGTACGATGATTTTTCACATGAGAACAAATGAGATAGAAATGGGGCTGATTCGTCTGGAAATCAGGACAGAACTCATATGGCCAGGGTAGCGGTTCCTTTGTTCAGCGAAATCTTGCCTACTACTGCTCGAGTATGTTCTCAAAAGGACACTAATTTCGGACAAAGATCACAGCTAAACTCGAGAAATTTGCTTGCTTTCAGATACTAATATCAATGTAAGTACGCTGTCATGTCTGTGGTCAAGTCAAACTGACCGACCCACTAGATTATCCCTATTGCATTCATGAATGGCATCAGTCCTCCTATTACCAACTTTGCTAATGCGGGAGACAACTGCACCACGTTCTCTGACAACCCCAATCTCCTGAACTGTACTCAAATTTCGTAAGTGGACGTCATTCGCCAATTCTACAAATTCTGACTGGCGACTATAGGAATGATATCAAGACTTGCCAGAAAACGTATGGCAAAACGATCATTTTGTCGCTTGGTGGAGCCACCTATACCCAGGGAGGGTGGTCTTCAGCCACTGATGCTCAAAATGCCGCACAGGCAGTGTGGAATATGTTCGGACCCTTACCGGGTACTGCAGTTGACCGTCCCTTTGGAGACGCTGTCGTTGATGGCTTTGATTTCGATTTCGAGTCGACACTCAACAATCTTCCAGCATTTGGTGCTAAGCTTCGTAGCTTGATGGACGGAGCGAGTGGGAAGAAATACTACTTATCTGCTGCCCCCCAGTGTGTCTTCCCAGATGCTGCCGATGGCACGACGCTGGACGCTGTTGCTTTTGATTTTGTCCTAGTGCAGTTCTACAACAACTGGTGCGAAACATCCAACTTTCAAGTCGGATCTTCCACTCAGTCCGCTTTCAACTTTGGTGTCTGGGATACCTGGGCCAAGACCAGCAAAAACCCCGCGGTGAAGGTCTTTTTAGGTATTCCAGCCAACTCTGGCGCTGCGGGCGCTGGTTACACCAGTGGATCTCAGCTCAAGGCTGCCATCGCTTATTCGAAGCAGTATAGTAGCTTTGGAGGAGTCATGATGTGGGATATGTCGCAGCTTTACGCAAATAGTGGTTTCCTCGACCAGGTTGTCAGCGACCTCAGTGTCTCTGTTACTCCGACTACAACTACAGCTATGACTTTTACAACCTCAAGCTCAGTGCCTAGCTCAACTGGTGGGGGCCTTGTTGCTCAGTGGGGTCAGTGTGGTGGTGAAGGATATACCGGCCCGACTCAGTGCCAGCCTCCATACAAGTGCATTTCCGGCGGTCAGTACTGGTCATCCTGTCAGTGATGGGGGTTCTCGTCGGCCCACAAGTCTCCTCAGCCATCCATTGCACTAGACGTGGTGAATTTTTCATTCGCTTTACGTTCATATTGTATCTGTGTGAATTGAACATATGGTCACTGGACCGCTCATTTGAATCAGGTGAGCCCTGAAGAGCCATTGCACATAGGAATCAGCACCTGTCCTAAGGCATTGAAATATTTACCTGTGGATCGGCTCACCTCGTACTTGCTGCCCATGCTCGCGACTTGGAAACTCAAAATGTACAGTAGGAGAATATCTAGCTTTAGTCCTTCAGAAAGAACTACGACGTTTTTGCATGACGAAATGAGAGTTTAGTTTCCAGGTAGGAGGGGTATGCTCTTGAACGGTATTATTGGTCTACATAAAGTTCTTGGATTGAGATGGGTAGTAAGCTGTACGGGCAAATCATTGATTTGGAGGTAGAATGTTGAATCAGTATGTAAGTTCGTCCTCTATTTAATGCTACATAATAGAATAAAAATTTAACATGAGTGACATTGAGACCTCCGATAGTCTATGCGTTCAAAAAAACCACGGCGCCATAGGGCTGCAGCTCAACCTGGTTTTTGGCAGGATCAATGCGACCGTCGTTTGAAATCAAGATCGAGAAACCCTCATACTTCTCCACTGGAACAGTCTGAATTTGATCAGAGAAATTCAACAGCACAGCCGCTTTCTGACCCGTTTGGCTCCAGGTGCGCTCGTATCCGACAACCATCTCACCCGTCTCAGATTCATCCATAGAGGTATACGATCCGTAGACGAAAAGATCAGAGTATTCTTTTCGCAGCCCAATCATCTGCTTCCAGTAAGCCATGATGCTCTCGGGATCATCGATCTGGCTAGCAACGTTCCAATCGGTGTAGTCTTTGTTGATAGTCATCCATGGCTTTGCACTCGCGTCGGTGAAGCCACCATTGGGCGAGCTATCCCATTGCATTGGCAGGCGTCCGTGGTCTCTCGACTTCAATTGCAGCTCCCGAAAAACTCGTCCATCTTCACAACATTGCCACCTCTAGCCTTCAAGACCTCATTGTAGTAGTTTTGCCCTCTAGGTCGATGTATGCATCCGCTCCGTAGTCTTTGCCGAGGTTCGCCATGCCGATCTCTTGACCTGCAAGCATGAACGGAGTGCCACTCAAAGTCGTCAAGTATGTAGCAAGCATTTTCGCCGCATTTGAGCGGTGTTCGGGAGCATCGAATGCGTAGCAAGATAGCGAGCGGCCACTGTCATGATTGTCGAGGTAGACGGTGTTCCACCCGTCGAACTTGGGCATCAACGTTTGCCAAAGATTGGTGATCTTGCGGATCTTCCGAGGATGGAAGTCATCTCGCTCATACTTGGCGTTCGGTCCAAAATCCATGTCCACAACATCACCAGTGAAGACCATGTTCAGTTCATGTCGGTCATTGGCGACGTATTCGCTGACAGAATTCTCGTCCTTCGTGAAGCCAAGCTCGCCAACCGTCATCACGTCATACTTGTCAAAGACCCCAGTCCTGATCTCACGGATGTAATCGTGCATCTTGGGACCAGAGGCAAAGAATTCCGCGCCGGATTGGTAAGGTTCGTCATTTATGACCTTCGCATCTGGCAAATTCGGGTGCTTGGACATCAAATTCATGCTGTCGATGCGGAAACCATCTACACCTCTATCGAGCCAGAAACACATTTCATCGTGAGTAGCTTTACGCATCTCTGCATTCTCCCAGTTGAGATCGGCTGACTTGGTAAGAACAAATCAAGGTAGTATTGACCGGTGGGCTCATTGAAGGCCCATGCGCTACCGCCGAAGATAGATTTCCAGTTGTTGGGCTCCTTGCGATTACCCTGGGCATCATACTTGGGATCACGCCAGATGTACCATGCGCGCTTGAGGTTTGACTTGGAACTGCGGGACTCTTTGAACCAAACATGTTGGTCACTGGTGTGATTGACGACCAGGTCCATGAGAATCCGCATGTCGTGTGAGTGGAGTTCGTCGATTAATTCTTGGACATCCTCGACGGTGCCGTAGGGCGCGTGAATCGAGCGATAGTCTGCAACATCATAGCCCATGTTTTTTTGAGGTGACTTGAAGATCGGAGAGAGCCAGATTGTATCTACCCCCATAGAGTTGAGTGTGTGCAAAAAAGCACAGCTGTGAGTCAAGGTGCGGCTGGAATATATATTGTGCAGTAGGACAGCACGGGGCCCCCCATGCGTCTCTATCAAAACACCGAAGATGTTGAGCGCGGGAGAGATATGGCCCCTTCGGAGAAATGCGCAGCGACATCCGGCGATGAAAAGTGGTGAGGTCAATGCTCAGAATTGGGTTGACCTGTGGCTGGTGGGGGGTTTCTCCGAGGAAGCTCCGATAGGGTTCTACCAAAGCATAAATTCATTCTCGGGTTAACTGTCTGGGAGGAAATTTCTGGCCAAGGAATGAAGAATTTAATCGACTGATATGTATGATATTCTGATGACTCGATCCCTTTGACCTCGATAGGGTTTGCAGGGTTTGTCATCTTCTTTGGCCCTGCATGAAGCAGGCCGGGGATTTCCTGTCAGGCCCAGGTACACTATCCCACATCAAAGAGGCAGCGAGTCATTGAGCATTGTGACATCTTCCGATCAGGGCAAAACCTGGTTCAAGAGGGAGAAGAACCCGATTCTGCCGTGTGAGCCGTCCGGTCTCAATGTTACTGGCTGGAGGGATCCGTTTTGCGCTCCATGGCCCAACATGAGCAAGACCTTGGGGATGGACCCAAAGAACTTTATGTTCGGTATTATCTCAGGGGGTATTAGGGATGTTACTCCCACAAGTTTCCTCTACAGCATTGACCCGAAGAACCTGAGTGAGTGGAAGTACATCGGCCCTCTCGCGAACTTCGGCCTGAATCTCCGACCGTCTAGGTGGTCTGGTGATCTGGGCAAGAACTGGGAGGTCACCAACTTCTTGTCGCTGAATGACGAGAATGACCCGCGCTCCAGCTATGACCTCCTCATCATGGGCACTGAAGGATGCCTCCGAGACGGTGTCGAAGAATCCTTGAGCAGCTCAGGCCCGTCGCGTCCACCCCGTGGCCAGCTTTGGATGTCTGGCAACCTTCGCAAAGACGAGGCTACTGGCTCTGCTAGTATTTCATATGAGTTTGGAGGTCACCTTGATCATGGCTGCCTGTATGCTGCAAACTCTTTCTTTGATCCGCGAAGCCAGAAACAGATTGTCTGGGGTTGGATCACAGAGGAAGACCTGTGCGATGAGCTCCGCCATCAGCAAGGTTGGGGTGGAACCTTGTCAATGCCCCGACAACTTTACCTGCAAACTCTGCATAATGTAATTGGTTCATTAGTGTCTGAATTGCCCTGTATCACGTCGGTCAGACTCAAGTCTGAGGACGACGGAACTTTGACTATCCAGACCCTCGCCAGTGAATCCTATCAGCCTTTGATCTAACATCTCAGAAGCTCTTCAGATGCACTGCACTTACAAGTGGGGGAAACGAGTCTTGACCCTAATGGTGTTGAAATGGAATTCTCGCGAGAGACTCTGATAAGTAAACACTGGGAACTGGAGTGCTCGTTCAATATCTCGAAAACTTGCTACAAGGTCGGGGTATCCATCGGTCGTTCAAGATGTGTGAAACCATCAGCGAGCCATCATTTCAGTCAGATGCTAATTATATACGTAGGCTACGAGAAGTCAACAGAGATGACGTTCTTGCCGCAAACCGAAACCTTCGAAATCCATCGACCATCACTTTTCAGGCCAGATTCATCTCTATTGATCAATAGCTCGCGTGAAACAGCACCACACACCTTGTTCACAACGATCGACACCAGTGGAGAAGAGAGCACGGAAACTTTGGACATTCGTGCGTGGAGGGATAACTCTGTTCTTGAGGTATTCGTTAACGGTCGCACCGTGATCTCCACTCGTCTTTACGTGGCGGAGGAAACAGTCGGTATGCGATTCTTCGCAGAAGAAGATGAAGCTTCGACTACTACGGTGCTACGGACCAGTCACACTGGTTTGACTGAGTTGAAATTTGCGAATTTGTGGGATGGAATTAAGGTCTAGGTAGATGTTGAATCTTTCAATGTGGGGACAACACTGAAACATTCTTGATATCTTCTCTCTTTTTGCTGCTATTTTAAACGTACTATTGATCATATTTTTTTTACCGAAGAGTAGTCGCAGTTTGGCGCCAAGGTGCACAACATAGATACTCCGGGATCCCCTATAATTGTCGTGGCAAACGATGCTGCATGAACAGCCCTACGGCAGGGCTCACTTTCCTCTCCGCAGTAGCGAACATGACCCGTATAAAATGTAAAGTGGCTGACCAGAACATGATTGGCTTCAATGGCCTACTTCACAGCATCTGGTAAGCAATGCAACATACCCGGGTAGCGATATGGAAACCAGAAGAGGATGCGGTATCGTGAATGCTGGAATCATCCTGTGCACCGTGCTGGGAAGTTTCCGTCGTAGCAAAGGGCAGGATGCGAAAGGCTGCCGGTCGTGGTGAGACTATCCCTTTCGGATGGGCTTGGATGTAGATGGAAACCCCGCGACCGACGCGAACGTTGCGTTGAATGGCAGCATGGCCCCTATCGGGGGACCGAAAGGCTCCGGAATCGCGATCATCATGGATATCATGTCGGGAGCCCGCAGCGGTGCGGCCTTCACTGACGAGGTGGGCGATCAGTACAAGGACAGGTACCAAACCTCAGGATGTCGGTCACTGTTAAACTGTTTTATTGCCATCAAGCCCGATGTATTTATCTCAACCGATAACTTTAACGCTCGCATCACATGGATACTTTGGTCAAGCGTGTTCATGGCGTTACCCCTGCTCCCGGTTATGATGAGGTGCTTTTCCCGGTGAACCAGAGCACCGTCTTGGGGCTCAGCGCCGTAAGGAAGGTATCCCATCCCATATCATGATGCTGAGAAGGAAATGTTTGTTGACTCAGCCAAGTCGTTTGGAGTCGCTGAAATGACCCTTTTCGAGACTCCACTGTCTCTTAACTAAACTCAAACTGCATTACCTAAGTTCCTAACTCCCTAGATATTTATTGTTGGCTGTTGGGCTGTCGATCAGGTTTTAGCTCGTCCAGTTGCGATTGCGATCAGGTGAGGTAATCTCCGAAAATATATATATCCCTAACCTCCATTACGCCAGACGCATGTTCCCCTTTTTTTACGACACTCGGTGTTTTACTTTATTCGTCTTCATCTGGGGATGGATAACCATCGAATATTACCACAATTCAGGTTTTACCTTAATTTACAGGTGAGTAAAGATGACGGGGCTCACCTGACATCATGAAGGGAGGGTGTGAATGCCTGAATTTAAAGGACTACAAAGATATTACAGAACAGAAGCAGCAGTTGGTAGTTCCCGGAGAACGGAGATATTATTAACTAACAACCTCGCGGCGTCATCCACCAATAGTAGGCAGCTCCATTGCTCACCCAGGCCAAGCAAGTTCCAGCTGACGCAGGCAGGTTCTCCTTTTGCTGGCTAGTTGTACCACCCCCAATTTTAACATGGTACAGCCCAGCCTGGCTGTACGTATACCTGACACAGCAATACGACCCACCATCCATTCTCCTGTCCACACAGAGCCTTACGGAGCGCATGGATAGGATCGAGATCGGACTGAACGATACATCACGTCTGCATACTGCAGCCGACCCCACGCACTCTGCGCGCGTCCCAAGGACTTCTCTCGTGGCTGGGCTTTCCGACTCGGTGAAACCACCTCCCTACGATTGAAACCTTGATAAGAACACTGCCTGCGCCTCGCCGATCCTGCTTCGCTCGTCTTGGCTCCACGCAAATATCTGCCACTAGAGCCCCCATGATTATGCTACTGTAGGGTTCCAGCGCTTGGCACATCCTGCCCGTTCACTTGGCAGATCATGCCGATCCACTTGGCACAAACCACCGATCGGCAACCCTGTTTCATATACTGCTTAGTGACGATCACCGCCGTGGACAATATCGCCAAGGCTGAATAACCATAGTTAACTGCTAGGTATGAGCCTCTTGGTTCGCGATAGCTAACACATCGATTTTTGACAGTGGCTTAAGGCAATGAGAGAAGATTCCCGTTCACTGGGGCAGTGGGCGTAGACAACCTTAGAGAGCAGTAGTGGGACTTCAGGAGCAGCGGAAATGCATTTGCCAAGGTCAGCAACCTAACGACGTAAACAAAAATGCTGACAACCACATGGGCGCGAACTCTACATATCTCCGTTCCGGTAGATGAAAGGACCATCTAGGGCGGAGGGACCCCGGAGGAACACGGTGACGCTGTCTAACTTCCATGTCCTCTAGCGGAGTCGGTTGGCGATCATTGGCCCATTACCCATGCGCCCCCTGTCTCTCGGCAAGCTACCAAAAGCAATAACGTCAATACCAAGAACTACCGGTGGAAGACCCCCACTTGTAGATCCCTGCTGGAGTGAGCATCATTCAACCTTCATGCGCAGCCCCCCACCGCCATGGCTACTCGAAAACCCATAAGTGAGCCGAGAGTCATCTCAGCCCTCGACTTTGTTCAGTCATTATCTGATCGAGTGAACGCCCGGTCACCCAATTTTCCAAAATGCACCCTACCGGACGATCCCTATCGCCAGCGAAAAGGGAGCATGGTTCCAGTCATGAACCAAGAGGCCCTTTTGACACACAACCCGAAACAGGCCACGGCCTTTGTGCGGAACGTGCATCGCAGAGCACCCTTCGTCCCGGTGTCGTTGAGACCACTGCGCACGATGGCACCGATATCTCGTGCGTGGGTAGAACGGAGAACCAATCTGTACAGTCTCATATATCACAGTATTTCCTCAAGGAAATAGATCGAAAGCACGCAGATATCATCCTAATAGTGTGCGGCTTCGTTGGTGGCCTAGTCGACGGTCTATCATTCAATGCATGGGGCAGCTTCTCTAGTATGCAGACTGGTAAGCGGATGCATTGTAGACGTGCGAGGTAAACCAAGCAAGTCGGTCTGTCCCAACTAACCCAAACAAACAGGAAACACGGTCTTCATAGCCCTAGGCGTCTCTGGTCAACCTCAATACCCAGCCTTTCTCTGGGCAAAGTCTCTGATTGCATTAACAGTTTTCCTGTTGAGCAATATCTTCTTCATTCACCTCTCACGCTCCCTTACACCCCTCCGACGATCAACGCTCGTATTTTCCTTCAGCCTCCAAACTGCCGCCCTCATTATCGCTGCCTCTGTAGTACAAACTGGCATCGTCAGCTCCAGACCAGAAGATCCGCGCGCCCCCATCCAGTGGGTGCAGATTCTACCTATCAGTCTGCTAGCCTTTCAGGCCGCTGGTCAGATCTGCGCCTCGCGTCTACTAGCCTTCGAAGAGATCCCTACAGTTGTTCTGACAACGCTCCTTTGTGACTTGCTCGTCGACACGAAGCTCTACGTTAGGCCATGGTCTGCAAATCCCAAACGGAACAGAAGGGTTGCTGCGTTCCTGGCACTTTTTCTGGGCGCCATGACAGCGGGGGGCCTCTCAAAGACTACGTCAATTGCTAGCAGCCTGTGGTTGGCAGTTGCTTTGAAAGGGACTATCACGCTGTCATGGTTGGTATGGAGGGATGACTCTGGAACATTAAGGTCGAAGCAAGCCCCGAACGATAGCCCAGTTTAGGTGCAATTTGATTTTGTGCGAGTACGGCTTTAAAAATACTATGAACACGTCTCCGGAGGGCTAAAAGCAGTGATTATCTCTGAGCTAGATTTAATTTTCTGCGCTGAGCTCCCCAATTTCACTCTTGTTACTTTCCGACGGTTTTTGCAATCTAATTACATCCTTTAGTTTTTGTGTCGAATTTTTATCGTTGTAGAAGTCCTCTTATGTAACATGTATTGAACCACAATAATGATTTCATGGTTTTGGTGATCTTAGCCTGCTGGTAAAGTCTCGGTCCAAGTAATATAGTGAGTACAAGTCATGTTCAGGACATTCTAAAGAAGAGAATTTGTATGATCGGTGGTATAAATTGTAAGGCGCGCGTCATTTACATAAGATACACCTGAAGCGGACATATGAAGGGTCACTGGATGGAGAAGCCTTATGTTTTTAGGATGCTGCTATCGTGCATCTTCCTGCGATGATAGCCTATCCTATAGGAGTATTACAATCCTAGTACGTTAGAATTAGGGGATCCGCCTTTAGTATAAGAGGAAAAAGTAGGGCTATAGTAGGGTTATATTAGAACTTTAGAAATAGGGTAGAATTAAAGGTAGGTCTTATACGAAGTTTATATTTTTATAAGTTCTCCGTTAGTATATTATCTATTTATAAACTTAATTATACGAAATATGATTTACTAGATAGAGTATAGTCAATTTTTTGAAATTTACTATATTTTCTTTAATAGGGTATACTTCTGTTACGATACACCTGACATGAGGCTATCACAAATGTTGGCGCCTCAGGCTACTAGGACCCTGGTAAGCCGGCAAGCTTTCGGTGGAGGTTCACTGAGGCTTCGCTGCCGGTACGTGTACGAACTCCTACAAGGAAGACCCTTGTAGAGGTTACACAAGCCTCGTGTTTTCCCCGCTCTTATTCCCCTACCAAGGATACATCTCCTTCCTGTTTTGAGCGATATGACTGTATATAAATCGCCCCATGTTGAAGAGATTTTCCATCCCTCAAGAAACAGTCTTTGACCTTTCGGAGCAATTGACGTAGTTGCTTTCTCCTACCTGATTGACAGGCCTCTATCCTGACTTATAGAGTACCTTTACACTACAGAACATAGAGTTAGGTGAATTGTAACATAAGTTGAGTATATCTTCAATCTACTTCTAAGATCTTCTTTACATAGATTATATATAGTAAAATAACAGATAATTCACATAGATTAAACTACACTTAGCTACAGAGACTCAAAGGCATCAGAAGATGAGTCCTCTTTCTCTTGCTCCTCCTCATCTTCTTCTTCCCCTTCATCTCCATCGCTATCACCTTCATCATCACTAATTTCCCCACTACCGTCACCTCCATTACCACCTCCTCCGTTACTACCACCTCCGGCACCAGCAGCAGGGCCAAAGCCTGCGAAGGGGGTAGGATTTCCAGGCACGAAAGGTCCGCGCTATATACTATTAGCATATGCTAAACATATTATTTCATATGTATAATATAGACTTAACCGGCGGCTGCGGTGACCCGATAGCGGGGTTGCTAGGGCCTACCAGCGGTGGAAACGAGTACCGTACTGTGCGGCAAACTGTGCATCGGTAGCTCTGTACAGATTGTTAGCATACTTTCAACATATGATTTTTATATGTTCAAAGTAGAGGGACTTGATGCAGGACATAGAGTATCCAGAGTACTTACGCAATACGCTCTAGAGCGGAGGCCCAGTGTCCAATCAATCCATTGTCAGGGCCACGGCTAGGCTCATAAAGGTAGCTGGTATCTCGCCAGCTACCCTCCAGGACCCAACGCCTGATAGCGTTTTGGCCTGCGATAATCTCGTACTGGGTTTTGGCTCGGCTGTTAGGGTTAACGACTATATCGTAACATACTGTTAGCATATATCCAACATATCCAATCCATAGACACTCACCAGCTCCAGAATACTCGTTGCGGATGTAGCGATGCAGAGCAGGTCCCTCCGAAAAGACAAGGCCGTATATCTAGGCAGGAGGGTTAACGATGATATCGCAGCTATTCCTCGTAGTGTCAGTATAAGATCAGTATATACTTAGTATATCCAGACATCACTTGCATGCCTGTGTTCTCTTTGTTGAGAACCACAGCTAGGTTTAGCGGGGGCGGGGGGTAAGCCGCGATATCTCCTGCCTTGATATCGTATCGTAGAGCGCCTACAGCGATCGCTGTGGTGTACGTAGCTGGCTTCTAGCCAGGGTTATTGTTAGGTATAGGCCCTTTATATGGTCAGTATATCAGCGGTATATATATCTTGGAAACATACTATGTGCGTAACCCAGGAGAGGGTCAGGGTTTAGCGTATTTAAGACTGTGTTGTTGTCGAACTCAGCCTGGGTTAGACCTAGGCCAGGGAAGACTCCGAGATTTGCTATATTGATGAACTGGAAGTATTCAGCATATACAAAACGTATACAAAAACGCGTCAGGTATTGGGATAAATAGATGTTTTACCTTTAGTAAAACCTTTAGTAAACAAGGTGGGTGGTGAGGGAAGGAGAAGAAGGTGGTCGTGTTGTGTTTATGTTGAAGATATATTTCTTATTTCCTTGTTAACCACTTTAACTTATAACCACACAGAAACCATATTTTTCTTTCAAAACATGTAATTTACTATAAAAAAGACTGTTTCTTCTATGTTACTATGAATAATTAATAGAAAGAGTCTTTAAGAGTGTTGTATAATATATCATGTAGAGTTGTACAGAGCTGCACAGAGCTGTATAGAGCTGTTAAGAGTGATAGTATATTGTAGTGGGGTAGGGGTTCAACTTTACCTACATAATTATTAATAAAATACATAAAAGTAAGCATAAGAGCTCATCAGGACCCCAAGTTAGTCAGAATTTTTTTTGGGTACGTGTGAGCTGGAACCCGTAGCCGACCCTGGGATACCAGCGGTGATACCGATAGGACATTATAGGATAGGGGATCGTCCCAATTGACAACAAAAAACAGACCTTCCAAGAGTACATTATATCACGGCATATAGTTGTCATCATGGGCGTAGATGAAGCTCTAGAGAATGGGCACGATGCAGTGGTGAGCTACACTTTGAGGTTGTTGAGGATAAGCCTAAGACGATCCACGGCACCTGCATGTAGGCTTTTTATCGTGGGGGGATCCTTCAACAGAGGTCAATGTCATTGTAGAATCTCAAAATATCTCCACTATATATATCATTGCTTTCAGTTGAAGAGAAATTCTCCGATCTGATGTGATAAGATATCGCATTCTCGAAAATAATTGTCCTACGTAGTCTACTGCCCCAAGCTCTTCACAAATTCTATTTCACATGCACACTTCACGATGATTTCAGTTCGTCAGGTGAAAGGTTTGGTTCCCCAAAATCAGCTTTACCTCAAGAGACGACCCCCATTGTACTTTTTGGTACACGCACTATTCCTGTCCCATCTGTCAAAGACTGGGCTTGTCAATCCCAATCTTCTGAATACGTCTCAGGTCTCGTGCCAGGCCAAGTTTCCCCCATACCCAGATATTCCACTTAGTAATGTCCAGATCGTACCAATGGACTCCCATCCTATAGTCCGCCGGAAAGGCATGGTGGTAGTTATGATATCCTTCGCCCAAGGTGCACATTGCCAGCACATGCGGAAGATTCCGGGCCGACAACCTAGTGTCGTACGGCTGATCGCCGAAATAGTGGCAAACAGAGTTGATACAGAAAATTCCCTGATGGCAAAGACACATACGAAGAATGCCTCCATAGAGCAATCCACCCAACCAATCACTCGTCCAAAGCCCACAAACAACCATGGGCAATAGCCAGCCCATTCCAACCGCGACTGGGATGAAATGTCGTTCCTGCCAAGCGACAACCGGATCATTCAATAGATCCGATATATCGACTCGTCGACTGCGCTTGGGTTGCTTGAGGATCATCCACAGAATGTGAGCATGGAAAAAGCCCTGTTTGATATTGTATGGGTCCTCAGAGGTGTCAGTGAATCGGTGATGGGCACGATGCTCTCGAGCCCACCATCTAATAGGACCTTGCATTCCAGCTGCACCAATCACTGCAAGAGCTACCTTCAGTGGTATTGATGCAACATACGACCTGTGAGACCATAATCGATGGTATCCTAGTCCCGGTTAGCTTCTTCGATAGTACGAGTATAGCGCTTGCGATGACCAACTTACCGGCAGTGATGCAAAGTGCGATAATAACAGCATACACAAGTGCGAATATGGCTGTTTGGCTATGGAGCCTGACCCAGAATGTTGAAATGAGGCCACAAACTGGGAGTATAACCAAGGTGGTAAAAGGTCCCCATGCTATTCTCTTGTACCATTCAAAAAGGAACAGGTTCTCTCGCGCTTGAGCCATGTGTTGAGAAAATATGTGGGCAGGATTATTTCGTCCGTAGATGCTATTCTCACTGGGAAAGAAAGACAAAAGCAGAGTGAATTTCATAAGGATAGGCAACTTACGAAATATAGCACTTCTGTCGGCAATGTACCGGAAACAGCTTTTTATGCACGAACCTCACTCGCCTGCGTGCTGTATTATATGGTTAATCGCCTTATTCAGAAATGAATACTTCGTAGATAATTCTTCAGTCCCTCATTATGATCATTGAATAGACAATTGAATTCGCTTTGACCTGGAGGACCCCTTGCTTGAATCATCGATATTGTAAGCAAGTATGGATTGCCTGTGAGATTTTCGAAACTTTTTCGCCTTTTTTGACTGCTCGAATTCATCAAAATGATGGCCTTGAAATATACACGGGTAGATAATTTTTAACCCCTTACATGTAATATGCTCATTGAATAGACTATTGAATCTGCTTTGACCTGTGGGAGCCCTTGTTTGAGTCACCGATATTGTAAGTGTTGGTATCACCAGCTAGGTACTGTGTACACAGTTTAGTGGACAGCACACATGCTCCAAAAGCAGAAAGTAAATTGATTGGTATAGATAGATGTAGCTATCCAGGTCCGGTTCCACTCCCCCTGAATCCCATACGGCGGGAGCCGCAGCTCAGCGCAAGATTACGTACACCAAGCACAGGCAACAATATGTCTTTGCTTGCCCTGACGGGAGGATATGTCCCAAAACATAAAGCGTGGATATACCCAACGTTATCAGACGATGAGCCTTGTGCTTTTAGTTCATGGGCCCAAATTATACTTTTAAACTCAGTCTGCAAAGTAATCTTGCTTCAAGTTCAATTCGATAATGCCCTAGAAATCTGCAACACTGCGAACCCAACCACCGTGGCAACACGTCGAAACACAGAGCGATATCTTACCACTAGGACAGAGTTGGTGTAGCATCACGTACCTTAGTCATCTGGGAGGTATTCGAACCTTCCCATGGCAGCCATTCTTTTCCTCAATCAATCAACCTTTGCATCCAAGATTGGTTCCACTTAGTCCTATCCTCCACCCCATTCGCCTACAGAGATTACTAGCCATTACTGTCGCAGCTTGCGCCGGCACAACATTTGGCCCCATTTTAACTCGTAATGTCAACAATTCGGGGACCGATACGGCCTGTCCAGAAGTTGAACTGCTGGGAGCCTGCATAACTTGATCTAGCGTAACTGCCTAGTACTGGAGTGTGCAGACTTCATTATGAACAGGATCTACTACCAGCGAAAATCTCATTGTGGATAGTAAATTACTGGTTGCATTCGAGTGGGCGTAGACTTCTCCGCGAAACATTTTACAGCATCCTTTCCAACCTTTTGACGAAGTATTGGCGCTCCGCCTGGATGATAATAAAAGTGAAATGCCACACATCATGAACAATGCCGTCAATGATAACCAGACAATGGCAAGTCTGTGGGTGCTCCTTGTTCTGAGCAAAGCTTGAAACTGGCAAAGCGTAGAAGCATGAGAACGGATAACTGAAGAGTAACAACTGATTCGCCCATCCATCTTATAATTAATTGCCTGCAAAATCTCCGCCTGACTATATTAATTGACAATGAAGCTGGCCGCCGTCTTGTCACCTTGCATATATTATGAATATTGTATTTCTCGATGTCCAGTTGCTACAAAATACAGTAGGTGGCGGCAATCAAAGTTGCCTGACGAAGATCATGGCTGATATCATGATTGCACCTACATCAGTGGAGTGTCGCGACCCTTGCTTACCAACTACATATGCAATGGATAGGAGATACCGTCTATTACTTGGAACAATCAATGGCACACAAGTTTTGCTTGGGCAGCAAGGTCTCCATTCTAGGCGTCCTGCACCTATTTCTATGAAAGTTGACCCAGTCCATGGAAATACAAGACTCGTTAAATTTCTGCAATGCACTAACCAATGAATCCATGCAGTAGTTAGATCCCACGGCGACGACCCTTGCTTACCAACCGTAAATAATGCAATTAGCAAGAGATTCCACGAATCATTTTGGAGGATCAATGCGACAATACTACGCTCTTTGTACATCGCTGATATTGATTGGGGAAATTATTGCTTCTCATGCTCTATGTACGTAATGGTGGTCATGATTCCTGATTGTTAGAGCCAAACAATATATTTGGGGAAGCCGTGTTGCATATTTTTAGCATCTGGTGTAGCCCAGGCCCCTTCAATATGTTGCTTAACCTGTTCACCTTCAATCCAAGGAAAACTTTACCGCTCACAACCTCTATCTAAAGACGAGCTTTGATTTCATCAAGATGGCTCTTCACAATCTCTCTGTTACTTTTGGGCTACCCTCTCCGGAGCTTCTAAAGTGGAGTCCAAATGAAGCCCCGCAAACAATCCTTCCCAATAAGCAAGATATCCCGAAATGGGTTCGGGCACTTGGAACACATCCCGCTTTGTTCCATTTCTTCCTTGAACCCAAGGTCCCCATCACAATTGCAGCCGTCTATCTGATTTCGGTCATCTACTTAAATCAATTAAATGAGAGCTGACAAAATAGACCTTGGAATTTCGCTAAGACCTGGACCTTCAAGGTTTTGGTCCTATGCCATAATTTATTTCTCGCCTTATTCTCCGCGTTTGTTTTTTATGGATTGTGCCATATGTTGTGGGATTGCTGGCCACAGAAAACAGAGCCAAATGCGCTGGCTCAAGTTGCAGATACCCTCTGCAGGATTAACGGCCCAACTGGCCCACGCTCTACACCAGAGTCCGACACGGCGAATTCTAGCCAATTCCAATCCCACCGTCTTTGGAACCACGGCTACGCCTACTTGAGTTGGTGTTTCTACATATCAAAGTTCTACGAGGTACTTGACACTTTGATTATACTGTTTCAAAGGGAAAAGAAGCTCAATGCTGCAAACGTACCACCATGCTGGAGTCATGATATGTATGTGGGCAGCAGTTCGATACATGTCCCCACCGAGCGTAGTAGGGGTTTTTCTGAACTCCGGAGTTCATACTCTAATGGTATATGTCTTCCTTGAGTTGGCATTCGACATCCGATTACTGATTTCTATTCCTAGTATTCATACTATTCCTTGACCGCCCTTGCTCTCCCTGTCCCCGGTTTTATAAAACAAGCTCTGACAAGTTTGCAAATCGCTCAATTCATCGGTGGTTGTACCATCGCATGCTGCTATCTCTTCGTTAAGTACGATACTCTGGTTTATCGCTCTTCAAACTACGCGGTGGCAGCCCAACTGGCATCAATTGAAGACGGTAGGGTATTTTTTTAGGGTCGGGTTAATGGCACTACATGAACGTTACTCGCACTACAAACTAAACCACTTTCGGACGACCGCCAATCCACCCGCAAAAGGTACTTGCTACCTTTGCATAAACTCTGCCAAGCCCTTATGTATACATACTGCTATGCATAAGCGTCTCCTGCGGTTACTTTAGAATGTCACCTCGACCTTAACCGCATGATTTCGTTAGTGTTGCCATAACAAATAGTGCTGCATAGTAACACCCCTTCCACCCCAAACCCCTTAGCTTATAAACTCGGATTTCCCTATTCCCCTCCATCTTTTCTCCTTCTATCCAAATCGCTCAAATCCGCAGAGTTTATGAAGTAGGTACGATTTCCTAATTAGGAAGCTGAAATACTAAGGAACAGGTCGATTTCACCGGCTCTTTCGCCCTCCCTTCACTCCCTTCACACCCTTCACACCCTTCACACCCTTCACACCCTTCACACCCTTCACACCCTTTACACCCTTTGCAGCGCCCTTCGCCCTATTTGCACGCCCAATATAATCCGTTTCGTTCCTCACAATCTCGAATCCAGAGGGATCCCGCTTCGTGGACCGGGATAACCGCGTTGACCGGCGGGTTGCTGCTTCATGATAGGCATTGGCGATTTTCTGGCGGGCAGCGGCAATGGCGGCCTCTTTCGCTGCCACTACCTTGGGATCCTTTCGAGCGTGATTAGCTGCTCTAGCAGGCCGACCACTCACTTTGACATTCGCAGGGTCATTGATCCGAAGCACTTGCTCTAAGTAAAGTGGCTGGTAATCATCTTCGGTCGATGTCAGCAACCACCACTGCCGATGGAACTGCGACCTTGTAAGAGGCTCATCGCCTTCTAGGGCCACCAAAATCTCGTGAATACAGGGTAATCCGAGCGCCTGCCGATAGTAGTGGGTGCAATCCACTACTATCAATTCATTCGCCTGGTATGCAACTAGCTGCCGAGCAACGAGCTGTAAGGCATACGGGGCTACCTAACCCAATACCAACCGGAACAAGGGAACAAGGAGGTTATCAGGGAGCTTTTGACGGTCTTCCGCGAGCGATTGGTTGATTTTAATATGGCGCTCCTTGGCTGCGGTTCGAACCGCACGCATAACACTTAACAAATCACCGACTGAGGTTTTGGTGAATTTTTTGAGATATGTATGGGCCCCCTCGACCCGGGAGGATGAGGTTTCTTCGAAGTGGAGCTTTTGGTTGGTGTAGCAACGGAGAAATCGCTGCTTCATACTATCCTTCATCCACTGATTAGTGATGTATTGAATTGCTTCTGCAAAAACCTTGTGTTTGAATTCCTTTTAAAGCTCTTCCAACAAGCCTCTATCTCATATACTGTAGGTGCAAAGATGACTTGATTGAAAAGCTCTTTCGCGGATTGCCAACGCGCATTTGTTTCTGGTCGAACGTCGCCCTCTATCTCAAGATAGACTAGTATATGCTGCTGGATTATTGGCCGCAATCGCTTCTCAATGTTCATCTGAATATGCCACACGTATAGCAAAGCCCTCGTATCGGGCATGACAGCATCAAGGGCAGCCAATAAGCTTTCCGCATCATCGGAGAATGTAGTGGTAGGAAGGGGGATCGAACGGGAATGTAGGAAATCACACAGCTTCTCTAACACCCAGCGGTAAGAGCCCTCCTTTTCATCAGAAACAAAAGCAACGGCAACATAGAAAGTGCCTCCATTCGCTGATCTTCCGACGATATCAACCATAGGCATCCGAAAGCGATTGGTCTTATAGGTAGCATCAATCCATAGTAGAGAAGGGTATCGAGCTAGCAGGTCGAGGCCGGATTGAGAGACGCAGATGACACTCCGAATACGCCGTTGACTGCCCGCCTCCGCATCCCAATCGATTTCCCAACCGTCTAGGCCTAAAAGAAGAGCCGCTGTAGGTGAGCAGCCCTTAAGTAACTCCCTCCTCGCACGATAACGAAGGTTGCGGATATCTCTTCTGTTGAGGCAAATTGGAGCGCGGTAAGGGTCAATCAGGTCGGCGCTGGATTTGCTACTAGCTCCTTCGTCGAGGGCTTTCGCCTCGCGTAAAATGTCGAGTATTTCTAGGTTGGTACGACCCTCCATGAATAGGCGAACTACCCGGTCTCTGAGACCTTTGAGCTGATAGCGGCGGTGGATTGGATGCGTAGATGGTTCGGAGGCCATATGGCCACTATGAGAGCCCTCCCTGACCTCAAGGAGCCAGCCGCCCTGCACTTTGGATAGATATGCAGCGAAGTGGCAGCCGCAGCGGCGAGAGGTGAAAGATCGCCCGCTAGATGGAGGTTTATCGTGCTTTACGGGTAGGCCGCTGCGATCGCAATGTAGGTAGGCCGACCAGTCGTTCGAATTCTTCACGGTGATAGCGTATCCCTGTAGGGCGGCGTATCGATTGAGGAGAGCGCGGGCTTCCTGACTAGTAGGCACCGGGATCAGCCAGTTGGTCGGGGGCGGTAGGAGGCCACCAGGTGGTAGAAGGGTTAGGGCGATTGGAAGGAGGGTAGGGTCGGGCAGAAGAAGGGCCATATTGAGCACGGATTTGAGCGATTTGGATAGCTTCGAGGGCCTGAGGAGGAGGATATCAGTAAGGATTCGGCCGCTTCAGGGGCCTCCAGGGGCCCCTGAAGATATAGCTGCTCTAGAAAGCAGTAAACCATAGCTGTTGCCGAATAAATGGTGATGGTATACGGAATGTAGCGATTTAGGAATGTTGGAATGTTAGAATGTTGTGGAATTATACTCCGTACGGCGGTTGTTATGGCAACACTAACGAAATCATGCGGTTAAGGTCGAGGTGACATTCTAAAGTAACCGCAGGAGACGCTTATGCATAGCAGTATGTATACATAAGGGCTTGGCAGAGTTTATGCAAAGGTAGCAAGTACCTTTTGCGGGTGGATTGGCGGTCGTCCGAAAGTGGTTTAGTTTGTAGTGCGAGTAACGTTCATGTAGTGCCATTAACCCGACCCTATTAATATAGGCTAACGTGGCTTACAGAGAGTAGTCGTTATCGGCTAAGCGTACTAGAGATTGAATATGTTTATAACCTACCGGAGTATCCTCGAACTTATAAGGGTAAGTATACTTACATTGTTTCTACAGGAGAGAGAATACGTAAATAAATATAAGTATTAATCCTAATAATAGTAAGTTAATAGATATCTAACTACTTTCCTAATTGTAATACTCCTACTACTAAGTCTATATAAGCAAACTGTCGGATTTACGCTGTGTGCATAAACCCTGAGGCGTGTGCTTGTAGGCGCACACAGGTCGATCGAATACCACGATTATGGAAGAGTGACGAAAGTGCAATAGAGGTGGGTCGGCAGCGAACAGGTTGAACAGTGGAAGGTCAACGCAGTTTAATCAGAATTGCCTTGAGCTGTATTCGTGAGTGAAAATGGTGTCAAACTTGTTGTATTTAACTAGGGAAACAGGCAGTATTTATAGCTTTAGGTACATAGCAGAATGTCAAGGAAAAAGACTGATAAAACTCTCAGAGTAACATGGGGGATACGAGAGTGTTAGGAAACTCGTTGTTCTTTCCATTTGATAAGATAGTTGATATCTTATCATCGTATAGTGTAGTGGTAGATATCCGATTGGTCCGATGTGTATTGCTTATCTACACGCTCAGTGCGGGGTATCGCACATCCACATGTTGACACAAACTATATATAAATAATTCTTTCCTCGGCCCTAATTATCTATATTTAAGATATATTTACTTTGGGTATTTATATATTAATATATTAATCTAATTATTAGGTCGATAACCTATATAGCCGTTGATAAGACTATATAGGCGTTAATCTAGGGGATTCGGTATAATATACTATTCCTAAAGGATAATCTAGTGAGTAGAGAGATATATATAGGGTCAGGTTAATGGCACTACATGAACGTTACTCGCACTACATACTAAACCTTTTTGGGTCAGTACCCGCCTTGGCAACTTTTCACCACCAAAAAGGTACATCCGACACCTAAAAAAAACAACTACGGTCTACCAAGGCTTCTGTCCAGATATTTCAATGAATAATAAGCCCTTTTTGCGGTCGCTCTTAGGGTCAGTATTTACTTCGAGCATGTCACTATATGTTTACCTATTATTCGATAATTATTATGGCTATTTATCATAAGAACCAGAAGAATATGACTACACATAAAGACAGCGATATTTCTGTAGGTCTTAAATGTACCTTTTGGTGGTGGGGCGGACGTTAACCGAAAAGGGCCTAGTTTGTAGTTCGAGTAACGTTCATGTAGTGCCATTAACCTGACCCTATATATATACGTAGATATCTATTAGATATTGTCGGATTCACAGGGTCGGCATAAATCCTTCTGCGTGCACAAGCAAGCGAGTGTGCACAGTTAGTCAAATCAGTATACGATCGATTCTATTGCGCGTATATAGCGAAGGTAGTCTAATTTCGACGATTTATACTCGCTTAGCATAATCTTATAGATTAATAGCTAATCAGATATAAGATCTGTCGGATTTACGGGGTCAGCATAAATCCTTCTGCGTGCACAAGCAAGCGAGTGTGCACAGTTAGTCAAATCAGTATACGATTAGCGAAGAATCGTATAGGTCAGGTCGTCGTACGATTCGGCTTAGAATCGGAAGTTAACTTATAATAGAAGAATACTCCAACTTCATCACAATCATTAAACTTGATTCAACCAGCTATAGAAAACAGGCAGTATTTATAACTTCATGAAATCGAGGCAATACGTCAGACTAGAATCTCATAGAAATCAGAAGAATAGAGTGTTGAAGCTCTTTCGTCATGTGTGCAATCTGTTGATGTCAATCGTTGAAGATCGTCGTCACGTGTACGTTCCGTCGCATTCTGTCAAGTTCGATAGCTCTCATGGGCTTATGCACCCACTCATGTTGACACTATCTACTATAGTAGCGTTCGCGCCTACCCGGGAGGGCTCGTCGTGTTATGATATACCCTGGCATGAGGTTACTCCCAAGTGTTGGTGCCTTAGGCTTCCCGGACCTGATAAGCCGGCAGGCTTTCTGTGGAGGTTCGCTGGGGCTTCGTCATCGGTACGTGTACGAACTCCCGCAGGGAACACCCTTGACAGAGGTTACACAAGACCCTGCTCCTGTGAAAGGCTGAAGCAAGACTTAGATTCAATCTAACTAGGCCAACATGCTGTTTACAAAAAGCTTGGAGAAGAGAAGGAGTGGATCAAGCGGAACAACAATAGAAGTAAGCAGACAGGGCGGTGGCAGAACGGAACGTGCGGGGAAGGCTATGTGGCAGGGCCACATAGTAAGAAGCGGGTCTAACCCGTGACATTACCCCCCCCTAGGTCAGAAGGGTGATCTGAGTCGTAACCGTCTGAATTCCAAAACGGCGACGAATCGGGGTCGTTTCGGGACTGGTCCGTTGCTGAATCTAAACTGAGGGATTTAGACCGTTTATTCGCGGCAAGTCGAAAAGGACACGCAGATATCCAGTGACTACATGCACCGCAGTAGTAGCAAAGCCCGTGCTTCGCGCGCTCGGCGATATTAGCGGGGTTATTAAAGCCTAGTGGGAGTGGCGGTTTTGATAGGCGCACGCGGTTTGATTTCACTCGAACTGGTGATGATTGGGCGGCGTTTATACGAACTGGGTCAAGGTCCATTAGGTCTAGCTGGCTTTGGCGAGTCTGAGTCTGGCGAGTTTGGTTCTGGCTAGTCTGGTTCTGGCTAGTCTGGTTCTGGCTAGTCTGGTTCTGGCTAGTCTGGTTCTGGCGTTGGGTGACCGGGCGCTGCTGGCGGCGGTCATGACGTTGGAGTAGTTCTATATAATCATCGTATTCGAGATCGAATAGAGTGTCATACGACTGCTCAAGAATCTGGCGTAACGCGGGGCGTAGTCCGCGGTGTAGCGTAATCGTACGAAGTAGATCCTGCTGGTGAACCTTAGCTTCGTGCGATAGACGTTCGAATCGGGCGAGGTAGGCAACTAGGCTTTCGTCGTCTTTCTGGCGGATATTGGCGAATCGGAGAACTGCATCTTGTTTCTCACGAGGATTATGACAAAGACGTTCGAAATACTGGAAGACTGCTTCGGGTGTCGGGTTGGTTTCGCGAAGATGTAAGACTGAGGCTTGCTGGGGTGGCTCAAGGCGATCGTATACGTAGTCGAATGCTTGTTGACCGGCTAAGCCGTCCGACCGTAGCTTTGCTTGAACAGCTGGAAGCCACGTCTTTAGACTAAATGGTCGGCCGTCGAATCTAGGCGGGTCTGGTAGTCTGAAATGCGAGCGAGTAGGCGCGAGGGTCTCTAGCTGGCGTTGCTGGTCGACGAGTTGTTGCTGGAGTTGCTGAATTAAAGCAAAAAGGGGCTGGTTCTGGTCCATTTCGGCGGGGAATCGGGGGTCTGGCTAGGGGAAAACGAAATTCTGGCTGGCTGGCTAGTACGACTCGATCACGAGAAGGAAGCTTTTTGTATGTGAAAGGCTGAAGCAAGACTTAGATTCAATCTAACTAGGCCAACATGCTGTTTACAAAAAGCTTGGAGAAGAGAAGGAGTGGATCAAGCGGAACAACAATAGAAGTAAGCAGACAGGGCGGTGGCAGAACGGAACGTGCGGGGAAGGCTATGTGGCAGGGCCACATAGTAAGAAGCGGGTCTAACCCGTGACAGCTCCTATCCTTCTACCAAGGATATATCTCCTTCCTGTTTGAGCGATGAGACTGTATATAAATTGACCTATGTTGAAGAGGTTTTACGATCCTGAAGAAACAGTCTTTGACCTCCCTGAACAATTGTCTTGGTCCCTTCCTCCTACCTGATTGACAGGCCTCTATCCTGACTTATAGAGTATATCCTTACATGTCGATTCCTGTTACTATATTACTGCTAGGGGTTACGTAGCGTACCGGTAATGCTTCAGTCGCTTTCTATCTAATATTCTAATATACCTAGGAATTGGGATCTTCTAGGGCTTTCTAATGCGTCTCGAGCGCTAAGAGATCTATACGCGAGGATTCCGTTCCGATATATGTTCGTCACTGAATCGCTAGGGATTCAGGGGTGTTTCTATTGAGTGCCTAAGTCGCTTTCCTAGGGCTTTTCCAATAACCAATAATACTTCTGGGTGTAGAAGGAAGCTTTTTGTATGTGAAGGGCTAAAGCAAGACTTGATTCCATCTAACTAGGCCAACATACTGTTTACAAAAAGCTTAAGGAGAGGAAGTTCATCCCGCGCGTTCCCCACGTCAACATACCAAGGTCTCGTGATACACGTGACCTATATCGGGCACTGGCCCGTGACAGTAGGAGCAAACTAGAATAGGAAGAGAGGGAAGAGGGATAAAAAGCTCTTAGGTAAGAGAGTGAATATTAGCCTCCATTTTCAAATATGAAAATTAGTGATGATTAACAAGTGCCAGGAAATAATAAAAAGATTGTATTCAAGGGTCGTACGAGAATGATCACCTTAGGGAAAAGATTTAGTGTGGGTCAAAATAAGAAAGGTGGGCCCTCATGGTCGCAGCCCATCAAAAAGAATAAAGGCTTTTGGGCAATTTATAATTAACTCGTACGACTGTGATAAGTGACTGTAGGAGCTAAGAATTAAACTAGGCATAGATTATATATGAACTTAGAATAATTTAAATTTTCAAGTTAACCGTACGAAGAAAAGTGCTAGCAGTCAGGTAGGGAAAAGAGCGAGCAGTGAGGGTGGCGGGTCTAAATTCTGCCCATATATAAGGCCTCTACGCCGCCGAGCAGCGACCCTCACTGCTCGGGGTCCCTTGGGATAGCTTTAGTTGCTTCGTTGAATGGTACAGCAATACTTTTGACCGGAACAGAGGGGGCCGGTCTTGGCCTATGTATATCCTCATACCTCGTATTCCAGGCAACGGAGGGGAGGGTGTTTGTGGTTTTGGTACATCCTAGTGATTCTTCCGGTGTGGGGCTCTGCGTTAAAAACAGATTGAATGTCACTGTTACCTGAGTAAAGTTAATTGTGAGTCACTCGGTGGGGTGGAGTGTTTCCTTGACAACAAAGTAAGCCGAGCAAACTCTTGCACCTCCTCACATCCTGACCGTTCTCACAATACTCCAATATTATCTATATGGAATTACTGTTTATTGAAAGACTGAACCATTTACATTTCGAAGTGCTGGCGTTGACTATTAATGGTGACTTGCTCTGGAAGGTATGATCTGCTCTTCTAACGACAAATGGTATATCTTACTAATCTTTTCATGTACTAGGCACAATTTGGACCTTTGACATCATGCCTTCTACATTTGGGAGCTTTGCGACAGGAGAAATCTTGTATAATGTTATTAATAAGGTTCTTGAGGCTCCAAAACAAACAGTTTTAATTGATAAACTCACGAAATTCAGATCTCCTCGATTCACGATTTGTACAATGTTCACCTTGTGAACAAGGCATTCTACGCAGTGGTATTACCGGTCCTTTCCAAAGTTATGTCGAGAAGTTCTAGAAAGGACGGCGTTCCATGGTTGCATGCGGCCGCCGAGAATGGTTGGTCAACCCTTGCCAATCGGCTGATTGTTTCCGGGGCGGATATGTCCGCTACGGCCGAGGACCAAGCCACAGCTTTTCATTGGGCGTGTGGATTGGGACACGTTGACGTCGCGCTCTTGATGATTGGGCAAGGTGCCAACATAAACCAGAAAGATAGAACAGGGGTCACAGCTTTGGATGGAGCAATATCAAACGGACATCAAGATATTGTGGATTTACTTCTTGATGCTGGGGCGAATACTAATTCTGGTGATGAGAATGGAATGATTGCATTGCATTATGCAGCATGCCATGGCCACCTTGAAATAATAAATCGCCTCGTTTCGAGGGGAGACGATGTGTCTGCGCGAGATCACGATGGGTGGACCTCGTTGCACTACGCAGCTTGGGGTGGGCATGAATCTGCTGTGAAAACGTTGCTGGGCCACGGATGTGATGTTGATGCAAGGTGTTTGAAAGGGAAAACAGCACTCTGGGTGGCGGACAATGTGGGAAAAGAACGAGTAGGACAGCTGTTGATTGAACACGGTTCCGAGGTTAATATTAATGTTGGTGGTTGGACATTGTTGATGGAGATGGTGAAACGAGAAGAGGAGGGTATGGTAAAATTACTACTCGATGCTGGGGCCCTTGTCAATACTAGGTTTTGGACCTGGTGGACTGCTTTACACGAAGCGGCCATGAGAGGTCATTCAGTTATATTACAGCTGCTGTTGACAAGAGGAGCAGATATTGAGGCAAAAGCCAGAAGTGGGGCCACTGCTCTGATTGAGAGCGCCGGTGGGGGACATATCGATGTCGTATCATTGCTTTTGCAATACGGCGCTGATGTTGAAGCAAAGGACAGAGCGGGACAAACGGCACTCCATCTGAGTGCAGCTGGGGGGCATGGAACCCTAGTTTCGCTGCTTCTTAAGAATGGGGCTGATCCGGGAGCGAAAGATATGTCAGGCCGTACCCCACTCGATGAAGCATTGAGAGGAGGCCATAAAGATGTCTGGCGTATGCTTGCCTAAAGGTTAGAAATAGGGTCTAAATTCGAACAAAAATAATTTTGCAGAAAGCGCCTGCGCGGCGGACCCTACTGTGCATATAGAGAAGCGCGGATCTGGCCCCGTACATACGCAGCGCTTTCCTTAGGCACCGAGTTTCTGATGGGGTGCATGACGGATACGGGTTGTGTGATCAGTGGCTCCAGGGCTCTGGGGTATTTCAACCCAGGCAACATCGCACCGGACTCTGACTGGCTTGAAGGTAGAAGGTCATGAAACGTTTCCAGGTCGCGAAGTTGTCACTTCGTATCAAAAGCTCAATGGCCATGACGGCTCGGTCAGGAGAGTCGTGGGTAAGAGCTGACATGATGTTTTAGAAAGCGGGGTAATGTATAATCGCAAATCAAGAGAGATGTATGGGTCTCGGCGTGAGTAGAGACGGAACCCGAGTGATGCACTCGGGCTCATAACCTGTTGCCAGGCAAAAGCAAGCTTATCCGTCTTCTTGAGCGAATATATGAGGCTATATAAGCAACATGAAGTCCAAGTTGATTTCCATTCAACTTAATTCTTCCTATACATAGAGCAGGAATTATCTCCGATGTTCCGGCTTCATTCCTGAGCAGCAAATGCCTAGTATCACAAGAGTTGTAAACAACATGTTGGTCTAGTACAGCTGAATCGATCCTGCTACAGCTCTTCACAGATTAATCTAATAGAATACTGTTCTTTACACCTATTCTAGCACGTTAGATAGTACAAACTGCAAATCTACCAAGAATAATGAATACTATTGAAATCCCTCTCGATCTGATTACTACGCACTTGAATGATGATGATGAATTCATTCGCCCGATGTAGCTCGCTTTAATATATGCTGCGATGTGGGAGTGCTGTCAGGCCCGCCAACAAGTTCAAGGTGGTTGACAGCCCACTGAACGTCCGTTCTTAGGGCTCGCTGGGCGAGTCCCTTGAATCGGCCGTTCGAAAATATTGTAGGTTACTGTCGGATCAGCGGCACATGTGGATCCCGGAGGGCGGAACCAACTAGAGTGCTTCATTCATAGCCATTCAGACCTGTTGATATCCTGTTGGTGCACCAGTATGACCGACTGAGCAGTGTTCCGACTGTTAGTTACAAAAGAGACAAATCCGGCTACGTAAGCACAACAGAGGAAACTCAAACGAAGGTCACCCCCTCATCCCCTCCTTCTCCCATACCACACAGCCGTTTTGCTCAATTCCCCTAAAGATATTCGGGCCCTGCTCCCTGAGAGGGGGCCCCGTCAGCGGGACGGGCCCGCCTCCACACCGCTATGTTACCCCGCTATTACGTTGCATAATCTTCCCTTTGCTTTTTATAGGGTTCAGCTCGCATCATACTACTAGATTAGGGTGGCTAGGTCGAAGGTTAAATACTCTAGGACCGAATGGATTTTTAAGGGACCCTCAAGAAATAGTCTTGAATCACTTCACACTGTTACTCTCTTCCTTACCTAACTAATAGGCCACTACCCTGATAAGTAGTCTCTTTATACCTAATACATAACATCCCAACAATTATTAAGGAGCGAGAATAGATAGGATCATCTAAGGCGCCGGCGAAGGCGAGAAATACGCGGGCTTACTTCGCGCCGGGCGACCGAGAGAGAATAAGGACCTATCTAGTAGAACTCACCGAGCATAGAAACCCGGGATAAGGATATATCAGACTAAAGCAGCCCTCGCCATAAAAATCTTTCTATTAGGGATCAAATATTAATAGCTCTGCCGGATAGCTAGCGTTAGATACATACCTTGCCCATTTACGGAGAGCCCAGGAAGAGCAGGAACGATTAGCAGAGGAATTAGAACGTGAGCGGCTTAATGAAGAGCTCGGTCTGTCCAACCAAGGGCAACTACCTCTAGGGGATTCGCCTCGACCTAAGGATAGAAATTCACCACCACTAGCCTCTGGTAACGAGCCAGCGGCACCAGTGCACGCGGCCATCGAGCACCCAACTTTTACCCTTAACGTAACTAGCCACGATCTATCGCCAGTTTCACTCCATGAAGGGCAGCAAGAATCCACGGTGGAGAACACAGGCCAGATAAGACCGAGTTCCCCGGACGTTATCAAAAAGCCCTCTAGTCACACCTCTTCCCGCTAATGATTCCAGACCTGGAACAGCTGTCTCATCTCAGCCACCTCAAGGGCCCGTCGAGATTCAGTTCTTGGCTCTTGAACGAGGGCAGTGGAGGCAGTCAGATCGTCTCCTCATGGACTCCATCGAAAGGATAACGAGCGCCTTATCCACAACTTTGTCTACCTCCGCGGCAGACTCCGCGGCAGCGTGGCGCAACTTTCGAGCCAGAGACTGGTGTGAAGACCAAATTGTCAGGCATCGAGCAGCTTTTGTGGAAACAATGCTTGATCAGCATCAGCACTGAATCTCTCGCTGTAACGCTCTGATGGGGCTTCTCTTTGATTTCCATATAGGAGATCAGCTCAGAAATTATTGAGCCTCTCGTTACGAAGGAAAACTGCCTCGATCAAAAGACTAGCGTTAATGAAAAGAAGGCGAACGGTATACTTGCATATGCCCAAGGCAGGGCATTTAGAATTGGTAGTTGCCTAGACGCAGCTCTAAGAACAGATACTGAACACTGAATAAAGGTACTCAGTAAAATTTATGTCGTAATAAAAAAACACCCGACAATGTACATCACGTATCTCATATGCCTAACATCTTGAATATGCGTACCAGCATCCACTAACCTCCCTCTTAAGTACTCACTTAGCGCCTTTCAACTCAAACGTCAACAACTTAACTTATCCCCAACTCGGGCCTCAAGGGTCTCATCTCGTACTTGTTTTAAAAGGGCATCATGGAAGAGCCAGCCGTTCCATGTAATCCCTCATTTTCAGGGTTGTTGTTAGGTGAGATGGATCTGATGATAGTTCCGCTGGTAGTCTGGCTCGTTAATAATCTTTCAGCGCCTAATAGGGTCCTGGATTTATGCGACTGAATAACAATATACCGAGTCACGAGGTGTATATGCTTATTCCGAAGGTTTGCTAGCGCGCTGACACAGGCGCTATATGGCGCAGACAGTCGGCCGTCAGAACGGCAACTGGTGAGGAACTCATGAATGTTTGCTATTTTTGAGACATCCTCCAGAAAACGATGATGAGGTCCAGGCATGTAGGAACGCATTTCATGGACGAAGTTGTCCCTGGGCCGTGTTGTATCAGTCGGATGATGTTCAACCCCGAGAACAATATCGAAAAAGTGAAAGAGCGAACTCTGGGCGTTGCTTCCGCCTCCGTATTGTCGATACTCCTCACTGCCAAGTCCGATGTCATATATGACACCGTTGGGGAGTCCTGCGCCCGCCATATTTTTGCTTCCAGCAATGAATCGGCGGATGTGGTTATAGAACACGTATGGTCTGCACCTCTCATACATCCGGAGCAGTATTGCCGTTATACGGTCCAGGATCTTTGTAAATGTGTGTAGTGCCGTGGCAACGGTACTAAGATCTCCTGCATAATGTGCCACAATTGCTTCAAGCATCAAGGGGATAACAGGAGCACCAGCACGTTCGATGGCTACCGAAATGAGGTAAAACCACTTTTCATCAGCGGTGCCAGTGAAAGTGACGAGAGTTGTCATCTCCTCGAGGTGATCGGTAGACTCAGCAGGTGTTGTTGGCTGAAAATTCCATAGGCATAGCGCAGAATAAGTGGCGACGGGAGGGACCTCCAGATATTCACACACCTCAAGTAGGGGAACGGCCAGCTGGCGAGGTATCCTCTACTGTGCTTTAGAATCGTGGCAAATTTCGGAGCTGAGCCTTAACGTACTTCGGATGGTATTGTTCCTCCCCAGATATACGCATGGCTCATAAATGCCAACAGAACATATGCTCTTCGCCACTCTGCGCATGTTCGCAGGTGGGCTGTAGAGAGCACGGGCAGCTCATCGACAACAACACGTATGCGGTGATCGCCGATGATTGCTGGAAGGTTGGCGAGGATTGTCTCCCACTTCTCATAGTACGGATTTAGAAGTGTGGCAGGGGGGACTTCGGCCGGGAGGAAACCAGTTTCCGCAGTCATGCCGAAGTCTCTCAAAACTGGGATTAATGGAGCCATCATGGCGGTCGTATACCCTCCTGAAAAAGATGAAAGATCAAAAGGATTTGGGAATGAGAGAGAAGGAATGGAAATATACGACCGGGGTTTGGGATAAATGTGGAGGAAATATGTCGTTTAAGTGGATTGATCACCGGAAGGGCGTATTTCGACGTCGCCATATTACTTTTTCGGGCACCTGCGAGAGACCCACAACTACTCTGTACAGTAACTTAACTAGTTAACTAGTTAACTAACTAGGGAAGTCTTAGTCACATTTCAATTGTAACGTAATCCACGGTCTGGCCGGTCACACGGTCGGCGCGGTCACCCAACTAAAATCGCGTCTCTTAGTGATAGCGGAGAAAGAATCAAAGAGAAGGGCACAGCAGATTACTAAGTGGCGAATTAGGCTAACTAACTAGTTAGTAGATAAATTAAATAAGAGTAGTGTGTGGGTCATGTGATTCTAGCAGGACTAGTAGGGGGTCATATAATAGGCCTAGTAGTAGAAGATAGAAGAGAAGGGAGAAAGGATATGTGTGTGTATAAGACGAAAGAGGGTGGTTAAATTGGTAATTGTAAGACGTGAAAGGCTTGGCGGTAATCAGGCAGAAATCAGGCCCTAGGTGGTGCCGCCAGGATTTTGAGGTGGTGCCAACAGGATTTCCCTTACAGAATTGCTGTGCGGCTAATTAACTTGCAAAAGCTGCTGTGTCCATAGCAATTCCCACGCTGGTGTTGTTTAGACACCCTGATTTGATAGAATGATAACCATCTTTTTTTACCAAATTCAGCTCTTAACATAACGGAGACGATGGGCATAACAGTTTTACTCTCCTGGATCTATTTGAATGATCTACAATTATTGTTTCTTTACTTCTTCTAATCAAGCTATCCAGGATCGAGCGGGCTATAGAGCTAGGAATAACATATAATAAAGGAAATGACTATAATAATGCAAGGCAATACCTAAACATATTCGGGCCCGTCCCCGGGGGGGGGGACCATAGTAAAAAAGTCTTGGCAAGGGGGGGGGGGGGGGACGAGTTGATACGTCCCCCCCCCCCTAAGTACCCGAAATCTTGAGATTTTTTGATCGGGTCTTTTGAATCCTTTTATCTACTTATTAGATCTATCTAAATGTCAAATAATATTCTAGGATTATTATGTGGAAGGGCCATACCCTACTGGGTTGGGGTAAGCCTGGATTTTTTTGATGGGGGGTGCCAAGGCCAAGGCCGGCGGGTAGGCTATACCCGATTCGGCCTGCCAGATTGGTAGGGTTGCTAAGCCTAGATTCGTGGCCTTAGCAATCAGGCCGTAGTGGTCTCCATTCGCCAGTTGCCAGCCAGCCTACTTCGCGATATCTAGCTATCTAGCTATACGATTCTATCCGGGGAAGAAATCCTAGGTAGGTTGAGGGCCCTTCTAGTATGCGAGGCTATCCCCGTCACGTGACTTCCCCCGGGCCTTGGTGAAAATGAGGGTGAATAGGTTTAGAAATTTTTTGACTGCTGACTAATCGAGATTATTATAGCTAGATAGCCCTCGCTTCGGGCATTATATTAATAGTATTAGTAGCCTAGTAGGCCTAGTAGTTCCGGAGTAATCGAAGGATTTAGTATTTTATCCTTACTAGAGGGGGCACCCTCCCACCGGAGCAGTCTAGTAGCGGGGGCGGTCTAGCAGCGGGGGCAGTCTAGCAGCGGGGGCAGTCTAGTAGCGGGGGCACCCTACTAGCGGGGGGCACCCTGCCACCGGGAGCAGTCTGGCAGCGGGGGCAGTCTAGCAGCGGGGACACCCTGCCACTAAGGGCAGTCTAGCAGTAGGGGCACCCTACGGCCGGTGGCAGTCTCGTAGATAGTGTAGTCTAGCAGCGGGGGCACCCTGCCACCGGGGGCAGTCTAGGAGAGGGTGTACTATACTAGCGGGGGCACCCTGCTGCCGGGAGTAGTCTGGCAGCGGGGGCAGTCTAGCAGCGGGGGCACCCTGCTACTAAGGGCAGTCTAGCAGTAGGGGCACCCTGTTACCGGTGGTAGTCTCGTAGATAGTGTAGTCTAGCAGCGGGGGCAGTCTAGGAGAGGGTGTACCCTACTAGCGGGGGCACCTTGCTGCCGGGGGGCAGTCTAGTAGATAGTGTAGTCTAGCAGAGGAGGTATCCTCTTAGGGTTTAGGGTTTAGGGTTTAGGGTTTA